ACAAGAAATTCCGCTCCAAGACCTAGTCAGGAGGCAACTAGGACACGTGCCTCGAGTCAAAGATCTAGTGGGAAGGGACTAGATCACGCGACTCTCGTCTGGCCCACATAGCGGAAGAACGACAAAGAGCGGGCCACTCATCCAAAGTCTATTCCGCCAGAATCGTCCGCGACGACGCAAAACTAGGTCGCGTCCGGGATGACGTTAAACTAAGCATTGTTTTTCCACAATATTTGTGGCGAAACAACGTCCGCGATGACGCTAAACTATTGTCCCTTTCCACATAGGGATTGTTCGAGGCCAATGGCATCGACGTCTGCAATGACGATAAACTACGGACGTCCGAAACGACGCTAAACTACTTGTCCCTTCAAGTATAGGGATCGTGCGTGGCGATCTTGACAAGATACCGCGCGTCCGCGACGACGTTAAACTAGGTGCCCCTGAACCTAGGGGTTGTCATTGACGTCCAATCCCCTGGCCGCCAATGCGTCCGCAATGACGGAAAACTATTTGCTCCTTACCGAATAGGAGTTGTGGATTGACCGCCATGGTGTCAATCGGTCCGCAATGACACTAAACTACGTGCTCCTCACCGCATAGGAGTTGTGATTCATCACTCTGGTGCTGAATCGTCCGCAATGACGTTAAACTACTCGTCCCTTTTCGTATAGGGATCATCGGTCGACACCATTCTTGACGAGAATGTGTCGACAATGTCCGAGATGACATTAAACTACCCTCATCCTCGGAGGAAAAACCTATCGTGACTCGAGGGACATAGTCAGACGATAGCCCGCCTATCGCACGGCGTTAAACTGCGAGGATGCCTATCGCACGGCATTAAACTGCGAGGATGCCTACCTCACGGCATTAAACTGAGCGGTCTCCCAACATTGAGACGTACAAGTTATCCGGTTTGATAAAGTATAAACCGTCCATCATGCCTCAGTGGAATCTGGAGCGGGTAAAGTCTGGTCTATGGCCCTATGCACATCACCGATGGAAATTCCGGCGTGCAGAAACATCTTTCCCCACAGATACTCCATGTTGATGATGAAGGACGTCCGCAAAGACGTTAAACTACGGATCGTCCGAAATGACGATAAACTACGGACCGTCCCGCATGACGTTTTAAACTGCCAGTCGTGGATATATCTCGCAACCCGACAAATATATCAGCTGTGGTCTTAATGTCCATTCGTGCAAGCGAACGGGCCGATCCGGAGAAGGAGTCAGACTCCTCCTTACTCCTCACGACACCCTTCAAGTCTAATTCTCTTCACATCCTTGCCTCAAACCCAATACGCATAGTGAATCAAACAAACTCTGGACGTCGAACTAACTCACCGGAGATGAGCCCACCGTATGGGGGCGATACTGCTTGGGATTTATGGCTGCAACCTCACCGGAGATGAGCTCACCGTATGGGAGCGATACTGCTTGGGACGTTAAGATGGTAGTCTGGGGAAGTAGGCCTAAGCCTTTGTAAAGCGATCAACCTACTTGCCCGTGGACGCCATCCTCTGAACGCCAAGAGGAACAACAAAAATCACGAGGATAGACGACTATCCTGGAAACACTGAGGTTTGGCCCTCGGAGAAGGAAGAAGAAGAACCTGATGACATGAATCGGAACCCACACGCTAGAATTTCTACACATCCCCACACCACTCGCATTCATACGCCTTTCTTGATACTATTCCAGAAGAGGGCTGGAAGTAAGACCGCGACGAGGTTTACCCGCGGCAGAATCAATCCCACGGGTGAAGGAAGAACATCCTAGAGAGCGGAGGCCTGGATAACCTCGCGACTCGACAAACAAACAGCTCAACGGAGATGGAAAACTCCTAGAGGATCAAACGACGTAAGTCGGTCTTCCTCCCAGAAAACGAAGTCATGTCCCGGAAGTCGCATCCGGCGACCATCATTGGATCAAGAAAGCAAATCGTATATGGAGCGGCGATGACACGCAAGGCGTGGTCCTACCAGGCGAATAGGACGTAGAAAGGGGGTATTGTTATGATCACGTTCTATCGGGCCTACACGGCGGTCTATACCGATACGATCATCACAAATATCACGCGGCCTCACGGGTTGAGGCGTACACCAAGGTACAGATATTAACCTTGGTCATCCACTCCCAATGGATCATCAATCATTGGTCGAGTATCACGGGCCTTGTATTAGCGGGCATGGAACGCCGCCTTATAAATTACTCACACGCAGGGCATGAACCTCCTAGTCTCTCCTGGCCGGAAGGAGACCAACGGAGAAGCACAAGAGTAGTCGTTATTGAGAGAGACGACTTAGAGAATACCTACAGATACATATTCGGTATTCTCACGCCCTACTTCCCAAAGTAGTATAAAAGGCCCATAGAATAGGCTGACGATCTTCAGTCTATTCTCTTCGTTCCCCTGTATCTTCACATACAGGGATCTTCGTTCAGTACTGTCTTCCTACAATACTCCTTCATCCTTAGGCAGTCTTCATACTGTCTATTTTCATTGCTACATCGCAATACACTTCTGGCTCCTGTGCTACACGTACAGTCGAGACCGCCGTTCCACACATCCTCCACGAGTGACCTAGGGAAGAACCTCCTACTCTTGGGGTTACCGACGAGCAGTCGTAACACACATCAGCCGACATGGAATACTGGCCCTGATCTTGTCAACACCTATTGTAACACTCCTATGCAGTCATGGTAAGTATGTGAAGTGTGGGCAAACTGACCCAAGTACTGCCAAACGTCCTTCAGTGGGTTACGGTTGGTCAGGTGGGGGCCAACTGTGTTTGGTGCAAGTTGGCGTCTTCAGTACTCATCTAGCACTATTTGGTGTCTCCCCAAAGCTTCCCGAATACCTCTCTTAGACCCTAGTGCAGGTGCATGCTTATCACCGGGTATTGCTAAATGTCCTTTGGCAGGTTGCAGTTGGTTGGGTAGGGACTGACTGTGTTCAGTAATAGTTGACATCTTCAGTGCTTGTCCAGCGCTGTTCAGTATCTCCCAAAAGCATCCTGAATACCTCTCTTGGACCCTAGAGTAGGTATATGCTCATCACCAACATTTATATATATATATATATATATATTTTTTAATTTTGTCTAGGTTGTCTAGCAGTGACATGTCAGTCCTCCTTATGAAGGTATCTGTACCATTCCCCCTGCCCACAAAGGCTGGGATGGCATTCTCAACATCATCTTAGGTATTTCTTATTATATTATGTATATGAATTGAGCTCAGGTAGTGTATTTTAGTGTGTGTAAACAAAGTGGTAGCCATGGCTAGTTAGATGCTAAGGGTACTGGTAGTAGTTGCCTAGAAAGGAAGTCCCTACTGTCTACATCACTAACCACTAACACATTGCAGCTGCCCCCATCTCCAAACTCCCTCTACCTACTCTACTATCATTAGGCATCTGCCCACTCCCTGCCAGGACCCCTGAAAATAGGGGGGGAGGCCGGGTGGAAATTTCTTAAAAGCCGGCCAAAATGTACAGATCGAAAGTCCCAAAATTGGCGAAATTTGTCTGGAAAAAACCAGGCCTAGCCAAATTTTGAGTCAAAATGTTCGGATTGAACTGCCAGGCCTCCAAAACAACATTTTTTGGCCGGATTAGCCAGATCCGGCCTTGTAAGCACTCAAAATTGTCCAGATCACATAGTTCAGGCCTATTTTGATGCTCAGAAAGGCCAGAAAGCATTTATTAGGCCGTTGGCCATCAGAATCAAACACATAGAGCACATGAGATATTGAAAAGATGTTACAGAGCATCATACTTCGTGCGCCAAGCCATCGCCATCCTCCCTTGTGCCGCTACTATCCTTCTTGCCCCCTGCCCCACGCTGACGTAATGCCTGGAGACGTTGGACCGCTGCTACGAGGTTCAAGAGATATCAATTCAAATGTGAGAATAGTTGGAGCGAGACTTCATCGAGATGTATGTGCCGCCTGTCCTGGCTGATGGATGGATCATTGGGTAGGATGCACAAGAAGTAGTCAGAATGGAGGTGAGTGAAAGTATAAGATTACACGGAAGCGACGCGACCATAGATAGCCCAAAATAGAACAGCATGTGAAGGCTCGTATGATTGCAAAGAGATGTACGACGCTGTGCCGATGTTGAGTAATGTTTCCTGCCATGAATGCGCACCGGATTTGCCACCACCTTGAGTGTAGAGAGCCATGACTGTAAGGAACAAAGATCATCAGCCATAGATATATTGAGTAATTGTTGTACTCACCACGGCCCACAACGAGGCACCCTTTGTGAAGTATGATGCCATACATCCCAACCCAATACATGTCGTCCAGGAAGCTGCACATTGTTCTCTGTGCCGACCATAGCGCTTGTCAACTTTTTAACTAGAGCGGTGGGCAACCGCTGATCTCCAAAGACCTTGCCTTGCCATAGGGTGACCTGCAAGATATTGTTCATCAAAGGAGTGGTGTAGAAACGTTAATATTGACGCACGGTTTCCGCACACTGGGTAGCTGCCAGCGCCGCGTTGGCAGAGTTACCTGCTAGGGCACCTTGCGCACCTGAGTTCCTCCACCTTTCCTTATGCTCAAGTCCAGTGCCGATCCCTTGGTCCTGCTGCTGCGAGAGGAGAGCTTGCATCTCTTGAATGATCTGCCTCCGCAAGCTTTCCTCACCAAGCTTCTTGCTCCAGGAAGGTGTTGACTCTAGTACGGCCGATTCTCGAACACCATGGGCTGCGCGGTGTGTTTCATGTGCTCTTCAGATCTTAATCAGCGGGGAGAAGTTGAGTATGTCGACAGAAGAGAAATGGACATCAAAAGCGTAGCGAGGCTCTGGAGGTAAGTTGACCGGAGGCAGCTGTGCAGCATGGAGCACTGCCAATATATTGGATCGGTCATTCTCAAGGTTGGCTTCTTGTTCTTCTTGGGAAAGCTCGTGAGCCATATCTTTTCAGGATCCATTCAATATCAGTACAAGAGCGCTGATAGTGAACTATTGGAGGTGACACAACTTACAGCTGAACCAGATCATCTATGTCCATGGCAACAGCGGCACACTGTAAGTTCAACAGCCGTTCATCCACAGAATGTTCATAGAAGCCCGAGCGGCGTATATCAACAAGGAGCTGCCGTAGTTTATTCGTGTCGCCCACCTCATCATCACCTTTGTCTTGTTCATCTTCGGAGCTGTCGGTGTCACTACCGGCCTTGTCAGCCATTGGATCCATACCTGGTGCGTACCACGAGTTGATACTAGGCAGAGTTGGATGAGAAGCCGACAGTAAATCAGAAGGTGATACCCCGAGTATATTAAACAAGTTTTCTGCCTCTTCCCAGGCATCTTTGGTGGCTGACTGTATCTCACTGTCGGTAGGGAAACATGCGAGCTCTCCGAGATTGATTCCGTGTGAGTTGAAGTAGGTGTGGGCATAGCCGGATGCACGCGCTTTCGGATCTGTCATAACATTGAGGAGAACTATGGCTCGAATAAATACATGTAGACGAGGCATCATTTGTATGAGATCTGTAAAAGCAAAGTCTTTCACCAGTTTTCGACATTCTGCGAAGATGTGCTTGCATACTTCACTAGAATGCATCCAGGGGAGTAACGGGTAGATTTTGTCATCCATATAGTCTCGGTGGATGATAACGAGGCCGATGAGACCTTCGATGACGATCTGGACAATATCAGTAGCTTCGCGAGAGATGAAATGCTTCGACTTCACATAGCCTGCTCTATCTAGAAACCGTGCCCATATGTCCAGGAAGTAACGAGTGCGCAGGACCATTTTGATGCGTGAGAGGTGGCTGATTTTGCGATTTTGATATGCATCAACGAGCTCTCCGAATATGAATAGATAGACGATTTCCCCGACATGGTCAGGGAAATGTGTTGCCAGGTACTCCAGTGAGGAAGCAGAGAATAATTGAGTTGCGGCATTGTCGTCTTGGCGGTCAAGATTTTCAACATCGCGGGGGTAGAGGGGTGGAATACCTGGACCAAACGCTGCATCACGCACATCAGAATATTTTGCGGTGGTGTTGCCCAGAACAAGGTGTTTGGTGCCGCTGAAATTATTGTTATGCATTGTCTTGAGAGCGTGTTTGGAGTCCTGGATCATGACGATTGGCTGGGCCTCCCTAGTCGCAATGATGACGGTCATGTCCTTGAAATCAACAGCTGGGTTGGAGTGTCGGATTGTGTATGTAATGCGGAAAGGTGAATCTCGGATGAGACAGCGCTGCACCTTGCGCTCTGTCTCCGTGCCGTCGCAAGCGTATGATATAACCTTGAGCCCACGCTGAACCAGACTGCAGATGATCTTGTCTGAATAAGCTTGAAGCTCCTTGGCACCGCATGAGTTTGGGATCGCCAAAACATGAGCAACGATAGAGCTCGCCTTTGGCATTGGGATTTGAACACACCAGACACGAACCTACAATGCCAACACACAATCAGCACCACAGCTTTCTGCTTGTTCCGGTCACTGACCTTTGTTGCTTTCTCTAGCGTCTCCGATTTGAGGAGAGCCTTAAGCTCTTCCGGGTTGGCAACCGCGATAGGCTCGCCGGTGTGTCCCACCAGGTAGTATGTTTTTGCCAAGGCATCCCAGTATGTGTGAAGGGTGCTCAACAATTTTGTGTCATCACAGCTTAGGCCGAGAGGCCCTTCGTACTTGAGGTCTTTTTGGATGTAATTACAGACTCTGTCAAATGTCTCATGTCCTAGCTTGAGAGGGAATTGAGGGAGCACTGCTCACTGCATTCTGAGTGTTGCAAGAAATCAATCAGTATCATTAACAACAGATAACGGTGAGTACAAACCGGATACTTCGAGGAGTGCGAATTGGAAAGTGAGACTTGAGGAGGTTGTAGACATCGGGGCTAGTTGTAAATGCAACCTGACTGAGCTCGTCGAGGGCTGGCAGGTATCGGAAGTTTTGCATGCCCTTGCCACAATTTACTCGCTCCCGTGTTTCCACCACTGCTGCGACCATACCATTGAAGACCTTGCGATCGTTTTAGTCACCTTGGAGGATGCCCTTGACATAGCGTATGTATACGGAGCCTTTATTATCCTATAGTACATAGTTAATTAGCAAAATCCACGCTGTAAAAATGCAATCATACCTTGTTCAATACATCATGCAGACCCACAACGTGTGCATATGCCATGGCGGTGATCTCGTCGTGATAACGTGTGTTGAGATACTTCATCTTCTCTGGAGGAGGCACTGGACGGCGCAGAGCATTCTTGAAGTCAATCTGCATGCAAAGAGCGCATATGACTGGTTCTTTGACATCCTGAGTGATAGAGAGCACTTTATCGCAGTTCATGGCAGAGACATTTTGGAGGATGGGGTCACACTTCCAGGTATGAGATGCCGTTTGAAGGCACCAAACATCAGACTTCTCCATGTGCGTGAGATTGCTGAAGTCATGGCCGAAGGCCTCTTGAGCGAGATCATGGATATTCCTCCCTCCTCCACTCTTGACACCACGTTGATACGCTGGTGATGCCTCTGAGTGCGAAACACACCCAAGAAACACCCCTACAAGCGCAGGTAGGCAGGAGCTAGTTCTAGTGTGCAAGGAACTATAAGCTGTGCAACAACCAACAAGGGAGCGTACTAAAAGTGTTTGGAGTGTAGTGAACAAACAACTCCAAAATCGAAGTATTCAGTCGGTCAGTCAGTCGGTAGGTCAGTCAGTCAGTCGGTCGGTCGGTAGGTCGGTCGGTCGGTAGGTCGGTCGGTAGGTCGGTCGGTCGGTCGGTCGGTCAGTAGGTCGGTCGGTCGGTAGGTCGGTCGGTAGGTCGGTCGGTCGGTAGGTCGGTCGGTAGGTCGGTCGGTCGGTCGGTCGGTCAGTAGGTTGGTCGGTCGGTAGGTCGGTCGGTCGGTAGGTCGGTCGGTCGGTAGGTCGGTCGGTTGGTAGGTCGGTCGGTCGGTCGGTCGGTCGGTCGATGTTTGATCGGGATTTGATCGGGATGCAAAGGGAAGGGAATGGGTGCAAGGCCACACTGGACCCTGGCAGAGGATGACAAACTAGATGAGAGGGAGAGAGCAAGACGACGAGGGCTCTGGCGGAGGGCTGTGATTGAACGCAACAACACAAACAAAAGGGCAAAATGCGAACAAGGATTGGAAGGCAATGGCTCAAAGTCTCATGGACACAAGCGCACAAATGGAATCGGAACAAGGGGGGAGCCAAAGCTGGTGTATTGCAAAGCCATAGGTGCCCTTTTATAGTAAGTCCGAACAGGTACAAGATAAGGAGATTGGCAGAGGCATAGAGCAATCGGAAATGTGTGCCAAGAGTGATCAAAGGTAAAGAAGATAAGGGAGTGATGTTGCAAACACTATAAGATAAGAAGCAATAACTCTAAAGTCTAAATAAGTGGAGAGATTGCCAAGGTGAGTCCACATGGACCTGGAGATAAGAACCACATGCCACATGGGTAAACCATTTAGAAACTTGGGAGCTCTGAAGATAACAAAGGATAGGTCAACAGAAGGCATAAGGACGATAAAAGATAGAAAGACAGATCCGTTCTGAGTCAACAAAGTGTTCGGCCGCCTCCGATTCGGGACACCGAAGCCGACCGAATGTGCCGACCATGTGAAGTGTACCGAACCGATCGGCGATCGGCCGCGACAGTCTGTGGGGAGCCCCTACTGCTGAGAGTGATGATAGATGGATAGGATGACTGTGAACAGCTCCGAACGACTGTGCGGAGGTCTAAATGCAAAGTCGGCACCTGACAAATGGCTGAGATCGCCGAACGGATCGGGATCGGTCGGTCCTAAGTATGCCTAACGGTCAAAGAATACTGAAAAGCTGCGAAAAGTGGGGTATTGGTGCCTAGAGCATACCCATGCTCATCATCTCCTCCCAACTGAAATACTGACTGTCCTCAGTCAGGCGGTCGGACCAGAGCAGCACAGCAACGAATATGCAAGGAAATCGAATGGAGGGGTTCGGAGCAAGCAACAGGTCTAAAAGTCAAGTGAAACTCATTGCAGGGTGATTAGAGATGGAGATGCAGGGATGTGGTCGGAGCATGTGCGCAATCAGCAATGCGCCAATGCAATCAGATGTGGATCAAATGCAGTCGGAGAGCCCCTACGGCCAGTGGTGCGCCGAAGCGATCGGAAGTGTGCCAAAGCCGTCAGAGTGCCAATACGATCAGACCAGTGCCTGTGCCATTGAAAGCGTGTAAAATCGGCTGGGGTACAAGTGTGGTTGGAAGTACACAGACATGATCGGTGGTTGGGAAAGGCGTTCGGAGGGCAGAGTCGGTAAAAGGTGGGCTGATGCGATCGGACGTGCATTAAGGATGATTTCGGAGGAAGTGATGAAGGTGGTATAAATGAATGCGAAAAAATTGAGACAACAGGATGATTGGAATCGCTAGACACACTGGGAGGTGATGGTACGTCATCGGAGAGGTGCCCTATAGCCGCTTGCGAAAGTGGAAAGCATTCCGAACGCCTAGAAAAAGGTGCCGAAGATTTCGGGTCAGGGGACAATGAGAGTGGATGGTGTTTGGAAGCTGATGGAGGGAGTATGGTGCATCTCGAACGTTCGGCGGGCTTCCGAACGTCTGTTCGGCCATCGGACATGGGACATGAGAGCTTTCGAAGGCGGCAAAGTTCATCCTCGAGTGCTGCAATGCGATTAGAACAAGCAAATCTACCTGTAAACCCAGGACTGCGCAGGGAGGGAGAACCGAAATTGGAGATGATGGGCGCCGATCGGCGCGACTGAAAATCGGTTCCAAGTTCTAGGCTGGCTATAGCATTCGATTGGGGATTGCATCGGTACCATTCATCAATCCGGTCCCTGAGAGTGCGTCCTTTGATCCTATGTGGCACAAAACAACCTGAAGACAAGACCACCTTGTTCTCCGAATTCCGAATGCACTTCCCGATGCGGACATACTCCAAAACAGAAGGACACGCAGCAATGAAGTGGCCAGTCAAACCACAGAATGAGCATCGTTGGCAGCGAGCTGGGTGTGCGTGCGGACGTCCGAAGCTGATCGCGGAGCTGAGGGCTTTGCCGAACGATTCGGCGATGCGTGTTAGGGTGGTTCCAAGGTCGCCCGATTGCACTGCGGTCGCGCCGATTTCCATGACTGACTGACACAAGGGAGGTGCGAAAGAGGTGGTGGTGCCATGAAGAACAAATCGCGCGGCATCATAGATATCGTCAAGACAATAGGGGTCATCGGGGAAGTGATCGGGAAGCTTTATCTGTAGTCTCTGCAAGATGCGAACCCAAAGTTTTGTCTGAAATCCCTGTGCAAAGGTACGCCCTTCTTCAACCTCTGAAATCCGATTCTTTTGACGCAGAAAGAGTGCGATCGCTAGAAATCTTCGGTAATAGACGCCCAGATCCCCCAGTGAGCCAATGCCGATCCGGCTATACATTCCGACAAGGCTATGCAAGTCAGCAACTAACCATCTGCGATCATCATCGGCACCAGGATAAAGCTTGTACACAGAGTCACAGAAGTCCTGGTATGTCTTCGCGTGGTCCGAAAAGGTCGGCAGGGACTCCCAGAGGTCGGAGGTGTCAAGATCGGCGAATCGGCAGGCGTGTCTCTTCCGCTCCAAGTCGCTGTTGACTGCCGAACGAACAAAGTGAAAGTCAAGGTCTGCAAAGTATCGGCGAAGAGTGCGTGGTCGGCTGGGGTCGAAAGTGGGTGCGGATCGATCGCCTCGAGCTGGCATGGTCGGGGGGGCCATAGCGATCAAATGCAAAGAACTGAAACCAAAGCTGAAGAGTGGATAAAAATGCGAATGGAGTATAAGTACCAAAAGTGTGAATTGAAGAAAAAGAACAGGATGCGATCGGGATCGGAGCTTCTAAGGTCAAAGGGGGATGGTATTTGATCAATCTATGAAGAAAAGGAAGGAGGGCAAATAGGGAAAGGCAAATGTAGGCAAGATATGTGGCAAGGGACGTCAATGGCTGAAGTAGAGGTTTCAGATGTCAGCAGGCGATTGGAACGTGTACCAGGGTCTCAAAGCAACCTTAGGAATTAGGGGGATGAAATGTGAACACAATGCAATCAGAATCGGAGGTAAAAATCGCCGAAAAATATCGAAAAATCAGAGGTAAAATCGCCGAAAAATATCGAAAGAATCAGGAATAAAATCGCCAACAAAAATCGAAATTATCGAGGGGGGACAAGTGCCAAAGGATAGCAAAACCACAAGAGATCAAGGGAGCAGCAGGAATCGAGGTTCTGAAGTGAGGTTTCGAAGAGGATGTTAGGGTCGTGCAAAGGTCAAGGTAAGGGTGGGGTTTGATCGGCGGGGTCGCAGCGTGTTCGGAACAGTGTAGTGGTGGTAGGGGGATGTCAGCGAATGGAATGGGATCGGTCGGAGAGTCGGTGATTGCAAAAGGGATGAAGCAGCCTAAGTTCCTTGAGATGAGAACCAACCCCTCGCGGTGGGCTCCAAAATGATACGCTAGTGATGCCTCTGAGTGCGAAACACACCCAAGAAACACCCCTACAAGCGCAGGTAGGCAGGAGCTAGTTCTAGTGTGCAAGGAACTATAAGCTGTGCAACAACCAACAAGGGAGCGTACTAAAAGTGTTTGGAGTGTAGTGAACAAACAACTCCAAAATCGAAGTATTCAGTCGGTCAGTCAGTCGGTAGGTCAGTCAGTCAGTCGGTCGGTCGGTAGGTCGGTCGGTCGGTAGGTCGGTCGGTAGGTCGGTCGGTCGGTCGGTCGGTCAGTAGGTCGGTCGGTCGGTAGGTCGGTCGGTAGGTCGGTCGGTCGGTAGGTCGGTCGGTAGGTCGGTCGGTCGGTCGGTCGGTCAGTAGGTTGGTCGGTCGGTAGGTCGGTCGGTCGGTAGGTCGGTCGGTCGGTAGGTCGGTCGGTCGGTAGGTCGGTCGGTTGGTAGGTCGGTCGGTCGGTCGGTCGGTCGGTCGATGTTTGATCGGGATTTGATCGGGATGCAAAGGGAAGGGAATGGGTGCAAGGCCACACTGGACCCTGGCAGAGGATGACAAACTAGATGAGAGGGAGAGAGCAAGACGACGAGGGCTCTGGCGGAGGGCTGTGATTGAACGCAACAACACAAACAAAAGGGCAAAATGCGAACAAGGATTGGAAGGCAATGGCTCAAAGTCTCATGGACACAAGCGCACAAATGGAATCAGAACAAGGGGGGAGCCAAAGCTGGTGTATTGCAAAGCCATAGGTGCCCTTTTATAGTAAGTCCGAACAGGTACAAGATAAGGAGATTGGCAGAGGCATAGAGCAATCGGAAATGTGTGCCAAGAGTGATCAAAGGTAAAGAAGATAAGGGAGTGATGTTGCAAACACTATAAGATAAGAAGCAATAACTCTAAAGTCTAAATAAGTGGAGAGATTGCCAAGGTGAGTCCACATGGACCTGGAGATAAGAACCACATGCCACATGGGTAAACCATTTAGAAACTTGGGAGCTCTGAAGATAACAAAGGATAGGTCAACAGAAGGCATAAGGACGATAAAAGATAGAAAGACAGATCCGTTCTGAGTCAACAAAGTGTTCGGCCGCCTCCGATTCGGGACACCGAAGCCGACCGAATGTGCCGACCATGTGAAGTGTACCGAACCGATCGGCGATCGGCCGCGACAGTCTGTGGGGAGCCCCTACTGCTGAGAGTGATGATAGATGGATAGGATGACTGTGAACAGCTCCGAACGACTGTGCGGAGGTCTAAATGCAAAGTCGGCACCTGACAAATGGCTGAGATCGCCGAACGGATCGGGATCGGTCGGTCCTAAGTATGCCTAACGGTCAAAGAATACTGAAAAGCTGCGAAAAGTGGGGTATTGGTGCCTAGAGCATACCCATGCTCATCAACGTTTGAGGAGTTTGGTCACTTTTGGCTGGACATCGGTGGTGATGCCATTGCAGGGACGCATGACAGTTCCAGAAAGACAGGCACTTGGTGGTGAGCTGACAGTCTTCTACAGAAGCTGCGGTGCTTGTTGGAATTGTAGGGTGGTCTTCGATGGTTTACACCATCCATCGAGTGTTGTTGCTTGAGACTTGGACTGTGATTTGCAGCGGGAGATGTGCTGGACAAATTTCGATGCAAGGTAAGCCTCACCAATCTTTGTCCACTTTCCACAACGCGAGTGGAAGACTTCCCAATATGACCCCTCAGTACGGAATGTTGCCATTGAGTTATATGCTAAACATTCATCTTTGAACCTTTGCAGCTTTCTCAGATCAATCTGAAAACTACCATCCATCATAGCGGCCTTGAGTCTCTTACTTGCAATTGCCAACCGGCTAATCCCAATCAATGCACTTGCCATGGTCAACACTTGCTAACAAAGTTCGGCAGTGCTAGGTATGTTTGACTTGCCATCATGAACAGCCTTGAATCGCTTTTGCTTCATGAGGGATGGCTGGTCACCAAGGGAAGGCTGGTCCCCGGTAAGTACTTGGGAATAATCCCTCTTGCACCGCGAGCTGACTGTTTCTTTAGAAGTGGATGGTACAATGGGCAGTGTGGGCAAGTCATGGGTTGTCGCCGGGGGAAGATCATCAAATAGAGTAGGTTTGTCTATTGACGGCATCGAGGTGGGGTTGTGCACAGTGCTTTCCAAATGCTTGCTGATGCTTGATTCAGCAGTTTTGCATGTAGTGGGGGTTGATATGTCCTTTGTCGAGCCCATGCTCGGGGCGCTGGGGGATGAGGAGATATTAACCTTTGGCTCCGAGATTCCAGCAGCGCTTATAGGCAATAGTAAGCTCTTCAAGTCCATCGCCAATGTTGCCTGATCATTGTCTAACCATTCTTCAAAGCTACATGGAAAATACCCCATTGTGGGCTTTACATTCTGCAATAAGGTCAGTCCCTTGCTAGAGTGATCTTGACAATATGACATACTGAAGACTCATTATGTAATTTTGCTAGCCGGTTGAAGTAGCAAACACGCCAAAGACAACGACTTGCATGCATGAACAATTCGGCTCCGAAAGTGTTATGTTCAATAGTATTGATTGTACATATCCCGCAAGAGTAGGTATCATTTTGGAGGCCGTGCACTAGCAAATCTCCAGTGTCATGGAACAAGACCTTGAACACATATTTGAGCCAGCCTTGGAGATGCCGTATGGCTTTCTTGAGTGAGTGTGGGTTTGACAGCAAGTCCCCTGATCCAGAGTAAGTATTGCCATGCATCTACAACAGGCTTGCGACGACGCACCATATGCAACACTATGCACCTGAAAGTCCACTCACATGGAAACCCAATGATTCCTATTGACGAAGACTGGCATATAAAGGTACCGTCGCGATGTATTGTCCTGAATTTCTCTCTCGTACTGAACAAGCATCTTTGACTGATGATAATTTCCCTGCCCTGAAAGGCTCTCAATCTTGTTGTAGAGATGCACCGGGGCAAACATTACTGTGTTTGCCCTAATAGGGTCTGACTGGGCCTATCGATGCAAGTCAAACATTAACATGTCAACAATGTCATCACTCAGCCAGCTGTCAGACAGCAGGCTTGATAAAGTATTCATGCCGCTCGCAATACCCAAAACCTTCAACTCAACTCCCCATGCCAGCGACAACATCAGAACCCGTGCCGTTTGAGCTTCTCTTTACGTGGTGAGCCCTTCGATGTCATGTGTCCATTTTAGAAGCCACTCATCTGACCGCCGCCATAGATCCTTGCTTTGTTGCACTATTGCAATCCTTTTCCAGAAGGTGATCATCCATAACGGGTGTCACAGTCCTTTCAAAAAGGGGTTCTCGAAAGAGCGAGCCCCTTGCGCTGCCTCCTGTCGGACTTTTTTGTCCAGTTCGGAAAGCCATTTGTTGGGAGGCAGAGTATAATCCATTATGTCTTGTACTGTAGGCTGCTCAGGGGGGGATTTGCTGAACAAGGATGTTGGTTTCAGGAGAATGAGGGCTAAAGATTGTGTGGGCAAGTTGACATTGAGAAAATCCACAATCGAGAGATGACAATCTGGCAGTATTTTGAGAAATTCCAAAGGAATGAGAATGTGAACATTGTGTAGAGCTTCTGAGTGAGTAGTGTTGAGGTCAATAACTTTGCTGTCCGACATTGTGTGCAGAATTTTGTTGGATGTGTGCGCACCACTTTGAGAGCACAAATTTCCATTTCAGCTGACAGCTTAGAGATCTGAGGCACAAGCACAAAAAAGTAGTAAAGAAGTACATGTGCGGGATTTGAACCCATGAACCCATCACAAATTGCCTTACTACATATTGCACGACACTTGCACGACCTGCCACTACACCATGCCAGCTTAAATTGACCGGACCCCATTCAGGCCTATCACCCTGACACCACAATTAGCAGGATGCACAGACAGGCCTCATCTGCCATGCAAGGCAAATTTTGTACGGACGCACCCAGCCTAAGGGGTCAAAAAGGCCCAAAATTTTCCAGATTGGCCACCTGGCCTCCCCACCTATTTTCAGGGGTCCTTCCCTGCCCCTCCTACTTTGGTCTCCTCATACCCCACTACCTTGTCATCTCTGTACTCCCCTTACTTCTTTCTTTATTTGATCACCTGTTACCTACCTACATTTCCCTCTCATATAGGATCTGCTCACCACTCACATTTCACATCATGCTGCTTAGGTTGCTCTCTGCCTTGTCAGAGTATAATGATCCCAGTCATTATATCTCTGACTAGTAAGTAGATGAAAATTTCACTTCTTTCAGGGCAGTGGAGATGGGAATAGTTATATTAGTCACAAATAGATGGATATGAATAAATATAAAAATATTGGTATTTTTGAATAATCAATAATATATCTGAGTGTCAAACAGCCTATATGTGAATTGAGGTGAATCTACAAGAATGTATTTCAATGGATCTGCCTCAATTCACCTCTAAAAAGTCTAAAACTGAAGGGAGAGAAATATTCAAATAGATTCAAATAGATTCAAACAGAGGCACCTCTATTTCCCTCAACTAACTTTTGACTGAGATTACACCCCAGGACCCTTGCAAGTTGGACATAAATAAATCACAATGCAGGTTTGAACTAGTCTATGAGTCAATGACCAGACCAGAGGCTAATCTCATCTAGGGAGTTGGGACCCTTTAGTGCAAGCCTTAAGGACCGGCCACAAAATCCTTAATTAGATGTAGAAGCTCTTCATGTGTTATGATCATTCAGGACCTCTGACTCTCGGAGGAGGAAGAAATAGGAGCAGGTCTAGGTTGATGTCCAACAGGTCACGAGCTTAACGCGAACACGTGATGAGATCCAAATCGCGGAGCTAGAAATGTTTGTGAACCATGAACACGCTTGGCCTGCGACCACCAAGCCACCATCAGCCACCGTCAACTTCAGCTTGGATCGTGGCGCAGAATTGACACAAAAGAAACGGCACGGAAAGGCCACATTTGGACGCAGTACTTGAAGTTTCTGAGACTCGTAAGTTTACCCCTCTGACATCCCTTCGTCTCAATTTCCTAACCAAAATATGGTATCCCTACCAATCCCCAGTGGCACCCCCCTAAAGCTCAAGTTTCCTGAACGCTTCACATCTAAGTTTGTTGTAGAACACGAATCCGAATACGATAGACTCGTCAAAGATATGGCGCACGAATTTGTTGGACCTATGCCCGTTGAGGACTTCTTCAAGGCGTTCATGAATCCAGGTCGACCGTACACAGAGCCAAGTCTTCCTAAACAATGGAGAGGGAAATTTCGGGCCAAACTCATCAAAAAACTTGGATTCGAGAATAGTTTTGTGCGCATTGTTTTCTTCTATCGCATCGGAACATGTCTCCTGACAGACATATCCATGCTGTAGATCAATGCGGTCAACAGAGCCGAGATATGCCCCGATCTTGTCCTAGTCAACACAACCAAGGAAAGAGACGATCAATTTTGGCGTAAACCAGACATCACCGTCTATAAACGCCCATACAATGGCCCGCCCACTACAGACTTTAAGCGCATGGAGCTTCACATTGAACGCAAAACCGCAAGCGAAGACCCATTTTCGGATCCAAAGTCGAGAAAATCTCGCCAGGAACACAGTTTCGAGCATGATTCCAAGGCCTCAATGAAGAGTCGAGGCCAAATCATCTCCTACACGGCATGTCAATTCGCTTCACAACATCGCTGCTTCACCTTTTCCATCCTCTTTCTCGATGACCATGTTCGATTCATACGTTGGGATCGTGCAGGAGCTATTGTGACGAAGCGATTTAATTGGAGGGATGACCCGAAGCCACTCGCGAGGTTCCTGTGGCTTTTCAACCACCTCTCCGATGCAGAACGGGGGTATGACACCTCCATATCGAAGCCTACGGCCCGAGAGATTACGTTGACGAAGAAGAAACTTGACGAGCGTGCAAACGCATTGGCGAGGGCGAAGGGAGAACCCTCACGTCTCCCTGAGACACGGTATTCGACAGACGACTCGTTTCGCAAGTTCTGTGTGGTGGATGATGACCCCGGGATAAAAGAGGGTGAAGCTAGAGTACGATTCTTCGTTGCTTCTGTGCCCCAATGGCAGAGTGGGAGCCCGGTCGGAAGGGGCACGAAAGGCTACGAGGCGCTAGATCTGGACACAGGAGAGTTGGTTTATCTAAAGGATACCTGGCGATATGAAGCGGATAGGATGAAGAAAGAGGGTGACACATATCGGAAGCTCGCGGCGAACGATGTCTCTCATATCCCCCGTCTTGCATGCGCGGGTGACGTGGAAGAACACCGAACACGTACACACGAATTCGCCGACGAGGACTGGTGCTGCGGAGAGCCAAAGCTGAGGCGACACAGACATTACCGACTGGTATTGAAGGATCTGGGGCGCCCGTTGTCCGAGTTCAATTCGACCAAAGAACTATGTCAAGTTCTTTTAGAGGCAATAATAGGTGCGCTGATCCTTGTGCTCGTCTTGAAGTATATGCTCACTTTCGATGTGACGCCTCAGCGCATATGGAGGCATTCAAGGTCGATGTTCTCCATCAGGATATCAGTGGAGGCAACATCTTGATCACGGATGATGGTCACGCCCTCTTGATTGACTGGGAGCTTGCAAAGAGAGTCAGCGAGGAGAAATCACCTAGGCAAGATTGGCGAACGGTGGGTTCTCACCTCCTTTGGTACCACACTCGGCATCTAAGTCGGACATTTTCAGGGTACATGGCAGTTCATTTCAACCGCCATCCTTGAACAACCTAGAAAGGTCCATGAACTTCGAGACGACCTGGAATCCTTCCTCCATGTTCTCCTCTACCACAGTGTCCGTTATCAATACCACAAGATTCGAAACTTTCCCAGATTAGTGGCAGATTTTTTCGACCAATCATACAACGAAACCAACGGCGAAACCTTGGGCGGACAGTCAAAACGTAGATGGTTCTCTCACCCTTCGTACCCAGACGATTTCTCCAAAACAGACCTCCAGAATTACCTGAGCAAGGCACACTTCGATCTCATTGATAGGCTTCGAGTATTGTTTCGTCCGCTCTATCTTAGGGAGGAAGTTCTTGAAGACATGAACCCCAAACCCGATCCAGTCGCGGCGGCTCAGATCCTAGAATCGTCTGACCGCTTTATCGAGATATTCAATGAACAGTTGAATAAAGAGGGATGGAAAGTTGGTGATAGGAGCTTCGACATGCTAGCCAGCTTGAAACCGACTAGGACCGGAGGCCGGGGGCTCGTTCATGTGTCAACCACAACAATGGCGTTAAAACGGACTTCAGAGAAGGCGGGCCTGGATCAGAGTGCGGCGGGTAAGCGGCAGAAGACCATATTACCTTCAAGATCAAGGGTTGAGCGTGTGATGGAGTGAAATGATTGTATTCTCAAGATCAGACTTTTTTGCTGTATCGCTGACCGTTTCTGTGGTTACTTAGAAATCCCTCTCATCATGCATCATGTTTCACTAACTCACCACTTTACTGTATCACTAGCTCTCGATTTCATCATGTACTATACCCGCTCTCGGTTTCATTGGGCCAGAATATGTCGCTCTCGAATAACACCAATATTTCTGTGCCATCATCAGTAGCATCGAAAGCGAGTTCTCCGTGCCGGGGCACACGCCTGCTGGAGGAAGTCATTGGGTACGACCTTTTTGTCCAAATGGACGCCAATCTACATGCTACATTGGACGTGCGCTCGACAGACCGACCTTAGCTATGAATAAATCAGGGCCATGCACCTTGGATAAGGACTGACTGTTCATTCTAGTTACAAAGCCCAATCATGCTTGAGCACCACAATATTTCATACCAACAAGGCACCCTTGCCTCCCAATAAGCTGAATTCACCCACCCTGTCCCAAGAAGCCTCACTTGTGCGACGACTGACACTGTTTCCTGCATCAGGAAAAGCGCCTAAATCTGGCGACGCCTGGCGAAGTCGGCGAATCCCGACATGGGCTTACACGGGCTTGTCAGCCCGGGTATGTTTTTTGAGCTCTCCCCAGGCTCCCCCAGTCGACGTCTCTACGCAGTCTCGTACTAGTCAGTACAAGTACAGTACAGCTACGAAATGCGAGGCTTTTGTGGCTCAAACCAGCTTGCTACAGCTACCTCGCGTGAAAACAACTACTAGGCCATGCAGTTCTATCGACTCACAACAAAAACAAGCACGGGCGACAAGTTAGGTGACCTACAGTGGGCCGTAGCCTTCACGGTCTCGAACGGCCTCGTCGTCGGCCTCGTCGTCAGTGTCCCCGCTCTCTGATCCCTCGTCCGCAGCATCCTCCGAGCCGCTCCCATCATCGGACTCGGACTCAGACTCGGACTCATTCTCGGACCCGGACTCGGACTCGCCTTCATGTTCGCCCTCGTCCTCTTCATCCTCTTCGTCCTCTTCCTCGTCCTCGTCCTTGTCATCATCGTGGGTGTCGCTTTCCCCCGCTGTTTCACGACTCTTACCCTTTGATATGTTCTCAGGATCCTCCGGCATACCCGAGTCCTCGCTATCTGAAATTCCCCCTCCTTTGTCGGCAACACCGTCAGCATCACCCTCTGTTGACGGCATGTCCACGTATAATGTCGCTGTGGCATTGGCAGTGCTCATGTGCGCGTCGTTTGACGCTACGTCGGCTTCGGCAGCGCTGACCGTGGCGGCGTTCGTGTTGCTCGGGCCATTCAAAGGTGCCTCGTGCTCTTCGGTGAGATCCTCGGGGTCAAGGGTGTACGTATCCTGCTGGAGGTACTCGTCAACACTGTGTGTACCTCTATGGCCTATTCCGCCACCGCGGAACCTCATAAACATATCACGGTCGGCAAACCTGGTGCCTGTCAGTCATGACTTGCAAGATGAATAAGAAATGCGTACATTCCGACATAATAAAAAAGGTAGTCGGTCTCTTCGCAGCACTCGTCATACTCATTTTGATACATCCATTCAGGGTCTTCTTCGTCATCATTCCCGTCAGGTTTGTTTTCTTCATGTTTTCTAGCAATTGAATGCGCTAAAAGTTCGGACGTGCGACCGTAAGCAAATCCCGGGATCATATGAACACCGCGGACCACATCATCAGCAAAAGTGTCCGAAAGTGGGCGCAGGTTGTGGCGCGCTGAGATGTGACCACGTGTCGCCATGGATTGAGGAGTATGACCACCGCTCACCAGGGGCCATGCCTGCTCCCATTCTCTCGCCAGGGGTGGGGATAGCCTTGAAGGTACGTCAGCAATGCCACGAACCTCAAGCCATGACCAGCGCTCACGAGCCCTTCGCGCGCCGTGAGAACCGGGATGAGACTAGGAGTGCGGTATCCCCCAAGCGATGAAGCATGGCGGTCCCACTGGACCAAAAATTATGGAGCAGCAGACGTTGTTGCAGACAGCAGTCCGGCTCATTCGGGATGTTCGGATGGGTCACCCCTAAGCGACGGCGGATGTTCAGGTGACGGCGCGAGAGTCTTAGAGTACAAGCTATCACTGTGATTAGAAACTAAGACAGCGGGGTAAAGTTACAATGTGCCATAGTTGTGTCGTGCGAGGATGTCATCGTCGTGCACAGCGTGATCATCTGAAACCCCTGCGATGGCGTCAACGTCCTCCTCGGTCTCCTCTTCTGCTGTCTGTTCCCCTGCGTGCTCTGCCAACCCCTCATCATCATGGTCTTCTACCTCTGCAGTCTCGTCACCATCCCTAGATCCTGCGGCGGCAGCAAGGATCTGTGCACTTTCATCCACCACTTCATTCTCGGATGGAGGTGGTGCATCACCTTGTAGAATCCGATCCCAACATCGTGTGACCTGGTGCCCAACACCACCGCCTCGGTACCGCATGAACATGTCTCGGTCTACGAATCTACACCCGTGAGATGTGTGAGCTGAGGTTAACATGTGAACCATGGCACTTACATGTTAGGATTGAAGAGGCTCCAGTCCTGTGCCTCGTCTGCGCGGCGTGCACATGAATTAGGGTGCAAAAGTCCCTCGGCGAGGTCATGATGAAATGCAGGAATAAGGTGAGCACCTCTTAAAACCTCTTGTGGGTCAAGGAACCCAAATGCATCAGGATCTGTTTCTGGAACGAAGCCTACTGCGGGGAGTCGCCTAGCCTGCCATCCCGTGCGCATGTCCGGGTCCAACCCAAACCATCGCACCCACAAAAAGTCCATTCGGAGCATATCCGATGACTGACTGTTCGGTCCAACATACCGCGCCATTACGTGGAATATACCTAGTACGCGTGCGTACCAATATGGATGAAGCTGCGTATTGGGCCCTGCATCATCATCATGGGAGAGTACCATCACGTCTGGGTGCATCCGAGGATTAATAGAATCTTGAGAACGTCGCATATCGTAACTGGTATAGTTGATCCGAAGGATGCTGTGCTCATACATACGGTTTTGACTGATCTCCAGATTAAGGTGCTGTTGTTCGGTGAATGAATGCTCATCGCCCTCATATGCAAGACCCAAGAAACGTGCCAATAGGTGGTCAGTTAGGCGCATACGGAAGTCCTAGTACAAATGAGTATACATCCTATGATCAATGCAGAGCACATACCCGGATGGCGCGGTCACCGGCACGCTCTGTCATCCACTGTGAGATGCTATGCCAATTGCGAGTTGATTCCGAAATGTGGTGATGGGCAGTTGGGAGGGTGTAGGGGAGTGGATCCTCAGCACATTTCACCTTCCGGCGCCGATCAATCTTGACCTGTGGCTTGTCAAGACCAAGATCAGCCTGTGACTTGGTGATAACACGTCCGCGAGCTTCTGCAGTAGCAAGTTGTCCCGTGAAATTTTGCTTGTTCGTCCGTTGGTATTCCCTCTTCGAGAATTTATGGGCAACCTCTCCCTAAGAACATATCAATTATAGTTGATTGAAGGTGTCAAAAAACCACTGTTGGACACTCACCGTTTGCGTCGTATAGGAGTCCGTCGTTCCCAATCGGCGTATTGTCGCAGGATAATCCCCCAGTGCGTGCATCTTATAGGTTGCAAGGTTCAGCACCTTTCGCTTGGGACCGGTGGGCTGTCGCACTGCGGGGGAAACACTGGTAGTCTGGGCTGTTTTCTGTGCAATGGCAGCCTCTCGGCGACCACGCGCAGCTTCTTCGGATGGCAGTTCCTTTGTGTCAAAGTGCGCACATGTGACCAGGACAAATTTTCGGATGAGAACTCCTAGTGATGTGGTAACCTGCTCAAAGAATGTTAGGGTAGTATCAGTGTGCAGGCGAAGTTTGGCAAGTGCATGCCACGTTGCAAGCTCAAATAATAAATCCATCAAAAGCCGATTGTGCAGTTCATCAAGTAGGCCCTCAAAACATGGAATTGCACACTGTCATCCATACGGTCTCAGCTCTCAAATATTCAGGTATGCAGTATGTGAGCTTTACCTGTAACATATCTTCGAAATCTCGTGCAGCTAGTTTCTTCATGCCTGACACATTGGTGTGCCACGGCCGGATCGTGTCCCGGCCAAAAGATGAAATCTGTCGGTACCTATGAGCGCCGTGCCAACTCAGTTCATGCACCAATTCTCTCTGGACCAGTTAGTACTTGCCGACTGTTTAACTCTTGTATTTTATCCCCACCAGCAGCCCATAAGATGCGTAGCAAATGCGTAAAAATTGCCTTCCAGACCCCGAGCTCAAATTCATGGAGGAGATCAACTACAAACAGGTCGTAGAAGTTGAACCCAAATTTGGACAATTTTGAGGAAAATGCGTTCTGCAGTGGTGCTGATTGAGTTACTGGGTCTAGTGTATAACAAGAATAACTTACCCGGGTGGGCACCCATGATTTATTGGCAAGGAGTGCGTCCACAGCCATGCTCTCAATGCCATAGCCTTGTTCATAGATGATTTTCCGTGCAATCTCGACAGTGTGTCGGCGTTGTGCATTATCTACTCGGGCCGTCTTTGTGCGCAGCCGCATATCAAGTTTGGAGCCCATCTTGTACACCTGGGTCTTTTCTACCATGCATCGCGGGCACAAACATTTCGCAAGTGATCGAATACCTGCAAGAAGAACCCTGCCCCGAAGATTAATGTGAGCAACAATCAACGTCAGAATCGTGTAAAAGTGGCACTTCTCAGGGTAATCGGCAGAATATGTAAAAAACCGGGGAAATATGCGACGGACAATGCCATCTCCACAGTTAATAAGCATGCCATGTTCGTACGCTTCCATGAAGTCAGCATCAAGCAGGAGCAACCAGATCGCATGCATCAGGTCACGTTTGCAGTGCCTGAGCATCGCTGATGTGGCTGCCTTTCCGAATACCTTCATATAGGCTTCCTGGATCTTGTCGGGGATCTGGCAGTGTACAGTAAGTAACATATATCGTGCATGCATGTAAATAGATGTTTACCGTAGGAATATATGCCAGATGATGGGCTGAATGCGACGTGGGCTTCCCCCGAGTGTATTTCGACTGCGAGCCAAATTGCAAATAAAATGGCCATAAGGAAGCGGACCCAAAGTTGGCCAGGTGAGTAGAATCTGACCAAACCATGAGGGGCGCAACGACACGCTCATGAGTGTCGTCAGGGCCAATGCGTGGCATGCCAGAAATTTCTAGATGGGCCTCAATCATGGTGGTAGACGAGTAGATCTCCGAGTACAAGGCAATGGGTAGAGCATCAGGCGTAGGGCACCAGAATTGGCGGAACGGAGTCATGTGGAAGCTACAAGAGATTGGGGAAGCATAGGTGGCCCGAATGATATCCACAAGGCGCCTATGGAATACACCGCTGACTGTGAAAATAGGTGATTCGTTCTCAGGTTTCACTGTTTGTTTGTCGACGGGCGGCAGACGGATATCTACTGACGCATGATGCCATCCATCTTGGCCCTGCAGTGGATTATCTGGATTAGCAATGTGTTTGTCCAGTCTCTTGGTCTCACGAGCAAACGAGACTCCTGGCAGTTCTTTTAGATTGAAATCAGGGTGTAACAGGGTCTGCACCAGCCTGTCAAACTCCCCCCCTGACTTCAGGTTCGAACCTGAATAGTGCCATCCCAGCAGGAGCTCAGAAGATCGGTTGGTGAATGGTTGGGTGCTCGAGAGCACCGCTTCTTCCGGAAGAGGCAATGTGGCCAAAGTTGGCTGGGACTCCAACGAAGCAGGTGTCATCGACATTCTTGCAAAAACTGGTGAGTCACATACACTATCTAATGATTGCCCTGCCTCGGGATCCATTGTGGGACATCCAGAATATGAACAAAAGACACCAAAATCGTTGGGCGTGGTCTCAATCCAAGCCAGGGTGGGCAGGTCTTTGTCTGCCGAGTCAGGTGCGTGATCGAGGGATGTGTCTATGGGTGGTGAATTGTCCTCGATGGTCACTGCATCCTGATTAGACAGCATACGGCGTGTTGGAATATGCGCGAGTGGGGTCACCATGGAAGGGAGAAAGTCGACCAGCCGCTTAGGAAATTGGACTCGCCGACCTGAGCGGCGCAAGAACACTTGTGCCGCCACATCATCTTGAATGTCTAGTAAAATATCTTGACCGGTGACAGTGTCTGGGAGCTATGACAGGGTCAGCAATGACAGCACTGGGGTCAGGGAACAAGGCTAATACCAGTGTTCCCACCAGCTCAGATCCTCCGGCATGCTCTCCATCTTCCTGATGCTCCAAACCAACAATACGCTTCACCCGCTTGGACCCCCCGCTTGCCTTGCCGTCCCAAAATCTTTTCCGGTTCACTGACGCTGCAGCAGTAAGTTCAGAATATTTGGAACATTTGCTGAGATGCGCGCTAAGGGACCGTGGAGTGTTGCACGAGGTTCCACAACCAGCACAGGCAGTCATACACACGAACACAGCAAGCAGTCGAACAATGAATAAAATGGGGCCCATACGAGCTGTGAATTGACGATAATGGGCCACTTGACTTGAACACCATGAAGTGAGCGCTCTATTTGCGGTGTATTTGGCTGTGGTTCTCACGTTTTTTTTGAACTCTATCTTGTCGTGCACCATCACTCTGTCTCTACGTCACCTTTAGACGACATTTCATGATGGTGGAACCCACAGGCGCCTCCGGAGCTCACACAGATGGCATATCCCCCACTGAACATTATCATGGAAGTCCGAAGAAACAGCCACGGTAAGTGGTTCTCCATCAGCTGTGGTCCATTGGCTGATAGCGCTCAATGAGCGTGGAGGTTGACCGACACCATGAAATCCTTCCTAGAACCCGCCCGTAATCTACGACGGGTTGTAGACCTATATTGCAACATCCAGATGGTGTTCCTCAATGGCAACACCATCATGGAACACTTGGCCAACGAAGACCTCGAGTTCGATGATGAGACCCAGGCCATCTCGGACCTTGCACAAGTAAGGAATTGGTTTGTCATTTTACAACTTAAGTACTCATATTGTCTATGTACTAAATTATCACTTCAAGGGATGTTCATGCATACACCAGTGACTGGAAGATTTTTAACACGATCCTGGATTCCATCCCAGGTCTTCGTGATTGTTACGACAAGACCCCAGATATGGATTTACTCCTTAAACTTGCCAAAGAGGTATGCAAGCATCATTTCACTTTGTGGTGCTGAATAATGTCTCCACGAAACATTCAGATGAACCAGCGTGCCAACAACGGCCGAGCGACTGATGCCCATACGCTCAAAGATGCAATCAAGTTGTACATACCAAATTGGATCCCCAGCGCGGCCGACGACCATGACAACAAAGCCCAGCGTGGCTTCAATCATGCACAGTATACCAAACAGATCATTCCGGCACGGTACGCACGCCTGTTCCAGGACGATCCAGTCAGGTATGCTAGCCCATTTCTGCCACGTCCGTTCAATGACATTATGGCAATCCCAGCACCCGGGCAAAATTGCTAGATGGCCGTCTTGTCGTAAGCCCGCGGTTCATGCCCTCCTTCGTATATGAGAAGCCTGAAGATTATTCTTCCGATGCGGTCGCGGACGGTTTATTTCGAGGCCCACTACTTCTCCAAGTAAGCTTTTCAACCATTGTTCATCTCCCTAACTGAAGCCCTCTCTAGGTTGCTCGTCATGTCCTAATAGGACCCAATGTATCAGCCATTGCCAAAGTTCAACCTGGTCGGGGCGGCAATGCAAATAAACGTCGGATCACGCGCGTCACACCTGAACTAGTTGCATACCTAGTGGTTCAGGTCTATGCTTACTCATTTCCTTTCGGGTCACACTGACTCACATATCCAATGAATGACAGGGATATTTTGCAATGAACAGCACGACCACATGGAATGCAGGCAGCATCAAGGGTGCAGAGGCGGAATTTGATTACTCCATCCTGTATTACATGGTAATCAAGATGTTTAGCCCAACACTCGGTGACGAGGAGAATACATGGGCTGATGAGACATTACAGTGGATGAACGAGTGGGTAAGTCCTGTCTCCACGGAACCAGATACTCATATAGATTGGTTCTAGGGAATTGTATGGTCACCCTGAAGGGATGTTAAGTGCTGCTGCACCTTCACAAGCCAATGTTGACGAGGACGACGATTGGCTGCGGATGATCAAGAATCATGCCACATGACAAATGGCCCATGCGACAAACTTGCGAGGTGCGTTTCCACACATATCCTGGTAAACTAGTTCTCGTTGGCACCGAGTCTTACAGAAACCATTGCAGACTTCAATCTCAGTGCCAGCAACCATAGCCCCACTCCAACTACCACAGAGGGATATGAAAGGGCATTACCACTGCCTCTATCTTCGTCTGAGGCACATGATGAGCCGCCCATTGATCCAGTACTCGTTGAGATTTCTCATGGACCTGGTATGCATCTAAAATTTGTACAGACGTTATACAAGTACTAATCATTCGCCACATGCATGCAGAAGTCCCTGTTCCTTGTCCTCAACCAGGAGGGGGGATCCGTGGGGCCACACATGCTCCTCCAATCATGCATATACCTGCGCCCAACATTGATCACCAGTCGTTTCCTCACGCGATGCCAGTCTCAACAGCCCCAGGCTCTAGCTTTCCGGCAGATTCCCTACACACCACAGCGGTGATCCCAAGCACAACCAAGCACAATTCGGAACGCACGAGACAAGTCCCGGCCAGTCAAGCCACGATAGTTGAGCATATCCCGGCACAATCCCATGGGCTCACAAAACGTACGTCACCGAGCGGTGCTGAAGCTCCAGATCTGGAGAATACGAGCGGACGGCCCCGCAAGAAGACAGCTGCAGCTGCGGGCTTAGCACAGGGGAGGACGACGAGAGGAGGCGCTCCGATGGTGGTGGCAAAAAGATCTACGAGGCAGGCAACAGCGGGAAGGAATGGTAATGGTAATTAAAGGTGACTCACGGTGATCGCATAGTAATCTGCATAGCATACGATGCATATTAGGTCGCTATGTACTATTCTGATTGATTTCCACAAATATGATTATCGCAATCTATTGTCACTCTGGTGGGAATCAAAATGCATTGTCATTGATTGTATAAAGCTTGTATATTGTACAGTATGCAGGATGTGGCCGCACATGGACAGGACTGATGAGAGAAGTGGAATATGGCCACCCCTGCCAGAGTGGCGGGTTTGGTAATGGTACGAAGAGTTACCATAATTTAGATAGCTCACCATGCATTATGGGTACGATGATGTTTATTGGCAGTGACGGCGTTATCAGTGCCGGTCATGCGTCGTCATCTGTGGCCATACTCCGACAGTTTTGCAGATGATCTTGAGGATTAACAAAACCAAATGCGCTCGGGTCGTTGCTATCGACAAATCCAACACGATGTAGGGGTCTCGCGGCCCATCCACTTGGCGAGCCCATATCGCGGCCGAACCAGCGGACCCAAAGGAAATCAAGCCGTCTAGGTTCAGGCGACAGGGTCGGGTGCATGACGAAGACATGGTAGATGCCGATGACACGGGCATACCAGTAGGGGTGAGGAGGGGTTGCGTCGCCATCATCTTCATGCGACAGTAGCATGATATCGGCATGACTGTGCGTGTTGATGGAATCCTGGGCTCGACGTAGATCATATGTCGTGTAGTTGATCTGTACAGTGCTGTGTCGGTAAAGGTGGTCATTGTCAAATAGAATTTGTCTCCCCTCTGCATCTGTGAAGCTGTGCTCGTCACCGTCCCAAATTTTGCCTAGTAAGCGTGCAAGCAGGTAGTCCCGAAGACGCGGAAGAAATTCCTCTAGAAAAAAAAGCTTGTAAGAGGTGAGAATGTTGATCGGGAACTATACATGCATACCTTGAGTGCAGGGTCCCCGAGGTTCTTGGTAAGCCAAGGGGTGATGTAGTCATACTCTTTGACAGACCTAGCAATATGATGGTGCATTTCTGGACGCGTGCATAGGAGGGCATCACCACGAGCAGCCAACTTCTTACCAGCAGGGGCTGGGAGGGGTTGACTGGAGGCCATCATGCGTTCATTTACTTTGTGCAAAACACGTTCTCGGCTCTCATGTTGTGCGAGCTGCTTCGTGAACCGGTTTTTGTTTGTCCTTTTGAAGCAGTGCTTTGAGTGGCGGTGCTGAAGTTCTCCCTGCTCGTAACAAGTCAACCAAGATGCTTCAAAAAAGAGGCTGACTTACGACTTGCGATGTATATAAATCTATCGTACCGAAGAGCCGGATTGTCTTGGCGTAATGCCCAAGCGTGTGATTCTTGTATGTGGAAATGTTGAAGTCCTTCCGTTGTTTTCCTGGCTGTGTGAGTTTTTTCTTCTTTGCACTGAGTGCTGTTGTTTTCTTTTATTGGTTCGCAGCCTTGGCAACTTGCTGTCGTACATGGCGAGTTTCTTCTCCTGGAAGCTCCATTGTCTCATAGGATGCGCAGGTAGTAGCTTTGAATTTGCGCATGTGTTGGCTGAGTGCTGTTGTTGCCAACTCAAGAGATGTCAATGTTGAGTTGGTGTGGAGCCACAGCTTAGCGTAAGCATGCCATATTCCAAGAGCAAAAAGCAGGTCCATAACAATGGCATGGTGGGGTGCAGGTAGCAGGCTGTCAAAACAAGGAATGGCACACTGCAGAAATATATAAACACTGCATAAACTGAGTGAGCATGCATGAACACGTACCTGAATAAGATCTTTGAAGTCTCGTGCAGCTGGTTTCTTCATGGCAGACGCATTGTTATGAAATCTTCATATGGCGTCTGCACCGAATGGTGGAACCCGTCTGTATCTATGATTTGTTAATATCCACCAAACACGAGTATGTAACAAACATACTGCTCATTCAAGTGCTGAACCTGGTCACCACCCTCAGCATACAAGATATGGATCAGGTAAGTAAATGTGGCTTTCCAAACGCCAAGTTCAAATTCATGCAAGAGATCAACAACAAACATCCAGAAGAAATTTGATCCAGATTAATAGAATTGGTGCAAAAATATATTCTGTACACAAAATGAGCAAATAACCAAAGATGTTCTATGAGATAATGCACCCATGTTAGAGTAAGAAAGTGATTGCCCAGGACCTTGTTGACTCTCTTACTGCAGACAGGAACTCCATTCTGAAAGATGATTTTACATGCAGTTTCTAATTCAGTACATTGGATAGGGATGTCAAGGCGGATAGCTTTACACCACCACATATCCAACTTGGAGCCCATTTGTGAGATCTGGCTCTTCTTGATGAGGCACTGAGGACATGGACAGGCTCCGAGGTACTTAATTGTGGCAAGGAGGACTCTAGGAGGATGTTCATCACCAACAAATATTGTAGAGCATCTGGAAAACCACCCCCTTGTATTAAGCTCTAATCAGCTATAATTAATGGTCTACTATACTAAATTATGAAAGATTAGGATTAGAAATTTTTAGCTTACCCTCCCCCTAAACCTGTTCTAATTAGATATAATTTTCCTAAATTAGAAATTATTTGGATTGATTATAACTTGAAATTTCGGAAAAATCATAATAAATCAAGCATCATAGTTCTCATAGCCTTCTTATAGAGTCATGTCTATTAGAGCACTAGTTAAATACCTAAACAAAGAATATACCTTATAACAAACTTGCCTTTTGCCAAAGTTAAACCAACAACCTCATATATACAAGCACCCAGGACAGATGCTCTAAGCCACTAAGCCACAAGGTCTAAGATATAAACTTGGTAATCTAAATAAGTAGACATAATATAGGCAACTTCAACATCTCTGATTTTACTCAATATTTATCTTTCCTCTCTCTTATAAATAAACAGGTCAATAAATACCCAAAAAGTCAGGTCTTTCAGGATTTAGTTTGAACACCAGCTAAGAAGATAATAAACCAATGGAAAATAAATAATACAATTTATATAGGGTAAAAACAAATTGTGGCACTTACACAATTTGGATTTAGAATGTGTAAAACTATGATTGAGTATAATATTCAATGGGACTCTACTAGTATAGACAATGCTACCTTAATTTGCAAATTTGATCAAAAACATGATTATGAATAATTGGCCATAATTAGCTCAAATTAGTATTATCAATGATTATCAATAATTAAGATCCAATAAGAGAGAAGGGTTTTCCAAATAGCCACTAGTGAGGTAGAGGATGAGGACAAGGGTATATATATGACATGCCTATGTATAAATAAGCATAAGATTGTTGGAGATGATCTTAATATGCTTAGTGCACATATTTCCTACATAGCAGGCAAATATATTATTCTGGCACTACATACCAACATAACTGTTTTTTCCACAGCCCAATAGCTAGAGAAAAACACTAAATTTGAGTATCTTCTGTATAACAAGGCAATGGACAATGTGGATAGCACTGAGAATTGTAATATCAATAGTAGTGATGACCATGTGCTGCACAAGACAATGTCAACCACTGCACTAATAGACAAGGTCTGCAAGGCTGCATGTAGCATATCCCTAAGCCCAACCTACATGTTGTGTCCTGTAATGACCAGTAGCAGGCATTGGCTAACAATGACAACTTCAATGATCTTGTGTGCAAGGCCAAGGTACTAAGGTCTTCATAGTCTTTTGTGGCAGCTGCTAAGCTGCCAACAAAGTGGCTGGGGCATCAATGCATATTTCTCTCTTTCTATATCCCTTGTAAAGGCAGCTAGAAAGTCAGTAAAAGAGCTACAAGATAATGGTGTAGGCATATATGAAGAAGAGTAATATGCTGAAATAGTATAGAATGTGCCACATCTTTATCTTCTCACTGATAGAGCGGTAGTACTTACTATTTCCCACTACTAATTAAAGACTTTTTGGTATGGAATTAATTCTAATATTATAAAATTAGAAACCAATCCAATGCTCATAATATGTTGCTCCCAATTAGAAAATTAGATACTTTTAGATGCTATTAACACTTTTAGATACTCTTAGACACTATTAGATATAATCTGGAGCTAATACAAGGGGGTGGTTTTCCAGATGACTACCTTGGCCTTGCACACAAGATCATTGAAGTTGTCATTGTTAGCCAATGCCTGCTACTGGTCATTACAGGACACAACATGTAGGTTGGGCTTAGGGATATGCTACATGCAGCCTTGCAGACCTTGTCTATTAGTGCAGTGGTTGACATTGTCTTGTGCAGCACATGGTCATCACTACTATTGATATTACAATTCTCAGTGCTATCCACATTGTCCATTGCCTTGTTATACAGAAGATACTCAAATTTAGTGTTTTTCTCTAGCTATTGGGCTGTGGAAAAAACAGTTATGTTGGTATGTAGTGCCAGAATAATATATTTGCCTGCTATGTAGGAAATATGTGCACTAAGCATATTAAGATCATCTCCAACAATCTTATGCTTATTTATACATAGGCATGTCATATATATACCCTTGTCCTCATCCTCTACCTCACTAGTGGCTATTTGGAAAACCCTTCTCTCTTATTGGATCTTAATTATTGATAATCATTGATAATACTAATTTGAGCTAATTATGGCCAATTATTCATAATCATGTTTTTGATCAAATTTGCAAATTAAGGTAGCATTGTCTATACTAGTAGAGTCCCATTGAATATTATACTCAATCATAGTTTTACACATTCTAAATCCAAATTGTGTAAGTGCCACAATTTGTTTTTACCCTATATAAATTGTATTATTTATTTTCCATTGGTTTATTATCTTCTTAGCTGGTGTTCAAACTAAATCCTGAAAGACCTGACTTTTTGGGTATTTATTGACCTGTTTATTTATAAGAGAGAGGAAAGATAAATATTGAGTAAAATCAGAGATGTTGAAGTTGCCTATATTATGTCTACTTATTTAGATTACCAAGTTTATATCTTAGACCTTGTGGCTTAGTGGCTTAGAGCATCTGTCCTGGGTGCTTGTATATATGAGGTTGTTGGTTTAACTTTGGCAAAAGGCAAGTTTGTTATAAGGTATATTCTTTGTTTAGGTATTTAACTAGTGCTCTAATAGACATGACTCTATAAGAAGGCTATGAGAACTATGATGCTTGATTTATTATGATTTTTCCGAAATTTCAAGTTATAATCAATCCAAATAATTTCTAATTTAGGAAAATTATATCTAATTAGAACAGGTTTAGGGGGAGGGTAAGCTAAAAATTTCTAATCCTAATCTTTCATAATTTAGTATAGTAGACCATTAATTATAGCTGATTAGAGCTTAATACAAGGGGGTGGTTTTCCAGATGTACTAGGGTCTTCATAGTCTCTTGTGGTAGCTGCTAAGCTGCCAACAAAGTGGCTGGGGGCATCAATGCATATTTCTCTCTTTCTATATCCCTTGTAAAGGCAGCTAGAAAGTCAGTAAAAGAGCTACAAGATAATGGTGTAGGCATATATGAAGAAGAGTAATATGCTGAAATAGTATAGAATGTGCCACATCTTTACCTTCTCACTTATAGTAAAAATACTTACTATTTCCTACTGCTAATTAAAGACTTCTTGGTATGAAATTAGTGCTAATATTATAAAATGAAACCAATCTAATGCTCATAATGTGTTGCTCCCAATTAGGAAATTAGACACTTTTAAATGCTATTAACACTTTTAGATACCCTCAGACACTATTAGATATAATCTGGAGCTAATACAAAGGGGTAGTTTTCCAGATGTGCTTACCACTCATATTTCACATCATGCTGCTCAGGTTGCTCTCTGCCTTGTCAGAGTATAATGATCCCAGTCATTATATCTCTGACTAGTAAGTAGATGAAATTTTCACTTCTTTCAGGGCAGAGGAGATGGGAATAGTTACATTAGTCACAAATAAATGGATATGAATGAGTATAAAAATATTGGTATTTTTGGATAATCAATAATATATCTGAGTGTCAAACAGCCTATATGTGGATTGAGGTGAATCTACAAGAATGTATTTCAATGGATCTGCCTCAATTCACCTCTAAAAAGTCTAAAACTTAAGAGGGAGAAATATTTAAATAGATTCAAATAGATTCAAACAGAGGCACCTCTATTTCCCTCAACTAACTTTTGACTGAGATTACACCCCAGGACCCTTGCAAGTTGGACATAAATAAATCACAATGCAGGTTTGAACTAGTCTATGAGTCAATGACCAGAGCAGGCCTGGGTTGATGTCCAACAGGTCACGAGCCTGACGCGAACACGTGATGAGATCCAAATCGCGGAGCTAGAAATGTTTGTGAACCATGAACACGCTTGGCCTGCGACCACCAAGCCACCATCAGCCACCGTCAACTTCAGCTTGGATCGTGGCGCAGAATTGACACAAAAGAAACGGCACGGAAAGGCCACATTTGGACGCAGTACTTGAAGTTTCTGAGACTCGTAAGTTTACCCCTCTGACATCCCTTCGTCTCAATTTCCTAACCAAAATATGGTATCCCTACCAATCCCCAGTGGCACCCCCCTAAAGCTCAAGTTTCCTGAACGCTTCACATCTAAGTTTGTTGTAGAACACGAATCCGAATACGATAGACTCGTCAAAGATATGGCGCACGAATTTGTTGGACCTATGCCCGTTGAGGACTTCTTCAAGGCGTTCATGAATCCAGGTCGACCGTACACAGAGCCAAGTCTTCCTAAACAATGGAGAGGGAAATTTCGGGCCAAACTCATCAAAAAACTTGGATTCGAGAATAGTTTTGTGCGCATTGTTTTCTTCTATCGCATCGGAACATGTCTCCTGACAGACATATCCATGCTGTAGATCAATGCGGTCAACAGAGCCGAGATATGCCCCGATCTTGTCCTAGTCAACACAACCAAGGAAAGAGACGATCAATTTTGGCGTAAACCAGACATCACCGTCTATAAACGCCCATACAATGGCCCGCCCACTACAGACTTTGAGCGCATGGAGCTTCACATCGAACGCAAAACTGCAAGCGAAGACCCATTTTCGGACCCAAAATCGAGAAAATCTCGCCAGGAACACAGTTTCGAGCATGATTCCAAGGCCTCGATGAAGAGTCGAGGCCAAATCATCTCCTACACGGCATGTCAATTCGCTTCCCAACATCGCTGCTTCACCTTTTCCATCCTCTTTCTCGATGACTATGTTCGATTCATACGTTGGGATCGTGCAGGAGCTATTGTGACGAAGCGCTTGGCCTGGAGGGATGACCCGAAGCCACTCGCGAGGTTCCTGTGGCTTTTCAACCACCTCTCCGATGCAGAACGGGGGTATGACACCTCCATATCGAAGCCTACGGCCCGAGAGATTACGTTGACGAAGAAGAAACTTGACGAGCGTGCAAACGCATTGGCGAGGGCGAAGGGAGAACCCTCACGTCTCCCTGAGACACGGTATTCGACAGACGACTCGTTTCGCAAGTTCTGTGTGGTGGATGACGACCCCGAGATAAAAATGGGTAAAGCAAGAGTACGATTCTTCGTTGCTTCTGTGCCCCAATGGCAGAGTGGGAGCCCGGTCGGAAGGGGCACGAAAGGCTACGAGGCGCTAGATCTGGAGACGGGGGAGTTGGTTTATCTAAAGGATACTTGGCGATATGAAGCGGATAAGATGAAGAAAGAGGGTGACACATATCGGAAGCTCGCGGCGAACGATGTCTCTCATATCCCCCGTCTTGCATGCGCGGGTGATGTGGAAGGACAACGAACGCGCACACATGATTTCACTGACGAGGACTGGTGCTGCGGAGAACCAGAGGTGAGGCAGCATAGACACTACCGGCTGGTATTGAAGGATCTGGGGCGCCCGCTGTCAAAGTTCAATTCGACCAAAGAACTATGTCAAGTTCTTTTAGAGGCAATAATAGGTGCGCTGATCCCTGTGGTCGTATTCAAGTATGTGCTCACTTTCGATGCGATGTCTCAGCGCATATGGAGGCATTCAAAGTCGATGTTCTCCATCAAGACATCAGTGGAGGCAACATCTTGATCACGGATGATGGTCACGCCCTCTTGATTGACTGGGAACTCGCAAAGAGGGTCAGCGAGGAGAAATCACCTAGGCAAGATTGGCGAACGGTGGGTTCTCGTCTCACTTGTTACCACACTCAATATCTAAGTCGGACATTTTCAGGGTACATGGCAGTTCATTTCAACCGCCATCCTTGAACAACCTAGAAAGGTCCATGAACTTCGAGACGACCTAGAATCTTTCCTCCATGTTCTCCTCTACCATAGCGTCCGTTACCAGCAAAACAACATTGAGGACCTTCCCGGACTAGTGGCAGATTTTTTCGATCAGTCATACCGTAGAGTCAACGGCGAAACCGTGGGCGGAAAGACAAAACATAAATGGTTCTCTCACCAATCTTACCCAGACGATTTCTCCAAGGCAGACCTCCGAAAATTTCTCAGCAAGCCGCACGCGGACCTCATCGAAAGGCTTCGAGTGTTGTTCTTTCCGCTCTATGCTAGAGAGGAGATTCTTCAAGAGATGAATACCCAACCCGGTCCATTCGCAGCGGCTCAAATCTTAGGATCATCTAAACGATTTATTGAGATATTCAGGGAGCAATTGGATGAGGACGGATGGAAGATCGGTGATAGGAGCTTCGACGTGCTAGCCAGCTTGATACCGACTAGAACTGAAGCCCGGGGACTCGCTCCTGTGTCAACCACACCGATGGCAATGAAACGGACTTCAGAGAAGGCGAGCCTGGCTGAGAGTGCGACGGGTAAGCGGCGGAAGACGATATTGCGTCCAAGATCAAGGGTTGAGCGTGTGATGGAGTGAAAGGATTGTATACTGAAGGTTGGAATTTTTTTTGCTGTATCATTGACCGTTTCTGTGGTTATTTCGAAATCTCTCTTGTCATGTTTCACCAACTCACCACTTAACTGTATCGCTAGCTCTCGATTTCATCACTATACCCGCTCTCGGTTTCATCACATACTATACCCGCTCTCGATTTCACTAGGCCAGAATACTTCGCTCTCGAATAACACCAGTATTTCTGTGCCATCATACAGCAGCATCGAAAGTGAGTTCTCCGTACCGGGGCACACGCCTTCTGGAGGAAGTCATTGGGTACGACCTTTTTGTCCAAATGGACGCCAATCTGCATGCTACATTGGACGTGCGCTCGACAGATCGACCTTAGCTGTGACTAAATCAGGGTCATGCACCTTGGACAAGGACCGACCGTTACTTCTAAGCTTCTGCCTGGAAAGGATCAATGCAGGATTAAATTTCGGAAATTTGGATTGAGCTTGAAGGCGGAGCGCAAGGTCGAGCACGGACCCTTGCTACATCTCACTTTTAGCCTTGCCACCGAAGAAGAGTCGGTCTTGATTGCATGTCGTTTTTTTTTCGTTTCTATGTTCCAAAGGGGTCGAATTTTACGGGAATAAAGATTTATTCGATATATATTTACACTCAGCTGCCGGATCACCTTCCGCATCTCCTGTTTTCATCGACGTGAGAAGCGTGCTCACGCCGGATGATGATGTGCGGACAAGAAAACGTGATTCGTTCAACTAGCCATTTCTCGTACCGAACAGGATCATATTCCTTATATGCTCTGCGATAACTTTGTACGCTTCTTTCAACATACGCTCCAAAGACCATTCTTTCGGAGAAGTCGCTGCGAGTGCATGCGGACCGTTGCGAAAGTTCTACCGATCAATACCTGCCACCACAAAAGCTAACAAATCTAGTCAGCAATATCTTTCTGTACGCAAATTTATCTCAACTGACCTGGCCTCCACAGGTCGAGGTCCATGCATAGCTTGTATGATTTTTTGCATCCAAACTCGTGGGGATGCGGCTCGACACTATTCACAACGACATCGATCTTGCTCTCGCACTCTCGTTCCGTGGCCCCACCAAAGCCAATGACAATATGACAGCCTCTGCAGCCAAGAACATTCGGTCCGGAAACACGACAGTGAGAGACGCCAGCTGACTGTATCCCTACAGAAAAACCCATGATTTAAACCCTCCGACTAAACGTTAGAGCCATTTAACAAGGTATTTTTTGAAAAGGAGATCAACATACCTGAAATCGAAGCCCAGGTAAGGAAAATGGTATTCGACATTATCGCCGCAGTAGTCAAGGACGAGACAACCGGCGGAACCTTCATCGTTTTCGCCGATAGAGCACCCACAACGTATGGGCACACGGTCGCCTTGAAAAGGTTTGAGTTTACTTTGATAGAGCTCAGCCTCGCATTTGAATATCCTGATTCCTCATGGCGTTTTGATCATATGCAACCTTGAAAGCCACATATGGCACGCCCTCGATGGATTAAGATTATGTACCAGTACTACCAGCTCCGTAACGAGTAAATCAGGGTCGTTACTGCTGTTTGGGTTGTCGTTGTGGAGGATGAATCTTGATTACCGGCTCCAGCTTGTATGGGAGGAAGATATACAGATATAATGAAGGAGGATGGTGCAGGGCTTATCGCTGATTGTAGTTTGTATAGAGAAGAGAGGATATGGGTGTCCGAAGACAGACGCGAGCTACGCGAGATGCGGCCGCCTATAACATTTCCCACCCTCTAGCTGTAGTCTAGCGGCCATCATCAGAGCGATCAACGTTTCAACCACAAGGACTTCATTGGTTTCCTCCACCTGCACTAGCTAAGAATCTTTCACGCCGATCTACTCACTTGCAACGCATCAGCTCCGTCGATTCATCTCTGAAAGGTAAATTTTCAAGTGGCGTGAATTTCCTGGTCAAGAGATGTCACCCCCTCTGCCTATCCCATGTTGTGTGCATGAGAATATCCCCTTCGTTCGGCTTTCATGAACAACGATGCTGCCATTCATAAATCGGATGAGATTACTGAGTATATGGGACCTTTTCCTCCATCTCCCCTTACTTTCTGCTATCTCTGTTGGTGTGTATACTCATGCTTCGACTGTACCTAGGTTTAACCTTTGCTATACCGATTTTAGCCTATCAGCATCAAGTTCAGCGTGCAGTAATGAGCGCAGATACTCATAAGTCGGCGGCTCGGACCACTTGCGATGGTTGGACACCCTTTTCAAGGAATGCTTCTCCTTCCACGCCTTCGAGAGTCGCGTCATGTGAACACTTTCATTCCCTTTTCCGCAATATCCTGCTTCGGGTTGGCGCCTCAGGAATATGATATATGTATCGTACTGCGCAGACTTCTTTCTAGCATCTGCACCCCCTTCATCATGTCAGCTAGCAATGGGACCACAATTTTGCATGTCGGGCCCGATGGGCAAACCCTCCACCTTGAACTACAGGAGGTGAAAGTCAGCGCGCTTGTAGTGGATGGTGAGCAGCCTGAGCATCGAGGCATATCGAAGCTGATGAACTCATGTCATTGAAGTATCTGCACAGATGACCGTGTCGCACGTATTCTATAATCCATTGGAGGATGATACAGGTCGGTGTAACTACTCGTCTAGACATGCAACACGCCGCGACTAGATGTTCAGCAAATGGAATAATAATAGTGATCACCACACAGGTCGGGCGAAGTATGTATTTCCCAAACCTGCATCCGCAGCCGTTTGCGCATTCAAGATGGAGCCAGAGGATGGACGGGTGATTGTGGGCGAAGTAAAGGAGGCAGCTGAGGCATCAAGCATGTACGCAGCTGCTATCGAACAAGGTAAAATTGCAGGATTAGTGGAATATGCCACAGGGGATGGTAAGCGAGTGACGCCCATCAGACAGCGCATCAACATATTCACACTGACCAACACCTCCAGTATTCACGATTTCTGTTGGATCTATTCCTGCCAAGACTCACGTGACGACGAGGCTCACGGTGCATCATCCTCCACTTCATTCTCAGTGATACTTGACTGACGAGTTTGTGTATCAGTGTGTCATGAATCTTATGAACAACGATCACCCGAACGAAATTCGCCTTCAGATTCCTATGGCAGTAGGCCCGCAGCGCTACGGCCCACTGCCAGCTGGAATGGTTGATGCGGCCTCTGCGACGCAAGCCACTCGTTTGAGTATCACAACGAAAATCCAGACGAGCGGAATTATTCGCCCGGAAGACGTGACGAGCCCGAGTCACGGAAATGCCGTCCGTGTGTCTGCGCACCGAACGCATCGGCAGGAAAGGTCAGAGCGCCGCATGGTAGCGCGCTTTCGCTCCTCGACCTTCCTTGCGCAGGATTTCGCGCTGGTGATCAAAGCGCAAGGCCTTGACTTGCCACGATGCTTTGTCGAGACTGATCCTGACGGCAAGGGCACCATCGCATTGCAGCTTGTCGTTGTTCCAAAATTCAAAATCCCACCGATGCCCGCGCAAGAATTTCTTTTTCTGGTCGACAGAAGTGGGAGTATGGCAGGCGATAGAATTGCGACTGCTAAAAACACGTTGACGGTGCTTCTGCCAGCCTTGCCTAACAATGGAACCAAGTTCAACGTCTACAGCTTCGGCACCCGTTGTGACTCGCTGTGGCCTCAAAGTGTTACATATGATCAGGCAACGTTGTACAATGCGGTGAGCTCACTATCGGTATCATCTTGACCTTTTTTCAAATAGAGTGCAGATCAGTCGCGTCGGAACTATGGGATCAGACTACGGTGGTACAGAGATAGCATCAGCGTTGATGCATGTCTTCGCAAGAAAAGACAAGACAATGCCCACTGTTGTGTTTGTGCTCACAGACGGTGATGTACGTGCGAAGATTATCCAGGATAATATACGAAGCTCACTCAAACTCATAGGTGTATGAGATCGATTACACCGCCGACATTGTCTCACAAGCGGTGGCAGCGGCAGCAGCATCGAAAGCCCCTCTTCGCGTCTTCACTTTGGGTATCGGTAATACTACCTCCAGTGCCATGTGCGAAGCCATCGCGAGGAGCGGTAATGGAGAGTGCCTGATGGCCATCAACACAGCAGAAATTATAGGCAAATGCGCTCGCCTTGTTCGTCTAGGCCGATCTTCGTGCGTCAACGACGTCACCATCGATTGGGGGATCGCCACAACCGACTTTCAACAACCTGATCCTGCCGCGCCGAGCGAGACAGTCGTTGGAGTTGAGCTATCACCGCCTGATTCTATACAGCAAACTCCGCCTCATATCGACAAGGTTTACGACAACGAGCGATTTCGCCTCACAGCAATCATCAAGACCGAGCGCACTCCCGACCAGGTCATTCTCAGCGGCCGCGTCGATGGCTACGACGAAGTATTCAATCTCCCCGTTAAAGTTAGCCAGGTCAGGTTTCCGCACACGGCGTCTGGTGTGTCTCTTCTGCACACGCTCGCGGCAAAGTCCTTGATCCAGGATCTGCAGGAGCACAGAGGACCTCGCCCAACTGCACTTGGGGTCGCATCGGAGGAGCAGATCACGAAGGCTGCGGTTGTACGTCTCGGGGTGCGTTATCAGCTCGTCAGCAAGTACACCTCGTTTGTCGCGGTTGATGAGGAGGAGAGGAACCGCCGCATGGAGAGGGAGCGGCAGGAGCGGCGCCAGAGACAGCAGGCGGTGAGAGACGCTGATGATCAGAGCGCGCCGTCTGGGAGGTTAGGGAACGACGCTGCATCTCCTGCAACCACTACCAGTAGTTGGGGTCAGCTATTACAAGATAACATTGGCAGTGTCCTCAACACGTTTACATGGATCCTCGGCTATGCGAGTCCATCCACGACTGGTGGGCTGCCCAGACGCTCCAGGTCGCCAAGTCCCGCTCACAGCTCGGACGGCGACGGCAGCTCGGATGAACTTGATCCAGACCAAGAAGGCGACCGCGACGACGGATTTGACAGCACGGCGACGTTCTCGACGATGAGCACTCTAGAGAGCTACGACTCCGACGCCCCTCCGCCAAGACGGCTGCACCCCAGGAGAGAGCCGCGGCGGCGGAGCCCCTCGCCCGCCGTCAGGCCGAAGTCGCCACCGCCCACAGATGTGGCAGAGCCAACGCCGGGCCCACAAGCCGACATTGGGCGCGTGGTCGCGCTCGCGAGGCTCCAGCTGTTTGATGGCTCGTTCAGGCTGGACAGCGCGTTCGAGAGCGTCGTCGGGCGCCGCGCCATGACACAGCCTGCCGGGCTTCAAGTCAATGCGCAGGTCTGGGCGACGGCTGTGGCCGCTGCTTTCTACGAGAGGAGCCTGGTCGGAGAGAAGGAGCTGCTGGAAGGTGTCATGCTCAAAATCTTGGAATATGTCGTGAACCAGGGGATGACTAAGACCGAGTTTGAACGATTGGTGAGACAAGGGAGGGCGTTGCTTGATTGAAACGGACCTTCGAAGACCGTGTACGTTGAAGCATGTATTCGTATGTTTGTGGCTTTGGAGGATATGTTGTTTACAGTTTCGATATCGATAAACCAACGTAAAAAATAAATTGGCGAATTCTGATTTCTTGATACTGTAAACGAACTAGGATCCTCAGTAAAGCTAAAACGTGCATCGTACATACCAGGAAACGTAAGGCGACATGAAGAGAGAGATAAGAATGTATTTACTTGTACGGGAATACAAAGCATGAAAGCAGACGGAGAATGCGAAGAGGGGATGGAGATGGGATGAAAACGGAGGTCTACGTAAAAGAGGAGCACACAGATTGGCGTAGCGAGAGGAGTGAATGGATGGGCGAGTAATAATGAACACTCAGGGAATAATGTCTTCCAGCTCTCCCTCACGCACACGAATCTCGACGACTTCGACTTCATATTCATTGTACGAGGTGTTGGCAGAAGATGCGGAGGTGGAGATGAAGCCCATGGAGTTGGGAGGTGAAGTCGAGGCTATGTCTAGATTCAGCGGCATGGAGGAGAGCGGGAGGAAGGAACACAGGCGGAAATTTCAGCGAGGACGATAAATATAAGTCAGTAGTTTGCGATTGAAGAGATGAATACGAACATCGGTCCTTGATGTATGGCGGGACAAATAGATCCTGGTCGAGTGAGATAGGGGTCAGCAACACTCGAGACACTGTTCAAGAATAAATGGATGCAAAGTGACACCGACTTGGTTCCAGACAAAGCCCTGGCTCTTCTGAATGGTCAGGATCGGACGGAGGGTGATGACGGGATGGCGTCTCTGCTTCTCGCGGCGCCGAGCTGCGCGTCCGCTGGGAGAGCGGAGGACGTCCTGCTCAGGCTCGACAGCACGCTGCTTGCCCTTGTTCTTGGCCTTGACGCGCTCATGGGCCTTCTTCTCAGCGTCACCGGCTTCGTCGACGTCCATGCTCTCTACGTCTGTTGCGCCATGGCCGACGGCCACGTAGTCCTCTCCGTCCTCGGAGCACGAGTGCTCATCGTCATCGTCGTCATCGTCGTGCTTGTGGTCGTGCGCACACTCATCGTCGTCGTCGTCGTCGTCACACGAGTCTGAGTCAGAGCAGCTGAACTCGCCGCCGTAGTCCGAGTTGATCTGCTCGTAGCAGGCCCATGTCGGCGGAGACGGTGCGCGCCCGAGTGTGCGTCTGCGGAAGAAGTATGGCGATGGAGCCCGGGGATATGTGGGCGTGGGGGCTGCGGGCGCTGAGCTCATGATATTCTCGCTGACGAGCACTTATGTGTGTGTGTATGTGAAATGAATTGTTCGCTCGGAAACTCTCAGTAGAGGGCTTGCTATGCTGGGTTGAGCCCGAGAGCAGCGGCGATGGCGACAAAGGGCTTAATGTCGGATATGATGGGCGTTGGAAGGAAAGAGGTTGGGCAAGGGTTCCGCTTCGTGACTCCAAGTTGCGGGTTGTTTGTGGCGGAAACGCCTGGACTGGCACTTCACCACGCCGTAGCAGCCAGGCAGAACATCCAATCTCATGCAAACCCTCTCAACGCAGCCATCCTCGACCCAAACAAAGGCGCATTAATGGCAGAATGGCGTCCCATATGAATTATGATTGCGTGCGTAGGTACCCCGAATTACGGCTCGCGCTCAGTGACGCCAATGTCAGATAATGATGTCCTTCGCATCTCCTTTAGAAGGGTTCATAACGCCATTGGACTGTTGAGGATGACGGGGCGCTATTTTCTCCGATAGATCTAGTGATGGAGTAATGCCTGTCGAGTTTGGCATAGGTCAATCAAACTCATAAATGCACGAGCATGTACGAGACATGGTTATTTGCGACAGCTAGAGGGATCCATCTGACCTCTCTTTACTTTGAACTCATGGACGACGCGGTCGCAATGTCATCTCACAAACCCATATGGCCTTGGTGAGCCTTTTTCTACTTTAAACATGTCCCAAGTCGCTCATCTTGCTCCATCAATGCATGAGTGCTATTAATATTGTCCCCGTCCGTGATCTAGTCAAGGAGGATGCTGTCGACGTTCTTCCTCTGATTCGACACAAGCTTTTCGCATTCGATTGAAATATTCACCCCAAGAGCCGAAATACCTCTCACTTTCCATGCCAGGGGATCTCGAGATCATGATTCGCCTCAGAGATGCAGTATGACTTCTCAAGTTCGGGCCTCGAACTTACAGTCGACGATTCTGTTCCACCCATAGCAACGCCTGCCCGGGTCAGCAATTTTGTTCCACCTCTATCGATAAGACGGCAGCGATGGTGACAAGAATGAGGTGTAGCTCTATGACGCCATCCAGATATAACAAAGCTCTTTCATAACCCGATGTTACGGTCTGATTGATGCGTCTTTGGACTGGACCAGAATTACGTCTGTAGTCAAGCCGAGCAACCTTGACGGGAATATAAGAACGACAACTTAACAAACTAAATTACATCGTCATATTGCTCTAAGAGTGACTGTCGACCAACTGTTTGCCCTATGAGGAGTCCATGCCCAAGGCTGACAGGTGAGCTATGCATTTGTGGCTATTGCGTCGACTGAACTTCTGGACTTACTGGTTTGTGTTCTACCTCCGTCAATTGACAATCAGAACGGAACTTTCTCAGCTGTGTGAAGAGACATCTGAGTTCTGCGTGGACCGTTAGATCATCAGATACGACAGCATAAACCGCGGCACTACATACGGATATCCCAAGACCACGTCAAAGGTTGAAGCTTGAAATCCAACGGCAATCCTCGTTTCAATCAGACTTGTATTGAGAGATGCATGAAATGTTTTGTTAGGGACTCGAGGAATTGTGTGTAGGAAGAGTAGTCCCGTGGGCTAGTGGAGAGAGACTACAGTCTATGCAATCAAAATCTGAGGCAAGCTCTCAGCTAGGTGAGAGTCCATGATTATACCTGTAATTTTGCTATATACCGACACAGATATTCTAAAGCTGGCGGACTCAGGTGGAGTGCTGTCAAAAGTGCATTGTGTTCCGTGGCCAAATTCCCCCATATTTGTGATAAACCCACAAGCGTCCAAGTATTGGTCCCAATATATGTGCATATCTGCCTCAATTCACGCCATATTTAGTGCCTAATGAAGTTCCGCTGAGTCACCCAAACTCAGTTTCCTTTCCTGGTTACTTCTGTCGCCTATGTCTGTCATCTTCCCCAATTTACTGTCCTGCTTCAAAGGCTTTAGTAACTCCAAGGGTGAGGCAGGACCAACAGAGAGCAAATGTGTATTTTGCAACATCACTAGCAAAAATGGATTCAATATTGTTTGCGAGGTGAGGAGGCCAAGGCGTTTCTGTGCATTGCAACCTAAGCGCGTCTCATTCATGATCCAGGACGAGAAATACGTCGTGATTCGAGACCGTAGGCCTGCCGCATCGCATCATGTGCTTGTGATACCCCGGAGACACGTAGGTTTGGACTGAGATCTATTTTGTGTTTCGTTCAAACCCGGGGGCTGATTGACAGCCTAGAAAGTGTTAAGGATCTCAGCAAGTCTGACGTGACCATGGGTTTGCGCCTTCTTTTCTTAGTCGTGAGGAATTTTTGGAAAGCTAAATGGACGATAGTCAAGGACATGGAAAAGATAGGCCATGAACAGCTGGACAAGCTACAGGTCTCTCCAACGATGCGGCGGTAGGTCATATCTCGTCACCACGTTTGCCGCCGGCTTCATTATCTTATTTTGCGTAGGTTAGGCTTCCACATACCTCCGTTCAACAGCGTAAATCATCTTCATCTGCACGTTATGGCATTGCCCTTCAAGTCTTTGATTCGCAAGGCAAAATATCCCTGGATCAAAGGCGGCGATGGTCATGAGAAAGGATGGACTTGGTTTGCAGAAATTGGCCAGACTATTCGGATCTTAGAGAAAGGTGGCCGGGTTACTGTGGGAGCCGTTAAGGTTGCATCGCCTTCCCCTTCCATAAAGGTACGAGTGGTAGAATGAATCCGCGTCTGTATGTACTTATCTATCTTGCAGACTGGATTGTTGTGTAGATCGTCGCTTGAGTGTTTAGGATCATATTCCTTTTTTGTGCAGAGTTCAGTTTCCTCTAAGCTCGGTCAGACATTTCGGGCTGCATGGCATTGCGACAGCTACCGCCCGCACCCCGTGCCTGGTCTGTGGGATATGGAGCGGATAAGGCGTTGACTTTTATGTCACAAAGCATGCGTCCCCGTTTTATATCCCCAAGCAGCTTTCTTCCCGTATCAGATGATCATTTCTTGAATTCTCAGGCCACGACGCTGGATCACCGGGTGTCTTGCGTGTGTGTGTGTTGAGAACTCATCTAAACACATTAGGAAACAGATCGACCTATTTGGACCTCTTCTTCTATTCTACCATCATGCTGGCACCCTCTATCTTCACGCTCGGCGCAACTGGATACCTGGGCTCGGAATTCCTTCTTCGCTTCGCCTAGGAACACCCCTCATTCCCCGTGGCCGCACTCTTACGCAACGCGACACCAGAACGTGTAGCCCTTATCAACGATATCCATCCCAACGTCTGGATCCTGGAAGGCTCGCTCGACGATGGCCCAATCATCCAGCACGAGGAGGAACGTGCAGATGTCATCATCAATTCCGCGAGCTCAGACCACTGGCATATTATCAGATGTGAGCGCCTTCGACACGCAATCCAGGTCAACTGATGCGCTCGACGCGTTGGTAGCGACGCTGGCCGGGCTGGTGAGGTACTCTGCCCGCAAGCCTGGGAGACCGCTCTTGTACATCCTTGTAGGCTACGGCGTCATTGTCGACGAAGCACGCGGGCAGGCCGTCGACTCGGTCAAGGAGTGGGTCAGATATTGGCCTGGACTTGAAGAGTACGCCAGCGGGACACTTGTGTCTGTCTGTTGCACGTTCGTGACGAGAGCATCCGGCTAGCAGTCGTCCTCCTACGAACGCGCATCTGGAGTCAGATATCTCATAAGACATGAGTTCAATTCGCATGTCTCTGTAGACCTCCTAATCGCGGGCTCTATTTTTGTTAGATAGCGGAGGCAGGACCTCGGGAGGACGACCCTGTCCGCATGTTAATCAAATATCCCGCCAAGGTCATCCTCGCATTTCGTGCGCGTCTGACGTGCGCTGATTTTGTACTATGCGAGAACACAGATCTATGGAGTGGGCGAAGGTGGGCGGTGTGGCATCTTGAATTCTACTCTGAAGCTGACGGCGGACGTCATGGCGCACAGGCATCCATTAAACCAGGGTGCGGCTGGGCATCTTTCTGGACGGGAACAGATAGGTCGGCTTCGCCGGCACCTGGGGCCCCGGAGCCAACTTGTCGAACAACATACACGTCAAAAATGTCGTCTCTGCGATGTTGAGCGTGTTCGAAGCCGCTCTTGAACCCAGCGCCAATCTTCGACCCTCTCGGACACTGTGCGCCCCTTTGTTCAGTAGGTCATTCTCTCTGCAACGATGCCCGGTCGTGCGTGCCCATGCGGATGGCCGGTCGTTGCTTGGCGGCCACCAGTTTTCCAGGCCAGACAGGCTCACGCGGTTCGGGTGGAGCCCCTCTTTCTTAGGGTCGTTCCCAGCCGCGATCGAACACGCTTTGGCATTGAAAACGAACACACGGCAGGATTTTTATTTGATTTTATTGGCATTGTGCTTTTGGGTCTGTACATGGCGGAGACTAGCTACGAATTATCTGTGGGAGAGGGTGCATAATGGGCGATAGGACCTAGTACTTCAATGTGTTCGGGAAGTAAAATAGTTATGTGCTGAACAAAGCGGGATAACGGGTGGTGGAAAGCAACGACGAGCATCAGCACGACCAAAACAAAACAAGGGGAGGGGGACAGACAAAACGATAGACAGAACGGGGTAGAAGCTACAAGAATAAAGCAAAAGCGAGATAACTCTTCATAGCGGAAGCAAAAGCGCCGACATCGAGTAGACATTACGGGTATCGGTGAGTGTGGGGCACTGGGCACTAGGACCCGCTGCGCTGCATTCTCCGGGACTGAGGGCGCGTGTGTATAGCGATGTATGTGAGACAAGATGGGAAGGGACGGGACGATACGGGACGGGCGATGAACAGGACACACGACAACAGAGCAAGATGGACGACGAGATGAGACGAAGACGACACGAGCATGAGAAAGATGAGCAAAGTGAGATATAGCGACGACGAAGGACAGCAGAACGAAAAGACGGGGTCGAAGGAAGCGAGATGGATGGGTAGAGATAGATCGACAGCGCCGAGGCAATTACGGCAGCGAAGGACACGGATGCGAGCCGTGCGCGTCCGATACGATACGTTTTCGGTTCTGTCAAAACAAAAATATCAGCATCAGTACGCGCCCGACACGATTCATGTGCAAGAACGTACTAAAAAAAAACAGCAAGAAAAACAAGACAAACAAGATCCCGGGTGCACCTGTCCAGCATAGACAAGGCTCACTCTTAAGACTCACTCCCACTGCTACTCCCACTTCCACTCCCCTCCCGCTCCTTCCCCTTCCCCTTCCCCTTATCCTCCTCGTCATCCCCCCCAAACTTCGCCAACCACGACACGCGCGGCGGCACAGGCCCAACGACGCGCGCTGTCGTGATCCCGCCGTCGTTGACGTACTCCAGCCCAGGGCGCAGCGGTGGCGGCACGAAGCGCCCCCGCTTGCGCGGCGCCGGCGCCGGCTGTTTCGGACGCGCGGGCGCAGGGGCGAAGCGCGGGGCCGGCGGGGCGTCGTCGATCAGGATCGCGGTGTCCGCAGACGCGCCGCGCTCCGGGCTGCGCTCGGTGCGCAGCGCAGGGATGTTGCCCATGCCCATGCCCATGCCCATGCCCATGCCTCCGCCCATGCTCATATTCATGCCCATGCCCGGGCCGAACCCTGCCTGCGCGAACCGGCCAAGAGCGGCAGACTCGGGCTCCGGCGACTCGGAATGGGACGTCGAGAACGAGCTGATGGGCGGGAGCGGCTCGCCGACGTAGCGCTGGCGCTGGAGCTGCTGCCCCTGCCCCTGCCCCTGCCCCAGTCCCTGCCCTCGTGCTTGACCTAGTCCTTGTCCCTGTCCATGACCTTGCGAGTGACCTTGCGAGTGACCCAGGCCCAGTCCTTGCCCCTGCGTATAATGCTGGTGGTAGAACTGCAGCTCGGGCGACGCGAGCTCAGGAAGGACGTGCATAATAGGCAGCGCGATCGGCTGCGGGCCCGCACCGCGGGACGCAGCGGCGGCGGCGGCGCTGTGGACGCTGGGAAGAGCGGTGGAGGAGCGCCACGCGGTGCCGGCGGACGAGGTGGAGGGCGGAGAGAACGACGGCCCGGACGAGGAGAACGAGGAGAACGAGGTCGACGTGGAGGGGAGCGAGCCCGTCGCCGTGGTGTTGTTGAACGAGGACGCGGTCGAAGACGGCGCGGAGCTGGGGCCGAACGGGTTGGTGGTTGTGGTGGCGGAGGGGTCCCCGAGCGCGCTGCCGCGCGGGCGGAGGGAGGGGGCGTGCGACCGGGACGGGCGACGGGCGCCTGCACCCGCGAACTGGCCTCCATCCGCCGCACCACCACTACGGGAAGAAGCGGGGAAGAGCGCGTCGTACCCGTGGTTGCCTTCGTCGAACCCAAACTCGTCGTCGTCATCATATTCGTCCACGTCGTCCACGTCGTCTACCGCGCGGCGGCGCTTGTGCCCTGCCAGGGCGTGCGCGCCGGGGTGCAGCGCGTAGCTCTCGCCCTGCTGCTGCTGCTGCTGCTGCGTGAGGCCGTGCGCGTGCGCCTGGGGGAGCTGGAACTCGAATTGCGGGTGGGCGTGGGCGGCGTCCAGCTGGTGCTGCTGCTGGTGCTGCTGCGCGGCGAGTTGCGCCTTGGTGGGTTTCTTCTTGCGCCTGCGCTCGCGCTTGTTGCCCTCGCCCTGCGTGAGGTCTATCATCCAGTAGTTGCCCTTGCCGGGCTCCGTAATGGGGCGCTGCACCCTGAGGAAGCACTTGCGGAGTGACAGGTTGTGCCGGATCGAGTTCTGCATAAACACAAACACGACGGTTCCCCAGTCAGCGTCAACACACAGCAGCAGACTGGAGGGAGGAAGGGAGGGAGCGGGGGAGCGGGGACTCGCCTTCCAGGAGGGCTCGGACGCGCGCACGCGGTACCACTCGAAGCGGTCCTCGATCGCGCCGTAGATCTCCTGCAGCGTGAGGCGCTGGTGCGCGCTGCCGTGGATGGCGAGCTTGATGAGCGTCGGGAGCGGGTAGTTCGGCTTCGTGCCCGGGGGCGGGTCCGCGAGGGTGTGCAGGCCCAGCGCGGCGGTGTCGGTCGGGGCGACGCCGAGGAGCGAGCGCAGGTGCGGGGCGGCATCGGGGAGGACGGGGATACCGGGGAAGGCGGCGTCCATGAGTGTCGGGGGCGCATTGGCGGTGGTGGCGCCGGTGGGGAGAGGGGCCACGGGGAGTGGTGCGTGTGGCGCCGGGGAGAGGGACGCAGAGGTGGACGAGGAGGGGGCGAGGGGTTGGGAGGCATTCGGGGAGTGGAGCGTCTGCGAGGGGTCTGAGCCGCGCTCGGGGGTCGTCGAGAGGGAGGGCGGGGGCGGGGATAGAGGCTGGACCGCGGGGGACGGGGGGTCGAGGTCTCGCATGGGTTCGTCCACGGGCTGCTGTTCCCCGACCTGTTGTCTTTCATGTGGGCCGGGGGCAGGCGCATCGAAGATTTTGTTGGTCGCAGAAGACTCGGGCTGTGCGGGGTCCGCGGGAGGATAGTGGCGCGTTCGCGGGCGATAGTACGAGGTGCCCTCCGCGTGCTCGAAAGAGGAGGTCGAGGTGGCCGCGTCCGCGTCGAAGTGGAGGTGCTCGAGCCCGATGCGGCGGCGGTGGCCGTCATACGCGGGGTAGCGATTTTCTGGGTCAAAGAGGCGCGCAGGGGGGTGGCGGCGTGTGGGCAACGAGGCTTGGGGAGTGGGTGCACGGCGGTCCGTCCCAGGACGGACAGGGGTGGATATATTTAAAGAGCGTGACAAGGGAGAAACAGAGCGAGAAGAAGAACGAGAAGAAGAACGAGAAGAAGAGAGAGAGGGGGGCTGGGGGGCGATGGGTGGCACGGGGAACGGTACGGATAAGGGAGGAGGGGGACGGCGGTACCGCTGGCTAGGAGACGCCTGCCGGCTCGGAAGGGGAGGGGCACCGGCATCGCGACGGACAGAGACGAAGCGAGCGAGGTCGTTGCGAGTCACACGTTCGCCCTCGCCCTCGCCGTCGCTCCCGCTCGCGTCTGAGTCGGAGTTGGCGGGGCTCGTTCTGCGGTGGCGCGCGTAGGACTGTAGACGCGGAGGCCTGTCCGCGTCGATGGAGCCGGCGCTGGCGCGCGCAGATGGCGGTGGATCGCGTTGATGCGAGATGATCTGGGAGCGTCTGAACCGCGCGGGGGTGCTGGCGAGCGCGCGAGGGGACGCGGGGCGCGGATGGGCTGGATGGCGCGATTGATGCGCGGGCGCGGCGGATGGGTCGGCGGCGCTGGGCATGAACGGGGCCGCGTCGTCGTCGTCGTCGTCGTCATCGCTGCTGGTGGAGGCGGGGCGGGGGGACGTGGGCGCTGGCGCGTAGGGCGCGTCGGGGGAGGGTGAGCGGTGCCGTCCAGCACGCTGGCGCGGGGCGGCTGTCCACGGGGCGCTGTCTGTCGATGCGGTGTCGTCAGAGCGGGAGTCGTCGCCCGAGGGCGCGTTCGCGTGGCGGACGGGGGCCACGGTGAGCGGCGGCGGCGGGCAGCGGCGAGCGGCAGGGACGTTGTTGTGGGCGTGGACGACGGGGAGGGCGACGACGGGGAGCCGCAGGATGGGCTCGAGGACAGGCTGCATCTCTCGCAGACGGTTCGTGCGCCGACTCGAAAATCCCTGGACCCACAACCCGCACGCTTGGCGCCTGGGAACGCATTATATACGCCGCTGCCCACACATGGACCCACACCGCCACACAACACACCAACACCCCCTCCACCGCGCTCAGCTGCACTCACCTGCGGCCCTCCTCGTCATCGTCTCCGCCGCGCCTTGTGTTTGCACCGGCGCAGTCGTCGTCCTAGGCCACTGGATGCCGTGCTCGATCGGCGCTGCGTGCGCTCTGCCAGCAGTCGCGAGGGTCGACGTACAAGCCCAAAACCCAGAGGAGGTCGCGTACAAATATCCTCCAGCCCTCCACTCGCACCGGGTCCATGCACGAGGCGGAGGAACAATGCGCTGAGGGTCCGCATGCGAGCTCCGCCCTGGGCTATTGTTGTTCTCTTCCGTCAGCGAGCCCTCGACGCCCATCGCACCATGCCGAGACTTCCCGCTGCGTGCCCTCGCCCCTGGAGGACAAGAACGCCGTTGCCATCGCCGCGTCTTGTTGCATGGCTTTCGCAGGCCGGCCGGGGTGCGTTTCTTGTCAAGGCGCGATCGGGGATCGTCTCCTGATTTCGCGGCACGTGTCACTGACTTCAAGCTGCACCGTCATCATCACCTCTTCAAATGCACTCGGGCTGCCTCCATCTCACTCTCTCCGAAGGCCCGCATCGCACCAAGGCAGCAGCTCGATATGCGTGATAAAATTTCTGCATGTGGGAACCGCCCGCGAGGCATCGCTCCTGGGCGCTAGTGACGCAAGCCGCGCTCTGCTAGGCTCTGCTATCTGGCCATCTACTATCTGTGCCTCCGCATCCATCTCTCCTCGACCGCGCATCCTTCCGACACCGCCTCGCCCGCGATCTTCTCGAGATTGTGCCCTTCGGCTACGTCGCCTCCCGAGCTCGAGAGGAACGCGCCAGCCGACCGAAGTGGATCTAGAGACTGACTGGGTACTATCCAAGCCAAGTGTTCTTGCATGTGCACACAGCTTTTGCCTCGCGTCTCCTTCTGCAGCTGCCGTGGAACAGACGGCGCTGCGGCGTCTCGGCTCTTACAGTGCGCGCAAGCAACATCCCCTGCTTCCGCGCACGGGGAGTGGCAATCCATCGATCGATTACATTCCCCCTGCCCAGCCCTGTCCTGGCTGTCCTGGCCTCACCGCAGCTCACTGCCCGCGATTCCAGATCCAGATCCTCGCGGCCAAGGGCTGCTATGACTCTATGACTCTGCCATGTAATACTCGTACAGCAGGACCCGGCGTCTTCGATCGATCGCCGCGCGCGCACTTAAACGCCGGCACCCCCTCCACTGCCCCATTGCGTGCTCCGTGCTCCGCCGTGCGCGTGGCTTCCGCGTTGCGCTCCTCGTGCCCATCTCATGCCGCCTCCCCCGGCGTTCATCCGTGCGGATCTGAGCCTATCCGAGCGCTAATAGCCGGCGATCACCGACGACCCACCTCCACCTCGTCCGCCTACAGCACAGTACGTTACGATACGGTGCTTATCCCCTTGCACGTCTGCGATCGGCGATTGTCGACGCTGGATGAATCCCGGACGGCGTCTGATGGCGTCTAATTAGCAAGGACTGGGCTGGGATGGGATGGGGAACCCGCTGTGGATGCCGCTGGATGCCGACGCAGCGTGTTTGTTGTCTTTTGTGGACTCAGACGCTCGCTCTTATGACTCCCTCGCGCGATGCGTCGCCCGCGCTCGCTCGTTCTGAGCATCGACGAACCCGTGTTCTCGTCCACGTCCACGTCCACGCGCAGCCGCGGCTTCCTCATCGCCGAAGAGACGCTCGCCTGTGAAGACCTGTGACAGCGCCCACGGCCCGCAGCCGCTATCTAGGTCACTCGCGGCGTGTGTCTTCTCGGCATCGTGCACAGCGGCGCGCGTCGATTCGGGAGTCGCGGTGCCGCTGCGAGGATGCTGTATGTGGGTTGCGATTTTGGACGCGGGATCGGGGTTGTGGACGGCCGCGCTGGGCGACGGGGGTTTGCGGTCCAGGTGTTCGCTGGCAGGAGCTGTTCTGAGGACCTCACATGACTTGTCTCCTGCCTGCGCTCGCTTGCCTGGGCATCATCGCCATCAAGAGCGCCTTATCCGTGTTCGCAACAGAACCTCGTTCGTGTCCGCCTTCGGCTTCCTGATTGCTCAAGAGACGCTATCATGACCCGGCGCTCGAAGCCGTGTATGTGCGCAGCAGCGACAGCGTGTTCTGCTTCGATATCATGGACAGCGACGCGTTGATTCGGGGGGCCCACCCTGAGCTTCTCTAGGTTTCGACTATGTAACTGGGGCTAGCTTTGCGGCGCGACTCTGGCTATGCCATGGGTGAGTGCGCTGGGCGACGAAGGATGGCATCCTTCGTGATCGTTGGCAGGACATGGTTTTACGGCCTCACGCGATCTGTCTCCCATTTGTGCTCGCTCGTCCCGTGCATCAACATCAGCAGAGCCTTTTTCATGTCCGCCTTTGACTTCCAGATCGCTAATAGATGCTGTCCGGCATGACTCGGCGCTCGAGGCGCTGTGCGCGCAGCGACGGTTCTGCTCTGTCGTCACAGGCAGTGACGCGTTGATTTGGGATGTGCTGTTGGCACCACTGCGAGGGTGTGTGGATTTCGGCTGCATGATCGGAGCTGACGGCCAAGGCGCGTGCGCTGATCGGGGCTCTTCATCATCGCTGGCAGTACTGCTCTTTTCACTCCGTCACGAGGAATTCATGTTATGTTGTCCACGATGCCATTCTATCGCCGTCGAATCAGACGCTCTGATACAGATGAATGATCTTGTGGACGGATTCCTTGCGGACACGGACTTCGGCCTCAGCGTGGTCTGAACGGTTTGATTGATATTCATGCTGGGCTTTGTGCAACACAATAGCCTCAATAGGAGCTGTCACGAACAGCGCCTATCGCGTCACATGGCAACACGAGCATCAACATACGATGGTGATGATAAACCATGATATTTTCGCCCAGAGGTATACCATTTCCTCAATCATGGTGCGACTTGTCAAATTGAGTTCAAGCGTGGAGTCTACAAAGCCATTGAGAGTCTCATCAAAATAAGATGCACTTTTTGACGACCATCATGTTCTCGCATTCGTTCAGGCTATGTGCATATATAACGCCAAAGGTTCAGGATCTCAGTATACACCATCCCTTGTTCTCCTATGTCGTCCTCGAGCTCAACAGGTATCCTGCAACAACAAATCATAGATGCGATCGAGCCTCCCATTGTCGCTCTCGCTTTCGAGGCTGGCTTCTACGGTGAGCAGGTTCATTTCCATGTAAATCCTCATTCAGGCCTCGACGTTTCTCTTCAGTACTTTCATTGACCTCATTTAGCCTTTCAACATACTTCCTCGTGTGAGTCGAGCTTGCGCAGCCGAGCGAATTGTCTCTCTAACATCCTAGAAGTCACAAGGGTCTCAAGACCAGGGCGATCCTGGCCATGTGGATCACAACTCTAGTCATGTTTGCAGTCTCGACATGCCATCTAGCTTTGCAATGGAAGTATTGCAAAGCTGCGATCGTATCCCAGTTGTCGTTCCTTTTGCTACCGGATGTGGGTTTTTTGAACATCACACGGCCAGATATCAGGTTATCTCAGTTGAATTCGTACTTGCCCGTTATCAACGCAAGTCCCCTTCAATCTGTCTATCTCCAGAAACATTCACAGGATGCGCGGTTTCTTTTCTAGTACTTACTGAGCGACGTCATTGTGCTCTGGAGGGTATGGATCATGTGGGAACGTAACGTGAAAGCCGTGATATTCCCGCTGCTACTTGCTCTGGCATCGGCTGGTATGTGATGTTGTCTCTTTTCTGCATTATTGGTGTATATCTTGTCGTGCCAGTTTCCGGGGCCATCGCCGCAAGTGAAGGCATCCTATCGGGCTGGATTACAGACTTCACTCGAATGTACGGCCCCTCGTGGGTCAATATCAGTCTTCTTGTCACCTATGCCTCAGTCTTGGCCACCAACATCACTACCACCGTACTTATTGGAGTTAAGTTATGGTTAGTAAAATCCATTGAGGTGTATCTGACATTAATGAACGAATCGTAACAGGCAACATCGCCAGCTAATTAAAGCTCACCTTCGAAGCGGGACTTACAAAAATCGGGTCGGAAATGTCTTCGCCCTCCTTATTGAATCTAGTATCATTTACTGTATCATATGGGTGAGGAGCACCCCATCCCCTTCAGTTTCGTGTATCTCTCACATACCTTAGATCGTGTTTATTGCGGTCCGGATCTCAGATGGCGTCGAGTTGACAGACATAGACTGGTATACAGTACTCTCGGCAATCATGGTTCAAATCTCCGTACGCCACACACGCCTTTCTTCCATTTGTGAATAATCACCCTACAGTCAGGGAATCTACCCGACTGCGATCATCGTCCTGGCCGCGCTTCAAAACACAGCTTGGGACATGAGCGTCGGGAAGGAGATATCCCAACATGCGACTCGGACCGAGAGACACTTCGCGACGCCAAACTTTCGCTCTGTAGCATCAACGGGGGCCCACGAGCCCCATGCGTCCGGGGCAGATGTGGAGCGTGGTGAAGTCTGACTCTATTCCATAAGAGATATATACTCTTGCGCACCTCCTCCGACGTTTGGACATGGCACTGTCATTCATTGGCGTTGCATACATGCTTATCTACGATTGAAACGACAATGGGGGGCTTCATTCGGTAGCTAGTCATGTCTGCATATATGGAGCAGACGCAATAAGACTGTTTTGCTGCTCGTTCTACTTGCACGTCCCTTCATGATAAAATGATCCTGAGGTGTATTGATACCGATAGTTGGTGTCAGCCCTCACTGACAAAAGGAAAGCAAGTTGTCGGTGTGCCCTTTCCTCTGGGCTAGCACAGCGCGGGCGATGAACTGCGTTGGGCGGTGCCGTCGGCCTGTCGGAGGAAGTGAGAGGCTTGGTGACGTCACGTGCACTCCTGGATTGGGACGACTCAGCAGCCCCCGTCCTCGTCGTTGGGCTCGACCTCCACCGTAGCGCTCTGCAGCAACCTGCTCTGCACTTTTCTTCTATCCGAGGCTCTTTCCATTCATGCTCTGCATCGATGATTGATTCATATCCCTCTGGTGTGCTACTTGTGAGCTTTTATGCCGACATATGCATAGCCTTGAGTCCTTCACCCTTGTTAGTCACACCTCGATTTTCTCATGCAGTTTTGAGGTTTATCAGTGTGATATCTGTCGACTCACAAGTCCATGAAGCATTTATAGCTCATATACATGCATATCCATCCGTTTTCATTGATAAGTCGAGCTCTCGTAGCCCCTCCTTCAGGCCCGTTCAACGTATTGAATTTTGGGATTGCCGACATAGAACATGCAAAAGTTGGCCCAGAAGATCAGGATAAATGCGTCTGGCACGAATCATGTTTGCCTTGCGGCAAGTGCAATCGTTCCATTGACCGTGATCTACAGAGACACAATAGGCCCAGTCGTTTTTAAAGGTACATCCATGCACTCGAGGCGGGTATTCACTGCAGGTTACGGGCATCCTTTGCGTTTCCAACTGGTCCAATGATAACTTTCCCCCCAACAGTGGAGGCTCGGAGTTCGTTCGTACATCACCACGTATAGCAGCTTCATTCGTGGGATCACGTCGAGACTAACGCATTCGGCACAGTCAGCTGCCGACATGACGCGACACCGCCTAACAGCTGCCATCAAGCAGTGAGGTACAGCTTCATTAAGAATTGACGCGCGTGGTCAGCATGGGGGGCTATAATACGCACTGCGGCTCGCGTCACGCTTAAGGTGCGACTTTGTTGCCTTCCGCTACGATCGCTGCTCGTGGTTTGTGATTCTCATTCTCTGGCTCTGTTCTTCGACCACATTCAGCTCGCATACCTCACTCAGGAACGACAATGGCTGACAATAGCTGCGTTCAAGAAGACACGTTAGAACCACTATCCCGACCAGGAACCCCCAATTCTGTAAGGTTGAATCCTTCCTCCCCTGATTCTTGAAATTGATTCGTCATTGTCAGTCGGTCACGCAATATATGGTGTGTGTCCACGTCTCGTTGTCACTGCCTCATTCTTATGTTGCTCTCATAGAAATCTGTTGGGGGATTCACCGATCTCCCTGACGATGCGAACAATCAAGCTGATAGTGTTGAAGCAGACGAGATCGACGAGCATGCAGCCTCTATTGTGAGGCAATGCAAGGAAGAAAGTCAGTTATCGTCCCTTGAGACTGCTCTGTATCTCCTCCGCAACGTCTGTGACCGTTGTCCTACGAGTCATCCACATCGGAGATTCTCCCTGAACAACCTCGTCTTGTCGTTGGCGACCAAATTCGTTTGGACAGGTGAAGGTGCGGCTTTGGATGAAGCGTTGGTGGTGCTGAACGAATTGGGCTCGGAGTCGGGTGGTGCGAAGCGTATAGCAGACGAGCACGTTCCCCAAGTAAGTCGATGTATGCTTACATGTATTGCAATTCATTGATGACATCAGGAGTTTGAGCAAAACGCAGATTTAGAGAGCAAAGACTCATTATTGAACATGATCAACTTCGCTCTTGCTACTGTGCTTGAATTCTGTCAGGCGGCACTGCTCTTAGATATTAACACTGCCATATCTCTCTTCCGCCAGGCTATTCGAATGCGGGAACCATCGGATGTCAAAAGCTTCGGGTCGATGTCTCACCTTGCCGATGCCCTCGTACTGCGATGCTTTCATAGACAAGAGCTACAGGACCTAGACGATGCAGTGGCGATCTTGCGAGAATGCGTAGCCTGTCGGTCCTTATCTGACGACTCTCGGTTGCAGCTGATGGCAAGACTTTCGGCTGCACTCATTATGAGGTTCTGTCTAAAGGGTCAGAGCGATGATTTGACCTCCGCGATCCAGTTACGTGCTCAAGAACCCGGTCAATATATTCGGGATATAGATGGATACCGTCTGGCTGCGCAGGGTTCGACTCTTTTCGAGCGATTTCGATCATCGGGGGATATAGCAGACCTTGATGCCGCTATCGAGCGTCTACGGCAGGCTTTTTGCATGGTGGACGCAGAACATGCCCAGCGTTTCATGGTACACGGAAGTCTGGCGAGCGCTCTCTCTGTTCGATTTGGCCAGACTGGACGTGATATTGACCTCCAGGAATCCATAGCCTTAAGGGAAGGGATTTTGAAGATTCTACCCACCACCCATCCTGACCGTTCTAGCGCGCTGAACGACCTCGCAAATGAGCTTCGGTCGCGATTCGAGCATCAAGGCCAGGTGTACGATCTGGAGGAAGCCATCAGGCGGCATCGTGAAGCCCTCACACTCCGCCCGTCCCCACATGCAGGTCGTCCTGGCTCGTTGAACAACCTCGCAGGTGCAATCTTTAGACGGTTTGAGCAGAAGGGGCAAATTGACGATTTAGAGGAGGCTATTGTCCTTCTCCGTGAAGCTCTCGCATCCCATCTTCCCTCGCACCCTGAACGATCAACATCGTTGGACAATCTTGCCATCGCACTTTTGACCCGATTCAAGCAGATACAGCAGACGGAGGACCTGCAAGAGGCTATTTCCCTTCATCGTGAAGCTTTGACACTCCGCCCTGCCACACATTCTGGCCGTTGTGTCTCGTTGAACAACCTTGCAAGTGCACTTTTCAGCCAATTCGAACAGAATGGGTGTGTGGATAATCTCGAGGAAGCTATTCTGCTCTTCCGTGAAGCTCTCACACTCTACCGTGCCTTACATCTCGATCATTCGACGGCGTTGAACAATCTCGTAAATGCGCTCCGGACACGGTGTGAGCTGAAAGGGCAAATGAATGACCTCGAGGAGGCCATTTTGCTTATTCGTGAAGCGCTCACATTCCACCCTTCCCCACATCGCGATCGTTCAACGTCACTCATCAACCTCGCCAATGTACTCCGGACGCGATTTGAACAGAAAGGACAGGTAGATGACCTTGAGGAGGCCATTCTGTTGAATCGTGAAGCCCTCTCACTCTTGCCTGCCCCACATCCCGATCGTTCCATGTCATTGAACAACCTCGCGGGTGCACTTTCAAGGCGATTTGATCGGAATGGGCAGATGAATGACCTCGAGGAGGCGATCTCGCTTCATCGTGAAGCGCTCACACTCCGCCCCGCTCCACATCCTGATCATCCAATGTCATTGAACAACCTTGCAGGTGTACTTTCGACTAGATTCGGGCAGAATGGGCAGATGGATGACCTCGAAGAGGCCATTCTACTGAATCGTAAAGCCCTCGTACTGCACCCTGCCCCACATCTCTCCCGTTTCAACTCCTTGAACAGTCTCGCAAATACGCTCCGGACGCGATTCGAGCAGAAAGGGCAGGTTGATGATCTCGAGGAGGCAATCTTGCATCACCGTGAAGCCCTTACACTTTGCCCTGTCCCACATCCAGATCGTTCAACATCGTTGAACAATCTCGCGGGTGCACTTTCGACTCGATGCGAGCAAAAAGGACCGATGGATGATCTCGAGGAAGCCATTTCACTCCATCGTGAAGCCCTCGCACTCCGCCCTGTCCCACATCCTCACCGTTCAACTTCATTGAATAATCTCGCAAATGTACTCTGGATACGATTCGAGCGGAAGGGGCCGATGGATGACCTCGAACAAGCCATTTTACTTCTCCGTGAAGCCCTCACACTCTGCCCAGCACCACATCCTGATCGTTTCCTCTCGCTAGACGGCCTTGCAAGGGCACTCTCGACTCGATTCATGCAGAAAGGGCATGCCGGTGACCTTGAGGAGGCCATTTTACTTCACCGCGAGGCCCTCATACTCTGCCCTACTTCACACCCCCGTCGATCTGCTCCTTTGAGCCACCTCGCAAACGCACTTTCGACGTCATTCAAGCAGAACGGGGAGGTAGACGACATCGAGGAGGCAATCTCGTTACGACGAGAACTACTCATGCATCTACCTTCATCGCATCCTCGTCGGTGGTTGGGTTTGAGCGGGCTCGCATCTTCACTCTGTGAAAAGGTTGGCTTCAGCGATACGTCTATGGATATGTTCCGTGCCGCCGTCGGTCACGAAACAGGATCTGTGAGAGATCGCTCGAAAGCCGCTCAATTGTGGGCGATGTATGCTGATGATGCGAACCACCCGTCTGCCTTGGAGGCATACCAGGATGCTATTCAACTCTTGCCTCAGGTTGCGATGCTTGCTTCCGACGCAAACTCACGTCATCAGCTGCTTGCTGATCGGCATCTTGGGAGCCGTTTACTCTCGACGAATGCTGCAGCTTGCGCCATCCGATTGAACGAGCTTGACCTAGCTGTTGAGATGCTCGAAGAGGGCAGATCTATATTTTGGTCTCAGGCACTGCAGCTTCGGACCCCGCTTGACGACCTCCGCTATGCCTACCCTGAATTGGCGCAAAAACTACATGAGATCTTCACGACACTTGAGCGCAGCTCGTTCCGTGAGGGCTCAGATGTAATACGGACTGACGTAGAAGCAGTGACCGCAATGGAGGCAGAAGCAGCACGTTTTCGTCAGCTGAATGAGGCCCGATTGGCGATACTGAAAGAAGTTCGGGCCTTGAAAGGCTTCGCAGACTTTCTACGTCCGAAGAAGCTGAACACGCTGAAGAAAGCGGCGGTTCATGGTCCCGTCGTTCTCCTCAATGCGTCCAAGTCTTCTTGCGATGCCTTGATCGTCACATTGGCAGGTGTAGAGCATGTCCCACTTTCTCCTCAGTTGACGGGGCAACAAGTATCACTCCTCGCGAGCTCTGTATTGAGTTCCGTGAGCAACTTCAACGCTTTCACGAATAGCTACAAGACCTCCTTCGAAAGCCTCCTCGAAAGCACCCAAGCCACCCGTGATGTTCCACAAGATCGGCATCTTGGGAGACGTCAGAAGGTTCCTCTTCAAACTGTCAACGATGTCCTTCGCGGTGTTCTTGCAGTGCTCTGGAAGCTTGTGGTCCATCCTGTAATACGTCATTTGAAACTCGAGGTAAGATTTTTCATCGCATATGTTTTGTTTTATGCTCGGGACTTACGAAGCATGTAGAAGTCAGAGTCGCCTACGCGCTTGTGGTGGTGCCCAACCGGTCTATTCTCTGTCCTTCCGCTTCATGCAGCTGGCATCTATCCGTCTGACTCGCATACGGGAGCTGTTGATGATGCATCAGACTACATGGTCTCATCGTACACGCCTACATTGAACTCTCTTCTCATCTCCCCGCCTGTCACGAGTATGGATTCGTTCAAGATGCTGGTTACCATACAGCCAGAAACCAAAGGTCAGGTCGTATTGACTCAAACTCGTGAAGAAATGCGTCAAATCGAGCGACACGTGCCGGCCTCTTCTCTCATCAAGCTGGGTGTGGACGGCTCTGAGTTATCCAAAGTCGACACGGTGCTCGCGCATCTGTCCCATGCTTCCATCGCTCATTTCGCGTGCCACGGCGTCCAAAATTTAGCGAATCCCTTGGAAAGTGCGCTTCTCCTGGATGGTCAATTGAAGGTCTCCACGATCATGGCACAATCCCTGCCAAAAGCCTCTTTGGCTTTTCTCAGCGCATGCGAGACAGCAAAAGGTACTGTCGAACTTCCTGATGAAGCCATGCATCTTGCAGGGACAATGCTGTTCTCCGGATTTCGCAGCGTAGTTGCTACCAAATGGTCCGTTTCTCTCCCTCCATGTGTTCCTTGACTCTTTCTCATCTACATGAACAGGTCTATTTATGACGACGATGGTCCTAAAATTGCGGATGAGTTCTATGGCTATCTTTTCAAAAATCACGAAGACGGCTCGCCCCCCGACACGACAGAATCTGCTCGAGCACTTCACCTCGCGGTCAAGAAGCTGCGCGCCCAGTACAGCGACCATTCGTTCGTTCGTTGGGTGCCATTTGTTCACTATGGGCTATGATATCTCGCACGAGGTACATGCTATGGTAGGTTTATGGATGATCAAATATGTTTTCTTCTGTCCGGAGTCCAGACCTTCGTTCATGAGCGCAATCACTGGAAGAGTATGCTGCAGCATCACATCGTCGTGAGGCAAGACAGTCCGAGCAGGAGAAATTACACAAATGGATCAGCTGCAGGCCGTGAAGGAATTAGGAGAAGCCCGTGATGGGTTCATGCTGACGTTCCAAAGCGGTCGCTGTGTGCTGGAAATCTGATTCTTCTGTTGCACTATCGCACCGTCTACAATATATAACTCAGCAAGCGCCATGAGCAATTGAACCTGATCGCGAGGCAAACTTTACATGAAAGGAGGACACGGACATATCTAGGTGATTGTTGAACTCCGTAGCCCCTCAGGGCCTCAGCTGTCGATGCTCGCGTTTACCTCAAGGCACGGTATTAGTAACACCTCGCTGGGCAGTGTAAGGATCGGTGTGCAGTGTGCACAGCCAGGCTGGCCAACCTTTGTCCTCCCTCTTCACCCGAGGTCATATCAATGCCTCCGCGCGTTGTTCCATGCTATGCTGTACTGGAGTGGTGGCCGCACTGGCCGACGAGAAAGATCTACCACTACGGCCAGGCAGCAGCACACGGCACGGCCCAAATATTCCTACGACCCTTTCGACAACTCCCTCCCACTGGCTCTCTGCCGACGCCGCCATAAAGGCATCTCCAGCCTAAAGCTAGCCTATCATGAATATTGACAAACACGACTTTACTGTCGTTGTCATCGTTCTACCTCTCGAGTCTCTTTTTTCTTGATCACAGACATGGACGTATGATCTCCATGTGGTCATTCTCCGATCGTCCCATCAAGATACATAGACGCGTCTTCTACCTTCAGACCTCACTCAAAATCAGACTGGATGGCTTATTGGTGCGGGAATGTGCCTTTAGGATGCTCCGTCCTTTATTTTGTGAAGACCGTATCTCCTAGCACGCAGCATCTGATGCTATGTACTGGAACACTTCGACCTCGCAGTACTCGTCATTCTCCGCGCACTCTTGATTGCCGACCCATCCTTTGATTCTCCTGCATCTGTCCTCTAGAGAGTCCAGATACGCAGCGGCAAACTGTGGATCTCAGGTTTTGCGCACTCATTCTCCCAGCTGTATATCGCCACGCGTCGCGTTCCAACGCTCGCCATGACTGTCCACACTGGTCAGGACACCGGCTCTTGGCCGCTTTGTCGCCCTCCACAAAAGATCACATCTTTGGAGTACTGCATGCTATCGTCGTGCATACTATTGCTCATTGACGAAATCAGAATTTGGAGTGTTTGTACTACTTCAAATGGCCTCTCCTTTTAAACTGGTTGCAGCGCCGTCGTGTGTCCCTGTTTCTCCTCAGGTCCAAACCACTAACAGAACTACACCGACATTCAAGCACTCGATCTTCCTCTCTGTGCTGTAGCCTTGGATGCTGCGAGAGATGACTGATATGCTTTCCACGTTGTCTAGCATTTGGTCTCGAGAGTCGGAATAATCATGTCGCGTGTGGTCCCTGTTGCCTAACCTTGTCTACTTCGATGAAAGACAACGGCCGCGCGTTCTGAAACAAACGGCGACACTCTGCGCCCCGAGGAAACGCGTATAGTATTGTCACACCTCCAGACCATTCCACTCTAGCAAACTCGAAGCCCGCTTCGTGGTCGAGCGACGACTGCTTCGGACACTGCGCGCAGCCACTAATGGGCATACGAAGCTGTTACCGATAGCGCATGAGTCTCTGTAGAGCTGCCGTTGTCAGCTGGGTGGTGCGCAGATTCTCTCCTGCGCGGCTTTTTCTTGTACCTCCCTGGCGCGCAGGATACTATCTCAGTTCTGCGCACCATGACTAGCCTTCGACTCCCATAACTATGACGGCGATCCTACTCCGCGACAGTGGGCACAACCTGAACCCAAGCAGCGAGACGGTCGTCTCTGACCAGCGGCGCCTCGAATGGATGCAAAGTCTCGATCTCGCAGGCGGAAGATGTTATTCATAGCTCGAGACACTCTGCGACCTGCGAAGAACCAGACTGCGCCTCGTCCCATGACGTGACGTTTTTTTGCATGCGCAGGAGTGCGCAGAGATATGCAGATCGCGCAGGTATGTGGGGTGCTTAAAAGCGACCTGCCTGCCTCCAATGCATCTTCACTTTTCAACGTTCATCTTCACCTTGTCGTGGATATGTATATTCTTTCTTGCTTTTATTTTCTGTCAGATTTATGATGGTACTGCTCTATTCTAGGGGTTATCAGGCGTGCCGCAGCCATTGTGTGTAGAGGACGCAGCCTATGCTATGAGCTTGTACTCCTAGGTATGTTTATCAATTCCTTTACTTTTTTGCATACGGGTCGCAGCTGTGTGGTGGCATTGCTTCCCGAGACCTCTGCATAAAGTTGACTCTTTGGCCTTTCCATCATATTGATCCATCGCGTTACTGAGTTCATTTATTTGCCAGGGATCCCTTGTGCGTTTCGGGCGATTGAGTCGAAGTGACGTGGCACGCTACGGCTATCGCGTGTCTGCACACGGAGAGCAGAAGTCACTTGTTTGTAATATAGGCTCGCGATTCCTGTGCAATCAAGAGTTGCGGCATGCTGTTTGAAATGTGTGCCAGTCTAGTACAATATCCAACCCGGTATGTATTGGACCCCTCATTTTATAATGCATGTCAGATCTGGAATGATTTCTTTCTTTCGGCCATATCATGATAGAGCTAGCAGATTGGTGATGTATCTGGATATTCTTCATACAATTGCATCAGCTCCTAGTATCAAACCCTTTCGTTTTGAGAATTAAGAGTTTTCAGTAATCTATTATCGACATGTGGATAGATCGGTACTAACAATACATTGTTTGGAGTTGCTAGACAAGCACGCCTGAATACATTCATGGATGTTGGTTGAGAGACCCGAAAACTAGACATCAGCGATGATGACGCTGCTGCTACTTGTACTTATAGGTTAGGGCCAGTCGCTTTGTCGCCGCGATTGTCCCTTCGACTCGTCTCCTCATCGATATCGGGCTCGCTAAGTCTCTCGCAATAATATTGTCCTATTTACATGAGGCCGATTAGAAGGCGGAAGACGTCGTTCATTGCTCGAGGCTCTTTTCAATCTGCAAAGAACTAGGGTGCGCTTCGTCCTGCTTCGTCTCATGACACGACCTTTTTTGGACATGCGCAGGACTGCGCAGATCGCGCAGGTATGTGGGATGCTCAGATGCGCCCGGCGCAATGTTGCAGGACACAAGCATCAGGGTTCCACATCGAGCGTGGCTGGGTCGGCTGCGCCCCCTCCACCCGTCCCGTCATCTCGCCCTGCGCCTCCACCTTCCCAATTGGCGCCTCCCCCTGCAGCACCTGCGCCTTCTCTGCCTCCTGTTTGATCCTCACAAGTCCTCCGCCCCCTTCTAATCGTGTTCCTCCACCTTCTCGGCCTGCTAGAGTCGTAAAAATCCATACCAGAAGAAAGGAGAGAAGAGGAAAATAAGTTAAGAGCGATGAGGGAAAGGAGAAGGAAGGCAAAGGAGGCGGGGCAGAGACGAAGGAGGACAAAGTATTAGGGTAACAGTAGATACAGACGACTTGTAGCGTCAACGAGCCATCACCATCATGACGTCGTGCTTGCATTCTCGCCTAGACAACAGTTCGGACACCCACGAATCCTTAGCACACTGCTGAACTCACCGTAAAGAACACCGACGCTGAAACCAGCACCAAGACATTGTTGTCATAACCAACACTCCATCCTGGCGCCCATCCGTGATAAAACAGGCCGCTTCCACTCCACTACAGTAGCAAATTAGGCTTGTGCATAATATCGATATCGCACAGACTGCGAACAATGTCTCTACCGATACTGTTTTCGTAAGTCGAGTTGAACGACGAGAGACCGTAGAGTTCATTGTTATCTGCTACGATAGGATCCACGATCATATTCATTTATCTCCCACTGCTTTGCAATTGGATCCTGTTCCGTATCTTGAGGCGCGCTTGACCACAGCACCGACTGCACAACGACACACCATCGCCCGGCTTCAAGCCCTCTCGGCCGCCATACAAAAGCACACCAAAGCTTACCAACGATCTCACCGACCGCCAGAGCGTACAAACAGACTCTTCGAAGCATCGAACCCAATCACTATTGTCATACTATCGGTACACACGTCCGATGCCGACCTCAACGCATTCAGCACCGCGGCCCATTTTTTGATAACCAGTTTCCTACCGATTCCATCGCAGTAGCCGAGCTCAAAGCTTCGCGCCCTGCTCCCACTTGTCCAGCCACTGCTGGATATCGGCCGACGAGCGCTGCGATGCCGCCAACGGGTCGTCAGCACACTCGCAAGGACGAGGACGAGGACGGGCAAAAGAGAAGAGACACGCACCGCGATCCACGCGGACTTGGCATTGATGCCGTCGAGCGCCTGCGCGAGCGCGAGGTTGTACTTCCCGGTGTCCTTGTCCTGCACCGCCGGAACCAGACTCGTCAGCACAGCGCGCGCGCGCGCGCGTCGCGCAGCTCAACGCGGGGCAAACGGGATACGCACCTTGAAGAACGCATCGACGCTCTGGCGGTCGGCCTCGGTGGAGAGGCCCGAGAGCACGGACTAGAAACGATAGTCAGCGTCCGTACGGCTAGGCCATGACGAATGCACAGAGCGCACTCACCGTGACGAGGTACTTGAGCGTGAAGTTGCCCTCGAAGCGCTTGTACAGCTACAGAAATAACATCAACGCGCGCGCACCGTCCGTCAGCTCCGTCTCATGAATCCAACGCCCCCCATAAAAAACGCACCGCATCGTAGTTATCCTCGAAAAACGCGACGAGCGGGCGCCGCGCCTTGAAGTTCGCCGCGAGCCCGGAGAAGAAGTACGTCACGTCCTGGTCGCGCGCCCTGTCCATCACGAACCGCATCGTCGCATCTTGCAGCGCCGCGTCCTGCGTCGCGCCCATCGCGTACCTGCCGCCCAAACAAGCACTTCGGTAAGCCAGCCCAGCCTGCGCCGCGCGCGTGAGACGTACATGGCAGCGATGCGCATCGACGGCGTCTTGGCCTCGTCGTGGAACTTGACTACCGCGTCGTACTCCTCCCGCCCGCCGTACTTCACGGCCTACGAACCCCACATGTCAGGTCCCGCCGAGATGCCCGATGCGCGTAAAGAGACAGCGGAGACTCACCGTGCGGAACGTCACCCGCAGCAGATCGGCGGGGATGACGGCGTCGTCTCCGGTCTTGACGAACTGCGCGAAGCGGTCCTGGAGCGCCTTGACGACCCTGCGACAACAGACGTTCGATCAGAGGCGAGCTCGGCTTGGCTCTCACAAGAAGAAAGAGCACGCACTTGGGGTCCTGAGCCGCAGCCGCCTGCCCGATCGCGCGCGTGCGCAGCTGGCTCGTGTCCGCGTCGTCCTTGGCCGAGTACTCGAACCCGAGCCGCGCGACGATCGGCCCGTACAATTCCTGCACCATCCATCACACACCTGCGTCAGTCACCCTCGACTTCGCGTGTCCGAACGCCCAGACGGAGAACGCGACGGATTGAAGAATGCAGACGCACCCGGCGGAACGCGTTCAGCTTCTCCACGACCGCGTCGTTCTCCCACCACGTATCGACGACCCTAGACAAGTTCTCCGAGATGCTGTCCCACACCAAGACTTCCCGCCCGCCGCACGCGCCGTCAGCTCGCACATCAACCACCAAAAGGACGGAGAGCACGCACATTCCCGCTCCTCGCGCAAAATATGCACGAGCGTGAGCGCGGCGCTGACGTCCAAGAAGCCCGCCTTGGCGAGCGCCATGGCGTCGTGCACGAGCCCGATGCGGTCGTTCAGCGAGAACACCGAGTCCGCGCGCGCGGCCTCCTGCGCGATCGCCGCGAGGCGCTCTGGGGTGTACAGCACGCGATCTAAGCAGCATCGCCCGCACGTGATGAGCGACCTCTTGCACAAAAAAAAGGGCGGCGGGAAATAGAGGACAGAGAGAAAAAGGGACGCACAGACGCCGCTCGTGTCCGCGTTGAGCTTGAACGGCTTGCTCGTGTCGACCGCGAACGCCTTCTCGCGCACGTCGAGCACCGCGCCCTTGTCGACGATCGCCTGCCCCGCGCTCGTCGTCGTGAGCAGGCTCAGCGGGATGGTCCTAGCGGCGGACCGCCGAGCCTCAGTCCCCACGCATATTAGATAGGGCGGCGCAAAAAGGGCGCACCAGATCGTCTCGTTGTCCTCCGGCTTCGCAGGCCCGTCCTCGAGGAAGCGGTCCTGGCGCACCGTGATCCCGCCCTCGGTCTCGGTGACCGTCAGCACGGGGAAGCCCATCTGGACGCGCGTCAGCTCATCTCAGGTAAGGACGGCTCCCGGCGGCGGCGGCGGCGGCGGCGGCGGCGGATGCGAAAGCGTTCGACGGACCTTGGTCACCCAGTTATCCATCACCTTCGGGACGTCGATGCCTGTGAGTATGTACACAAAAGCAAACACACGCGGCGATCAGAAAAAGAAACACGATCGGACACGCAGGCCCAGGCGCAGCGCCGTCAATGCGTACCTGTCGCCTCGCCGATGCCCTCCCACAGGTCCGTCGTGACGCTGTTCGCGTACAGGTGCTTCTTGAGGTAGATCGAAACGCCCTTGAGAAATTTCTCTTCGCCGACGTACTTCGACAGCATGCGGAGCACTGCCGTACGCGCACACACGCACACGCACACAATACAACACAACGCAATCCAACACGCAGGTCAGCATCCTGTACGCCCTGCTTCTATCCGCTGCACGCCAGAAGGGCCCCCAATTCTGCGCGCAGAAGGGAAGGGAAGGGAAGGGAAGACGGGGGACACGTACCTGATCCAGCCTTGGCGTACGACAGCGAGTCGAAGATCTACATGTAGAAACGCACGGCGTGAGCGCACCGCTTCCCGGCCGCACAAACCAACAGCCGGCGAGAAAGGGGCGGACGAGGGGTGTCTGTGGGGAGGGGGAGAGCGCGGAGGCACGGGCGTACCTGGTTAATCTGGTTCGCGTCGGGACAATCGACCTCGATCGGGTGCGAGGACAGCTTGGCGTCGAGCCGGAGCGCGTCGTTCAGATGCTCCGTGATGAACTCCGAGTCGACCTTCCACTCCGGGAAGACCCTGGCACACAGACACAGACACACGCGGGGACGTTAGCTTTTTCGAGCGTCGCGGCGTTGGGGGGAGGTATAGGGAGCACGCACTTGTCCATGATGATGACCTCGCCCATCTGGGCGCACGCACGCGCAAGGGAGGGTGCGAGCACCAGCAGTCAGCACCCGGCGGCCAAGACAGAAGCGTACGGCATGCTCACCACAGTCGCGAACCCTGCCCACACCACACGCCCGAATCAGCACCCGCATATACCATTTGCCAGCCAGCCAGCCAGCCAGCCCGCACACACGCACACACACACGGAGCACGCACCTTCGTTCAGATACAAGTAATTCCACCACTCCATCGTCGTGATGTTCCCGAACCTGTCGCGCGCGTTCGTGGCCGTGAGCGTCCGCTGGCGCAAGCAAAAAAAAAAAAAGAAAAAAGGGGAGGGGACCGCCGCACGCACCACATGTGGGCAACCTCGTGGCTCTGCGTGACCGCGACGCGCTTCTTCGCGAGCATGTCCGCGCGCTCGGGGTCGAGCAGGAACGCGCTCGTGCGGCCCGTGATGAGGCCCTGCGCGACGCGCGCGTCAGTTCAGTAGGCACCCGCCGCCTCGGCAGAAGGAGGGGAGCGAGAGGGGGAGGGGGCGCACCCAGTTCTCCATCGCGCCGGCATCAAAGTCGCTCGCGACGAGCGTGTCGAGCTTCGGGAGCGGGTACTCGACGTCGAATACTTGCTCGTACAGCGGGAGCACCTTCGCCTTGACGTCGAGCGCGAACTGCGCCTGGTGGATGCAGTCCGGGGTCGCTACACGCGCACAAATAAAGCGAGAGAAAAAGTCAGGAAAGGGGGCGTGCACGCGGCGGCGCGGTCGAGCGCGCAGGGAGGGACGCGCACCGTAGATGCGCAGCGGGCGCACGGCGCCGCTCAGCGGGCTCTTGTACGAGCTCTCGAGGTACTCGAACGGGCCGTTCGCATACGCGAGCAGGTACGTCGACATCTGGAGACGCAGCGCCTCTATCAGCAAGCAAGCACCAGTGTGAGCCGCACGAACAGGGCGACGCACCGGCGGCGTCGTCGCGTACTTGCTGACGACCCAGTCTCCCTCGGCAACGCCGGCGTAGAGCGCCTTCTCGTCGTCCGCGAGCGCTTTTGTGTCGGTCGCCGGGGAGTCGGGGAGGACGGGCATGTTGGACAGGCTGACGGTGCCCGCGCGCGACACGAGCGTGACCGCGAAGGTGGCCTTGAGCGCCGGCTCGTCCCAGCAGGGGAGCGCGCCGCGCGCCGAGGTCGGCTGGCAAACACGACGAACGCACACTCGTCAACACACGTGAGATTTCAGGCAGGGAAGCGGGGGAGGGCCCACCTCGAACTGCGTGAGCGCATACACGCCCTTGTCCCACTTGCTAGCATAGTAGCCCGTCATGCTCCCGTCGAGCGGCGCGGAGAAGCCAACGCTGAGCGTCGCCTTCGAGCCCGCGGGGAGGTCCTGGGCGAACGCAAAGGTCGCGCGCTCGGTGGGGGCGTCGTAAGTGCTCGCGGTGGGGGCGAGGGTGAGGGTCTCAGAGGTGGAGAGCGATGCGGGTGCGAGGGTGAGGTTCGTGGCGGCGTTGAGGGTGATGGTGCGGGTTGTGCGGAGGATGTCGAGGCTGGCGAGGGAATTAGTTAGCAGATGCAGGGAAAGGTAGGCAGGTAGATGGCGTGGCCGGACGGTGAAAGCAGCGGACGCTCGCGAAGGACGACTCACTCGACTCTGACGATGCCCTCGAACAGCTCCTTGTCAAGATCCGTGCGCACGGTCAGATCATAATGCGTAGGACGCACGTCCGTCGGCAGACGGTACGCGTCCCTCGGGACAGTGTCCTTGCTCGCGCTCGACATGATGGCAGAAGCGGCAAAAGGGGTGTTTGCGGAGGTAAAGCAAGAGCGCACACGGCCAAGCGTCGATGATGCGAGTGCAGCGTGCAGTCGCGGATGCGAGATTGCGCGCAGAGGGTTCGATGATGGCGGATTATATAGCGACGGGGGCGCCTGAGCGGATATCGATGGGACCGGCGACCATGTGCTCCTGCTGCACGCGCGTCGCCGAGTCGTCCTGTAAACCATGCTTGACACCCTCGTCCAGTCCGACGTCGCCGGTGACGGCGGCGCGTGAGCGGCGGCTGCAGCTGCCAGCGGCCTACCGAGGCCTGACAGCACCCGCATGCTGCGTGTCCGTTTGTGTGTCTGTGCGCGTGCGTGGCAGAAGCTAGAGGAGGCCAAGGAGACGCGTTCGTGCGTGTTGCGCGCTGGAGCTCGAGAACGGGCGCAGTCGTGGCAGACAACGACGAGAAGGAGAGCGCCCGCAGAAGCAGACGCGACTCGCGACGTCCGCAACCTCGGACGCAATAATTTTCGCAAATACGTACTCGTACACCAGCGGTGCGCACACCGAGCTGCAAAGCCGCACAGTACTGTAGAGACGCAGCACAAACTCCCAATAGTCCATTAGATCTACAAATTTCACTATCGCGGCCCCTCCTGCTCTCTACACCTCCAAAAACTCGTCGTCCTCCTCGACCAGCAGATCCAAGAACCGGAAGAACGACGCCGCCGGGAACCCGACCACGTTCTGGAAGTCGCCGTCGACCTTCCGTATCAGCAGCCCGCCGAGGCCCTGCATGCGACGCGCGCCGCGAAGTCAGCAAATGACCAATGACCGACCGACCGACCGACCGACCGCTCATCGCACGCACCTGCACCGCAAACCCGCCCGCGCGGTCCGCACCCTCGCCCGAGTCGGCGTACGCCTCGAGCAGGTACGTCGGGTTGTCCGCGAAATACACCAGCGAGCGCTCCTCGATCGACCTGCGCTCTCTCGATGAGCATCCGAGTGAGGCGTCGTATCAGAGGCGGAACGCACCGAATCGCGTACCCCGGCGCCGTCAGAACCGGAAACACTGCAAGGCACCGACTCTCAGCTCAGCCCTCCGACGGTCCGCAAAATCCAAGACTGAACATCCGCACGCACCGACCGACACCCCCGTGACGACCTCGCACACCGCGCCGTTCATATCCAGCAGCATCCGCAGGTTATCCGCGCGCCCCGCAGGCTTCTCCAGCACCTCCGGCCGCGCACCCTGCGCGCTGATGAACGGCGCGTCCGATAGCGCCGCCTGCGCGTGCGTCAGCACGACCGTATCTGCGCCAATCACGAGGTCCGGCGCGTCGTCCGGGTTTTCTTCCTGCGTGCGTGCGTGCGTGCGTGCGTGCGTGTGCGCGTGCGACAGCGGGAGTGAAGGGGGCGAGGGAAAGGGAGTGGGGAGGATAAAGGGTCAGGCGGCGGAAGTGGACGGGAAGGGGGACGACGGGGCGGGACGCACGACGAGCCGCTCGTAGACCTCGACGGCCTTATGCGTCGCCGTCGCGACGGGGTACTCGTGCACATCCTCGAACGACATCGGGTCCAGGTCCTCCTCAAACGTCGACGGCACCACCTCCGGCGCGAGCCCCTACCCCACACACACGCCGTAGCACGAGCGCCAAACAATCCCGCGTCGTCGATCCCAGACACGATCGAAGCAACCCGTCAGCGTGCGGTATGCAGTGCGCCTAGGGCCGAAAGACGGCGGCTCGCTCACTCACGAAGGTGCGCAGGATCTCGCGCCGGCGCGGGCTCGCGGACGCGAGGACGACGCGCTTCCCGGTCAGTTTCGTGAGCCCCGGGACGCGCAGCGCGTGCGGCAGCACCGCGGGCTCTCGTTTCGGCGCCATTGATTATTGTTATTTGTTGTTCAGTGCGGCGGCGAGGGAGGGAGATGAGTCCGGGTAAGCAAAGAAAGATGAGGAGAGGAGAGGAGATTCGGAGGGGCGTAGGGGACGACACGTGGCCTGCAGCGAACGGCACGTGGGGCGCGCGGCCGCGTCCGCTTCGCGACGCGTCGGCATATTCACCAGGCTCAAGATACCATCTGATTCATAATGTACAGACTAATGCTACAGTTTCGACATCGCGCCAAAGCCCATATATTCCTAAACCACGCCGCGTCGGCGACCGACCCCAAGCAAAGTCGGACCCGCCACCGAGATGCGGCACTCACCCTCAGCTGCGTCGTGTCCACCGTGCTCAGTGCGCGTGCATCCACTCTGCGACCCGCTCTATCAGCGCCGCTTTTACTCCCGATACGGGCAGACTCTTGCTGCGCAGAAAGTCCTGCAGGCGAAACGCAAATAAAATAGGCGCGGTCAGCATTGAAATCGGACGGGGCGGACGGGGCGGACGGGAGCACCTTGAGCTGGTCGACGCGCAGCTGGTGGTCACGGCACGGGCGTCAGCGCATGGAGCAGGCGGACCGAGCGGGAGGAGGACACACCTTCGCCATCGACCCGGACTCGTACTTGCTCCGGATCTCCGCTTCGTCGACGCTCACGGTCTGCCGTCGCGAACAGATCGCCCACCGCGGCAAAGCACACGTTCAGGACAATATGCATATCAGTGGAGTATTCTATAGGGAGGTGAATAAGAGCGGGATGCTCACCGCAGCCCGCTTGGTTCCGGCGGCAGCAGCGACGACGACGGTCGTGTTTGCGCCTTCATCCGCTTCGATCGCTTGCGCCCATGCTTCGATCAGCGGGCCGGCTTTCTGCTCAGACACGCATGCAACAATAAACAGAGTAGGAAAGATCGTGAGTATTACCAGAAACGAGATGGTGTAAAAAGTCGATGGAAGAGTCGAACTTTGAAGATACGACGCAGGCTATGAATGTACGAGGAGGAGGAACACGCACCTTGTGTATCGTGTCATAATTCGGCGCCGTCACGTCCTCGAACGAGTCCGCTTCGTACTCCTCTCGGAACGCCGTCGCCTCTAGCTGCTCGTTATGAAACGCGAGCGCTGCCACATCCACCGTAAAGTCAACAACAGCCCACGAAATAGCTACATATCCCGACGCACCTGGGTTCGGATACGAGTCTGGCATGTACGTCCCGTTCTTGATCGCCAGCTTCTTAACGATTGCCTTCGCTGCATCCACGGCGTCCTTCTTGGCTGTGCATCCCCCGCCCCACAGGCGGACAGTCAGCCACAGCGAACAAACAAGGGCAAGGAATGTGAAATACAACCATACCTCGAATGGCCTGCTCCACCGGCGCGGCCCTGATATCGTCCGCGAACGGCAGCGGCACAAGGTGTATCCCCGCGGGCTCCATCCATCCAGACTCCTCCAGCTTCTCGGTCTGCACACAGATCAACGAACCGCATGAGAACCCGACGACGTCCAATTTGCCTATAAACGGATCGAGTGGCACACCTGCGGAAGCATGGCATAGAACATAGGCACCGAGTTGCGCCGCATGGTGCCGAGCGCCAGTCCGATCTTGTCCTTGGCGGCCATGGTCTTCACGAGCGCGGAGAACGTCCGCTTGCTGCCCGAGTACGCCTGCAGCGTGGCAAAAGAACGACACAGAGTACCGACGGTGTTCAGTGGCATCCCGCCTTCGCGCGCATACATGTGTGGAGACTGACCATCTCATCCGGGTATATGAACGTCGAATGCCGCACGTTGTCCTCGAAAGCAAGGTCATCGCGATCTTTGAAGCCAAGCAACTTTATGCCCGGCTCGAGCCCAAGGGTGCGGAAAGATCGCACTTCGTCTGCGGTGTAGAACACCTATCGACATATATCATGTCAGCGCGTGAGCACTGATCGTAGAGGGAAGACGTGCCCGCTTGCCTACACCCACGGCCCTCGTGCCGAACCCTCCTGGCGCGTCTTGGTCGTCTCCGGTGGCTCCAAGCGTCATACCAAACACGATATCGTGCTTGTCCACCTCCGCTTGTCGATCCTACCATAGAAAGCGACAGGACAACATGAGCAATGGATCCGATGCGCGACGCACGACGGCTCGCATATCGGCCAATCCATACTCGCCTCGTCCACATACGCCGTCCGACTCTCAGCGACCTCCATCCTGTCCCCAAGGTCTGCAAAGTACTTGTACGCGCCCTTGCGCTGCTCTGCGACGAGCCCGTAGCCTTTGACGCCGATGCAGAAATCGGGCGCGAGCTGCAGCGAGACGCTGAACAATGCACGCTTCGGCAGCTCGTGGAAGCGCATCTGGTCTAACAGGTCGTCAATGCGCGTGATTGAGATCGACTCGGGAAGCTCAGAGCTCCCCGTCTGAGACTCCGAGTCGTCGAACTCCGAAGACAACAGGACGTTCTGCGAGGGCCGTTCACAGTTACAGTGCGTGGGGCAAGATGCGATACACGAGGGCTTACCGTCCAGAATTTTGTCTGATCAAACGGCTTGTCTTCGGTGCTGATGAAGAAAGGCTCCACCGTCACCCCTGCTTGCACGAGATCCTGCATGAAGAAATATGTATTACATCGCGAGAGAGATTAAGACAGAAACATACAACAAGAGTCGTTCGCGCAGCCAGAAGCAGCTTCTCGCTGATCGCGTCACGGTGCGGGTCATCATTGTCTGTGATGAGGAAAACGCGCTTCGACGCAGTCTTCGGCGCTCTGTGGTACAGTCAACACACTCCATGAATCAGCCAAGCAAGTCCACTCACCCATCTCGGAGAACCCAGTTGCAGCTCGTGAAGACGTCACCCATAGGAATACATCTGTCATCCAGAGGTGGACATGCCTCGCGAAGCACACTCATATCAGTGCGGGCCTCTGAAGAATCAACCTTTGTCAAGAGGCTATGGCATTCAAATGAAATCCACGGACCATCCACCAGTCGTGTTAAATCAAGGACATTCGGAGCATTGATAGTGGTGATTGGCAGGTGTACGAACGTCCCTCTTTTGAGGTCTGAAACCCGACCAGAGGTGATACCCTTTGCCTATAAGATGATCCGTCATCTAAGTTGGAAGAGTAGAGGTCCTAGATTCAACAAATGTTCTCACAGTATTATATAGCATGATTCCAACAGAGTCATTGGGCCCCACAGTGACCTTCTTCTTCATGATCTGGACGGCAGCATCAAGGGCGGTGAGTAAGTGGCTTGTCTGGGCATCTTCGTATTTCGGATGTTCTCTCGGTGCAGACATAGATTCTGAGCAGTCGATACAGAAAAGAATCACATCCCGTCTGCTCTCGAAGTACTAGGCGGACGTATGAGAGCGGGCGCGCACTGCACGTGTGTTGGACGTATCGCTCACCGTGGTGTCTTGGAGTTCATCCTCCTCATCTTCATCCATCTTGTTCCAGTCTTTGTATGGTGCCATATCGCGACTTGCTTCTCGAATATTTCAAGCTTTCTAACGTGGTGAATGAGGTGGCACACAGAGAGTAGTAGTTCAAGCAGCGTTCAAGCTCGACAAGGCAATTGACCGCAAGACCGGAAATCGGCGGGGATGTCCACGCCACAGACGCGTCGGAGGAGCTTCATCGGAGATCCAATCCACTGTGGCGGATCTCTCAGCCTCCCGTCTTTGCCTTCGACCAGCTTCGACCTCGAGTCATATCTGGTTTGACACAAGTTCTGGTTCTGGCGGCAAATGAAAACCCATCCAACAAATCAAAGAAGCTACCATCAAAGCCCAGTGGCACGCTAGGCATAGATCTGTACGTCCATCCCTTGTGCTGTGGTGTGTGTCTTGGGACACATTTACAGTGCAGTCTGACTTCAGAGGGCAGGTAGACTAGAGTGGATTCTGACCTGTCCATAATTAAAACATCTTGGACAGACATACAGATAAAATATCACGCTCCTGGTTTTCATGATCCCCGATCCATCGCGAGATCAAAAGACATATTTTCTTGGGTGGATGTCGAATAAATTCTTTTGGGTTCTCACTGTCGTCCAACAATCGCAATCCCACCGTCCGACAGATTTTGAACGTCGAATCTGACCCTGATGCGGGGTACCTGAATTTCGGAAAGATGATCTGGCACGTCGCTGCCATCCTTGATTACCGATATCGTACATTCTGCTTCACCGAAGGGTTCGACTTCAAGACGACCCCGAGACTACCCTAGACTACCCTGAGTTTTCATTACAACTCTTTTGATGGTTCATTAATATGGCTCAGGAACGGCGCAGATGCGATCCGAACGACTGACGGAACGCGAGCATGCGACGCTGCGCGTCTCTCCCGTCACCAGATTCATGGACCTCTGCATGCCAAGCATCTCGGTCCTCCACGCTTTAACGTAGATCCGCTTTCTGATGCTCCCAAGCGCACTGCCTTAGTACTGCCTCCCTGTGTCCACACCCTAGCTTAGCGCATTTGTACAAGTGAGCCATGAGGGGGTCAGTGCCTTTTTACGAGCCGATGCATGAAGTCGACTAGATCCCGCCGCCTTTCTCTCGCTGCACAGAGATCATGAGCGCAGAGAGAGTGCGAGACAAGAATGCGCCGTTCAAACGAAGAATGTCGTACTGCGGCCTCGCCGACGACGTTCGATGTACCAGCTCCTCAAATTCCGGGATACGCCGGGCTGAGCGGGTTCTGCTAATGCTGGTCCTTTAGTTTACAGAGGTGTATAGGCCTCACGAATAGGACGTTCATCGAAAGAATCACTCAACAAATGATGAGTACCGACAGAGGGAATGGCTGCCCAGTGTCGATTGACTGGGACGTGCATCTGCCGACATGTCGTTGAAGAAATGCCAAATGTTCAAAATGCCAACTTCGAACATTGATCAGGTAGAGCGTTCTTCCGCCCGGCGAAAGGATACATTCCTAACACAAGGACAACGAGCGGACAAGACATCGGCAATTATCGTAAGCAAACTAGCCACCCCAGCTCTTGCGACTTGAAAGCCCCTCTTGATGATCTATTGCACATGTATCTTGATGGATGTAAATAGATTTTGAGCAAGTAAATTGTAGGGTAAACACTAGCACTAGCACTACAGATCAGAGGTCGGCACATTCGGGATTGTGTGGAGGTCATACATGTTGATGTCTCATTATAGCCTGCAGCATACGATCAGCATGATATGTAACCTGAAAAAGGAATACACGCACCCGATGAGCTTCATAAGCGCGAATCCCAACGTCGCCACAACCTAAACACAACGTCAGACTGCATTCCTTCCAGGAACGATCCACACTCACCAGAGTGGCGATCACGCTCGCCGGCACGCCGTTCTTCAAGAAATCGATATTTGACAAGTACAGCTGGCCCATATCGTCTTCCTGCGTGGCTCTGCGTAGACCTGTTAGAACTAATGCAAGTTGAGAGGAGGGCGCATAAGGCTACTTACGCGGTTTGATTAGGGAATCCTGACACAGGCATGCCCATACCCGCAGAGCAGATCAACCCGGTGACAAATATGAGCAAGTTTGCCTGATCGCCTGGAAGGTTGCTCCCAACCTCCTTCGCAATCGGTACGAGGAGGACACTCGCAATCGTGTGACTGATGAAGGTCGAAATTACCTGCAGTGAATATTAGTATGGCTAGTCAGCAGAATTTTGTAAAGTACACACCAGAACAACGGCGGAGAGGACGAGAACTACGGTGTACAGTGAAAGCCCTTCCACAAGATCTCGGATGACGACGTCCATCTTTTCCAGCAGTCCGCTTGAAGTTACGCCTTTTCCGAGTGCGATACCTCCCATCGCCAAGAAAACGACGGTCCAAAGGAACTGTTCAAAATCATCCTACAAACAACTCGCTTATCAGGGAATGGACTGGAGAAGAGCGCTCGTTTTCCCACCTTCTTCAGGACACCGGTTCCGAAGAATGCCACGATAGGGATGATTGCAATAATACCCATATCGCCGACATATTCCTCAATGCCCTTTTCGACGCACCAGAGACCGATAGTCACCAAACAAACTAGCGTGACCCACCACTGCTTCGCAGTGAACCCTTCTCTTGTCGGCCGAATGCTCTTAATCTCTAGATACCCTTCGCCATTTGGCAGATGCGAAGGCCGGTAGGACACCAGCAGCATGAGCCATATCAAGATGATCGAGACAAGAGACACCGGAAGTGCAACAGCAAACCAGTGCGCCCAGTCCAGTGGCGGATCCATTGCCTGCAACGTGATCAAGTTCTGGGGGGAAGATATAGGGGAGGACTGGCCCCCGATGTTCGCTGCCAACGCGATCGCGATCTGAGATAAGTCATAAGCGAATGACGCAGTCAAGAGAGGTGCAGACTGACTATGAGACAAGGGCCAAACGTCGATCGAGGAGGGAGGGTTCGAAGAATTGGCTAATGAAAGGAATTCTGTCTGAATCAGCATGCCCTTAGGCCAATTCATGGAATCAACATACCCGCACAAGTGTGAAGCAGAGAGTAGGCGCGGCGACATTGCTTGTGACTTGCGTCAGGACACATCGCTCCAGGCAGACACCACATAAGCGCACCTTATCCACATACTGGCAAAACATGCTACGCCCATAACCGCCAAGAGCACGACACTTGGACGTGTCCCAGCGAGGCTCAGCACGCGGGTAATGAGCACCCGATCGATGCTTGTCTTAGAAAGCGCTGCGGCGATGGTGAACCCACCAATGAGGAGCATGATGGTCGGGGAAAACATGACTGAAAAAATCCACCTAAGCCAAGTAAGGGATGAGATGCCGAGTCACATTCACAATAAAATTAGCCCACTTTGTCGCATCAGGGGTGCTAAGTCTGCTATCTCCGTTAGGGGACCGCACGACTTGCAGGCATACGAGCAAAAGCGGTATCATCATCGATGTCACAAACAAAGGGATGGCCTACATGGAGATTTCATTTAGAGTCTCGACGGATATGGAACATGTATGAACATACCTCTGTCGCCCACAAAATAGTCGCGAATACCAAAATAGCGAGACATCGATTGGCCTCTGTGCCCTCAACAGCTTGCACGTTCAGAAGAACCGCGAAAACAATGGCGGCTAATAGCACCCATGCATGCCTTCTCCCCACGCGCAGTCTTCCGACCGGTGTCCGCACTTCAAGCGCTTTCTCCTCTGAAGATGTTCCTAGGGACACGCCCAACGGAGTCCCTCCGTCACCTCGACGTTCTCTCCCGATCATTGTGCGCCAGACAGTGTCCCGTTCCCATGCTATGTGCTCACGTAGATGCATTTTGAGGTACCGTTGTGCAGCGGCCACGTCACCATGGGTAACACACTTCGCATACAGATGGAGAAGAGCAGATTGAGCTTCAGAGAGACGAGAGCGAGAGGTGCCGTCAAAGGGGGTCGTTGGCTCGAGAACCTCGTGGAGGTAATGTGCTTGTAGCTAAATGTGGAAAATGTGAGATATTGTCGCAGGCGCGGATAGATACCGTCAAGTGTGTCAAACCCACCGAATTCTCAGTCACCTTGTCATACCTGAATGACATTCACTGAGGATTCGCCTGTGATATTACAATGATACATACTTTTTAAGGATCTTGCGGAACCCTGAGTAATTGAGCTCGACATAAGAACGAAGCGAGGCGACTTGATTGTAGAGGTTGGTGATACGTCGCTTGAATAGCAATTGTGTGTCCATTGCATAGTTTGACTTGGCTGTCCATATCGTGTCGTTACCCTGCAATGTTTGTGAGGTCTCGTGTGGGGACGCTAACGATGCTATACTGTTGCGCAATTTGTTCGCGAACGTACGAGCAGCACTCGGAGATTTACTGCGACTTTTGCTGCTATTCAATCCTGGACCTCTCACATTGTCCTGCGACTCGTTGACAGTAGAGGGGATGTGTATCTGGAGTTGACGCAAAGAAGTCAAGCTTGCTTCCAGGTCCGCGTTATCCTCTGTCGAGGAAATGCTGACACGGCGGGCAGCGGGCGAGACCTCCGCCATTTGATTGCCTGACAATTGAAGATATACACTCATTTATGGCTGTTTCTGCAATTCATCTTAGGACACACCTGTATTGTTGGGATTGAGCGGCTTCGAAGCAGCATTCGACGGCTTTCGTCTCCGCCTAGACGTGCTCGTATTTCCTCGCCGATCCCGGCTTCTCTCTGTGCTCTGCCATTCTTCGTCGTCATCATCGTCTTCGTCATCGTCATCCCAATCACCATCGCCCTCTGTATACAGCCTTCCAGCAACAAGCCCCATCTCATCCTGCTCCTTCACGAGATCTTCCAACTCTGTAAGCTCTTCCAGGAGCTCCTTTTCTTGATGCGAGTAAAAGGACGAGACCTTGCGCAGCTCCGCATCTAGCAGTGGATGGAAGAGTGCATTCGTATCCGGCGCTAGCGCTGACCGTCCCACGAGAGATGTATGCTCTGTCGCAGCTTCGATGTCATGAGAATATATACGTGCGTCATGCTGTTGCTTCTCCAGTTGGTATATGTATTTCTTGAGAGCATCGTAACTGCAAAAGTGATTGAGCAACCGATTCTTTCTTGGAGAACCCGCAGAAGCGTACGCGATATATTCGTCCCACCATTCGACGACAGCGTTGAATTTCAGCGAGGAACTGACTCGGGTATCAGTGACGAAAATTAGTCACACGAGCATGCACAGCGCACCTGAACTTCATAGCTAATCTGGCGACGTCAAGTCTGCGGTCACTTACACCGCTATCGATGACTCGAAGTGGTATGTACTCGACAGTGGGTGCAATATCAGTCGGTTCGACTTGGCCGTCTCGCGCGGTGAAGAACGTCGGGAAGGGTAAGGAGAGTATTCTGGCAAGCTGGGAGGACCCAAAGACCCAAGGCTGGTCTCAGCAACGTCGCCGAAGACGAGAAGCAAAACGAGAAGCCTTCCACAGATTATGCACGTGACTCCATATCACTTGCACGTGGCACAGACGCGTCCGCGTCGCATATCCGAATTTCGCGCAATACTTAGTTTCATATAAGCACAGATGTTCCAGCGCGCATAAAATCATGTTCACATTGTTTATCCAATATCCTCGTCTCTCCCCTGCTATAGAAAACAAACATCTCAAAGAACGCCGGCTCGGATGCAGTTGCACCAGCATTGGTACGGAAGCTAAATGGCCCTGAAGTCGAGGCGCGGAAGACCTGAAGTAATTCAGTAGTGCTGAGCCGAAAGTATGATCAGTATAAGCTATTTATAGTTCTTTCCTGAGTATATCCATGAAGTGTATAGCAGACGATATGGCAGCTAAAAATTCGTGCAGTTTCTCACTTATTGCTCCCATTCTATTTCAACGTATCATAAATGGGGATCTCGGGGGCTGGAATAGAAAACAGTAGAGGATGTTTGGTATGTGGAGGCTTGCCGATGTAATGCCGCCTCGAAGCGCATTCCCATATAGTCCATATACGGAAGGTGTAGTATTGAGCCTGCGAGCCATATAGTAGTCACGGACCTGTAGCTCTCGAGCAATAAGGAGGGTGGGATTCCTCCTCGTTCTGTCATTGCATGAATGTATAGGTATGTGCGCTCAACGAAATTTCTTCTCGCCTGTGTGGAAACATCCACAGATAGGAAGATTCCCTTCATTGCCAGAGGCAAATCAAGAGAGCCGTCTGAGGAAATAGAACAACGTGATAGGACTTCACTCTGGAACTCGATGATATTGCGATACGGCCAAAGCTATGTTGACGCACCTGTGGTATATCCGTCGACGGCCTCAACAAATTGTTTCGCCAACCACATCACCCGAGCACCCAAGAGCCTGTCTTGGTCTTGGGGGGTTTGGGGGAATCACTGTCTGTAGCTCAGCAAGCTCAACTGACTTTGAAAATCCCATCTTTTAAAGTCGTTCATGCCAACACTGACTTGGATATTAAGATGAGTGGCGTTGTCCGCAGCAGGTGGATCATTTTTTGGCTACACGAGATGAATTTCGCCAGCAGGGAGTGATGGCGGAGACTGTGAGTCAGCAGTACAATGCTCTTGTGTTATCGAGAGCTCGAAAATCGCCAATCTGCCAGCTCGTCGTACGAGAGACAGACACCGAGAAGGCTATATTGGAGTATATTGGCTGTTCAGCCCGGGACAGACTCCGCGATATACAAAAATCACATGAACGGAGTTTCCTGAGATGTTTCGATACCAAACCACTTACTTATGTCGTCCGTGATAAAAAGATGCATATGCAACATACTGCGTGACACGAACGTATGACATTACGGAGGCAATATCCATACTGGGGGACTGAATTTGCGGGGTATATCTGCGGCCCTGTCAATGCAACGCATGAGAGATTTCTGTAATCCTTCCGCTCAAAGATGCACCCTCATTTCTGAGCCCAACATCGGTACCGACCATCTGTAAGGTATGTCGCTTCCGGCAAGTCTCCTGATACCCCTGCCCTAGGCATCGTGACGATATTCCAAAGTGGCCAAGAATTCTGCGCACGCGTGTTCATCGAGCCACAGGATTGCTTATGGGTTGCCAGGAACGGTGAGAGCAGCTCCAGGTCCTTAACGTACAATAGGCACGCAAAGATTCCCCTGGGTACCGACGGCACATTCCACCACACGCAAGAGTAGACCCCAGTACGCACTGCGGCTCCGGATCTGCCAGAAAATCTTGTGAGCGCCATCAGGGATAAATAAATACGTTCAACCTCCAAAAGCCATCAGCTTGAGTAACAAACAGGGCTCACGTATGCTACAAGCTGGACGACGATTCAGTCTTTGTGTCCCTGCCCCCATCAAGAGATAGCGCTCTCAACCAGTTTCAGCTGAACTGTTGCTTGGAACATCTTGGTGGCGAAACGCAAATGGCCGCCCAGGGCGTTGCGTATGAACACACCCGGGCCGTCCGGAACGCTCGGGACTAGGATTGAACCCAAAAATAGCAAGTCGTTTCCTTCGGCGCAGGTAACGTTGCCACTCTCGAGATCTCACCGTCATCTGCTTGCTTGCTTTCTGAAGTTCTGAGATCTAACACAGTCCCTGGAAAGAAAAGATGACAGATCCCTCTCGCACTGGTGGCCGAGCTTGGCAACACTACGAGCTGTAACACGACACGGGGCTGACAGTTCTACCTCGGGGTATGTATATCGCACCGAATGATGATGCGAACGGTATCCGAAGGACTCCATGCGGTTGGAAAAGCTTAACCGCCCTTCTGCAATGTAACCTTAGGAGGACAGTGTGGGACTGGGAGCTAACTGCGATCATTGCGAAGTCTGTTTTGGTAAGTGCGCGCCCAACGCAAGGGGCCAGTAGCGTCATCTGGACGAGAAACATCGTCTTTTGAGCGCGCGGGTCTCGGGGAAGGCTGTTTATTGCTGTGGCAAGCCGTGGCACGCCCTGTCAGGTCATGACAGCTGGCGCAGTGAGGCACAGCGGCTTCTCGACCTCGAGGGCCCTGCTTGGGCATTCGCGCTCAGGCTCCTCAGCTCTTGCGCTCTATCGGTCCCGCCCTCGGAACCGTGTCGCGCTTTTTTCTTATCGCCTCGGTGCCCTCGGTTTGTCGACAACAATGATGCCAAGTGGCCTTGCAACATGTTTTATGTCTCACGTACATCCATTTTCTCTGTAGACCCTTATGGACACACCTCCAGGCCGCATAGAATCCCATCGTTACCTATCGTTACCCACTGTCGGTCACGGACTCCCTCGCAGCGTTCTCTACATACTTAACACGTGAACGGGGTTCCCATAAATCCCACCCGGGCTCCGCAAGGTGTGATACTTTGTTCATAGTTGCCAAACGCGCTGGGTAGCCCCACCAGCGGCACCCAATACATGGCCATACGCATAGTGGGGATAGCACACATCCTCATACACCAGCCCTTCGTGTGAGAGCTGTCTGCATTAATTGGGAACCGAGAAACCTTGTTCCGTCCTCGAGACTACCACGAGTTGACAGAGTTGGCATCGATCACGAAGTCGAAGCACCGCAGTTATCTTTATACGCACTCGGGCCTGTCTGACCCCATTGGCACGCCGTAATGTTATTGGCGTCAGCCTCTGTCAGCTAGAAGCCTCACAAGCGGGCAGGCGAGTCGAGGCATCGTACCAGTGCGACGACGTGCAATCGTAGTAAGCAGCCACTACATACAAGCGTTGGTTCCACTCGCACTCGACCTTGGGCGCCCGGGTGAAGGCTAAAATAGTGCAACGGCCGCCGAGGATACGATATAGCTCTTTTCGGCGGTCGGTGAACTCAATCGAACTTCCCACAAGCTACAGCCTTGCCAGAAAGCGAAAGCGTCCGTGAGTGCATTACCACAAGCTACAGCCCCGGAAGGACCCTCCAAAAAACATCCGTGAGTACAGTATTCCATGAGACATAAATAGTGAGCATCGCGGCCGCTGATATGGGGGTATTAGATACTAGGCATGCAAAAGCTTCGAGATGTACATATATTACAGATACAAGACAGAGGCACGGCTAGAAACACTACAACTGTGACAGTATTTCGACCATAAACGAAGATAGAGTAGGAGCAGAGCGCAATCGTCCAGGACCACGAGATAAAGAGATTAAGCCGCAACGTAAGAAATTGAGAATAGATACGGGTCACCACGGGCGAATAGGACGAGAGGCGTCGGTCGAGCTCATCCGACATGATTCGGCGGCACTAATGTATTGCCGTCGAAGCTCAGCCTCCCTAGATCGGAAGACGGCCTGCGTCTGCTCAGGGTGGCTTGGTTTTAGAGAGAAATCCTTGCCGCTGCTGTCGCTGCCGATCGACCGTTCGGAAGGCCAGTGCCCAGTCAACGAGAAAGCTGAAGGCAAGCCCTTCCCATTTTCTGTGGGCGGCAAGAAGACGGAGGGAGAGGCTGAGTCCGCGAAAGCGTCGATGGAACGCGGCGTTGCAGGGGAAATAGGAGACGGATCGGTCGGGGAAATCCCGTCGTTTGTCGTCGACGAGGAGGAGACCACGCTTGCGCTTACAGACGTGGGCGGTGGATAGTGTGATGACGAACCGAAGTTGTTTGACGTGTCTCTAGGCGAGTGCCTATGCTCTCGGTAGGCTGCCTCGGTGCGGACGGAGATTGGCGACCACGACGTTCTACAAGCGAGGCGAGGACGGGCCGATCGTTAGCCTTGGCGGGAGAGTCCAGTGAAAGCCTCATACGTTGCACATTTCGGTACGGAAAGAGACCGCCGGCGCTCCCACATTTGCTCCATCGTAGGCGGACGCATGTCGTGCCGAAGCTCATCGGCAACTTGGAGGCGGCGGAGAACAGCGCGAGAGTCGCGCATCGACGACCCTGAGATGTCTGCTAGCGAGGAAATGGGAGGAAGCGCTACCGAGGCTTGGCGAGCGCGAGTCCGTTCACTCGGGTGTTGGATAGGCGGTAGGACGATCTTTTCGGCATTCTGGAGCTGGAAGGCTCCAGGGAATGAAGCTGACATGTTCATCGGGCCTCCGGGCGTGGGTTTATTCAGGCCATATGATGCTAGAGATACGGGCGTTGACGAGCTTGCATAAGGTGAAAACCTCGACTGCGGGCTACGTTTTTGACTGAAAGAGTTTCGGTGTACGCTGCCATCTGTGGAGAAGGAGACCAAAGGCGCAGAGCTGGATACATGAGGCATCTGTGGACTCGTCCTGTGTCGTGTGGGCGGACCTGCCTGTGAATAAACTAGCGATGGACCAGGAGGCGGCGGTTGATGCACGAAAGCGGACATGGCTTGGCCTGTCACACTATGAGGCCCTGCTGTTGAGATTATAGTCCACCCTTCCTGAGGGCCGCCAGAAACCCCTGCGGATAAGCCACCGCGTTGTATTTGCGTGTTACGCCTAGATCGACGCCGTCCCGTCCCAGAAGGTACGACTTGCCCGAAACCGGGTTGGTCTGGAGACAAGCATGTACTGGGGAACGTGGGTCTACGACGTCCAGAGATGAGTGTGTGAGGATTACAACGTGGAGCAATGAGGGAAAGACCTTACCCAAACAACGGAATGAGCTCGTGACGAATCGGCCATGCCACGCTGTACAAACGAGTTGATAAATTTGACGTACACGGGGAAAGGCAAGAGAAACACTTACCGACGAGACAAACGTAGGGCGACCTTGAGGCAGAACGCTTAGTCTGAGGGTTTGGAAATGTGCTCGTTCAAACGGCTTACCTCGTATGGCATCCATGTGCCCTGTATCTTGAGGTATCCGCCTCGCACTCTACGGATAACAGAAGCCAAGTCGGGCTGGGATTCTATCATTTTGACGATGTCCGCTACATGCAGGAGCGGGGCGGCTTAATATAACGATAGAAGTGTGAAAAGAAGCGATTCATCGTACCTTTGGAGTTCCCCAAGGCTGTTGAAAGCGGTTAGTTTAAACATTCCGCAAGGGAGCACAAGACCGTGGCCTCACCTTTCCAGATGCCGGTCCAGAGGATGTAGCCGTCGTCGGCGTCCATCATGATCCACTGACCATTTAATGGATATTCATAAACAGGTCTGGTACGGTCGTCGGCGAGCTCAGGACGCTGGTCACATTTGTGAGGGAGGTCGTAGTCGAGGAACTCACATGTACCCCCGGGAATCGTTGCTTGTGATATACCGGCTTTTGGTGACATGGTGATTGGGGCTCGCATAAGGCCGGAAGCGTGGACCGGCCGTCGCAGATTCCTGCGGAGGCGAAGAGAAAGCGTCCTATGACGGTGAGCGGCGGACCGAGTGGAAGGAGGGCGGCATCGGCATACCTGCAGTAGTCCAGAGGCCATGTTGATGGGCGAAAGGAAACGAACGGAGTGGGTGGGAGAGGCCCCTAAAATACGAGATGTGGTACAATCACGGAGTGGCGACTATACAAATACCCGAGGCGACGAATTTCACGTCCTCACAAAAACGCAGTCAAGGCCAGGTACCTACGGGGCGCCTACTGGGAGCAGGCATCAACGGTCGCACGCGTGTCCTGGAAAGAATGGAGTCGGGAGGCGCTAGACGGTGTTCTGGAGGGTGGCCTGCCCGTGTTTGAGAGAAATGAAGAGGAGACGGAGTCGGCGGAGCCCGTGTTTCCAAAGGCAGAAAGTCGCTAGGGGGCAGCCCATTTACGGAATCTGGGAGAGGGTTAGCAACACCTAATATAAACGCCTGCTTCTACGCGAAAATCAGTCGCTCTCGATTCTTCGCTTGGAATCTGCATTCCAAGGCACCGAAGCGGGCTGCCTCGGCCCGTCTCGTCCCCGGGCGATCGAATCCCATCGCGGAACTTTCTCCACCCCCCCGAAAACTCCGCAGCATCTCCCTTTTCCGCACGTGCCTGCCGCCGCCGCTCGACGCCCACATAAAATCAAAACATAAGACATAGCTCCCCCCCCCTCCTCTCAGCACGGTGTTTCGCCCGCATCACCGTTGTCGGCACTCTCGCAACAGGCGCCATCTGCTCACCGTCGTTTCGGGGCATAAACACCGCGGCTCCGGCAGGCGCAGGCGCGGCCTCCGCAGGGGCGACGCATGCAATCCCCAAGGAAATCATCGCTTGCACGCGTCGAGGGATATAGGTTCTATCGTTAGCTTTTCCCGAGTGGGCCTTGCGTGCTCGGTTCGTCAAGATCCACTGGACCCAGATATCCGTCGAAGACACCCCAGAACAGCAACACATATCCAATTTCCCACACGGGACTCGAGCACCAATCAGGTTAGCGGCTGCTGAATGTATGATGCAACGTCCCTTTCAGGTGATTTTTTTACTTCTATCGTCCTTCCCAGGAACAACAACAAAGGATCAAGGCCGCCAGCCATTCGCTTGCGCGCCATCGTTGTTCCAAACCTATCCACCGTTTCTCCATTCTCGCGGGGTCTCCTGGGGATTGCGTATAACACCCGTATAACTGAATGTGGCCACCGCCGGGCCCGCAGGCGGTCGGGTAAAGCAGGCTGCTGAACTATGACGATGGATATGTGAAATTGAGCAGCGAGCCTGCTGCGCCGAGGTGCCTTGATCGCCCGAAGACGATATCGGTAGACGTCACGGGGGAGCAGTGCCCTCCGAATGCATCCGATCGTTTCGCATGCTCTGCCGTCGGCACCGCACCCCTGCACCGGCACCGCACAGCATTCCAGTCGGTCCCGTTAGAAAGCTCAACATGAGAACGTTGCCAACTCCTCGACTCCACAGACAACTCGGCGCATCCAATTTCAAAATCGACGAGCGATATCGAAGCCTAATGCCTCAAGCCATGAATTTAAACACGAGATACGCTATGAGAACCCCAGCCGTACGCGACTTGTCACGGGGCCTTGTGCGCCCTCCTGTCTCCCGCGCTAAAGCAATTAGTCCTGGACCGCCGCGGCCGCCACAGCCTTGAGGACCCTGCGTGTCTCCGTAGAGCCAGGCCCGCCTCCCGTCGTGTAGGTCACATGGCTGACCTCGAACCCGTTGAATTGACTGGCCGCGCACAATGTGTACGCTCCCATGTTATCAAAACCAAGCCAATCTCCTACCCGGAGCGTAGCCGGCAGCAGCGTCACCGGGCACACGCAATCAATAGAATCGCAGGTGGGCCCCCAGACGCTGCTCGGGTTCAACGGCTCGGTCGAAGGGACGTGGAAAGACCCGTTGAGGGACAGGACGTATGGGTGCACCTTCTGATGGTCGAACAGGATGCAGTTGAAGGCACCGTACACACCGTCATTGATGTAGTCTGTGCGAGAGAAAGTGGCAGGCCATGATTAATCAAGAACGAGAGCATATGGGTCGGACAGCGTACACATCACCGTCGGCTGATCGTTGCTGCCATCCTGAGCTGCTACCTCGTGCTCTGTGTCCGTCAACGGGCCACGACGGGCAATCACGTTCGCCGCCAGACTGAACGCGCGGGAAACGTAGTACCTGCCCGGCTCGGCGATAATTCGGAGATCCCGGCGGTCCGGAAAGTAGCTGTGGAGCGCGTCCCTCAAGATGGCAGCCGTCGCCTCGAAATTCCCGTCCTCGAAACCGCCACCGACGTCTAGTAATTGAAAGGTGTACCCCGCTTGGAGGCCCATATCAAACGCCGCGCGTGCCCGCATAACGGCATCGGAAAACGCGGAAGAGTCGTAGCAGCCGCTACCCACATGGAAGCTGATACCAATGACATCTAGGTCTAGCTCCTTAGCCTTCGCGAGAAGACCGGGGACGGTCACAAGCGGTGCACCAAACTTCAAGCCGAGGCGGCATAAGCTTTTGGAGTCGTCGGTAAGGATGCGAAGGACGAGCTTGGCTGCAGAGTTCGCGCGCGCGACCTTGTACAGCTCGTCCGCGTTGTCAAAGGTCATCATGTGTACACCAGCTTTGGCTGCATTCTTGATGAAAGATGTCGCTTTGCAAGGGTTTGCAAATATGATACGGGAAGGATCGATGCCAAGCTTTAGCACCTGGGAAATTTCCCCATTGGAAGCACAGTCGAAACCCGTCCCTAGTCCAGAGAGCAGGCGGAGGACGTATGGGTCAGGGTTGCATTTTACAGCTGTGGCTCGCAATCAGATGAGAGTTCCCAAGCTGTTATCTGCACGGCACACACCGTAAAAGGGCTCGACTTCGGGGAGACACCGTTTCCAGCGCTCATGCTGCATGTAGACATAGCTCAGGTCCGCCACGAAGAAGGCCTTTTCCGCGTCAGGTTCATGGTCGACTGCAAGACGAGCCGCTCTCATGATTCCATTTCTCAGATGGACATCAGGGTGACCCCTTTCAAGTGGCACTAGATCATCGAAGAAGACGTTGTCAGCCGTTTCATCGTCGTCGCCAGCGATAAGAGAGGAGTTTGAGTGTAATAGGGTGTTGGTCGGCCATGTCGGCAGATTTTCGGCGCCGCAAGTGGTCGAAGACGCATTCAGGTGCAGGTCAACTGCATACGGCAGGGGGAGGAAGTCGATTTGGGACATTTCTGTCTGATGTGTTTCGGGGGTATCAACGAGAATGGTTTCGTCAGATTCTAGTTCGGTGGGAATAAGTTCAGAAGTTGGATAGTTTATCGAGCAATCGAGGCACGTCGTGGTTGAAGCGGTTACGTGGTAAACCCGATGTACCGAGCCTGCACCGCCGCGGTTTGTATTGGAACCGGGCGGACTAGGACGGTAGCGACGAAGTTTGGTTCAGTCGATGAATGTTCCCCGCCGCGTAGCGAGGACGAGATTGGTGTCGAGGGAGATTGAGCGAGCGAAACGAAGAAGGAGGATAAGATGATGTGGAGAAGTGTGATTCGCGAGCGTGTAGAGTCCTGTCAGGGGGGTTCACCTTGACGACGTCGAATGTGAGGCTTCACGCGTTCATAGAAAGGAATGGATGTTCGCTCACCACGAACAGAAGACCACCTATGATAGATGAACAAAGGGAGCGAAAGCGAGTGAGAAATAGCGCGTGTTGTGCCACTAGCTGATACGCACTCGAGGGTCAACAGACGAAGATCGTCGTTTCTCTCCTGGTCGGTAATGGTGGCACGGACGTTTCTGTGTCGTGTCAGGCAGTCACGACGACAGAGTTCAAGAGGGGATGGAGGCGAGACTAGAACGAATCGCGTTGAGTTCGTTTGGTTGCTGGAGTCGAAAAATTGTAATCGATGTGTGTAGCATGGGCAGCTCCGACCGAGAGTAGCATCAAATTGACGCTCCGACTCCGCGAGACTGCATTGGACTTGTGGCATCGTCTCGAAATTAAGGGTTTCCGAGTCGAGGCAAGCACGATCAGTTCATGTACAGTTTTGTGCAATTCATCCGACCAGGCACCGATATCTAGCCTTTGAAAGGGTAGAGCATTCTCGAATTCTCCGGCGTTGAGGAGCTTCCATTGCAAGAAGTTTTCTGGACAACGCTAACTCAACAGACCAAGAGGTGAAGACAGAAATGTCATCAGCGCCAGATGAGCTGTCACAATTCAGATCTTTCCCGAAGGTGACACCCGTCATTTTGGCTCTCCACAAAACCCCTTGTGGATCATACATGAGTGCATGAGTGACAGGACAATTTGGATGGAAGCTGGCAGTTTTCGGGAAGTCGATGGAGAAGGTAGGTAGTGCGGATGAGGTGCTCACTGTGTCTGACAACTTGATCTGGAATCACACTATTGTTCGTGATTTCCCCCAAGCTCAGCCTAGCGTCATAGAACCCTCCAGCAGGTTAGCATAATGCGAGAGTGCGAGGAATTGCGATGGCGGAGTTTTCTCTCAAAAGGTGCGTATCGAACGTATATTCATAGCAATAAATTTTACATCTCACACCGGCAAAAACGGCTGGCCTAGGGCGGCACGCGCGAAAAGGCGTTCCATTGCGTGGAGTTAGGATAGTCACCAATCGCAGGAGCGTCGCGGGTTGAAGGGTGAGTAACGTTGCTCCACGGCACAGATGTGGCACCAGTGATGTTGGGCAAAGTGGGCGTATTTGACGCCCAGGGTGCCCTGGTGCCAGCAATACTGCCGTCAGCACGAGGCGCCGCGTTTCGAGAAACAGGTGATGCGATTCTCGCAAGAAGGGTATCTCCAGCCTCCGGGTTCCATTCTATGAGGCCGCCGAGAGGCAAGTGCTGCACGACGACCCGCTTTCCGAGCACCTCTGCCTATCGACGCAGTTGCAATCAATCAAGTGGTCAATGAGGCGGCTGAGGTGTAATAGATTCACGCGCAGTCGGCATGCTAACTCACTTCATACATCTTAAACAAGCCAGAGTTGACCTTTCCCCAATGTGCAACACCTGTGGCGATAGAGTACAGCTGAGAGGAGTGTTCGTGGAAGGGACCGTGCTTGACTTCGTGTATGCGCATAATCGACATGAAGTACAAATTCGTGGCAGGTAGAGGCGGTCTCAGTACAGCGTTCACGGGTATTTCGGTCTGGTCTATGGTTACAACGCACGCCATCATCAGCATCGACATCAGACTTGCCGAGCAAATGACAGAGCACGTACCTCGAAGTTGCGCGCTGCCAAAGATATACCCGAGGAAATGCGAGTCGTCTAGGCCCCAGACACCATGACTACCCGCAGGCTCAAGCTTGTACACGTCCTGCAGGCGCCAACAGACCCTGAGATACCGGATGAAGATATCAAATACAATTTGGCGTTCCTCGTCAGGATCGGATCGCAGGAACCGGATGAGTGTCAGGCAGAGCAGAAAGAGTGCGAACGAGGTCTCGTGGCCTGTTCCATAGTCCATCCGAACAAAAGATCCAAAAGCTGTCAGGAGATACGGTTTGAGATGCGGGATTGCGGGGTGGAATTGCGGGGAAAGTAACGAAGACAAGAGACCGTCCGCGCGCTATGCCAGCCGAGCTGAGTGACGATCTGCGCTTCGATGGAGATGCGCAGGCTCACATCCTCTAACCGTTTTCCCCACGTTCGAAACGCAAGGTTTCCGAACCTCTGCGGTGTCGACAGGGGTGGTATCTCATCTATCCAGAGATCCAATTGATCAAGCAGGCCGATGACCGCGTTCACAGCCTAAGAAGAGCGATAAGCGCCGCGTCACTAGCCCTGAAATTGTATAAAGTTTACCTCGCTTGGGGATAAACATGACCATGGGAGAGAATGTCCAACAACTGCTTCATTCAAACGGCGTAGGAATAATCCGTAGTCTTGATACCCGCGCGTCCGTCTCCACAAAGAAACATCAGAATCTGTGTGTATCTTTTGCGTGGGAGGAGAGGCCTGACGAAGAGCTTCGCCGATATGTATATGTCGTAGAGTTGAGAGTTGAGAGGATGCCATGAACGAGCTGATCTCTAAGTTGAGATTGTTGAAGCACAAAGAGAGTGGTGGGAGCCTTTGTGGCTGTAGTACATCACGGTCAGGGGATCTCAGATCTCAGTAATCCAGTGTCGCCTAAATCCTGCCTCTCACCACCACCCTTCCAGAGTACTCGACCGAAAAATCATCAAATATCAAAAGGAGTCCCCCTTTCACCGATAGTACGTCTTAGACGTGAATGTGGTTGCGATCAGGCTAATCAACACTGTCTGACTAGTCCGGTCTGACCAAACCCCTCCCTACTCATCCTGGATTATGTACTATTCAGCAGTAGTGGCATTATCCGAGTCTGAACCCGCGGTTACTGGGCTTTACATGTTATCTTGTGCTTCTTCCAGTCTGATTTCTGGCAAGCCCTGGGTGGAGCACAATACTTGACCTTTTTGCATCTACCACAGGCCAAAAGCTTCCCGCTATCCAGAGACTGCCCCTTCGCACAGAACCCACAAATCTTTCCGATCAATTGTTCCCTTCTCGCGTCCTCCTCCCTCACTGTCCGAATCAGCTCTTTGCTCATACCTCTCCTCTCACTGGTCAACGCGAGCGACCTCACGCTGATCCCGTCGTTGTCATGAATATCGGCATTCCCTCCATGCTCGAGCCACCACCGCAGCGCCGTCTCTTTCTTCCGGATCAGTGCACGGTCGCCCGGGTTCCAGATCGTGGCGCTTCCGTGCCCACAAGTACCCCCGTACCGATCGCGCGTGTTGATGTCTCTCCCAGCTGCGCACAGAATCTCCGCAAACTCCGGGTCGAATGACGGGTGCGTAGCGAGAGAATGCACAAGCGCCGTCGTGCCCGAGACATCTCGCCCGTCGACCGGCGCGCCTGCTGTCAGAGCTAGCCAACGTACAACCTCAAGCTGTTTCTAGTGTAATGCTGGCTGGATGATCGAGCCCAGCAGAAGAACGTTATATATAGGGGTCTTTGTTGCCCCGTAGCGGAGGCGATTGATCTCAGCTACTGCCTCGTCAGCTCCCAGATGCTTGACACGGTTGTTGAAGTGTTCTATGACATAGGCAAGGTCGCCATGGATAACATGATACCCAAAGACATCGAGATCCTCGCGTGGTTCCATGGTCGAGCTTGTGAAGTACGTCCGGAGGCGCTGGGATTCTACGCCTTTGAGAGGTTCATCTCTGTATTTCAAAACTCGTATGTCAACAACATCTGAAACGACCAACTTCCTTATACAACCTACGTGGATATCAATTCTTCGATCGGTCTGTATGGCAAGGTTTGGATGTTTGGGTGGCAATGTGATGGGTATCGCATCATGGTGTCAGTGGGTGAAATACGTACCTACCAGCCCCAGAACCAAGTTTTGCAAGGAGTCGACTAGCTGCCAGAAGACTCATGGCTGATCTGAGTCTTTGTTTCCAACGGAAGATGATTTGGATGGCGAAGAAAAATGCAAAGTACGTTGAACCAACGCGGAGAGAAGGGACGTTTGGGCACGCCATACATCGCGTCACATGCGAAGCTTAAGACTCGTCATTCCAGAATCGAGAACGAAAAACGATCAAAAGAGTACACGAAAACAGCTTGCGATCTGAGTATACACGAGCGTACCTACATCCGCACATAGCATACCATCCGGCGAAACAATGCTAGCCAACCAAAAACCCCGCGCATGATCCAATCAAGCTAGTATCTCCTTCAGTTCTCCGTTTTCTACCATCTCTTGTACGATGTCCAATCCGCCAACGAACTCGCCCTTGATGATTAATTGGGGGAACGTCGGCCAGTTGTTCAAGACCTTCAAGCCTAAGAATAGCACGGGGCCTGTTAGAGAATATGCCAAGAATAAAGCGATGCGTGTGAAAGCCTACCGGATCGCACGCTCTCGTCGGACAGAACATCAAAATGAGTGAATTCGATGCCTTGATCCTTCAGCAGAGCGACCGTCCTTCTGGAGAATCCACAACGCGGGGCGTCCGGAGAACCTTTCATGAACAGTACTACATTGCTCTTCTCCATGAGACCCTTCAGTCGGGCATTGAGTTCCTCTTGCGACTCTTCTTTCTCAAGCCCGTAAGAGTTGTGCGCAGTAGCGGGGATTTGGTCTGTGTGTGCGAGCGGGTGGACGGAGGATGGTGGACGGACGTGATTTGCGATCGAGCTGGTCAAGGTAGCTGCGTCGGCACCAGATATACGTCCAAGTAGTGTATGTCCCTGGAGGTGACATGGACCCACCATGATGAACAGGTGCATTTGTAAGACCAAAAGAACAGGTACTCACACGCAAGATGATAAAGGTTGGGACCGCCTCAATCTCAAATGACTCGGAGATGTCGCTTTGGGATTCGGCCTCTACGTGAAGCACCAACAGTTGAGGATACTTCTTGGCGAGTTCCAACACGACTTCGTTCATCTGAGCACATGGAGCCGCCCAAGGTGCCCAGAAATTGATGAGGGACACTCGGTTGAGGTCCGCAGACAACAGAGATTGAAAATGCTCTGGAGAGGTGATTTCATTGTAGTTCGAGGGCAACGAGGGCATAATTTTGAGGTTTTTATACAAGTTAGAGTGAGGAATAGGAAGCGATCTTGAGGAGAGGTATACACCGGTATACAAACTGTGTCTGTCGGGCAAAGGAGAGTCAGCACCGAGCTCCTTATCTGACAACAGATCGCGTCATTCTTATTATCAAATGACCTTATCCAGAAAATAAGTTAATCTAATCAGATCCGACCTTGCTTCCAGCTTCAAAGCTTCAACAGTCACCAGCATATAACTTAAACTGACTGTGGCTTTTCATACTACAGAGACATTAAGGCATAGAGGTGTTTCCTTCCCAAAAGCAAGCAACACCATCTAGAATCAGACAATTCATTGTACCCACAGTGCTAACTACTTCATGATTCCCATCAACCATTTTCGCTAAGTACCATTGTGTACTTTGATGTGTTTCTTCATATTTCATTTCTTATACTGATACTACACTTCCTAAAGAAATGCATGGTAGCACAGGTGTTAAGCTACTAGGCTTATCACATGTACTTAATACACTGGGGGGGGTTTTCTGGGCTAATTATGGTGGCCCAACAAATAAAGACTATTGCTCATCTTTGGGCTTGTACTAGGAAGTCTTGGTTACTGTCAATCCTATCTTCAAAGAGATGGAGAAGGCGCTGATTGACAATAGGACAATGTTCATCAGGGATTGGGAGGTCTTCTCTAATACAACAGATGGCTTCTAAGGGATTCCAATGGATGACTCAATAGGCAGTAAGTCCTTTAATAAGTTACAGGGATGGGAGGATAATCAGGGCTGTGAGATAAATCCAGTGCTTCATCAGACTAGGTATGGTTTGATTGATCTGACAGAGTTCACGATACATGGGCTAAAGGGAGCCAGACACCAGATACAGTGCAGAGATTAAGATGTATACGAAATGAACAAGCTGATCTTTCATAAAGCTTAGCTCACCTATTTATAGTACAAGCTATTTAGGGCCAGATCTGGATCTGGTTTATATTTCTAAACACTAAGTAAACTAAATAATTAGGATTTGTAATCTGCAGTCATAGTTTGTACTCTGTGACTTTTCAATATAACTATGTATAGTAAGTATATCAAATGTCTATCCATATCAGCAAGTATTCAGGAACTGATCATGATTGACATTAGTAAACTTTAGGAACTGATCATAATTGATATTAGTAAACTGTATAGGTAGAATGAGGAGGATAAGTCATAATATCATAAGTGTTCATGTGTTAGCATGTAAATAGTAAACAGTCGAAGTCTAAGTCATATACATAGCTTATAACTATGTCTTGAGTCATGTACCTAGACACATGTCAAGTCATAGTCCTAGTTGTTAATATCCAAGTCTAGTGTGAGACACCTAACCTTCCTTTTTGTCCATGTGCAAAGCATGTGTTAGGACCATGTTCTAATAATACTCTGGTATAATGTGATATTAATCTATATCCCACTAGAGCTACAATTGGTTTTTTATAAGTTGACTATTCAAATGCAATTGCTTCAAGCTTAACTGCATACATCTTTGTTTATGATCATAGATAGATAAATGCTGTCACTTTAGCTAAATTTAGAATTGAGTCAACACAGCTACCTCTGAAAGGCTCTAATCCTAATATAACCCAAGGTACTTTTTATTGGGGAAGAGTATTGCATGTTCCCTTTATAACTTACCTAAGATATTGAGTCTTCAGCAGTCAGATTGGTCATGTCCATAGAGAGCCCTTCAAGTCTTATATTCAGTAGTCAAGGGCAGCTCAATGTTTTTTGCACAACTTATTAATATTCCTGACTCTGGTGCATGCACACCTCATTGATATGCTTCTTAAGTAATTCATCCTCTTTTATGATTATAAGATACAAGTGAATTCACAACCACTTGAGAGGCTGCTCTTTGAAAACACAAATTATAAGGCTGCTCTTTGAACACACAAATTATAGAGATCCCAACCATCTAGCATAGCTTTTGTAGAATCACATTATATCATATTTAAATCAATAATGTATTGCAAACAATATACAAAGTGGCATAGAAAGAACAAATTCTGGCATATTTGACTTTAAGGATGCAATATGAAATTAGAAGTTGATAAGCTTATAATAATAACAACCAGTAGTAAAATACAATGCTATGTGAAAATTTTCAAGGTATAAGTGCTGTGAGTAGCCATGTCTTTGTATCTTGTGCAAACATATTACAATCTATAATGCACAAATAACACCTAGTAGACAAAACAGGTTTAGGGATGGGGTAAGCAAATAATCTCTAATCCTAACTATTCTTAATTATTTATAAATAGAACTAATTAAAGAGTTATATAAGAGAGTGATTTTCCAGATGTGCCTCTAATTTAGAATACTGAAGCTAACCAAATATGCTAATAATATGAAGCATACCAAACTAATTAGCAATTAGTGACAACAGCCTATAGGGAGCCCCTAATGCTGAGAGTGCTAATAGATGCATAGGATGACTGTGAACAGCTCCAAACAACTATGCTGAGGTCTAAATGCAAAGTTGGCACCTAACAAATGGCTAAGAGCACTGAACAAATTGGGATTGGTTGGTCCTAAGTATGCTAAACAGTCAAAGAACACTAAAAAGCTGCAAAAGTAGGGTATTGGTGCCTAGAGCACACTCATGCTTATCAACATGTTAATAATCAGTGTTAATAACTACATATTGTGAGCATGGGAAAATAAAAGTAAAATTGAGAAAATGGGCCAATAAAATAATGGCTCATAGCTCACTTAGTGTTATACATTCTATAAACCAAGCCTAAATAAGTTGGAGAGGCTCAGATGGCTAGAGCATAAACAGGGTGATTTGAGCAAGTGGTTATAGAATTGGGTGTCTTGGCCTAACCTCTCCTTGCAGTGGAACCAGAAAAGCCACCATGATGTAAGTCAGACATCATTCAAGCTCCTATATTTTGCAAAGAGTACACCATAGCCTGATCATGTTCAGGCACTACCCATAAAATCCAAAAAATCATTCATATGCCTCTAGAATTCAGCCAACTGACAATACTTTACTCATGTGTCACATGTTAGCTACCACTAACAAGAATAGTGCTGGGACAACAACAACAGCACTGTATACCCTCTTTTCTGCCCCCACCACCTTGGAGGCCTCCTCTGGACAAGGAGGTGAGTTTGACAATTATTCAGAAACAGAGATTGCACTGAATAACAACAAATTTGAGATACACCAGGAAATTCATTATTAACCTTCAAAACCAAGGGGTCCAATATGTGCATGTTAATAACATGTTAATAACACCTGTTATTAACCCGGTTAAAAATTAGGAGTTCTACACAGCGCCCTATGATGTCGAAGACATTCAACCTAATGCCTAGAGAGAAGGGTTCCAATCACCCTAACCCTAGTCAATGGTTCTATCTTCACGTGTTCTCACTCGTTGTGGAGATCGTGCCAGGGGCGGCGGCAGTCTCTGCTAGTCTCTGCTCTACCGTCACGATCTGGTATTCTTGACACAGGTACATCAATAAAAAAGGATATTGTCTCTCAGAAACCTTGCCACAAAGCCGCGCTAGTACATGGATCGGGAGCACGACCTCTACCCCCAAGTCTTGTTCATTCAATAGTCGGGCATCTAGTAGCTGGAAGCACTGACCGGACGGGCCTGCGGTGCGGCCGATGCACGTAACCGTCTGGCATCGCCCTTGTGACGCCTGACCATGCGCTGCAGTGAGGCACGAGACCGGGCCTTCTTCACTTTCCGAGGAAAATGCCGCACCAGTGCAGCACCTCGGTAGCCGTCTACAAATACCTAAAGGTGAGCACTCTGCTCTGTTTAATGCGGTCAGAGGTCATGCTCATTTTATCTTGCTTCATTGTGTCTATTGCACCTTTGTCTCTTGCGACACCCTTTTGGGACTGGCAAGCAGACTACAATGACGGCGTCCATCTTGCCGTTAGTCCGGAGTGTGGAGAACTTGGCGGAAACTTCACCGATGTCAATGCAGGTATAGACCTGCGCAAGATCAAGACGATTGTATCGTTTGGGGTGTGTGAGGCTTTGTACTTATCCCAATCGGAGGCTAACGACTGAAACTAGGACTCCTACACCGACTCGGGAAAACATGATGGCTCCCCTCTCCTTCCTCCAGTCCTCACACCTCCCGATCCGCATGCAGGAGGGAGGTATTCAGATGGTCCAATGTGGTTGGAAAATATAGCAAACGACATCAACGCAAAGTACATGGCCTACGCGGTAGGCCACAGCCCATTCTCTCTCTCTCTCCCTGACCACGATAATATCATACTTAGTGGTCTGGTGCCGTGGTCAACGGCTCACTATGGCCGAGCAAGCCTTCAACAACAACAGATTTCATTTCTCAAGGTTTTTTGTAAATTTGGTGAAACATATTGCATTATTTTCTCACACATTGTGTAGTGTCCAGATTCTTGAACCAGTCAAATGATCTTGACCCCCATACGACCCTTTACACTGTCTTTTTTGGCATCAAGTGAGTTGGAAATGCAAATTTTCAATTCCCAATTTACCAACGATCCGTCTGTATGAAGCGATTGGGTCGCATCTCAGAGTAAGCTTCAAGCATCTATGTATCATTCTTTTCTCGAGCTCTACTGAACATATTGGCGCTGACAGCTGACGGCGATCACCTGCCTGAGGATGCTCAATACCTGCTGAACCAAATTCGGATCCTCGCCAGTCCTCCCACAAACGCGCGAAACATCCTCGTAACGGACGTGTACGGACGCGGCGCGCACACTCCCTCGGGCGAAGCATGGAAACAGTCGATTTTTGACGGTCTCAGCGCATTCAACTCTGGGACCAACGGCGCACCCCCACTGAACGTTGCATTTGGCGATTTCTCCCGCATCTGGGACGGTGTATTGGGTACGGCTCCTGGATATGCGGCCTTTGGATACACAAGCTCGGGCTCCTGCCTGCCTTTCACAAATACGACAGAGGGAGAGTGCGATGATCCCAAACATACATTCTATTGGTTGCACGGGTGCGAACTTTTGCATGAGGTCCAGGCCTCGATATTTATTGCTGAATCACTGTTTCTTTTCTCAGGCATCCGTCAAATGAAACGGGACGGATCATGGCTGATTATGTTGAAGAAGTGTTCGAAAAGTGCTTGATCCTATGACTGCTCGCAGCTCCATTTGTGCGCTCGTGGTTGTCTAACTCCATAGATAGATTTGCGTAGAGACTCGTCGTCTTTACCTACACTCTCAAGACCGTCAATTCCATGTCTTACTTAACATGAATATCACGTGTCCCCTCCTCAAGGATGTTATAGGCATCCTTTCCAGTACTAGTTGATATGAATGTTTCTTTTGTATCCTGAGTTCCGATTTCCGGGGGACTACTGTTGGCAAATACGGACACACAAAGACCGAGCGGCGGCCTAAGCCTGCTCTTCGTCATCGGAAATCCATGACTCGAATTCCATGTGTATTTCCTTTGGTTGACATTGGCCCGACTGCAATCTCGTGTATGCCATCTGAGATCCTCTTTTCAGACGACGGGACCTTTTGTCTGCCACTGCTCATTGCAAGCAACATGATTGCTGTAGCCCGCGAAGCACCTCCGTTCGAGTTGCTCAGTGCCATTGTCTCCACCTACATGAACGGTCTAATGTCCACGGAGCTCTCATTTATCTCTTCTTGGGGCAGAAGGCTACTTCGATTTCCCACCGCCTTCCATCTACGGCCTACACTAGTCGTCTGGCAGCTTCTACCACACTATTCTCGTACACAGCCTCCATTGAAGCGATAGCCGATTCAGAGGGCAGATGTGTCCAGGGAGGGCATTGCAGGTTGTTTCTGAACTGTGTGCATTACAAGCTTATAATCCTTTGAAGGCGGCTGCTGATCGTATCCTGTGGGTTCTTTTCAACGGTCTTGTGATGCATGTCCAGGTCCTTTTACGTTGTTGGCCCTCTGGCAATAGTAGCGGTGCACGGGCCCGCGTCCTCCAGCACTTTTCCTCTATTGCGATCTGTTCAATCACTGTCTTCCGCCCCAATGCTCGCTATTCTTGTCGCTAGTCTCTTTGGAGCGTTGACGCGTATAAAGCCTGTACTTGGCGCCCAAAGGTAAGGCCAATCGTGCCCTCCACGAATTTGAAGGCCATGCGTCTCACGGAATCTCTCATCCTCGCGTCCTTCGCATCGATTGTGACCGTCAGCTCCTTTTCAATCCCGCGAGAAGAGAGGAACGACGGCATTCACCTTGCCGTGCATCCTCAGTGCGGTTCGCTGGGTGGAAACTTCACTGATGTCAATGCGGGGATCGACCTATGGTCCATCAAGACGATTGTATCTTTTGGAGTGAGTCTCCCCTCCTCGTCTACTTCCACGTCAGGCATATGAACGCGGCGCGTATATGTAGGACTCGTATACAGATGGCGGAAAACATGATGGATCTCCTTTAGACCCACCTATCTTGGTGCCGCCCAGTGTTCTGGCTGGTGGTCGATCAACCGATGGGCCTGTATGGATCGAGTATATCGCCGATGACCTGAAGGCACATTTTATGGACTATGCGGTTGGTATTCTCTATGTCCTACTGATACATCTGAATATAACCATTCGAAATACTTCTCTAGATTTCCAGTGCTGTGGTCAATATTTCGCTCTGGCCGGACAACCCCTACCCTCGAGATTTCTTGCAGCAGAGTAAGCTTCATAAGACCTCGTAAAATGGCTTGTAATAAACATCACAACAGTGGCCATTTTCTTGAACCAATCTAACAATCTTGATCCTAAGACTACGTTGTATACCGTGTTCTTTGGTATAAAGTGAGTTTACTTGCTACGCTCTATGCGAGCCCAACTGAATCATCCGCATAGCGACTACGAGGACTCGAAGAGTAAGTCCACTTTGTCCCATTCATCTGCGAGCGCTCCATTGAAAGGTTCTTAGTCGATGGCGATCATCTCCCGGAGGCCGCCCAGGATCTTTTGAACCAGATCCAGATTCTTGCCAGCCCTCCAACCAATGGACGCAATTTCCTAGTCACTGATGTTTACGGCCGGGGAACCCACACACCGGCTGGTGAGGCGTGGAAGCAGTCGATATTTGACGGACTCAGCGCGTTCCACAAAGGCACGGGAGTCCCTCAGCCGTTGAACGTGGCGTTCGGTGACTTTTCGCGTATTTGGGATGGTGTGCTGGGCTCAGATCCTGGCTATGAGGCCTTCGGGTACACCAGCACTGATTCCTGTGCTGGAGACACAACAGAGGACTCGTGCTCAGACCCCAAGCATTATTTCTATTGGATTTCCGGGTACGTGTCACTTTTGTTTCAAGGCAGCTAATTCTAAAGAGTATTCATGTCTTGGCTTAGACATCCCTCTAATGAGACCATGCGCATCATGGCTGACTACGTTGAAGAAGTGTTTGTTGGTTGTCACCTGGTTGATTGAACCCGGTTTTGCGGCAGTGTAGATTATTCTTCTGACACGTACAGGACAGCTGGTGCATTATTTTTGGAAGCTGTGTTGGGCCTGTATTGTGATTCTTACCCCACTCTGCTTTCCGCATTTCTTCCTCTTTTGGTGTTACGCCTGTATACTTGACATATCATCGATGTTTTGGTGGCCAAACGGGTACAAAGGAATTGCGCGACGGAGACGTAGTCCTGCGCCCACCACGACAAAGATACTCTCCCTGTCCAGCTACTTGAACTTACGCCGCCACTGGCGTTTTGCTGCGCGGGATACAAATACTTGATTATCGGTTCTTGAAAAGAAAAGAAACTGTCATCTGCGTGACGATGACAGCTAAATAAGGCAAAATACCTGCTGCTTACATATGTCAATGTATCATGCTGTGACATTGTGTATACAGCCGTCACGACTTCGAGATCTTTCGAGCCTCTGAAACGAGTTCGCCAGGTTCATAACAGGACCTCGATCAGTAGAGCGAAAGTCAGCAATATTTGAGGAAGGTATTATCGATATGTTAGAGGACGAACTTGATCCCCAGAGATGCCCACACCTCGCGGAGGCTTTCGCAGACGATACTGAGAGGTCGCGTCTCATCAAGAAGTACAAGAGTGTGGTGGCCTGGAAAGCCCAGCGTCTGCACGAGACAATCCATCCTGCGAAAAGGCAGAAGGTAAGTCTGTTTTTGTAAAACAAGGATGGTACAACTTTTAGGGAGGCAGGCCTCATTCATGTGATCCTCGTATAGATCTCAGCTCCAACTTGTGGTACCTGCGGGCTGTCGCTCAGTCGGCCTTTTGCCTGTTTGCACTGTGGATACTCTGGGTGTTGGCAAGATGAACATGTAACAGAACATCTGAAGGATGAGGGGCATTTTTTTTGTACGCGTTTACCAAGCTTTTCTGTTCAAGCTCTTGATTGAGCTTTGAGTCAGGTGCCGACGTAAAACTGGGTCTCCTTTTCTGTGTCGAATGTGACGATTTCATTTACGACGCAACAATTGACAGTCTATTCAACTCGACTGTTCTTGCTGTTGAAGAAAGCAATACTCACTTTCAAGGTTGGAGAATCCTTCTAACTCTAGACGACGCGTCCTGACTTTCCGCGTATCATATCATCTTTCAGTTAACAAGAAAACTCGCGAGATCTATCGCCCATGGCATCCAAGCGCGAAGGATGCTGAGGCTCTAGACGAAACTACTAGTATACCATGCCAAGGTGTGTGTGATTCTAACGCGAGATGATGGCACTTTCTTCTTCAACACGATCGTGGCTATCAGTATATGTCTGATACATTCTTAGGTCGACGTGGATTACTCAACCTGGGACAAACATGTTTCCTGAACGTCATTCTCCAATCTATCATCCACAATCCTCTACTGCGCAATTACTTTCTCAGCGACAAACATAATTCGAAACTCTGCAAACATAAAGAGTGTACTTGTTGTGAGATAGATAAGCTGTTCACCGAGGTGTGTACCTTGCTTGCTATTTCACCTCAAAACTCATCCATATATGTCTAGGTGTACACTTCGTCACCGACACCATATGGACCTACATCACTCCTTATCGCTACGTGGCGCGCTTCCTCCGACCTGTCAGGCTACTCACAACAGGATGCCCACGAGTGCTTCATAGCGCTACTCAATGGTATTCACAACACGTGCCGCGGCCACACCAATATTTCCTGCAACTGTGTCGTGCACAGCACATTTGCCGGACAGCTGCAAAGTGACTTGAAGTGCGAGCGCTGTGGATACGTAAACGGGACGGTCGATCCCTGCTTAGACATCAGTTTAGAGCTGAGAGAGGGAAATATTACACTGGCTGATTGTCTGAAAAGGTGAGCGTAGCATCGGGGTGCCGTCTGAAGATTTCTAAATTGAGCGTAGATTCACACAGCAAGAGAAGCTAGGAGCAAAAGAATACTCATGTCCAAAGTGTGATAAAGGGCCGCATGTCCGTCGGTCTCGTGTTCTTTTGGGAACTTCTAATCACCTCGCTATCGCTTTTCAGGAAATCAGCAAGCGACTTTCAATACGCAAGCTCCCGCCTGTGCTCTCTTTCCAATTCAAGGTACCTCGCACATCGTGCTCATATCGCGCTCATAGCTCAGTATCTTTGATTAGCGTTTCGAACATAAGACCGCCGACAGATTGTCCGCTCAAAAGATCGATTTGCCTGTCCGTGTCCCTGCTAGCATTAACATGGCTCCATATACAACACTTGCTGCGACAAGGAAGCCGAGCGACGATCCCAGCCTTGCCGCATTTTCGTGAGTTTCAACTTCGAGTCGTTGCTTGTACTGATTGGCTCCTATCGCTAGATATCCTGGACCAGAAGTTATTTACGAGTACGATCTCTTCGCAGTGATCAATCATGAAGGCCAAATCGACAATGGGCACTACACAAATTTTGCGCGTCTCCAGGATGATGTTTGTTACTTCCTTGCTCATAAGGCCCTTAGCTCACCTCGTTTATGCTCACAGTGGTATAGATTCGATGACGACAAGTAGGTCATTCGGTGGACTGCGTCCGCAGGACCTAACCAGCTTTTGCTCGCGAACAGAGTGACACCATCTACTCTTCCAGCAGTTTTGTCTGCACCTATACCCATATACATGGCGTTTTATGTCAAACGTCGACTCGACTACAAACCTGACATGACGCCGTCGTACGTACTCACACGAGAAACAGAAGCCGTCCGTGAGCGAGAGCAAGAGAAGGAGAAGGAAAGACTGAAGGAGAGGGAAGAAAGGGAGCGAGAAGAGCAGGCGCGAGAAGACAGGGAGCGGGAAGACAAAGAGCGGGAGGAGAGAGAGAAGGAAGTGGAAGATGAACTATTGGCTACGGTATGATATCTGCTTTGTAAAATGTGATTTTGCTGTGATGTCATATTTTGACTGCTGAGCATGTCGAGAGAAGATCCAAGTTTATTGCACAAATACAGTATTCGGCTACAATGAAGAAACATGTAGAATGCGAAGAGGGGTCTGGAGGTCTATGACTTGAAGGGCGAAGGCGAATCACTAGTATTATTACAAATAGAAGCTCTGGGATGGATGTGTATCAGTATGAACCCCTGATTGCATTGAGTAGCTTGGTACGCTTACATTGCGACCCGGATAAATCTTCTCTTTGAAGAAAGCTTCCGTACGGTCTTCAGTGTTCGCCCCATGATTGTCCACATAGCTCAGTCTGGTAACGCTCATGTCGTGGAGGATGTCCGCGGCTATTTTCGCAAGGCTCACTTTGAAGGGTTCTTGGCTGGTAGTAGAATGAAGCGCCGTCGGGGTCAGTGGCGTGTCTTGACCACTCTGCTCAAGGCTGTCGTTCGCTGAGTCGGACTTAAGCGACAACTTGTCCACCTGATCGAGCGTATTGGATGTATTGTCCTGCTCTGGACCAGTGTGCACCTGCACAGGAGTGGGTTCGGGGAAGAAAACAGCGGGAGACGACTGAACCGGCTGGGACCAGAGATTCGGGTAATAAACAGTTCCGTTATGCAAAATTGGCTGGTCGGCATGCTGTCGCGGCCGGTCTGGATGGGTGAAGGGGCAGTCATTCGTGGTGCAAAAAGGCCACAAGAGACACGGAGTATATTTGAAGACTGCAGAAAAATAATCAGCATGGAGCGCTTTTCAACCCCAAATATTTAGTTACATTTCGACACGTCCGTCGGATGCTGGTACGGACAATCCGGAACTCTGCAATGACCTTGCACATGAGCCCAACAATGAGTCGACTTCTTGCCACCAATCTTCGGGGATTCCCAAGGCCAGTTAGGATCGTGTACGCTAATGTCACTGATGAGCGTCTGACCGTTGGGTTAGAAAAATCAACGTACAAATTGCATGCGTTGCCCAGTGGACAGCGCCCTAGTAAGGTAAAGTGTTTACAGGGGGAGGTCTTGTAGGACAACGGATTAAGACCATCCACGCCCTGATTCGCTTTCTTGAGAAGACTGGCCTTGATCATACGGAAAGTCTGGAACGACTCCCTCGACGTCTCTGATCGAGTCACAGGATGAGGCAGTGTCGAAAGATGTGCTACACTGTTATGCATCGGCGGTGGCTTTTTGAAAGCGACCGGCGCCGACGGGACGGGAGGGAATTTTGTGCGCGTTCCAGGACGCTGTGGCATCTGGGTAGATGATATCGCAGGCATGTGAAGTCCTGCGTTCCACAAATGTGGATATGGTCCGGCGCCATTGTGGATTGTAGGCTCTCCGGACTTCAGGGCTTGCAATTGCTGGAGGTCCTGATTAATGGTCTGCACTTCTGCGAACAGTTTATAAAAGTTTCCGAGCCGTGGCACGGACTCCAAGTCCGCATACGGATTGGGGAGGTGCGCCCCATCTTGAACAAGCCCAAGAGCTCTTCCTGATTCAAATGCATTGTTTGGCCCCGAACCCGCCCACTCATTTTGAGGTAATTGCACATTCGGAGGCTCGTGCGTAAACGGACATCGGTCTCGGGGGCACGTACTGCGAAAGCGGTACTTGCAAAGCCCACCTGAAGATCAAAATGCCACAGAAATAATCAGTGAGATTGAGCACGCGCACAGTAGGGAATGTGATGCGTACGATCAACTTGATACGGGTATCGGCGAACCATCACTGCAAAAGGATTAAGGTCAAGGGAGAGTAGGGATAGAAAGCTGGTGGTGGTGCAGAGCTATGAATGAACAAAGAGGATGCAACGCGATCGTCCTTATATGAGCGGCCGCTTTGACCCGCCACAGACGCGTGCTTGAGCGGCCACATTGGAGAGACACCAAACAAAGCTGCATAAGCGTGGCGTTGACGCCACCAAACGCGTCGTGATATGGACAATAGAAATGGCGTGTTTATTTGCTTGGTCTACAATCGAGACGGGGACGAGCTAATAGGTGGAAATCTGATAGGCGCCTGTACTTTTATGACGCAAGAGAACACTATAAGTCTACAAAGAAATGTGTGAGCGTGGATTTATGCACCAGAATTGATAAACATGGACTTACGCGAGCTATACTCCGAGAATGAGACCAAAGGTGAACGTCGATGGCGCAAGGGCCAGAGCAAACGAAAGAAGAAATAAAGGTATAAAGATCCCAGATCTCAAATTTGGAGTCCGAGAGGGAAGCGCCGAAACGCCAAGTTTCACCGAATTGTATCAAGTGCGCGACTTCCAAGTTTGAGAATCAAGCAGGAAGGAGGGTACGGGGGGAAGGAAGGAAATCGAACAAAGGAATCAGAGGCGTATTTGAATGTTTCGGACACGCGAGGAACGCGAGGATAACAAGTGCACGATCTTCGATGGGACCTCGTGGCATTAGATCGTCCTGCCCTTGTTTGATGATGATTCAGATCACAGACGTAATCTCAGCCCTTTGTCTCTAAGAGCACAGTCTGACCTATTCCTTCGTGAGTGCACGCAAACTTTCACGTCTCAGCGTCGACTACCAACCCTATCGGTATTTCGACAGAATAGATCTTGGCGGTGCCCGCACATCGCGCCCCAAGATTTTATCTCTGCTTCCCGTTGAATCGTCAACTGTTTCTGCATACGAACCGAGCGCACTCACAATGATGTATGTCGAAGCTTCCGACATGACATGCACTCGACGATAACAGTGGTAGTAGCGTGTGCTGTCATTTTGGGACTCATCTCGCACGGGATGACGATCCAATAGCAGATCCAGATGTGAATAAGCATACTCACCACAGCGACCTTGATCTGATATGCTTCCGGTGTTTTACTAAAGCAAGGGGTTTTAGCTCTGTGCAGCTTCCTGTAAGTCAGCATGAAACCTATCCTCCGATCAACATCCCTACGCTTGTAACTTATCAGCATATACCCAGCTATGTCTCCATTTAGTCCAAGGATTCAACTGCAGGTTTCACAATGCCAAGCGCATTGCCCGTCCGCGGGGTAGCCAGCGCTGGAGGGAGAGTATTGTGCGCTGTTTGCATTGGCACAGAATTTATGAGGCGTAGAGAAAGCGTAGAGTCACACAGACGGCCAGTACGTGGATGGGCTAATGTGAGTTGACTTTTGTGTTGTGTCTGCATATGCAGGTTGACGAGCATGTCAGACGCTAGGCACTAGTCACAGTCGCTATCGAAAAACGTACGAGTTGTAAATCACATGGGGAGAATTTTAGCTTGGAGAAGCTCAAATACAGTGTACTATCTGTGATTGATAGAAATTGATACCGATATATGTCGAATCACCCTGGCATATCCCTATAGAAGTCCGATCCTAATGCGGACGGAAAAGGGCCAAAATAGCCGACCCGCTCTCGTTCCCCTGCCCCCGACGCTGCCGTCTCGTATCGTCTCTCATTCTCTTCCCCTTATGTCCCATCCATTTGATAACGGAAAGGGCCAATTTTCGTGAAAGGTCCGATCCGACCTCCGTCGAAAAATGGTCCGTTGGTAGCGATGTCCGATCCTCAGCGCGGACGGATCGGTCAGGGAGAACGGATATTGTCGACGTCTACAGCTAAATATCATCGGCATCAGGTCAAGTTTGAAAACTTGAACTTTGTCACCAGGTTTGTAGGGTGATATATGCAGCAAAATTACATGAACATTGCTAGCATCGTTTGCACAGAAAAACTATCTTTATCGGGGATCGAGCTCCCATCTCAAACGCACCAGCATAAAAACCCCAGCATTTTATCCACTTTTCCATCCGGAGACATTGAATTCTTCCATACAATAATAATAATAATAATAATCCTGCTTGTTAAGATCTGCGGCCAGATGCTCTGACCTAATGTTGGTTGTTCATACTTTTACCATTCCCTACTGCGCTGGGTGCTGCCCAACCTTGATCTCGATGCTCTGCATGAGTGGATATCATCCGGTTCAGCCCTACGTTCTCAGAAATCTCAGTTATTGAGCGGTATGCTGGCGAAAAGTGCTTTTTCTGAGGTCCAATCCTTAAATGCGGACGAATTAGACTGAAAATCATATCCGATCCAGCCTATTCTCAGAGGTCCGAGTCGATTTCGGACGTTTTAAGGCCAAAAAGTCTGCGGACGGCAAGGCCCCAAAATGGAGATTTTGGATCGAACCTATCTAGGCATATGCCGGGGTTCTGCGTTGGTGTCGTCAATGCAGCGGAGAAGAACACAATTCTTACCCTCTTCGGCTTTTTAATGCATATTTAGAGCAAATGAGGGACACCTCACGTTCTGTGCTTATGATTTCTTAATTTGCCTTGTGGGCAGACAGACCTAACCCAGAACCAGGGCTTCATTTGTGGCTGGCATGTCGTCGGCCCGAGACCGAGGTCGGACTCGCTCCAACTCCCACTTGTTGGACAATTATTGACCACTACTTCCTCGCGTATTTCTGATACCTCCGTGAACGTGGAAGGCAATGGCAGCATGGAAACCATACTCACAGAAGGAGTGCCCGGCATTGTTGCTGCCAAAGGTCTGAGAGTTATTGATGTCACACCGACAGTGGTCTTGTCTGCGTGCGAGAAGGCATCCTCTCCCACTTCTTTGTTATAGTGGGCAGTGAGTGGCATGGTGGCGAGCAAGTGCCACACGGGTGGCCCAGGCTTTCTAAGTAAGTGTTTTGACCCCTTCACCTTTCTGAAAAAGTCCATCCACCGACCTACAGGAGATTCAAGCCTGCAAAACACCTCACGACGAAACTCAAGATACCAAACCTGCTATACAACAACTATTGGTAACTGAAAAGATGGCTAGCAACTTCCTCGGCCCCATGCCAGTCAAAGCCTTTTTGACAGAGTTCATGCCCTGCACCTCGGGCATGCCAAAGATGGGAGTCAAGAGGCTTCAGGTCGAATCGATATCCAAAGGTAACCGATTCGAGCCAGATTTCGTATATATTCCCTATCTTCAATGCCACATCCGTGCACTGACCAACGCATTTGCGCTGTAGATAGCGGCTGTTAACAGAGCCAGGCTGTGCCCCCGGTTCGTCCTCGTCGACACGACCGACAAAAACGACACCGATCCTCCAAAGCGATATCCAACAATATCTATCTACAAGCGACCTTACGGAGGCTCGCGCAAGGCAGACTTTCGCCTCATCGACCTTCATATCGTGCGCAAAACAATCGTAGAGGACCCGTTCATAGACCCATCACCGTCGACCCCTCGTCGCGAACACATGTTTGAGAATACTTATGACCGACGTGCCATCAGGACTCGACGGCACATCGTTGCTTACACGAATCGCCAATTCTCGTTGCAAAACCGGTGCTTTGCGTTCTCGGTCCTCTTCCTCGACCAGTTTGTCCGGTTCATCCGATGGGATCGCGCAGGGGCTGTTGTGACTGAGCGTTTTGACTGGAGACAAGATCCGAAGACCCTGGCGACATTCTTGTGGCATTTCAGCCAACTTTCCGACTCGCAGCGGGGGTACGACACGTCTGTGTCGAAGCCCACCCTTGAGGAGATCGAGCGAACCAAGGAGAAATTGAACGAGCGTGCAAAGGCATTGGCGCGAGCAAAGGGCGAAGACGAAGATTTTGCAAGCGAGCGATACTCGACAAATGACTCTTTTCGGAAGCTCTGTGTAGTGGACGATGATCCCGACGTTGAGGACGACCAGCGGACACAGTATTTCGTCGCTTCAGCCCCTCAATGGCAGAGCAAAGAATTGGTAGGACGGGGAACTAGGGGCTACGAGGCGCTGGATTTGCAGACCGGCGAACTGGTTTACGTGAAGGATGTCTGGCGGTACGAGACAGCTGGACTAGAGAAAGAAGGTGACACGTACCGATTGCTTCGTAAAAACAAGGTTTCGCGGATTCCTCGTCTTGTTTGCGCAGGCGATGTGAAGAATCAGACATCAAGTACACGTGAGTTTGAGGACGAGGAGTGGTGCTGTGGAAGGCCGAGACCGATGCGACACCGCCATTATCGATTAGTGCTCAAGGACCTCGGACGTTCATTGTCAGAATTCAATTCAACTAGACAGCTCTGTCAGGCTGTTTTACACGCGGTGATCGGTATGCAAACATCATACTCTTGCCAGCTGTCTAAGCTGCACGCTGATCTGTCCTTTTAATTTACGTTGCAGCTCACAAAGAGGCCTACGAGGCCGGTGTACTGCATCAAGACATCAGCGAGGGCAATATCTTGATTACGGACGAAGGAGAAGGTCTTCTGATTGATTGGGAATTGGCAACGAGACTTGATGATGAGGATTCAGACACTGACGTCCAGACAGGCAGAGTGGTGTGTTACCTCATTCCTGACTGAAACTTCCAGTATCTCAACAAGAATGTTTCAAGGGAACGTGGCAGTTCCTCTCAGCCGCCTTACTCATGGAGCCCGGTAAAGAACATGAACTACAAGACGACCTCGAGTCCTTTTTCTACATCATCCTCCGCCAAAGCATTTGCTATCAACGCAACGACATCGTACGCACCGGCTTGGTGGGAAGATTCTTTGATGAGCTCGTCACAGGCAACGATGGCCGCGAGTATGGCGGAACAACAAAAAGGGACTACCTCGTCACTCAGAACTTTCACTTCTTCGGCGAGGATAACCTTCGCGAATTCCTCAGCGGCGTGCACGTTGACCTTATCCAGGGCCTTCGGGCGCTGTTCCTTCCGATTTACATCGATCAGGACCCATGCGAACCTGTCGCTGTTGCCGGAGTCCTTGAATCTTCGGACAGATTCATACAGATCATCCAAGACCAATTGGACAAAGAAGATCAGTGGAAAGTTGGTGATAAGAGCTACGACATGCGCGTAGACTAGTAGTTGGTTCTAGAGCTCACTAGCTCGTGTAGTGAAGCGGTTGAGATTTTGAAGCTAGCATCATGAAGAACAGTGATCACCTTGCTATCTGCATTTTTCCAGACTTCTTTTTTATTATCCTACAGAGTACTTAATGCTTGCTCGACTATGACACCATTTAAACCCTCTCGTCATGACCATGTCTTCGCCGAATCACGAAGTGGCAAGGAAAGTAGAGCCTTCACAGAAACCACCAATCGCCGGAACAAGACCACGACCAGATGTTGAAAGCTCGACGAATGTCTGCGCATACGAACTGTTGATAGACAAAGCGACGATGTACAAGCGAAACCGTCGCCTCAAGACTCGCCTTCACCCTCTTACAATGCCCTGAGGTAAGCTACTTGACGCAAGAAGCACTAAGTATGTAGAAACAGACACAGGTGAACACGGGCGAATATCAAATCTGGACTCATTCCACCATAGAAATCGCAGACGACTAGTTCAGAAGATGTGAATGTTCGCCAACCAAAGAGCTTGAAGATATCCACATATAGCATCCTCTGTGGTGCAGCCCTAGAGTACCTGTGGTACAAAACACTGTTCAGCACCCCATCCTCAAGGCGTGCGAGGTATCTTGAGAGCAGATACATACCACCAATGTGTGCCTCGGTATACCATCGGTGTCCAGAAGATCCGGCGTAAAAGAACGTGGAACATGTACCGCGGGTAGATCATACGCTTGAGCTGATACCAAAGCCGCGTAGAATGGTTGCCAATCCCTCATCGTCGAGCTCTCTCCATCTCTGTCCATATGGTGCAATTCATTCCCAGGTAGCAGAGGCAAGCGTAAACGCGATCGATCCCAGCCAAGTGCTGTATGTTTTATCCGTTTTACTTTACTCTGCTTCGCCTTACCCTTCTTGGAGTGTTTCCTGGCATTATTGTTCCTGGCATTGGCATTGTGGCGATTCCCCGGCCCATCACCTTCAGTACATTTTTGAGGCATCCGCGGTGGTGCCAATGCGCCATATGAGACAGATCTATATGTGCGTTCAGTCGGCCAAAGTGTTCTCTCAGTAACTAAGCGCTCTGAGCGATGCTGAGAATGGTGAACTCGTCTGACAACATGATGCTTGGGCATGATGGGGAAGGCTGATGAGACGGACGATGTGCTGAGATCGGTGATGGTACTAAGACTTCCGAGGGCCAGAGCTGTGAGGAATGGCGACATATCCTCTGTAAGACTCGATAGATGGATATCAAGGGTCAGAGGTGACAGCATGTCGAACGTAGCTTTCGGCGTAGATTGGAATCTCGAGGATGGGCTATGAGACCATATGTCAGGTTGACCATCCTGGAAGCTGGTGTGACTATCCTCCTGGTGAGCGTCCGTCAGGCCATGGGTATTGAGTGTAGGAGATCTTTTGAATGGGTCAAGAGTTGAAGGTGAGTCGATAGGTTGTAGGTCAACGATGGCGATGTGAGAATGGAGCTCTACACCACTCGAATTTAGGCTATTGAACCCAGACCGGTTCGAGCATGATTGACGGCGAGAAGTCTTGGACCGTCCAGAAGAATGTGATATCAAAGATGAACGAGAAGTGCGGCAAGACTTCTGCGGAGGTGAATGAGGAACAGAGAGAATAGGATCGTCAGGCCGAACGCCGAGACTCGGATCCATATTGGATTGGTCTGGAGAGCTCCTGTGACCCACAAATGGACCATTCAAGGCTCTTGTAGTCGGCACTGAACCGTCAACTATGTCGCTACCTGCAAATCTTGGGCTTCTTGTTGGGTTAGATGATGAAGTCGCCTCAAACTGCTCTGATAGCACAACAATCGATGATGCGGTCGACATCGAGCCAAGAGATGCTTCGTCGACCTGCCCAAAAGACAGAGGACTATCGTTGTTGCCTATCCTAGGCGTGTTCTGTAATTCCTCGCCATCAGGTGAATGAGACGATGTCATGTTATGCGGGATGGTTGCGTTATGCAAGCGGTGCATCGGTGGTGGTCGTATCGGAGATGAGAAGTGATCAGAAGAGTCAGAAGAGATATCGCCCAATTGACTGCCAGGTCTTTCGTAGTCGCTGTCTTCGTCAGAATCGTCGAAACTGAAGAACATATCGTCCACATTGGCAACGTCCTCGCCTTGTTCTGATGATTCCGGGCGTTGGCTGGGCACTCGAGCTAGATATGAATTGCGTAGGAGCAAAAATAGAATAGAGAACAGCTGAAAAGCTCACTGGTCGATACAACGTTGCTGATGTCCGGGAATATAGCTCCAAGTCCAGGACGAGAAGTATGAGCGCGGACAGGAGGGTTGATGACCCTCAGAAGAGAACGAGTAATCGCGCGGAGCATCTCTCTCTCTTTCTCTGTCTCGCAGATTCTGAACAAGAAACAAGCGTCAGAACAGCTGAATGTAAAACCAAATATGAAAGCTAACACATCTATCTCATCGATATGACGGACTATAAGTTGACTGTTAACCTTATGCGATGAGATGAATACGGCAAGCTCTTCGACCGAGAGCTCGTCATCAGGGAAAGTCTCCAGTACGTAATCCTTGAGCTCTATCGGACTCCAGCGCTCCCATCCTTCCAAGGCCTGTGAATCAGGTTCAGCACGAAAGCAGCCTATTGGAACATGTGCATTGCACATATGTACACACCTTGCAAGAGGACATTGCAGACGGACCTACAGTCGGAATAGTGCTAAGAAATGTGTCGGATAAAGCAGGGAAAGGTGATTTTGTTCCAGGAGACGTTGACGCGTGGTGCATAGAAAGTGAGTCGGAACTCAAGCTCTCGATGTCGCTCCAAGCCCCTGGGAACGCTCTTGATTTTTGCACTAAAACCGCGAATTAAGCGAAATTCCTGTCAACTTGGTGTGTCGCAAATAGATGATATCCGATGCTTACTGTGCAATCTTGTCCTCACGTATCAACGGTATGTCGCGGGGAAGATAGCGAGGACCAGGCAATAAAGTCGACAAACATGCCACAAGGAAGAATACACATATGGCGAGATATCATAATTAAGAAGTGAACAAGCATCCCGCAAGGATTCGCAGACATGAGGTCGACGATCCACATTCAAGTGGAAAAAAGACCCTAGGAGAAGCATAAAATCCCATTTCAGCAACGACACGACGTCAAACAAAAGGAAACGCGCACGAAAGCAGGTGTAATTTACTCCACAGAAACAGTCATCAGAAGCACAAGAACATCAACAAGTTGACATGAGACGGCCCATGTGTCGAGCACCATCACCCAGGATATAGAGAGCAAAGACACTTCCCGTAACAGTGAAAGTTCGCATGAATGTTCACGCGAGGCAAGCTCGTGATGAACCCACCGCAAAAGCTGAACCATCCATGCGATATTCTATATCTATGCGTACTGATATGGCTAGCTGATCTAGTCTACAAGGGGTTAGGGATCTTTGATGAAATTCACCACCATCTTCTTGAATTCATTCGGTCTATGAAACGGGTCAGGGGAGCTATCACCAATCGGGGATCCAATTACCTACCTCTCTGCATGAACTGTGGGCGAAGGTGTGAACAGGAACGTGAAGATTGTGGAGAAGTAGGGGACATACCCCAGTGGCCCGCGTCCAATGTTTCAAGTGACATATTCGGGAAGAATTGCCCCGCCAGAGGTATATTACGATCATTGATATACTTACTCCTGGTTCCCTTGATGAACAAAGTTTTCCCGTTCCATTTTGTTTCTCCAGATTCATAAGGGAACGAGCCGAGATTGGGGATAGAAGGGCCAACAATATTCAGGGGAATGCGAAACTTCATCGGAATCGAATGCGCATCGAGGTTGGTAAGAAGAAAGGCGCGAGTCATGGGGTCCTAGCATACGATGAGATCATGGAACTTCAGGGCAGCCGAACACAAAAAAAGAGGGAGGATGTCCGCACAGGTTCGTATGGCGTGAGGAGATCCTGCGCCTCTTTGCGGGTCATCACCGCTTTCTCCTCGATTTCCCGCATGGCAGTTATGTAACCTTGGAACTCTTTCGAGAGTGCACCACGCGAGGGCGCGATATCAGCGACAATGAGGTGCGATAGCAGGTTGGACGGAAGTGTCGGCGAAAGTGCGAGCGACATCGCTACCTTGCCGCCCCTGTGCGCGAGCCACCATCATCTAGATCAAATCAGATGCCTCTCTTACCAAGAGAGGTGGAGGCTTACATCGAATGTCCAAGCAGTGAGATGTTGGAAAGAGAATGGTTCTCGCAGAAGTGCAGAACATCCAAAGCCATAGCTTCGTATGACATGGGTTCAGCGTGTGGCGAGGTTCCATGGTTTCGTAGGTCCTTCGTAAAGCATGCTCATGTTGATTTCGATCGAAGATTCAAGCCTGACTCACAAGTGCATAAACCGGACGCTGCAGGTCCCTAGCAAACGCCTTCGACAGCGAAAGCCAGTTCCGTTTCGTTCCACTGATCGCGTCTTTGTCTAAGAGTTCGCTCGCAAAGGGTTGAGGAGACGTACAAGAGCCCGTGAAGAATAACTAAAGGCCCGTACGCCTTATTTATGTCTGGGACACGTTGGAGATCAAAATGGAGATCGACCGGTGTCAATCGTGTCGAGAAAAGTCCTGTTTGGTCTCAATTAGATCACTGGCAGTAAACAGAAAGGATCGCTTGACTTTTGGAACCATCCTTGGCTCTGACCAGCGAATGTCGAAGAAATGATCCAAACATAACCGGCCGTGAACGTGTGAACGCCCGAGCGCCTAAGCATGAAGACGTCGGAATTTGCCGGGCGTTGAGATTAGGCGCGCCAGGTTCAAAGTAGCTCTACGCCTACCCTAAACATAGTGCGTGAAAACTTTTCTACTTCTTTTCGTTCTTGCCGTCTCTACCACCATCAACTCATGTCCTCTCCAATGTCGACATTTTCCAATGCTTTCCAGATGCTCGTAGTCGGATGATGGTGAGTCCTTCATCTTTTGTTGACCTTCATGCATACACCCGACACGATGAAAACCAATCGTTTATCCCGAGCACTGCCGTACTACCTAAATGGCTTTACGATGATATGGAAATGTCATAGTTACACTGATCGGTTTTCTTGTCCCTTTCACGAGGCCTTCAACGTCTAACTAACATTCACACTACCCTCAGGCATCTTTTCTCACCGTTATCCTTTTTTGAGAGCGGGTTGGACGACGATCATCTCTCAGTGGTGAGTCAATCGTCTTTAAAATTTATTCGTATCTTCATCTTGAAGATGATCCAACATCATTCAAACTAGAGTATCTGAGGGTCATCGAATGCCCGATGCTTTAAAACACTGTCAATTCACTGATTTCTTTTCATCTTCATCTCCTCACCTCTTGCGCTCGCTCATAAGGCTTTATACAGATAATCATACACAATCTGTTTTTATGAACTACCGCTACCAATTGCCATCACAATATATCCGATGATGGTGAGTGTCACGTCCGTTTGGTTCTAATGATGCAATATATGGAGTTACCGCCTGACTCCCCATTACGTGTGGTGGATTGTGACGATAAATCCAAGGCTGTTATTTTTTAACTCTGAAACATATCATCGCTCTTGATCTTGACCAGTTCGCTGATGTTCTGCTTGAGCAGGTTGATATTGAGCAGTATGCTCACAGTCCTTGACGTCGCCTTACTCATGCAGCTATCATCGCTCTCCCCAAGGCTTCCAGTCGTGAGTACAATCTTCTCATTGTGTGGTCTCTGCTTCAAATTGCATGATGCTTTTATCACGACGGTCTTCGTACCATTACTGCCGAAAATGCCCGCCACAGCTCAAATCTTCGGGCAACCCCTTCTGATCTTCCCCTCGTCTTCATATGTCCTTCTCGAACATCGCTGACTTATCTCAGTAGCGTCGTTTATTTACCGTTGCTGTCGATGGCTTGGTCAATGTTGATGGTGAGTGCTCGTTGCTGCCTCGGCCCACATCTCGTGATGAACAAACGCAAAAAATAATCAACTAGAAGCTGTTGCTTAGCTTTGGCGAAGATTAGATTTCTATATACTGATTTGTTCCTCATACATCTTGAGATTTGCCTGGCTGATCATTTTCTTCAGTTGTTGGCACCTCCAGTCCCGACTGTGTTCGTTTGGCTGCCGTTACAGTAGTAGGATATGTTGTATGTAGCATTGAAATACGAACAGTTTCAATTCCAGAAACCTGCAAGCCATACCAGTGCTAGCATGCATGCGACTAATGGGAATGAAACTACGATCGCGTTTTCAGTCAATTGTTTAAGAGGGACTGTATATTCATTTTGGCTTTCCAGAGATTCACTGACAAAGCAATGATATACAGACTATCCTAAACAATCAGGAAGCAACGATCTCACCAGACTCCTGCATGAGAGGGTATTCGGACTTCCGAAATCATTCAGAAACAATAGCATCGGCTTCTGCTTTTTGCACCGATATACCGTGGAACTGCAAGTGGCCATATTCTGTACAGATTCTACACAGAACCAATACATGCTGGCCACAGTGAGTGCACTCAAAGGCAGATTCGAGCTGTCACCAACGCCCCAAGCATGATTACAATCCAATCAGGCGGAATCCTACAAAATGCTCCATTCCGCTGGACTCGAGTTGAAACTTGCTTTGGCAGATTTCCAGCCTTCCCCGAGGCAAGCAAAAGCGGACGCATCCAACAGGCCAAATATAATCAAAACCTCAACTCTGCGATGCCCTGGCCGGCCTCATCTGGTATCATCGCGGCAAGGATAAGAGCAGTATTGTTATATGATGTTGCTAGCTCTCGCCATGAAATGGATGGACCTCGTCGCATCGCAGAGTAAAGGATCAAAACTGCTCGGGGCATCCATCGTCTCGGTCGCGGCCTGTGGCGCATGTTCTCCATTTTGAGGCAACTAGATGATGCTCTCTGGCGCGCACCAAAAACCAGAGACGTACGAGAACGAAGATTGCGTCGTCTCACGGTCATCTCTGGCCAGGTAAACGAGGGTTGCAAATATAAGCGGCCGATGAGGCCAACGAAGTATTACGAAGACAATTTGGGCGAGGCAGTTCTCCACAGAAAGAGATTGGGGTAATGCAAGTAGAGCCGGATGACATATAGTGATCCGAAGGAAAAGGAAAGAAAAAATGAAGGAGTTGGCATAGCAAGAGATGATAAAAAGTATCGGGGAAGCGACGAGCATAGCGAGAAATAGTGCATGTCAATCCACCGTCAATGATACTCAAGGTTGTTGTGAGTTCGCTTGCGTAGCAGAAGAACAGAAACTGATCAGCTGCGTACGTCCATCCCATCTTGCAGACCCATCAAAGATACGAGATGATGCATCAGAACGCTCTGGTCGTCGGGAGGCGGTACATACTACCATGTGGGGTATTCAAAAACCGGGGACCACGAGCTCGGGACATCAATGATATCGTCTAGCCGGTGGTTGTTTTCGTCCTATCGATCTAGGGTTGGAAGTAACGAGCCAGTGGACAAGGACAAGGACGACGCTTCGTGAACCGGCACTTCTCTTTGCTGTAGGCTCGGAACATGTGTAAGGCGGCTGTCGGACGACTGAACGGCGAGCAAAAGATTCTATCAAGACAGGGTCTAAGAGCTAACTCGTGTTTCCACATGTGCGGGGTATACTCACGATTCCGCGGTTGTGTGATGCACAATATGCGTTGATTGCAGGCATATATCTGCGTATACTCATGGTCTGCTACGGATCCCTGATTCAACAGATAATTAAGTCTAGTGGTTACGTAAAGCTAGCAATACCCTTACCATATGGAACTACTTATCCTCACTAGTCTTCACCACATCATGTTTCAATGATTAGCACCATGAACTGTGTTAGCAATTAGGGGGATGCACGACCCTCATAACTTCTTTTCCAACCAGTCGGCCCACAAACGAGTCAGTCAGGTCCGCATGCTGCGAGAGGTAGGAGACGATGATAGTCAGGTCTGGAGTAAGATGCTTTCAACCAAATGGATCTTGATGTCAACAAAGGGACTACGAAGGGTCGAACTTCCGCGGAAAAAAATATGGTCGGAGAACCCGGAGTTTCATCCTAAACTTGACCAAGCCAGCCATATTGGGAGATCTGAGCGCCAAATTTAGACTTTCACACCATACAGTTCCCAATTTGATTTGAGCTTCAAACTGAGCTTCTCAGCAACTCTACTCCGACACAATTCGTGGGTCAACGTCAACCTCCGATCGTCTGACCAACAACAACGGTCAAATATCGTTCTTTCTCCTCCTCTCGATTTCGATGACAGCTACTCATCTATAGAGCAGTCGGGACTGGAGAAGTGATTTCTCCGTCGCTTGCGTTCCCATTCGGTCAAGAGACTTCTAAGTGTTTCACCATTGACAGTATGAGAACTTTGTACGCTTCAGGATGTTTTCGTATTCTACGTTCTTTGGGAAAAGATGGTGGAGAGATGGGATGCTCAGTCACTCGCCGTGGGGTCCGGACTGATTCATCACCTCTTCCCTTACCGCCATCCCTGGATCGATTGGAGAGTGCCCAGGATACTGCTCACGCCCGCCATTGGTTGATGCGCTTCAAGTCTCACAAAATACCCAAAGATTCAGTCGAAATCACCTTTTCCAGAAGCTCCGGACCTGGTGGTCAGGTTTGTCCGCATCGTCCCAAGTCGCAATCAAGGCTCTACTCACATAAATGCATAGAACGTAAACAAAGTCAACACTAAGGCCACATTGCGGTGTCTGTTAGACTCAGAATGGATACCTCGCTGGGCTAGGGCTGGTCTGCGCAAATCTGTTCGTGTGTCTAGTATCTCCATCTACGATCCTCGATTTGGGTCTGATAGATGGGAAGCCCTACTTTGTCTCTTCATCACGTTCGATCCTGATAAAATCCATGGCACACCGCTCGCAAGCACAGAATATAGATGATTGTTTGTCCAAGGTCAGAATCCAGCCCTCTTCTCACGCTAGGCAACTTACGGCTTGTGATCTACTCTGTACAGCTCCATTCTTTGATCTCTTCCATTTCTTCCGTGGACATGAGAAATGAGCCGTCAGAAAAGCAGAAGGAACGCGTTCGGAGTTTCGAGAGAGCCGAAAGGGCAAAACGAAGACAAGAAAAGGACAGGAGAAGTCAGGTCAAGAGAGACCGGTCCAGCTCCCGAAAAGATTGGGATTGACATGGCATGTTATGGTCGATGGATATGTGCGACTTGAAGCTGGTTTAATGATCATCTCAATGTGGGGGCAACTGCTTTGCCATCGATAATGTCAACGCGGTGAGCACGCGAAACGTGTCGGATCTGCATTCTAAAACCCTCTCGTCTGTCTCAAACCCGGCATACCACCTATTCAGAAACATGACATCCGGTGTCTATTCGTGAGGATGACACACCTAGGCACGAGCCTGGTTTTGTATCTGCCGCCGATCGGTTCAAGACGGAATGGCCCCCGTATGTCCCGCTGCAGTCAGGGGTTTCAGCTGGAAACTCCCCGCCTTTTACATTGTCAGCCTTTCGTTCTCGCTATCGCCTTCTAGTCTATCGCAATGTTTGGAAAATATGGTCTGCCACCCACATTCCGAGATGACTGTCTCGCAGCATGTCTAGAGTTTGCCGGTACGACTGTCTTTCTACTCATCGGGTTTGGCGGGATCCAAGCATCGACCAGCGAAACCGACGCGAGCGCAAATACTTCTGAGGTCATACATGTGCTCTATATAGCAACATCCATGGGTCTCAGCCTCTTAGTTTCTGCTTGGCTCTTTTTCAGAGTGACAGGCGCGTTGTTCAACCCAAACATTAGTCTCGCTTTGCTCCTCGTCGGCGTTATTCAGCCAATACGTTTCATTCTATATTGTGTGGCTCAAATGACGGGAGCCATCACCGCGGCGGCTCTAGTCGTTGCTCTGACACCGGGTCCACTGAGCGTCAAGTAAGTTGGCCACATCATCCACGATTTTCTTAATTTACGCCCAGTTGATTTCGTTATGAATCGTCAGTACGACTCTTGCTCAAGGCATCAATCACGCCCAGGGTGTTTTCATAGAGATGTTCATCACAGCTGCGCTGGTGCTTGCCGTTCTCATGCTAGCCGCTGAGAAAAATCGGACCACGCCTTTCGCACCGGTATGTGGTCTTCTCTAATAGTGTCCCTGTTGCTGATCAGACTCAATAACCATGCAGATTGGTATTGGCCTCACGCTGTTCGCATGCCATCTGTAAGTATAGCATGGCTCATCAAATTTCCGTTGTAGTCACAACATTCCCACTCACTTGGCTTCACCTATAGTTTTGCAGTGTTTTATACTGGCGCTGCGATGAACACCGCGCGCGCGTTTGGGCCTGCGGTTGTCACCGGCTTTCCTTTCAGCTATCATTGGGTGGTGAGTCAAACCACGTAGTTACGAATCATAAACTCGCTCATGTCTCGTTCAAGTACTGGGTGGGGCCATTCTTGGGTTCTCTCTTGGGTGCTTCATTTTATGCCGCTTTAAAACAGTGCGTACAGCCTCCCCAGCTGCTTGAGTCTATTGACCGTTGGTCTGGTCAGTTCTGCGTACTGGAAGATTAGCCCTGACCAAGCATCGATCGACCCAAAAAAGTCACCCGACGATCCGGTCAATCGTGCAGTTTCCATTATGACTGGTCAAAGCGCCAACGATGGAGACACAATGTCTGGGGTCGGAGGCACAGGTTCTGGTACATACTCGCGGGAAGCCGCCGCCGCCGATAATGCCGTTGGTCCGAAAGCAAACAACAATAGCCCAGTGTAGTAATATTTGACGGGATCGTAGCCTGTTCGCGGTACTTTGTCTTGATATCAAGTTGGGACAAGGGTGCCATGTTCTCGGTTTCACTGGTAACAACATCTCAAACTGCAGTTTGACGCAGAGCTATTTTTTGCACACTTTTCGCGCGTTCGATTGGCACCTGTTCCGAGGGAGATGGACGTTTACTGATATCTTCGAGCTGGAAGTCTGTCATCCATTTACATAATGTGCCTATGTAACGATGATGCAGATGCCGCTTTCCCACTGTGTGTCGACCCTGAGCCTGAGATGAAGTTTCTGATGCCGTCCTGCGCACTCTGCATAATCGGGTATCCATTCGTAAGGTACATGCTACGTATGCAGCATGTACCATCTAGGCCTCTAAGTACTTCGAGCACTTCTCTTATCGGGTATATCGTGAATAAATACTAGTCAGGCAAACAACAAGGATGCACAGTCCCAGACACAAAGCGGCACTCGTACACGCAATCAAAACAAGACAGAGCGAACACAGAACCAAGGAAAACTCATACCGCTGATGGCAGTGAACATGGAATGTTAACGTCATAGAAGACCGGGGTCCGGAGGCACATGCGATGTATGTGGGGAACCAGATATATCGGCGATCGGGGATATCGTGAAGAATGGTGAGACGACAGCGCACAAAACAAAGATGCGCATTGTAATGTCCAGTAATTGAAGATGCAGATGGTCAGTGCCCTTCCAGGACCTGTGGATGAAGCGCGGGGGAACCATGATGTGAACTGTGATTCGACCGTTTGCGCGGCGGAAGACTGCGATCCTGTTGGGGGTGAGAAGTCAGTCAGTGGATCGCGAAACTCGTGAGCAAAGTCACAACGAGTCTCACCTCGCCGCGTTCCCAAGGCCGTGGATGTTTACGACCAGGAGAGTGATCGACAGCCATCCTGTCAGAACCGGGTGTGCTTGAACTTGCGCTCACGGTGCTCGGTGACCTCGGACACACTTCATGACGGGGATATTGATCGTCCCATGCGTAGGCAGGACGCATGGGCGGAGCTCCATTCTCTATGGTACGAGGACGAGGGAACGTCGGTGCCTGGTGGAATTGGGAATAACGAGGCAACTCGCTATCAGACGAGAATGACATCTTGCGAAGAAATGGGTCGGATTGTCGATGACTTTGGCGCAGGACCATAGAGACTAGGAAAAATGAGATGCTGCTAATGCTGCAAAAGGATAATGGAGAGATTGGCACATACCTAAGCTATCTCGGCGATCTTCTTCTGTTGCAACGTCTTGCCAAGCTCGACGCTCAGCCTCCATTGCTGCTACATACACATTGAAGGCGTCATGTGTACTTTTTTGTGCGCGCCGTAGGGCTCCGCGAGCGTTGGCGAGAATTTGTCCTAGAGGTTACAACCCAGAATTAGCTAGGCACCCAAACCAGCAATGTGGAAGGTAACACTCACGGGACGCCTCAACCTCTTCTTCTAGTGTGTTGATAGTACCCATCTGAGGGCTCGAAGTTTTGTTTGGCGGGTAGGAGATGGGAGCGACACTTAAAAAGTGCCGTGCGGGAGGAGGTTCGACTGTGATGGAAATAAGCGTTGAATCAGAGGCGTGAAATAATGAGACGAACTCTTCGGAATGTGGTTGGGACTATCTTCGGTCCATCCGTCATCAGAGCCATTCAGGATAGATTCCTCGGAGGGTTCCGGCGTGACAGAGACGATGTTGTGGCGCAATGGGGCAACGTAGCCGTTCTCAAGAGCTGCCTTACGTAGACGAGGGTTGTGTGGGATACCAGCCTCCTGTCGCTCAACGAATTTCCGAAGAAAGCCGAGCTCAACGTTTTCGGGCATGACGTAGGGCGGGCCTTTGATATCGCCACGCTGCATGAGGAGCTCGAGATGAGACATGACTTTGTCTTTGAGCTGCTGCAACCACTCGTGGAGCTCCATATGGTCCTGATCGGCTATGGCATCGTAGTCCTGCCGCCTACGAGCTTTCCGCCAGTAGGTTTTGGTCAGCTTGAGCGCGTGGTTCACTTCGGCATCAAGGCGGCGATACCAGTCGCTCGCCTGACTATTCAGGAGGACGGTGAGCACGCCTGGTTGGACGCGCAGCTGCAGCAGACAGCGACCGTCCGCATCGGGCGCGCTGAGCACGCCCTTTTGACCCTGGTTCCCGCGAGTGGCGCCGCGCGAGACATTACCAAGCTCGGGCCAGGGGAGATCGTCGGCTAACATGAGGGAGGCGTATACAAGAGACGGCTCGAATGAGGAGTTGGTTAGTGGACGTTGATGAGCGCGGGGCGGGAGACGACGTAGAGAGAGCCGTCGAAGTACTATGTATTTAAAGCCGACTGGTTATGTTATGGGGTGCCGGGGAAATTTGATGGAGGATGACAAGTCACCGCCTCGAACAGTGACATGTCCCGGTTGGGCATCTAGGAGACGGCCCTAACTAGCAGAATGATTCAGTATTCAGACCTCGTGGGATCCCGCCGAGCCAACGCCCATTGGTGAGATGTTGAGGATCAGAAACAATCTCTAACCATTCTCTAATCCTCTTTCGGCCACCTTGCCTCAACTCGAATTTCAGTCCAATTTCCCACACCCTTATTAAGATACTCCGCGAGGGGTCTTCCTCGGTACACCTTCCCCTTGATTTGACACCATGCTGGCATTCGCTCGTCAACTAGCATGATGTCCTGCGAACCTGCACTGCTGATGCTATCTTCGCCTTCATCTATCCCTCACAGCCATGGTGCCCACAGAAACACCCCTTATCATTGTCATCGGCGTCGAGGGGTTGTAGTTGCCTGTCCATGTGAGGTGCGTGTGTGCACGGTACCATTCCATGCCGTTATCCTGTTTCAGTCCTGATCCTGATTTATTGTGGGGAAATTCAACTCGCCGCTTCTTCCCGCGGCGCAATCATCACTGATCAGAAAACTTTGGTCTTCTGTCCAACATTCGCTGTTGTAAACGGCATGTCAACAATTGGAACTTTCCAGGATCCCAATGCTAATGTGTCGGCTCTGGATGTGTCAATGCGGGAACCCCTCGACTATACTTACTCATTTATCAGCACGACATCTCACGTGGTCCAAATTCTCTCCCCCGATGCTTTACGCGATCAGCAATCGAATTTGGTTACTGCGCTGAAGATATCAATCTTCTTTCCAGTGATAATCGTATTTTCTCTCATCGCATCTTCTCAGGACTCCATTACATAGTTTGACGATGATGTCCCATGATTAGTGCGCGAATCTGGGGCCCTCGATCCATCGCCCGTCTCCGTTCAAACACCTTGCGGTCAAAAAAAGGATCACCGAAGTCAAGACATGTGGACCTGTCATGATACGTTTCCTACAGGCCACCTCTTTTGCTGTACCAAGTCCTATAAATATGCACGGCGCTGTTTCTCAAGTCAGTGGGATTTTTAACACCGATGACCAGTTTCAGTGTATGTGTCGATTTGAGTGCTGAGTGTTGATTCGAGGCCAGCTGTGAACTTATGAATCAACTTTACACTTTCACTTGAAACACGAAAGTAGAGATTCTCTTGTCGCCATTCGACTTACTGTAGGCATGCAGATTCACCATGCGTCAAGTCGCAGACTTCTCATAGCCTTCCGGCTATTGACAATGAAGGAGGGTGAGAAGAATCGCCGCTTCGATTGGAATCGGACCCGGCGCAGAGAGCAACGATCATACACGTAAGTGGGTCAATTCTATATTACAGGGACAAACAAAGAAACACAATCGTTTCTATATCTAGTCATCTATAAAGCACTTGTTGACAATGTAAGGCCCTTGTCAGTCAGGACAGATTTTCCATTGAATGCAGTTTACTTCTCATGAAATACCGCATCGTGCCTTCCAAACCAAGATCTTGACATCGTTTAAATTTTCCATGTGAGTCAAGCTCTTTGTCTCCCGACGAGGAATAGTCTGTTTAGTGAGAGTCAATATGACACACAAGACATGTATAATATACAAGAGACACGATGACGACGATTCGGTAGGCTGTATATCTTCTGTGACGATGCGCTGACCACGACAACGTGGATCGGGATGCAAGAAGACAGCATAGACAGCTAACATTCCACTTTCAAGGAGATCCAGTCGTGATTACATCGTACCACCTTTCATCGTTGAGAGTTTACGGGTTTCAGCGTTGTCCATTTTACCGTTACTCTCTGTCTCTCACACTGTCCTGCTCGCAATGTGGGTTCATTGTGGCAGGTTGAATAAGACTGCGTGAGACTGTAGGTTGCCCATTTACCTCAGCATCACGTCACTAAGTCTTCTCCACATTTCGCAAAGAGCTGACTAAAGGACAACTAATAAATATTGTCTTTCGTCAGATGCAACCCACGACCTCAATTGATAGTGGATATTCGGGTGTAGTGCGAATGACGAGATGATGGTTCATCACATTTCTGCCAGCCTCGGCACGCCGAAGGGAGGGCCGATCGCAATTGATCATCAGAGCCCCACGATGCATTCTGCGAAATGTTGGCAGGAGCTAAGTTGGGACTTCGAACGATCCTGAACTCTATGAGTGGACGCCATCGACAAAGAAGCAATCAGCTATTCTTAAATAAGGCAACATCTGTTCCTGTAGGCTATGTCTGACATTCGCACTTGATATATCTACCTTTCGTGGTCGGCCTGTTCCGTTGCTATTCAGTCAAGTGCCCACTGCAGTATACAGAAGACATGATTTGACTGTGATGCAGGGACCACCATTACCTTTCAAAAGCGAAAAATGGATCGGGCTGTCGAAGGATGCGATATGTTCCATTCTCGGAGGACTCGGTGTACAAATCAGCTACTGATCGGAAGGCTACTGTGACAGTTGGACTGGAGCACATCAGTAAAAAAGAAGCATCCGCATCAGGAGATACAGGTCCAGCGGCGCTCGTTGTGGCAGCAGAAGAACGGAACTTGACCGAACTCCAAAAGTAGCCGAAGACAGCGAAAATGAACGTCTTAAGGCCAGCGATGTGGCAACGATAAGGGATAGCTGCCGCCCTTGATTCGACGAGGCAGAAGTCGGGACATGATGGCGGTGACGTGCTGTTTGAGGCTTTGATGTTTTCTAGGACATGATGAAGTGATATGGGCACTGCTACCAGTCGAGGGTCGATATGATGTTGACATAGCGGAGACAGTCCGTCAAGGCGGGAAAGCGGCTGGGGCCTGAGTCGACGGTTAGACAAGGTGTACTTTGTTGTCAGCGCCGTTTGGAGCGGATGAATAGAAATTGCAGTACGTAGTAATAAATATTAAAGACCGTCCACACCGTAAATGGCCAACCGCAAAACAGGGGTTTTAGGAAGAGACGCCTTGAGTGGATAGAACGGAATTAAAGATGTCAGCATTTTTTTCGTCCAAATGTCCCACTGTCGTCTACGGAAGATGAGCCGACGGAAACGGGGGAGGTATTGAAGCGAGACTCTCGGACACAATGTAGCGTGATTCATAGTTGAGGTGTGTGTTGTCTCGTGTTGCTGAGGCGAGCGGAAAGGAGGGCGAGCCGCAGTGGTGGGTTGTCTGGATAGAGAAACGCTGAAGCATTCACCGAATTGGACGCGTAACGACAGGTCAGTTGAGGCGTTCGGCGTGTACGAAACGTGTGTGTCGTATGTTTTCTTTGGCAATCGGATCTTGAATCTCCCATATGTGTACCTCGGATCTAATGGGCATTTGTGTGCTTTGTGAGCAGCAAACAAAGCGAGATAAAAATGAAATCACGGGTCTTCGAAGCTGGGATAAGGATAAGCCTATGAAAATAAACAGGCATACACATCCTTCTACATAACGGGTTTCCTTCTGCTGTCAGCACGTGTCTTGATGACAAAATATAAACACAGGACGCATACACTGTGCGCAGACTTAGCAATCAGAAGGGGGGGCCGAGCAGGGAGGACTTGTTTGCATGCCAGGAGTTTCAGCATCAGTCTCAATCAGTATCCAGGTACAGAGCGTGGCACAGCGCGGGCGACTTAAGGTAGCAAAGTTCTGTTTGAGACGTTCTCTTGCAGAGCGGCACTGGAAATCTGGAAACTTCAGGGATTCCGAGCGCATCAAATGGCAGATAGACATTGATAGTATTGGGTATCTCGGCGTCGGAACGTATGGGGGCTATAGTCACCATCATGATCAGTCACTGCATTTCCATGTTATTTCGAAGTACGTACGATCATGATTGAATTCTCAGCCAGAGAAGACGCAGAGGTATCGACTTTGAGAAGTTGATTGTGCATGATTGGAGACGCCGCTGCTCAGAAATCCCGCCAGAAGGAGGAGATCATGGTTATCCAGAATGGGACTTGCCGACTGCGAACGTAATAATACAGTTGTCGTGGGAGCTAGTCTCTGGCCTATATATTGGGGCCATAAGAACATTGGCCGTTAATTTGATACCGGAAACCCGCATTACGCAGCGGCGTTATGCCGCTACATGTAGGCCTTTTTCAGCCTGAGCAAAAAAGAAAAGTCGAACAGTCAGTCTTTGGGAGTGGAAGTGACAGCAACCACGATGATGGCGTACACGCCAATTGAGCTATGCGGTGCAGGGTCGCGCAGCAGCATCAACCATTTCCGCCGAGAGTCAGACAAGGCTATAGTGGGAATCGCACTATCAACCTACCATGTGGACTGGCCATCTTTCTCGCTCAACCTTCGGAGCCTTGGTATTCCGGAGATGGAAGCTGATGGTAATATCCTCTGTTTCGCTCCTGATAGACCTGGTATATCAGGTGAGTATCACGCTCCACGATGTATGATATTTCAATGTGAGGCCATGAGGAACACAAATAACGTTTCTCACAGATGAGGGGCAGAGCCATGGCATGCCCTTTGGCACATTGATGCATTCATTACATGTATGAATTTTTCTGTAAGCTCAGCTTCAGTTCCTTGTGATGCGAGATCATGTGTATAATGATTCGAGAGTGCATGAGTGGATCAGTATACCCAAGCCGCAGTCTATTTCGAGAGTATCGTCTTTTCGACAGACAAGTCGAGGAGGAGTAGAGAGTGTCGATCGGGGCTGAGCTATCGGCAACACCATTCAGGACCCTATAACATTTCCCGGCACGACGAGGTCGCTCTTTTGCGATTCCGAGCAATGGATGCAAGTGAATGCAAAGGAGCACGGAAGACAGGGTGGACATACACAACAGTAGGATAGCCGCGCCAAGTTATTCCTTTGAAAATAGTTTTGTTCAATCCGTTTCAATAACGACGAAACAAAATTTCCGTTTCGTACCGAACTCGTAGCACACAAATCTCGCGTCAAGACGCAACGCGCCAGTGATTTTGAAGAGAACCAGTGACGCATTCGACGGACGATCGGACTCGAGATCTGCGATGACACGAGGGAGTTCTGTCACTGCGGTCAGAGCTGCTGCAAAGCAGATGTAGAAAGGAAAGTCGGTAAAACGTCAACTTGAACGCGTGCGCGCGAACGCTTTCCCAGTCCCCTTCTATCACGTGGCCATCTAGAGTGCCATCATCACCGCCACAGTCCCCTTCAATCATCTTGAAACCCTTCTTGTGCCTACACCACCTGGTCCGCCTTTCACATACGAACTTGGGTCGTGGATGTCTATAGAGTAGGAAAAAAGTCTCGTGACTTCAATTCCCTGTGTTCGACGTGCACGCGCTGGCCATCAACGTCATAGCAATCCCACCGTCCGCTTCTCCCTGCATTCATCGACTAGAATATACTAAACGCCTCGACCAGTTCTTCATCACGTTGTGTGCATCCCAGACAATCAGGCTACTTGTTCTGTCTTCCTACCATGATGACTAGCTTCTCGAAGGCTGGCGTCAGTTTCTTCTGTTCTGTGGGCATCTTATGACGCTCGACCCTGGGCATACCGCCCCGGCAAAATGAGCATCCTCTTACCTCGTTGTTCTCGACTTTCAAATCCTCCGGATGGAACGACAGAAGAGGTATCGCCTGACTTGAAAAGAACCATTGCTGTCTTCCAAGGGCCTGGTTTTGAGGGTTAGAGGCGATATATAGACGAGTCCGCGACGAAGTCGTGAGTGTAGTTCATTGTGCAGCTCTCTCCTCAATCCCCAAACATTGCGCTTAGCTGATATGCATCCGCACACTCTGCTGTTGTATGTATTCTGCACGAGCTTGGGCATGATGGGTCATGTATCCGGCAGAGATATATTCGAGGCAAGGGCAGCTGTAAAGAACCCATTCGCCCCATTTCAAGTATTCGGAAATGCAACCATTGGACCTGAATTGACGGTGGAGCATCTTTTCTTTGACCAGGTAAGTCGCTGGCATATGCCTTCAAATTTGTGGATTGTTGATCCCCAATGACAATTCACTAACCAGTGGCCCACGGGCCTTAGCGTCTCGTCTACTGGAAAGATATATGCCAACTTCCCCACCGCCGTCAATCAGACCAACACGAAATTTACTGTTGGCGTCGTAAATGGCCACACGAGTGAGGCAGCATTCCCCTCCGTCGAAGCCAACCAGCCGCCCGCAGGATTTCTCTCAACTACGGACCCAGTTCATTTTGGCTCGAATGATAGCGATCACTTGATCAGCGTGCAAAGCGTGGTCGTCGACGCGCTTGATCGGGTATGGGCGCTCGATACAGGGAGGCCACTGGTGAATGGACAGATGGTACTCGGGAGTCAGGGCGGCCCCAAACTGGTTGGGTTTGACCAGAACGGGACCAAGGTAGCAAACCTCGTATTGCCCGCCGGGGTTGCGTTCCCGGATTCGTATCTAAACGACGTACGATTCGATTTGCGAGCTAGTACGTTACCGGCGGGTAAAGGAGTCGCATACGTCACCGATTCGAGGTGTGTGGCCCGCGAATTGCATGCAACAGACCCTGTCTGCTGATGCTCGCTTTCATGGATTGGAAGTAACGAGGGCCGGAATGGTATCATTGTGATAGATCTAGGGACTGGAAACGCGTGGAGGCATCTCGATAGCATCGCGCTGACGAGAGCGGATTCTGATTTCAAGAGCTCTTACAATGGCCGGCCGTTCCAGGTTGTCACACAGGGTCCTACGCCTGGCATCTTTTCGCGTTTCACCACAGGGTCAGATGGAATTGCATTGAGCAACGGTGCGCCGAACCGTTCCGTCCTGCGATACTGTGGATCTGACAACTGAATGTATGTGTCGTTCGTGCCCGAACGCACCGAAGACGGCAAGTTCCTATATTTCTCACCGCTCGCTTCACGCCGCCTCTATCGTGTTCCCACTTCCCTTCTCCTCGTACAGCCAGGGCCTGCGACTCCAAATGCAGTCAATGCTGCCATTGCCGGGACACAATTTCTTGGTGAACTTTCGAGCCACGCAGACGGCCTTGAGACGGATGCGGATGGGCTGATCTACGTCAGTGCGCCTGAGCACAATGCTATCACCATCTTCCAGCCCGAAACTGGCATATCAGAGACCCTTGTCAAGGATCCTAGGATCCAGTGGCCCGTGAGTAGCTAGCACCGATAGTCGAATGCACATGCTGATCCTCGCGTCAGGACACCCTGTCAGTGGCGACCAACAACCGCCTCTATTTCACGTCGAACCAGTATTTCTTGCAGCCTTCTTTGAATAACGGAACTGATCTTCGCGTGACTCCCTTCGGCATATTCAGCGTGCCCATCAAAGCGGGGAAAGTTCAGCTGGTATGAAGAGCTCGAGCGATTATTCTGATATATGAGCGATCACGGCCTTTGTTGTAACATTTTGCTTCGTAACGACTGCTGCCGTCGAACTCTTGGTATCTCCCGAGGTTCAATCAATTTGATGAAACCAAGCTGAGAGCGTGAACAATATCCTGGATGTTAAACAGATGAGATGTAAGCGGGATTCGAAGAGAATAGGTCCGGTAGCATGAGCGAGTAGAGAAAAGTCAAGCTGTAAAGCATAACAACGCGTGAGCCGTCCATTGCGCCTTCCTATTACTGTAATACAAGACTTCCCGACTCTTCGTCATGTTTCCGTTGAGCACCGCTGACAATCGCTCAGGGAATTCCTCGATGCTACCGCAACCCCGATGCTCGAGCGCGCAAAAAAATAAAATTGACGTTATCCGGTCGAAGCCGTTGCACCTATCCCATCCTGTCCCTAAGCCTTATGGATTACCTTCCATATTCAAGTATTCTAATTGTCAAGGCAAGCCAAGGACACATGAATGGATGCAACAATAACAGAATTCTGCATAATTAGATTGAAATATATTTGAAGGGACAGGGTACAAGTCTGATATTACTACTCTAAACATGGGAAGAGATACCTGTGATAGATTTTGAATCAGCAATGCATCAAAGAACATGATAGATGCTCGCGCGAAAGGAAAGAGATCAGACATCCATAGGAAGGTCATAAGGCCCTCATCGCACCGACCACCCGCCTAGCGACCAGCGCACCATCCAAAGAATGGCGGCCCACGCTCCGCCAACGCTAATGGGTTCAACGTGGTATGGAGGGGGAGTGTAGTCGTGCAGCATTGGGGGAGTACTCCATAAAGAGGGTGCTAGAGTGGAAACTGCGAATTTCTGCAATTTTTCATCCGGATATTCCCGCGAGCAATTTGAAGAAAAGATACGGAGAGAATGATTGCTCACCATGAAATAAATTGAAAGTTGCATAGATGGAAGGTATTAATAACTGAAGAGGGGAGGATAGTCAATACTGATGTCCATGAACTGTGGATCATAACAGACAAAGAAAAATCAGACGAAATGGCACTGGCAAGTACACTGTGCGTTCCGAAGAACGCGTATCTGTTGCGAACAGACACCTCTATTCCTCGGCATGGTCGTGTAGGACGGGGAAGAGAATATGGTCATCACGGAAATGGAAAGGATGCATGCGATAAGAGGACCTAAATGAAACTCACCAAGATGCAATGAAAAGAGATAGAAAAGAAGAGATCGAGGGAGAGAGTCGGAGGTGAGAGAAAGGGAAAATTTATACCAGCGCAACGTGGTCTGTGCGCTGCTGACGTAAATCGCGGGAACCCTTGTGCATCCAGCAAGCGCCGGCCGTTCTCGTCAACTACGACGACGCCTAGCATTCACCGCATTTTGTCTCGAAAAGATATTGAGCTCAGCCATGCCCGGGGTTTTTGTGGAAGTAACCCGTTCAATTGTTCCCCAGCGTCGCACACGATCATCACACGAAATCATCGATGTCGACTTGCTCGATGACAACGTTATTCATCGCCCTACTCAGCGGAGGCGGATGGCATCGAGTGTCGGCTCGAGTACTTCTTCAGATGTCATTGTTCTCGATAGCGACGATGAGCAATTTGCATCCTCGCAGGGCCTAACAACGCGGCCGCGGCGCTCAGGTGCGTATATTCATCTTCATAGACGTGGCAATCTCCTCATTGACATTAGGCGCACGACTCGTCTCTCCACCACCACCCTTACCGAACCTATCTATACCACCCGTGCCTCTCATTCAAGAGCACCATCATCTCCACACGACCCCTGACCCTCCACCCCAGCCCCCTACATTTGGTCTTGTGCGACCAAACGAGCATCCCTTTGAATTTGAAGTATCATTGGGGCCTCGTAGAGTTCACGCGCTTCCCCGACCCGCGCCTGTTCGTCCACCGCCCCCACCAGCTCCAGCACCTCCTTCCCACCATGTCCCGAACATGGGCTTCGGTGGCGCGATCTTGTCTCTAAACCGCCAAAACGCCATAGAACAGCACCTTGAGCAGGAACGCAGTCGTGACCGTCAGTTAGCTCGCATGCAGAACATCTTCCGCCGCGTGTCGAGTTATCTCCCGTATTGGCGATCGGTCATCGACCGTGGCGAAGCAGATGAGCTCTTAGACGCCGCCTTGGCCGAATCGTTAATAAATCCCGTCTGGGGAGATGTAACAGGTGTATCTGAGGACGGCGATGCCTTTGGTTCCCATTTCCGTCGCGTCCAGCAGGGCTATAAATCCATCTACACGCATCCCTTGCCGCCTGCTGAAGGTTTCACGCACAATTTTGCTCATTCGGTCCCGAAATCTTCGCCCACCGATGTGATCGTGCTTGATGAAGACGAGATAAGCGCGAGTGCGTCTGGGACCTCAAGCAGTTGCGACGTCAGCATGATGCTTGTGTGTGCCAGCTGCTTAGATCCACTCTATCTCGCGGGCGGTGCGTTATCAGACGAGGAGAGGGCCAAGAGCAAGGTGTGGGGTCTGAGGTGTGGGCATATGCTAGATGGCAAATGCGTGGCCAAGCTCATGCAGCCCTTGGACCTCGAGAAGGATGGCGTCGAGCTCGGAGATGGTAGACCATGTGACGAAGAGGTTAGCAAGGGGAAAGGAAAGTCAAAGGCAAGAACTTCCATTGACCGGGCTACTTCAAACGATTCCATCGGATCGACTCCCCCCATCGCAATACATCAGCATACTACTCAGTCGAATACGGCGTCAAATTCTGTACGTTCACGTCTTCGCCCTCGTAATACGGCTGGACTTGTTTTGCACGCTTCTGCGCCTTCGTCTGGAAGAGACACTCGCTCGGTTAATCCACCCCAAACCCACCTTGGTCACCGTCCTCATCCAAGGCCAGCATACTCTGTGTACGGTCCGTCTAGTTCTGCCACACCTTCATCCGGCTTAAATGCCCGCGCAAAAGGCAAGGGCAAAGTCGTTGCGCCTCGCATCGAGGCGACCCACGAATGGCGCTGCCCCGTGCCCAAGTGCGGGCACCTGCATTCAAGCATCAATGTCGAAGGAAAGGGTTGGATGATGGATGAAAATAGGGGTGCAGTGGGTGTATTTGCGTGAGGTATGTTCTGCGCCTTACCGCTCAGCCCGGCAATGGAGTCATGTTTTGTTCTTACACAGGTAGATCATGGTGTGTCCACTCTCGCTTCATTGTTTGGTCCACATCATACCGCAGATTTCTTGGTTGCTACACTGGCAGCGGTTCGAACAATATAATGTATTTTTCTCACTCGTCGTCGACTTCACTGCAATCACACCCACACAGTTTAAGGAGGTAAGTGTTACAATTGTTCATTTGGTCATCAGCCGCCAGTTGCTCTGTTTGCTTGTGCTCCTGGGGTCGGTGCGCTCTCAGTGAACATCTATTCATTCAGGCAACGTCTACCGGCGCGCCAGGACGAGAAGGCTGCCTCTCTAATCCCTGTTACCATCCTTGTGCCACTTCAGATGACCTCACCATTGCCACCGCGTCTATCTAACATCCCACTATCGAGCTTGTCTGCTTATCTTCGCTTCGAGGTATAGTATACATGTGTATCTTCTTTCATCAGTGAGGTCGATGTGCATGACCTTGGCACATACCTTTCTCTAATTACTATATTGTCATATATATTACTTGCTATCACAGAACTTTCCATTGCAACGCTCTCATGTATGGCATCTTGAGCACCGTCAATGGAAAAGTATCCCCCGTTCTTCCGACAAAAGTCATTGTCCTTACTACTTTTGGTCAGATTCTAGAATTGAAGCAAGTCGCAAGCTTTCGGCTCCTGATGGTAGTACGAGGGTATCGATGATCTGTCATGTATAAGTATCGCCAGCACAGTGATAGTCTGTCCTGTTCATTTCCACTGGGTATTTTTTGGATTTTTCCCAAGCCAATAGTCTGACGTCATGGCACCGTTCACACTCCGACCTGTGGTGACCGCTTCCATCTGCTGTCGCTGATCTCTGTTCAAGATGTCCACTTTGACGCTACAATCCAAGCTGAAAGTGAAGTTTTCTTTATACATTACTGCGTGGGAAACACAACGCTCACATGCAGATTTATTCCTCGTTGGGCTAGTGTAGTTGCGCGATGGAAACGAAATTCCGTTGCTTGGTTTTGGTACGCTGCCAAAGTATCAAAGCCGTGGCCGAAAACCCTCATCTCTGATGTCTTCACAGGCACATATGAACTGGTGGGAAAGGATGCGTACAAAGCGGTGACATGGGCTTTAGAGGTGAGCAAGTTGCTCTCGCAGTCGACGTCAATCGGAAACTCATTCAGCGCTTATCGCCACAGGCAGGCTATCGTCACATTGTCTGTCGATGATCTAGGTCTTTAAAGTCGATCATTCGCACTGACGAGAATGCAATTGTGCACAGGATTCCGCGACATGGTATGAAAACGAGGCAGAATGTGGTCAAGCCATCCGTGACTTCTGTACCCGTACCAGCACGCCGCGCTCCGAGATATTCTACACTACAAAACTGAAAGACAACAAAGGTCTCGCCGCAACGACGAAGGCGATTCAATTCTCGTTGGATGCCTGCGGCCTTGGCTATATTGACTTGTATCTCATCCATGGGCCTTGGGGCGGTCCGCGAATGAGGAAGGAAGCCTGGGAGGCTATTCTACTCGCACAGAAGGAGGGAAAGCTGAAGAGTGTGGGAGTCAGCACATTTGGGGTCAGGCACTTGAAAGAACTGGCGGATGCGGGATTAGATACACCTACGGTTCATCAGGTGCGTTCCAAGGTTATGTTTATAAGAATATTCCGAAGATTACTAATCTTTGCAGATTGACCTCCATCCATTCATGGCTCGCACAGAAATTGTAGCATACTGCAAAGAACGCGAGGTCGCGCTAGAGGTATGGCCCTTTACGGGTCAAGTTGTCGGGCATTCCGGTTGATTTGTCCTTTCCATAGGCCTGGGCGTCGTTAGCTCGGGGGATGCGCATGTCTCATCCATCGATTACCAAACTGGCCAGGAAATATAACAAGGAGTCGGCTCATATATTTCTACGCTATTCGTTACAAAAGGTACAGCTCGTTTCACGTACCATGTCATTGTGGTGACTGATCCTTGCCGTACTTTCTTCAGGGCTACATTCCATTGGTTAAGTCGGCGTCACAGAGCCGGATAGTATCTAACGCACAACTGTACGACTTCTCACTGGAAGAGGAGGATATGACTCACCTGGACAGTCTGAACGAGAGTGCGTATTGATTTGATACATCGCTATACGTTGAAAATTACGCTGATGCCCTTTACAGATTTGGTGACTGACTGGGATCCTACGGATAGCCCATGACAGAACCATGCTGCGTGAATAAGTCTCGAACTTCCACTTGCTTTTGTGATGTGACGAAGACTGCCTTCACAAGTCAGATAATTATGTTTCTGGCAAAAACATCTGTATTTTATGGACAGTGACGATATCCATGTGCTCATTCCCTTGTACTTTCATAAGAAGTGAGAATTCTGACCGAGCTCAGTGCGGTCTATCAGGAACATGTTTAATTTGTCATGTAGCTCTGGATATTAGGAACATACGGGGTACGTCCATACGCATGGCGAGAACTGTCTTCAGTTCGCTAATATGATACGTAGATGTCTACCTTTGCTCGTCACTTACGACATCGTGCACGCATGTTGACCTATCCGACACCAGATGGGCATCCATGCTATGCATATGCTCGATCTGTCCCGTGCACTCCACAGCGAATGTCAAGAACAGACGAGAAAAACTTCTCAATTGAGACGAGAATCCGGTTTAGTATCTCTACTTCTCTGTCAAAGTCTGTGGAGCCTTATCCACAACACAACACTCTGATATCGTGGGTGCTTTTGACCATCTTTCGGTTCGATCAATTCGCGTCTTTTCAGGTTTCCTTCCATTGAGTTTTCTATCCACGTGCGGAGATACATTACAGGGTTTGAAGGGAGGTATCTTTCTAACCCTTCACGTCACTGATGCAATGTGATGCGGTCCTGGAATGCATGCTTCGTCAAGTTCCGTGGCCTATGCCTAGACTATCGCAACCTAGATGAAACCTTCACCCCGGCCCGCCTCTGTCAGGCTTGTCGACGCACCACATTCCGTGAACGTGCTAGTGCGCGCCTTTTCCCTAGCCATAGTCATTCTCTATTCGAGTTTCGTATTTCCGCCTTTGCCCCGCCCGGAGCAGAAGACCGCAATGTGAGACATAGCAAGTAGCCCCGTCACCTTGCTGCATGCAGGAATACCAGCACTTGGACCAAGATATCTACTCCGGTAAAGTTTGAAGGTATGACACAGTTCGCCCATCGCCGGTCGTTGCTGCAGAGTGTACACAGGGTTCATGAATCGATCAATTTTTATCGCTTTTTGGGAATCCAGCCTGCGAGTTGCCTTCATGACGGCATTTCATCTCGTTTGAAGCACATCGACAGCCTGTCTTGATTGATTTACGACTTGTTCTCTAGGTTATTGTTGGAAAGGTATCGGACCATCGGTTTCGCCAGCATAGAATGATCAATTATGGGGTGGTACCTCTTCAGTCGCGACTGGAGTGCTGCTGAAATTGCACACATCCAGGCTGTAATGACCTGTGCCATAAGGTGATGAGCGCGTGGACGCTATGATAGACAATATCCGCACTACCGAGAGCTTGAGGCCTGAGCCCTCAATCCGACTCAAAAGGAGCTCAACAGCACGGTGTCTGGTAGATGCCACCTCAAAGGAAGCAAAGATTGATAACTTTTCAGTGAGAAGATATACCTGATCACAGGATGAATCGATATGGCAGTCAGCCCGTTCCAAATCGTCACATGCCGCGGACTTGTCGGGGTACCAAAATTCTTCAGCCCCGCAATTGTGCGACTCATCTCTTCCATGATGGTCTCAGTTTCACCCTCCCTGTGTAGCATGCTCTTCTCTTCATCATACTGTGAAATGCGTGATGCCTTTACTCAGTAAAGAGAAGAACAATTGTATTCTCGGAGATCCCCGTAGAAGACCGTAAGAGAGTCGCTGGGTAAGACCGAGCGGTGGCCGAAGTCCGAGGTGAGCTCGTTTGCCCAGAAAGAAAAGCCTCCGGCCAGTTCTAGTTTTGCTTCGGATTGTTCCATTGCATCACTGTGACTCCCAACGGGAGGGCCATTTCTTGGAATCGAGACTAGCTTTTCCTCTCTTTCGGAACATTCTAAGTACGTGATCTTGATAGATTATTCTGAGGTTGCTCATTGCTTGTCAGTAGGGCTCCTACCGCCAGCGGTGATCTCGCAATCATCTCATTTATCTCTCTGCCGCTTCTGCTACACGAGTCTTCCGCTCCCTGAGCGGCTTAAACTTCTTGCTCATGAGGTAAGGCTGACATATCTTTTGACCCTTCCGTTTTCGTGATCATCGAATCGCATCTCCCCGGCAAAGTAAGCTCCGGTTTTATCTCTTCTTCTCCATAATGGCTTTCGTGCGGCTTTGCTGAACGATCTGAGAGGCACTGGATCATCTATAGCAGCATATTCCCCGGATCATACGAAACACTGAAGGTGTGTGTGTATGACATGTACACATCAACCCTTGTTTTGGCGGTCTTCTGCGTCTGAGCCTCCCGTCTTCTCGGCCTGACGAAGAAGGCCGATTCTTTCTTATCTCATCGACCATCGACCATCGGCCGCACGTCGTGGGCTCATCCAATGACAGTCGGAGCCTCCCTCTCATACGCCAGACCATGGTCCCTTTCAATGCAATGGCAGACTCGTCTTTGGCGAATACGGATTCTTGCTACTCATACGCTCTTGTACCCTTTTGGTCCGAGATGATCTCTTCTCAGCATCACTCACGCAGATTTATGAACAGATGCAGACTGTGTCAAAGGTCTCTCCGTCTTTGATGCACGCTCTTCAAAATTAGCAGAGAGCAAAGTCAACATGCTATCTGGCTCCAATGCATTGAAACCCCAGAAATTCACTGCTGGACAGATATACGACTCTTCCCTGTCTCTGGCCTTAGCGATTCTCATTTTCTCCGTTAAGACAAATTTGATCTAGTTTGGCAAGACTTTAGGTTCCCGGCGGCCCAGTAAGAGTCCTATGTATGTGCTTCTTCTGTACCGATATCACGGCAGCCTCGAGGTCAAGCTATTCCGTGGCACACGCAGTCCACGTCGAACTGCAAATGCCTGAAGGTGTTTGATAGGCTTTGGAGTCGTTTCCGGCCCAGGCCAACGCATGCACATCTCGCGGACCTGATGCCGTAGCCCCTTCCGCCGGTACACGTACATCACTCTAGTCCATAGCCATGCCTTCACACATCGACTTCCCTTCATTCCCTATATTTCCTTTCTATCGACAACGCGCCTTTGGTCCTTGATCTCACGCGGTCGCAAAATCCCATCCAGAAGTGGGATTGTCGTGATCCTCATTGAGATTCCGATGTTGGATATGGATACATCCGCTAACATACACGATACGGAAGCAATGCGCCGTCTGCTTTGGTCCCTCAACGCATGAATGTCTTGCATATGATGCCAATCTTGCTCTGGCCTGCTTGTGAAACACCTTCCTGTACATATCACAGCCTGCGCATGAGATCTTTTTTTTCCCTGCTCCCCACATCGCTACACATCAATCCTTGCTATTTTGGTTCAGATAGAAGCTCTTAACAATGCACGGCATCCACGGCCACTCCACGCCCATTCTGCTGCGTAAGCCTCCACCGTCAAGCCTAAGGTCCGCGCGGAATACATCCTTTGACCTCCTTTGACGGGCTTTCACCTGTCGACCTACTACCCGATCGCATGCCTTCGGTCTGATGCTACTCATTGTGTCCATATTAAAAAACTGCGCCCCTGTGCGCCGTGCTTTGGGATCCACAACATTACGAGATGTCACAATCTGCCAACGTGGAATGAATGGAGCAGAGAACCTGGGTCCTCGAGCGGTGACAATAGGCGTAAGTATAGAAGTATACATTCTTTGGATTGAATTGGACTCAATACGTCACATGCATATGTTGATCCCAAGGGCACAGCGCCTTATCTTGGAGAGATTGCATTTCGGCACATGCTGCTGCGCGACGAAGAGGGGTTTTCGACATCTCAAATTAACGCGTCACCGAAACCCAATTTCTGACTTCGTCAATTCAGATGCCTGGTCAGGGACAGAATTTAGCCAGAATAGATCCGTCCGAAGTCTTCCGAAGTCTACACAACAGCTGTGCCGGCGGCTTTGAACGCCTTGAGACGCAGAGAACTGGGAAGCTTGACAAATTCACACGTGTCCGCTTATGGAAGACGCGGAGCGCCGACTGCTCCATAACAGTCGCTCGACGTGGGGAGAAACCGCCTCTCTGGTTCTGTTGTGAGAGCGAAGTGGACGTCATTGATTGAGTCATAAATTCGAAGCCAGTGCTGAGATATGAATATGTGCCCGTTGTAGCGATGTAGATTCAAATCCAGAAAAGTGTGGGGAAAGAAACCATGAGATCGAAGGCGGTGTCTTGATACAAGTGTTCTCCACTTACTTGATGCGATCACCGTGTGTCCGTTCAGGGGCATAATTCTTAGCACATTAGACCATATCCGAAGTGCACTTCTCTCTACGCATAAATCTTCAGTAAATTTCTCTTGCCCAGGAACAGCGCGGAAGCACTGCAGAAGCTATGCTATGACTAAGCTCCTCCGTAACCAACCTCACTTAAACTCGGGTGCCGTCCTGCATCATCCTCTCCAGATGTATAGCTCGAGCATTCTATTATCAACTACCTGCTCTTGCTGACTGCAATGTGGCCTTATTGAAAGCATGTCTGTTGATCAGATTACTTGGTTGATTGGTGCATGACCTGAACTTGTAATGAGGCTTTCTGTAGTGTTTTCGCCTATCGAGTTAGGTAGGAAGCCTTGGAGTAACGGAGTTTCAGATTGGAGATGATTTGGGGTGGGAACTCATGGGAAGGGCAAGAGAAACAAGTTTCTTGTTTATGAGTCTGCCTCAAGCCACGGCTAAAGCTCAGGGTTGTTGCTCATGTCATTCATGACGCAGACAAGCTTTGGGCTGGGTTAGTCAATGTTTTACAGAGCACATCGAACACTGCAGTGTGCAAGCAACCACACCATATACGGGTCTGAGAGCCTGCATCATAGCACTCGAGATTTTTACGTATTTAGGGGTACAATTTCACAACTAAGTGCAAAAAAACCCGTTTCGGATATGGCCTATTGTGATAATATTAGGGTTGGGTCGACCTGCCTATGAAACTGAACTGAACATATTGGCAACAGCAGTCACGGCGGATGAGTCCGAGGATGATATAAAAGCCCTCCGAAGTGGTCCCGCGCCTTCCTGCGCTCAGCGCTTATCAGTAAATCACATCGCCCGTGAGAAGAACGGCCGGGTGATAGTGCGATGGTGGTGGCGATGTTGGTTACATGGCGGTCTTCAGTCTAGGATGCAACTTGGGATGTAGATGAATTAGCGGAGTGTGCGCGGGGAGCGATCTGTGGTCGACACATCAATACTAGCAATTTCAATGTAATACCACGGCGAGATGAGAACGGGCGCCGCGCGACGCTCGTAAAAGCCCTAACGCTGGGAGCGCTCAGCGCACCCTACCGCAAACCCAGAGTGTGGCAGCGGCCGGAATCGACCGAACACACCAATCAGGCAAATCATCCCAGTCGAATTTGGATCTGTGGGGTGGCAGCGTTGATGTATATTCTGGATACTCGACCTGACATGAGGCGGGGAGCGCTGGCGGATGGGAAACTGTATCACACGTAGAAGAATTCTGCTTGGTGGGTTTGGGCACCAAATTCCCAAGCCAAGTCGCGACGACTGTTGTGAACAAAGTTCTCGTTATCGCCTTGGAGCCTTCGGCCTCTGGCGCCACCTGTCGGATGATGCTGCCATTAGACAGTGAAAAGTGATCAGAAAATTAACGGCTGAAATTGGAAAACGGTGATCAGTTATGAGGTGCCAAAAAAAAGGAAGAGGCTTCTTGAAGCGGATAACTTACAAGACGATGAGCGCGAGGTCAGAAGGCGGACAACGGCATGATAGCACGGCGCGTAGTAATGCGGCATGCAACATGCGCTCCAATGATCATACCTTGTGCCTTTCAGTCCGCTTTCGCCAAAGATATGGTGCTCCAAGGGACGGCCTGGCGAGACGGGGAGTTCACGACAAACGTCAGCACACGGAGGAACACAGATGCCCATTGCCTCATCGCACACACCTCGGGCGCGATGACACGAAGGCTGAGCACAAAGCGATAGCCTGGAGGATTCTACGCCGCTGCTCGGTTGCATGCAGCCCGGTGTGCGGGCGCGCGGAAAATCAGAGCCAAGGCCCCGCGCCTGTTTGACTTACCGAGGCGACGTGTCGCAAAAGGGCAATGAACGGAAATGAATGGAACATGTGAAGTGAGTCAAGTCTGATGCCCCGTGATGCCATGACGTCGCTCTGAGAATTGTGAAATGGCTCGTGTACAAGGCCGTCCTTCGTTATGGATACGCGTCACATTGTTCGCCTTCGGGCACAACGCGAATGTCGGGCCTCGAACCTGCGCCGCTGCTCGGTCGCACGCAGACAGGCAGTGGACATGATCTGGCCCTGAATCAAAACCTCGTTCTTGACGCCGACCAAAGCACCACATAGAGGGAAGATGGAGAATAGATACCTTACGAAAGGTGAACGATGAACAATACGCACATTCTGACGTCGTGGTGTTTGAACCTCGAATGAGAGCCATTGTGATTGATGAATCATTATTGCCTGTTATCAGGCCGAAGGCTTGCGCGGACACCATCGTCTGATCTAGCCTGACCCATGGACCCACTACCTGAGCGCAAGACGTCGGCAAGGAGTACATCTGTGACACCTGTACCTGGTCCATCTATGCGACATATCGCAGCTAAAAAAAATGGCCATAGATAATGCCGTCATTACAAGATGAAGTAGATGTATGGCTACTATGATGTTGATGCTGATGGGCGATCGCATGCACGATAGGTTGATGCACCGCGGATGACAGAACACCTCGGAACTGCATCTGGCGACTACGGTCTACGCCGAGCCTAGAGCACCAATCGAAAAGCGAGTCCAAGCCCGGGTTCGGTCAAGTGAGTAAGCCTTGGATCGGACGCCGCTGCTCGCTCCCGAGTTATTCGCGTCTGCTCCCACGTCCATCCGTTCAGCCCCTCTCACCTTACATGCTCCATGAACCTTCTCGATCTGGCTTCGCACTACAGAGGCGCCACGTAACGTACGTGCTATGCCCGGTGGCACATGGCCACGGCCAACAAGCAAGTGAGCTCATGCGCTCCGCGTCCCGACGGTTTGAGCACTCGCCGTGAAAAGGTTCACGTAGGGTGTCGTAACAGGTGAACAACAAGACACCGAGTGATGCGCTGTCATACGTGAGCCAGAGACACGCGATCGCGATTGTCGACAAGGTTTGCGTGTTTGATCAATAGCCTGGTCGCTCGGAGTGCGGAGGTGTAATCTTGGTGAATAGCTGAGAAAAGTGGACTGTCGGAGGCGGTGGGAAAGAGACGGAGTGAGTTCTGTCATGAGCGCGAGGTCATACAGTATTGAGACGGACTGGTACTTCATTTGGGGGAGTAGCACACCGTAGACAACTGCAGACGCGCTCGAAGCTGGGAAGAAGCGGCGATCAAGAAGCATCAGGCAGCTGAGATCGTGACACGTGATGCGCGGCGATGTGGGCGGGATGCTGCGGGATGTAGGCTGATGCAGGTGGCACTGGGCCGTGGTGTTGCTGAGCGCTGAGCCTCGGAGCGAACGAGCAGGGGAGACGTCCGCACAGGACATTGAAATAGAACTGCCCGTGACAGTACATCATGTCTTACTCTCTATGTCCACCCCTGTACTCTTTCCCTGGTCCTCCTTTGCGTCAGGACACGCTCCCATAGAGCGCCTCCCTCCTGAACTGCTCTACGCCATCGCGCTCTACCTCATCGCCGGCGTCGCTGTCAGCACCTATGGCAGCAGTAACACCGATCACCCCTCTCACCGTCCCCCCCTCGGCCCGCCTGCATCCCTCCTCAACATCCTCCTTACCTCCCGCACTGTCCACGCCAAACTTGCCCCCGCTCTCCCGCTTCTCGCTGCGCGCACATTCGAGCTCAGTTTTGATGTGGGAGCAATACGGAGGAGGTTGGGCACACACCGAGTTGACTCCGGGCGGGTTAAGCAGAAGGCGAGCATGACACAGGCACGGTGGGAGACCCTCGGCCGCATCAGGCGGCTGGAGTTCGGCAACAGCGCCAAGGTACACTGCGAGAGCTCGGTACTGATACACGACCTTTGGACGGTGTATCTCATGCTCCTCGAGCATGACAACGCAAATCGTGCACAGCTCATTAAACATGCGCAGCTCCCGCGCTACCTCTGGCGCCTCATCCGTGTCGGTTACGACGCCCGTGAGGCTCAGGAAAGCAACAGTGATCCAGGGGCTGAGGGCCAGGGGGGAGTACTGCCAGGGTGGTCTGCGCACACAGAGGAGAACGTGGAACTGATGAGTCTCGTATCTTGGGCACTGTGGCTGACGACGACCGTGGGTGAGCTCAAATCTAGAGTCCGATGGTTCAAATGGCCATAGATGATCTAAATTGACGCTTGGATGTGTAGAGGAGATCGAGTGCATGACGCACGAGACGCGGGCAAGCATCATCCGCCTCTTCGTCCCCTTCCTCGCGTTCGGCTTCCAGTATCCCTCGCATTTCTTCCCCGCAACCCACCTATGCCTCCCCTTCTGCCCTCACTTAATTCCAGCTTCCTGCTCTCCCCCCACACGTGCGAGTCTCTCGCCGTCCAGATCCCCTCTCCTCCCGCCGCTTCGCACGCTCACCTATGCAGGCCGTACCCTCGTACTCGCCGCTCCCCCGCTCGTGCCCGCAGCGACGCTTCTCGTGAGCTCAACGGTGCAAGCACAGATGAAGGCGGGGCTGAGGGCCGATCTCAGGATGACGTCGGCGAGAGAGGGAGGGGAGGGGGGGAATGGTGGACAAGGGGACGAGGGCGTGGGACAGCAAGGAGGAGAGCAAGACGAAGAGAACCCCCGTGCGCGCTCCCTCAAGCTCTGGCTTGACTCGCCATCACTCGCGTTCGATCCTTCTTCCAAAGACAATGACGTCACGATCGCGAGCACTGGCTCTTCCAATAACAAAGATGTTGACAATGACGACGCTGAGGATATTGGAGAACCGAGCGATCGACATGACGAGGACTGGGGGCGCATCGTCGGATGCGGAGATCCGTGGGGTTCTGTGTCGTCGACGGTAAGGGGACGGGTGTATAGCCCGGGTGCTATGTGTGGGACGTGGAGTGGGATGCTCTCGGTTCGTTCTATTGTTACCATCGCCATAATTGCTATCTTTTTGGATTCTTGGGTCTTCAAGTTCGTCATGTTGTTTTTATGTTCTCTTGATTTCTTTTTTGGGCTCTTGAATGCACCGCTTCCTCGTCGACGTAACTGACACAATTGTGCATGTGCACGGCTTGTCTCTCTACAGTGCCCGGACCAGACCCAGGTCGCCCGTATCGTCCACGCTCCCGATTTATCCAACAGCCCAGCTGAGCCCCAACCCGCACCAACAAATAATCAGCATCAGCAACAGCATGTAGCGCAACTTAGGCGACTCTCCCTTCCGCACCCACACCGTGTAGCACACCGCCCGCTGTTCGCGACGCTCCGCGAGTATCATTGTCTCGTGCCCGATATCCCACTGCGTGCGGGTATCGGGGAGGAGGCGTTGAGAGCGTTCTTGCCTGCCGGAGTCGAAGGAGCGGTTGGAATGCAAGGTGGACTCGGAGGTGGAGATGGCCAAGGGGCTGAGGTGTGTGCAGTTTGGTTCAATGGGTGGTGAGTTCATCAACTGACGGATGTTGTTTGTGGGGGGTGGACGAGGCATCAGAGTCGCGATGTGATGGAGATACGCGATCCGGTCAAGGGGACGACACATGTGTACTATCGGTTTAGAGGTGGGGAAGGGGAAGGGGAAGGAGATCTGCCCTATTGCGCGAAAGGCATGGAGAAGCTCAGGCATGGGGAAGACATCAGAATTGAAAGCGACGAGGACAGCGAGGACAGCGAGGAAAAGAGAGGCGACGGTGAAGAGGCAGACGATAGTAAAGATGGCGATGAAGACGACGCGACGGAGTTTGTCGATCACGTCTCCAGCGGGGTCAACGATATCCTCATTGTCGGGGAGGTGCGTCGTCTGAATCCACATCATACTCCGTGTTCTATTGCGATCCGGATATGCTTGACTCATGTAGTATTGACCCTTTGACCCGTATCAGACCGGCGGCGTGCACGGTACGGCTTGGGGCCAATTTGGATTCGTCGGGCGTGTACGCTCATGGGACGGTTTGGTCGTGGTCGTGCGGTATCCTGTACGTTTGCTGTTTTCTTTTTCGGCCATTTGATCTTCATGATCTTCATGATTTTGGCATCCTTTTTGCACGCATACTCGCAAACTTACTCATGCTGGGCCGATCAGCTTGACGCTCTCGCCATGCACATCGGTGCGCGCTGGGTATTTCGCGGCTACGTCCACGCGGGCGACGTCTGGGCCGGGCGCTGGCGCGAGACGGCGACAGGCATCGCGCACATTGGGTTTGAAGGTGGATTTGCGCTCGTGCGGGCGCGTTGAGGAAGGAGCTTCGGGAGAGGCTGGATGTAGAGAGGAGGCAGGGTCTGAACGGGCGCTCAGTTAGCCACCGGACCGCCAATCGCGTTCGGCTAATCTGATCATTTCAGCTAGCAGTGTTCAGGAGGCTGCAGGAGCTGCCCGCTTCGGGCCTGAATTTTAGATCCTGGATGGATAGGTACGGAAATGGGCGTGCACTTTTTAGATACCTCGGAAGATATCTTGGAATGGATATGTGATTGAATCTGGATGGTCCTGTGGGTGCTGGGACAGATGGACGGATTAGGATCTCTTTCTCTCGTTTCCGTCCGTTGCTGATTCGGTTAGGCCGAGTATAAGCTACTTTTCTCGGTGTTTTCACTCTCCATGATCAATGACCGCTCGCTCGTTTTTTCCGGACCCCTCCTTTCTCTAGCGGCGATGTCCAGTGCTGTACACCCTCAAATCAAACGCCCCTTCATCACTTAGAGCTAGTGCTTCGAGCCTCGAGCGAGCTTGAGTCGAGAGCCGCTTCGACCACCAGCACGCATGTATTGCACACGCATGGTTGTTGACATGAACACGAAAGGATTTATCTTGGTGATGAAGAGTATTCCCAAGAGACCAAGGTCGACTCCGATTCTGGGTTCGATGGGTTCTTGTTATCTCTTCGCGTGCTTCGAATTGGAGGTTGCACGATCGACGTAAGTTTCAGGAGTCCCAAAGCTCAATACAGCTATGCAATCCAGTGGCGTGATCAGCCTTCTGGGGGCGATGCAGGAGGAGAATGGGTCGCGCCGACCCCGACAAGCTGTAAGATTTATAAATGGAGGATTTGCTGCGCTGTTTCTGCAGTGAGGGGCCATCCGGAAGGCTGTGAGCGTGTATGAACTCGAGAGATCCGACGGTGCGAGTCCGGGCACAGTCGACCGGCACCCCTCCTTCGAGCGTGACTGTATGGCGCAGTTTCCTGGGTATGAGGACATGCCTTCGGAGGTGTAGAAGCTAGCAGGGACTCGAGTTCCGAGGTTGACCAGCGCGGCCTCAAGGCGAGAGCGATAGCCTGTACGTATTCTGCGCTAGTGTCCATAGAATATCCCAAAAGCCTCCTAGCCTTTTTGAGGGTTTGTTACACGTTTGTGCGAGTTTGAAAGAAGGATGAGACAGGGAGAACGTAGAATCCTTGCTTCGAGCCTATCAGAGAAGGAGGAAGAGACAGCAGCAAAGAAAGCGAGGTTGTGCAGAAGCAGAAGCAAATAACCAGCAGCTGACTGCAAAACAGTACATCTTGTGTCTTCGGTCACTATCATAGATCAGCCCTTGAGAACGGGATGATCAGATCATAATCTATAAAAACTTGGCTTTATTTTTGGTCGCCATCGATCGAATGAAGTTTGCCCTAGCAGGAAAAAGTACCCGACAGGCAAAGTCAAACTAGGACGGGAGCATTCCCACTGTGTTTGTGATACACGTGTAATGGGTGTCTTTGCAGTCTCGGAAAACGAACAAAGAGGAATGTTCGTTTTGGACAAAGGGCAATGCCTGCTTGAGGCATCAGAAGGCGGGAGCAGCCTCTGCATGCGCGTTTGACATGCAGGTTCTGCTCAAATCAGTAAGATGCAGAGTGTGCGAATGCGTGCGGATACTCGTTGAAGGAGGTGGCGAGGACGTGTGGCAGAGCCGCGACGCTGGCGAAAACCCTTGACGAAGATGGACCGGGGTCTGGCCTGGCCACCCCACTCGCGCCAGCTCTAAGCCCGCCACCGAGCTCCTAATATCGCTCGTGTAGAGGGGAGTGCATATGCGCTCCACATGTAGATAAATTTGAAGGCACTCGCTAGTGGCAGTCGCCCAGCGCCGGCATCATTCTGGTGATAACCTTGAGTTTGGGGTGAATGCCAGAAAGAACACGTACCCACACCTAGGCTTCGTTCTCCATGACGAATGTGGTGTTGAGGTGGTCACTGGTGGTCAGGGAGGGCGAATTTCAATTGAATTTGAAGACAAAATTCGGCAAGGCCGCCGCTAAGGCATCGTGTGTGTGCTCGGCCTATAAAGCGCTGCAAACCCTATTGTCTATTCGTATCGCACAGGTGCAGAAGGGTTGGAGCCGCCACTTTATTGTTGTGAACTTTCGTCTGTTGTCCAAAGGATTGACTTGCTTTCGAAGGCTTTAACACAGTTGGCGAAGGATCGAGCGGAGTCTGGTGTCAGCTTCTTACCCTACAGGGTTGCAGGTTTGGCAGCTTCGACTCAGCTTCGAATTGGTACATTCTCATCCATCGATTGCGGCTTTCATGATTCGTGAATTGCTGTCACTTGTCGGTCGGTGTTCTCGGTGAATGTCGCGTTCGGGAGGTGCATCGGACGTGCTCGTCCGACTCAACGCGACGTGGCTAAGCGTCGATGCTGAGCGCATTGATACATCAATGGCAGGATTGGAAGTGGAAGGGTAACTTGAGAGTTTGGAACTTGGTACGTACTCACTTCCATAGAGGGTGTTGGCTGTCCACTGGTACAAGTACTTCCCAGGTCGCGTGGTCGAGCATTGACCTAGCAGCCACAATGGCATGGCTATATACATGTGACAAGTGTCGTCACCTGCGTATCGGCATCATCCATTGTCTAGCCGATAGCGGCTTTGCTGGGAAGCAGGCTGCCATAGAGGTTGGTGAAGGCTGACGGGATTGTAAAAGGCTAGACGGCTCTCAGCGGTGCCGGCGGTCCTACAGTGGACGGGGGCCCTTCCGTACGAACATGACTGCGGGAGGACGGCGGTGGAGATGCTGATGCCATCACGTTTGATCCGTGTGTGCGTGACCGACTTCGATTTTTGTAGGGTTTCTCTCTTGTGATCTCAGGAGAAACCATATCCGTTCTCTGTGCAGAAAAATGAGAGATAATAAGGTGAGAGTATGGGGGCGAGGCGGTTCGATGCTGCTGCCGCAGGCTACCAGGCATTCCTTGATCAGCTGAACGAAGCCCCAAAGGTCAAAGGCAGAAGGCCTACATCTGGTCCAAGGATAGCGCCAAGGTGCGGGTATCGTCCAAGTAGTCATCGCGGGTTGTCCATTTCTTTGACACCCGACGCATGCGGTCTCGACATTTTCACCATTTATGATCTCTCCTTGGAGAATTCAGACATGCTCGGTATAACATCAGTCGTTGTTCGATGCACGTACCTGGAATCATGAGTCAAAGGTCAAAAGAAAGCCTGGTATGGTTAGGCCTGCACCCGATGTCGGCGCTAGATCAGAGTCTAACTGACATGAATGAAAATCAGCAGTTGAATTCGTTGAACGACGTTGGACTCTGAAGGTAGATACCTTCAATTTTCAAAACTTACATTCTGAGGCAGATAGCAGCAGTAAAAAAAATCATGTCGAGCGCTCTTCGGGCGGACCTTCTAGATTATCGCCGCCGGAAGGATCGAGCGCTAAATCCGCATAGGATTGAAAAATTACACCGCCCCATCTTTGTAGAGAAATATTGAGGTTGAAATGACGCCGGCATGTTCGGCGGCGTGGGTGCTAGTAGGTCCAGCCTGGGCCCGTATATCTGTGAGCTGGATCCGGACTCTCAATACCAATCGACAGGGAAGCTACCAATCTCCCAGAAAAACTCCCCGCAAGCGTCATCGCGCCTTCTGGATCCTTTCTTGTGCATCGGTGAGCTGCGATTGGCTGACCGCTCGCTCGAAGGGTCGATTTGGGCATGATGGGTATGCACACTATCTGTGTACGCATCAGATCTAGGCCCACTGCAGAACTAGGGGTATCTGTCGCCCCCTAGCAATACCATGCTTTTACGCAGGGGAGCACTGTATCGAACTCGATCGCCTGATCGCCGAGTAACGCGGGTGTTGTGTCGAGGTTTCAGGTCTATTATGACTATACTTGGCTAGTTATCGTGCAGGCGAATATGGACTGGAGGTCGAGAGCAACTGGAGGTAGGGAGCAGACGGAGCTCCTCGCTGGGTTGTAAATTTGTCTCCGCGAGAACGATTCAACTTGATCTAGGAGCGCGGTATCCGTTGATGTCAGATGCATCTAGCATCAGCGGAGAGGGAGCTTGAGCTTGTGCAAGCGTCTGGCATCGCGTTGAGCAGGATAGCTGCGCACCGCTCTGACACCGCCGGCTGCCGCCGTTCCGCGATCCGGCACTTTGTAGGCCTGTGTTTACTTCGGGAGGCGAGGCACATGCCACAGCCTAACCGGCGTCCATCTGGCTCGTAGAAGCAGCGTGGAGGCGCTCACATCTAGGTGCGTGATCACATCGCATGCAGACCCTCTCGTTTGCAACACCTTGCGATCTCCAGAGGGTGAGTAGCGATTGGTCACCGCTCCGCGGAGGACATAAAACGGGCAGGGATGTGAGTATGGATGCTATCTATGTTCAATCATAAGATGCTGTAGGTCCTCCATATATGTGCTGTGGCTGTGACACGAAGGGCTGCGAATCGACTGGGGTTCAGCCCAAGTAGTGTTGATCTGGGCACGCGATTCTCGCGGGTATTCACATTAGGACGTTGCAGTATATGTACCGAAGGTCGCCGCGCTTGATCCTGATCAGGACCTGATGATCATATGATTGCAACGAAGACGCATCGTCAGAGTGTTGCGCGACCGATGATTTATCAGAACAATTGGCCCTCGGCAAGCACAATTGGGCATATTGGATCCCTATCCCAGCAGGGCCTGTCACGTGCGAGGTGCTCGTGTTGTGTGTGCGCCATGAATTCGAGGGTAGTATGGTCGAAATGGTGTGGGCTGCGGTCCAAAATGATGAGTATGTCACGGGAAGGTGCTAGGCTGAAGAGGGTACGGCACTGGCACGGCGGGCGATGGGACGACGGGCGGTACCGGGAGCAAAGCTGAAAGCGGGTATACATTTTCCAAATCCATCACAATCGACGCTTCTTACGCGAGCCTACTCACACACGCCCACATTGGCAGCGATGTGGCTTCCGAATGTCGGAGGTGGAGCGAGCCTGACGGAATCAACGTCGTGTTCTCAGTCCCGGGAGGCAAGGTTACGGCGCTTCCCATTGCCCATGTGCCTCTAACATCCGAACGCCCGTCTAGAGACTACCGCTAGCGCAGGCACTGCTTGCCGCAAAAAAAACGGGAGATCTTCGCGCAGGCTCCGCGTTGCAGGGGCCATTGAAACAGCGGTGCCGGCAGTGCGGGGTAGTCCTGAGCGTGGCACGGTTCGGTTCCAAGCGAGACGAGATCTGGAGAGAGAACATGAACGAGGCCCGCTTCTGAATTGAGAGACGGAAAGAGAGTTACCGGGACATGGATCATCATATAAAGAGCCCGCCGCTTCCAGACCACCCCTGCCTTTTTCCTGCAGCGCTCGTTCACTCACGCCTCGACCCTTATAGACTCTCGCTCGTGCTGCCCCTGCGTCGGGTCATGCATCCCGCCACCTCCCCCGCGCTCTCTCCGTCCACCGCTGCTGCTGCCTCTGCACATCATTCACCTGTGCAACCATTCATCGGCTTCGTGGACACCACCACTGATGCCCTTCGTCTCATCATGGCCGCCCGGCAAGGCGTTATCCCACGCATTACCCGCCGCCTCAACGATGCTGAGAGGAGGTCCATGATCAGAAGCGGGACGGTATTCGTGTTCTCGGTAGAGGAAAGTGGTATTAGGCGTTGGACTGAAGGCCTGTCTTGGTCTCCATCCCGGATAGTTGGGAATTTCTTGGTGAGCCAATCCTGTCAGTACTTGGCGTCAAGAGGACCCGACGCCATTCATAATGATTACGCACGTCTTCGAATGTCCGTGTTGACGTTTGATCGATCGCGGCCGTAGGTGTATCGCGAGGTCACAGAACGTGGCAGCAGTCGCATTGCCCCAGAGAGACGAGCCACGCCTTCGACCGCATCGGCCTCGGCCTCGAACTCGCCTGTTCAGCGTCATCGAAGCAGATCGGAGACCAGCGTTGGGAGGTCCGTTGAGGCAGTGGCCGCAATGAAGCCCAATGGCCTTACTAAAAAGGTAATAGCAATGCATGACTCGAAGATGGCACACACTCACATGCATGGCCTTACGTCTTGTGGGACTGTAGACTATCACCGTCAAAGTGGATGGCACAGATCACCACCTCGTCTCCTACTATCGCGAGGAAGATGTCCACCATGGACGACTTCAAAGACCGACAAGCAGGCAGGATATCATGGACATCAACATTCCACCGGAGATGGTGCGTGCGACGAACTTTCGTCACCCACCCCATATCGAGATTGGTGCAGACGGCCGAGCACATATGTATGTCCCGTCTCCATATCCTCCTTCTGGATTATCGATGGCAGGACCCTGGATCGCGTACTGAACATGAGCTCCGAACTTCCAGATATGATGCTGAAGAAGCGGAGAACGTTGTGCGACGTCAGCACGACCCCGCTTCTAGCCCTACAACCCTCTCCGCGCCTTCTATTTCCATTCCTTCAACATCCTATGGAACACAGAGCGCAACCTCAGAATCCGACCGCGGTCAGCAATCCCATTACCAGCAACAACCGCAGCACCAGCATGAGATTTACTCACCAGTCACACCATCAACCACTCGAGAGGGTCAAAGCGGCGTCGGTGCGGGTCATCGTGGGTATGGGCACTCGCTTTATCAGGTTCGACCACCTCCCGTACCCGCATCCACACCTGCGAGTCATCGCTGGTCATCCTCGTCATCGCTGGCCTCGTCCTCTTTCCAAGGTGCTAGCCGGCAGGTACCCGAGGTCTCGACGAGAACAGCGCAGGGAGTCCGAGACTGGGAGGACTCCGCGCACAGCCCCACGCAGTACGGTGCCCCGGATGGAGCCTACTATCTACCACAGAACGAGAAGCCGAGGCATACACTGCCTCATTCTTCTCCGCCCCTTTCACTACCCCAGGCCGCACATCTATACCACGTACCACCGAGCATCGTACAAAGCTTGCCGGACGCACACTCGCGGGGGAACATTGCAGCGCATTGGCCTGCGCATCACGGCGTGCCTATATATCAGCAGCAGTCGTCCTCTAGCTCGAATGGATACCAGGTACACGAACGTGTCCCTGCTCCCACCCCATGGAGCCAGAGTCTCCATCAACCCAGCTCCAACATGACGCGCCGATCCCATCATCAGGAGGAAAGCGTCTATGACGGACCCGAATTGCTCTACTCTGAAGGACACGGTCATGCTGCGACCTACAAGTAGCTGCGCGGACGCCGGCCTGCTGGGCTATTTTTCCATCATAATCAGTTGCACAATCTATCATCATCATCCGACGTTTGTCAAGAAGGTACTGCGTTCGGTAGAATGCGTTACGTACTTCCCACACAGCATCTCGTTCTCGTTCTTGGTCTGGGTAATAGCGTCAGCTGCGAGCAGGTTTCCACAGGCTACGATACACACTAGTAACGATCTTCTGGATTGTCTTGACCACGGACACCATATACACGCAACAGGGGACCATGGCCACTACATTATATGGACTTACATTGGTATTTATACCAGTCGCTTTTTGTCCGGAACATACTGGCGACGCCGGAAATCAGAGCAGGGTGCCTTGCCTAGAGACTTTCATCGATAATTTCGTCGAAAACACATTACGATAAAAGCTGAGGGACAGCATAGCTTTCGCTCTGCTCACCCACAGTCAATTGACGCATTAGATACATACATACACGCACCGGAGCATATTTATTCATTGCCCACGACATGAATGGACGGAAAATCAGCCGATCTCTCCTCGTGTCCGCCGCTCGATGAATCCGCGGATGTTTGCGTGTCCCTCTAGGCTGCCAAAGAAGCAGCGCTTGGCAGCGTTCTCCCAAATCACGATGTCGAGTTGTTTTGCATAGTTCAGCACATACTCATAGTCCGCCTGAGAGGCAAATGCCGTGTATAAATATCCTGAGTAAGAGTACGGCGCGTCAGCATGATTGTGTAAAGGACAGATGGCTCCATGATCTTACCTTCCTGCGATTTTACTCTGTTCCGCTCTAGCTCCCAAAGCCGGATCTGATCTTGAACTGTAACAGGAAGTAAGGGTTTCTGCGGGGAAAGGCATAAGTCGAAGAGGATATGACAGGATAAATGCAACAACTCACGTTCTTGCGCATCTGGAGGTGTGCGTAAGTCGTGAGGTAACTGATAATCTAGATGCCAACGTCAGCCAGAGCAATGGCATGTGGTACACATGTACGGCGCTCGAAGGGCAACGCGGAATGGGAAGGCGGTAACATCTCGATGGAGGGCCAATACGCACCTGATCAGCGGTTATGCCGTTGGCAAGGGCCTTCCGCACGCTCTCACGCGTAATAGAACCCACAACGAGGTTCGGGAAGCGCGATTTCATGCTCACGAACAGGTTGAGGACAGCTGTCTGCAATGGGTTGTCTACAGAACATGTGTTTCGGCAATTCATCATATTAGCGCATAGAGAGATAAGATGCATATGGGAGGGCGTACTCGTGTATGCATACAGACGGTAATTTGTCTCGAGGATAATGAAACCTTGAGCCTGGCCCCTTGGCCCTGTCCCCGTACCCGAAGCAGTGGGAAGAGGAGGTAGCGAGGACGTCAAAGTAGTCGCTAATCGCGTTGGGCTGAAGCGCCGGGATATGGCCTGCAACCAGGTCGGTTAGGTGCTTATCTCTAAGAGGGATGAACCGACCTTGCGCTGCCATATGAGACCATAATCCCGGAGATCCTCCAACATGGCCTTCTGAGTTTCGCTCAGGCTCTCCGTCGAATATTCCTGGTATGTCCAGATATGAACGAACTGTGATATACGCCGAGATAGAAGTCCCTCACGCGGCCAAGTTCCATTGTAGACAGCATGAATAGAAAACTGATAACTTCCACAAGATCCATCTGTCTTTCCTGAAATACATGACGGGATCAGTGATGATTGCGTATATGCGCAGATTGTTTTCGTCTTTACTTCAACCATCTCCAAGTACTGGAGCAAAAGGTCCCATAGCTGGGCGTGGGGTGTATGTAAAAGGAATTGGAAACCTGAGGAGGTTATCTGCAATTGCGATCCTCTGGCAAACCAAACCCTCGATTAGTGCTGCCTCTGGTCATTAGATGCGCGAAGCCTACGACTGCATGGCCATCAGGCCACTCCGTTGAAGGAGGTATAGAACTCCCTGCGATGGTCTCGTAGGAGCTTGCCCTGTGCCCGAGGATACCATGTAATGCAAAATAGTCTGATAAATGAATCCCGTTAGAGCGCGTGCAGGCCACCAATGTCTCTGCTCACACCTCCCAGCGCTCCAGCGCGTATGTGTCTAGAGCCTCGATGCTGGGGGATTGCCGTTTTTCATCTAATTCGGCAGGAACCCCAAAACTTCCACTATTCCCACTGTGGATAATGTAAGACGAGCGAAATGTTCTGCACATCCAACGGGCAATTCGGGGATGTCCCTCACCCTCCTGTGATGGCTTGTCGCATGCTTGTCTTGAAAGTCGGATTGAGACCCAGTTTAGCGGATGGACTGGGAAGAATGTGCAAATTGGCCAGGGTCGTTATGGCGCCATCATAAGGTCTATTTCGAGCTTGGTGACAATGCATTTAAGACAAAATCACTTGAACAAAGACGAACTTTGTTTTAGCATCAACGACCCAGGATGACATGGTCAATATAGGGATGGAAGACTCAAGCCATAGCAAGTTCATGATAATCTGACGTTCTAAAGGTCCTAAAAGGCTGTACAAAAACCTGCTCGCGAATAGACTCTTCGATGAATGTTGCTCGACATACCGAAATATGGACAAGCATGATGATGGTCGGTGGTACAGACGTGTCAGCGAGTTCTGGGACTGTGAATGGAGAAACGATAGCAAAGCATGTGGACGGTGGTCATCGCTGGAGCTGGATTGATCTGATTCGACGACGACGGGCATTTTTCAGAGCAGTGGCATTTGACAAGGTATATTGTAGCGGAACGTCATTTCGGACTCGATTCCCCCTCGGACTGAGTTTGGATTTCGATCCGCGACAAATTTGAAGCGAATTATGACATTCTGTGACGGACACGTCGGGTCACCGCAGGTCACCGCAGGGTCACCGCGATGTCACCACCCCACTTGCGTCTGACAGTGTCCTTAGCCCCAACAGTTGCTTCACTGCATCTTCGACCTCCGGAAAATGGTTCAAATCACGATCACAGCCTCCAAAAGGATTCCTCTCGCCCCTGGGCTCCCGCTGACTCTCAACTTTCCCGAGGAATCCACGGTGCAAGACTTGAAGACGGCAATCTCGTCCAAGTATCCCAAGGTATGCATGACGCGTCGTGGATCACGATTAGGAACTGACCAGCTCCACTTGACGTGCATCGCGCCAAGTTCTACGATTCACGCCAGAAAATCTCGATCAAAGGCGAGAGAAGCGCCCTCGGAGATGATGCTTTCTTGAAAGACGTTGAAGGTGCTGAGGTATCTGTCAAAGATTTAGGGCCTCAGGTCAGCTGGAGAACCGTTTTCTTGGTTGAATATGTACGTAATTCACACTGCGCTATCCATTTTGCGGCATTGACAGGATATCCACGTCCACGTTGAAAGGCTGGCCCTCTAGTCATTCATCCTCTCATCTACTATCTCTCGAGCACGATATATCGGAGATATACTCAGCACAGTTTGTTGCAAAAGTCAGTTGGGATTTTTCAAATTTCCGGTAATTCCCTTGTGACGCTGTTTCTCTGCAGGGCTCTCTGTGTGATGGTGATGGCTCACTTCTTGAAGCGTGAGCTGGAGACTATTTTGTACGCATGGCCTTGTCAACTCTCTCAAATTCGTGTGACAGGAGCTAATCTCAGCCATCTCTAGCGTGCATCGATTCTCACACGGGACGATGCCTGCTTTCAACATAATCAAGAAGTCCGTGTCCCGCAATCACTAGCCTCATACTTTGTGTGAATCTAATAGCGCTCCCGTGCAGTTCGGCACATTACCATTTGTTGAGCGGTAGGTAGATTGGCACTTAATTTGTCGCACTTCTCTCACTATTGTATGTAGGTGTCGCGTTAGCACTCGCCATCTACAGCCCGACATACGCTGCTGATTCGCCCTATATCCGAGGCACGATCCGGGATGATCCCCGCTTTCTTCTTACGTGCGCTATTGTCTGGCTGGTCTGTGTTCTATCGGCAGCTCCTTGCTATGAACACTTAAATGAACAGGATTTTTTTAGTTTGCCCAGCTCTCAAATTTCAAGGTCCACCTCATCTTGCGCAATCTCCGCCCGGAAGGCACTCGTAAACTCGCTATACCGCGTGGATACGGTTTCTCACTGGTCTCTGTCCCGAACTACTTCTTCGAGTGTCTTGCATGGGCGACTATTGCCGTTATGTCTGGCAGCTGGGTTGGTAAGTGGCTCCACTTTTTTTAAAACTTTTTTGAATCCGCACGCTGATTGTACTTTGATCCTATGAAGCATGGCTATTCCTCTTCGTAGGTGGTGGTCAGATGACTCTGTGGGCCATCAAGAAGCATAAAAACTACAAGAAGGTTTTCGGGAAGGAATACCCAAGGAGAAAGGTCATGATCCCGTTTATTTTCTGATTACCTTCATATATGACAATCGTTGAGAATGGGGCAAGGCGTTCCACAAGAAATAGACGCTTTGTTTGACGGGTTGCGACTGGGCTCGTCGTCAAAACAAAACTCGAGCCATCGCTTGAGTTCGATGGTTCAATTGTCGGTGTAAGTTTCATACAGAATGACGATCCGAATTGACGAGTTCTCCGGCGTTTTCGCCATTGGAGACCAGCTCGAGAGGCCTACGACTTCCCACTTTTTCGCGCACAGAATCAGCGTCGCAAGCTAGGCCGTGCACTGTCGTTTTTTTCCCGCGAGCTGATCAACCTAAGCCATGGCATTGCTTTCGATATTATCTCCGAGCGGCATGAGGTGATAAATTAATAGAAGTTTATACTGCCACCGCATTAATAACACAATGGGGTACGTCTGACGACATCGCCTGTTATCTCAACTCGAAGGTGCTGTTAGAATGGACTCCAGCCGAGAACATAGGAATCAGCAAGTGTTTTGCCCGGAGACAATGGTTTCGTCGGACGACTAGTGCAATCGGAGCTTGAAATGAGACTCAGCCACTGGTCGCCAGAGTGATAAGCAAGTCCAGGTTGAAACAAGCTTCAACTCGCTTCATACGTAGCTCCCCCAGCAAGACGCGATAGACTCGGCCCGTACGGTTATTGACGGTGTTCAGCTGTCACTGTATCCCCACTGCAATTTGTCAAACTGATCCGTCGACCACCGCCGCCCGATGCATTGATGGCCCGGCGACTCATTACCAAGTTTGGAGACTTGATGCATGATGGAGAGTCAGGTCCATGGAATGTATCCGCCACCAGGCAATGCAATGTCGGTCTCCAGTAGTCCTGAGGTGAGATGTTCCACAATGCAACGGCCAGTTCAAACTCTGATTGACGTTTTGCCCAGCATTGGAACAAATTCCCAGACAATGAGGTACACTATTGGTCCCATCATTATGATGTGGGCGCTTTCAGCTCGTACTCACTGCTCGCGTTGAGCACTGGGACTAGCCTCAAACTGCTACGGCGACCAACAGGCGCCCGCACGGCCTTTCCATTGGGTCTCATGTTCTCACTGACGTGACTGTAACACTCAAGCCGTGCAAGGCTCGGAGCTGCGACAGGATCGCGCCTAAATCGCATTCCTCAGACCCACGATTGTCAAAAAAGATGTCGCCAGAAGTGCGTTTAAACGATTTAACTGCGACATCGGGACAGATTGTAGATCATCTCTCCGGGTCAGCAAGCAGCATCATTCTCACACGCCCCAGTAGGCCTCAGTCCGCCAAAGCAGTCCGCAGCGTCCCATCCTCATTATCCTCGCACTTGCGCCGGCTCACGTATTCTATATAGATTCTCTCTATTTGAATAAAACTCCCAAATAACAATGCCCCTTTTTTGAGACAATATCGCTTTGTATCGTTATCGTCCAGCCATCCTGTCTCGTTCAATGAACGGGATGTTGTTTCTGAAACATATTACAAAACCCATAAGGGGATATGAGGTGCGCTGGGAATTAGCCGGGTTCTATTTCGATCTCTCTTTACCTGTACGCTTTGTCCGGCGTCGTGACATGCGGTGGAATGCGATCGGCAACGGAACTATAAAGGTCGCGTTGCCCGCCCCGACAGACCGAGCAATTTTTCATCCTTTCGACACTCGTCTCGCGCTCCACTGCCGCTTATTCGCTCCTTGTCCACTATGTCTTCTGTCGATTCTGATTCTTTTGTCCTTCCCGATTTCATCTCTTACTGTCACTACCCCTTGCGAAGCAACCCCTACGAACGCGAGGTCACCCAGGCATCGGAATCATGGCTGCTCGCTACCGCCAATCTTAACGAGAAGAAGCGTCGTGCATTCGTGGATCTTAACGCGAGCGGTCTTGCAGCTGTATGCTATCCCGACGCTGACAGCGACCATCTGCGCGTGGTGGCCGACTTCATCAATTACCTTTTCAAACTCGATGACTGGACTGACGAATTCGCGGCCAAAGATGTGGGAGGAATGCGAGACTGTGTGTTGGGTGCTTTGAGGGATCCCAAGGGGTTTCAAACAGATAAAGGAGTGGGGAAGCTTGCCAAGAGGTTTGTCCATCTTATATCTTAACTGCAAATGTAAACTGACTGCCATTCCGCGATATGATAGTTTCTTTGGTCGGTTCATAGAGGACGGAGGACCTGGTTGCAGAGAGCGATTCATCGAGGGGATGGTGCTCTTCTTCAGTGCGGTAACCAGGGAGGCACAGGATCGATCCCAACACCACATAGCAGATCTGGAATCCTATATTTCGCTCAGACGCGATACGGGGGGTTGCAAGTCATGCTTTGCTCTCATCGAGTACGCGGCCGGGATCGACTTGCCAGATGCTGTCATAAATCACCCCTCCATTCGGACTCTTGAAGACGCGACCAATGATATCGTTGCGTGGACGAACGTGAGTGACTTTGACTCTTCGAGCTCTCTCGTATAGATATTCAGCGTTCTTTTCCTATCAGGACGTGTTCTCATATGATGTCGAGGCGTCACGGGGCGATATACACAACCTTGTCATCGTTGTCATGAACGAGCAAGAGCTCTCGCTCCAGGAAGCAATCGATTTCGTTGGTGACCTATGCAAGTCCACGATGGACACTTTCGAACAAGTCCGCCATTCCCTGCCTTCTTGGGGCCCTGAGATCGATGCCCAAGTCCAAAAATACGTTAGCGGTCTCCAGGACTGGATCATAGGGTCGCTTCACTGGAGCTTCGCAACCCCTCGGTACTTTGGCGAGAAGGGTCAAGAGGTCAAAAACCAACTGATCGTGAAAATATCGCCGAGAATCAGTGAGCACTGAGGTCAGTCATTTCGTGCTTTATCATAGTTGTCTCGCGACTGACAGACAGCCGCCCACAGATGTTGATGCATCACGCGCACAGCTCAGGTTGCCCCGTTTCAATACATTACTGCTCCCTCTATAACTCTTCGTTCGAATCTAATGATGAACACTTCAACCTGGTGTTGATCATCAATATATTTGTGGTCGCTTTCGCATAATTCACTCACCTTTATACATTTCATATCAGGACATTTTAGTTTAGCACATATTTCTTTCACTCGAGCTATCCTAGAATCGATCACCTATTCGCGCCTCTTTAGTTGGCAGCTCTATGTACCGTTTTCCTCTCCTTCCACTCGCCTGTAGCCTTTCATCAAAACCTCGGTTCCCGATCCCCTGTGTCACTTAATCACCTTGTTGCTCAGACTGAATTTTCTGTCTTCGCGATGCGATACCCGCATCTGCCTGATAGGCACTCGTGCGTGGCTCCGAAGTATACCCTGAATCTGATGCCTCTGTCGCACTCTAAAACCTTGTGGTACAATCCATGTGAATACCAGTGTTTGGCTTGCAACTGCGGTGGTCTGCATACACGCCGTGATTCGATGGCCCTTGCCAAGCGTGAGTTCTTTCTTGGAAGCTTATTGTTCTTCTGCGCTGGCATCGTGTTTTAAAAATCCATATCTGCAAGTCCGGGACGGAAATTGGGAAGAGTTTCCTAGTAGAAGGAAGCAAATGAGACCGAGACGCGACCAAGAGTGTGATACCACTCATGCGTCATGGGTGTCCGCATACTTTTCGAGGTCAACAGTATAGCCATGCGATAGATTCACCAAACTTCAGACTTGCATAGCCTGTGATGTACCACACTTCGTGACAACACAGGTTCGAAATCAGGCATCAAGATGTGTGTCCACCAAAGTATAGTAGAGTATAGCACAGCCTTGCAGACCTATGGTACACAAGGCCGTGGTTGTGGAATCTATCTGGTTCCATGCACGCCGCTGCACGCCGTTGGTCAGATGGATTTGTGATTTGGGGTTATCGTCCAATGCATGACCTAAGGCGGCTCTCCAGACGCCGTGTATCTCTGATAATGAAAGCGAAAACAAGCTTGGCCTCATGAGGGAAAGAGCTTGAAAGAGCTTTGAAACTCGCATGAGTAATTGTTTGCGCCTTAGGAGTCATATTCGTGTGATACTTCGCTCGGGTCGAGAAGATACGAAACCGCGGATCTCATCATCGTTTCCATGCCTGACAGAAACCAGCGAGAGCTTGAGCTTGAGGGCGGAGATGCATTCCGTTTGCGAGTCAACAATGATGATGAGCACAGGCCCGCATCTACAGATGACAGGGGTGACACCGATCACAGGAAAAGGCCACAATGCATCCAGTACGCAGCCTCATTCGGCGAGTTGCCTAATAGTAAGTCCCGTGAACTATGGCCACCGGCAAAGCAAAGCAGGCCGATCCGCGATTTCCGAGAAGACCGAGGCGAACCCAAACAATGTTTGAAGGGAAGACTCAAACATGGAAGGGATGCATCACCTATTGCCTTTGAAAAATGAGATTTTCAGACCTCTCAGACTGATTGTTGTCTTTGATCAGAACGATGCGTTAAGGACAGATTAGTTGAAACACTTGCATCGGCAACGTTCAACATCAACATTTAAACGTCGAGGAGAGCGCCCATTGGTCAGTTTCCGTCGCGACCACTCCAATAGGGAATATCACCCTGAGAAAAGAGACATGAGACGTGGGTAACGTCGTTGGACAAGGCACAGTTCACGATGCAGGATTAAGGGGGTTTTCCGGCGGTAGATCTGGGGTTACGGACCGATCCTTTGAACAGCGATTTAAAAAAAATCAGAGCGAAGAAATCAAAATCTCACTGCCCGAACCTGTCATTCATCATCTGCGAACGACAGCAGAGTGCGCGGAGCTTTCTTCGCTTTCTTTTTCGTCCTTTTTCCCTCATCCTTGCTGCCGTGTTCGCCAGGATCACCAACAGCCTTCCTCTTCCCGGATGCCAAAGGTTTCATTCCAGCCTTGGAGGAGAATGAAAGGCTGTCCTTCGATCGTGCCTTGACGGGCGCTTCATTGAGAGTTTTATGGGATTCCGCCGGTACAACTCCTGAAGGCTCTGGAAGAGGAGAGAGTCCTTTCGCTTCGGGTGACCAGCCGCGGCGCAGGCACAAGTGCTGCATTTTAGATTCTGTGGGCATGAGTACATACGGTGACCGGCACACACCTTTCCGCCTCTCATTCTCGGCTTCCCTCTGGCTCAGATGCTTTCCCTCCTTCAAGACTACCACCTGCGGCCGTTCGTCTCCATCGTCTTCGTCTGCACTTCCAGCTTGGTCGCTTGGTCGCTCGGGAATAGCCGGCCTTTTCGGAATGGGAGGTCTGCCTGACCCATCGTATTCAAACTCATCGTCCTCATCCTCGTCCTCATCTGGTACGCCTGCCACGCGATTTGAGAATTTGCGAAGAAACGCGGGGGTATTCTGACTGTAAGAAAGACGGGAGGATAGTTGTGCTCGTGTAGGCTCTTTCGGCGACATGGAATGGAATACAACACAATTAGTAGATCAAGGCAAGCCGCAGAACACGGGGGAAACTGTGGGTCTAAATTTAGACAACGACAATTGCCGAATTCGGCTTTGGAGGTGTGGCGTCGGAAGTTTGAATAGACCAAATCTCGTGATTTACCACAAGACGGAACCTATGCGAGGTAGGGACAGGAAGTATAAGGTTCTCAAGGATGATGAAAGTACAAGAAACCCACTCAATGCGGAAGAAATCTAGCATGCGCATCGTACAGATCAAGAAAAGAAAGAGAGTTGTAGACGATCAAGACAATGTCCGGCAAATATACGAGTTCTATATACTACCAAAAAAAGAGGAGATGCTACCTAGACCCAGAGAAGATCGACATGCGCTGGCGCGCCCTCGCAGCTATACTAGTCATGCGCGAGGTAGATAGGGTATCTGTACTCGTACCAGCTGCAGGATTGAGTGCCGCGCCTTCACTCATGTGCGAGCGATGTCTGAAAAACGACTTGAGCGGCCGACCTAATGCAGCTTCGTCGCTTTCAGTCCACGCGTTGTCTTCTCGTATGGCTTGGAGCACCGCAGAGGAGGTCGCATATGACTGGCTCTGAGAATGCACGTGAGGTTTGGGTTTCTTCAGTTTCTTGGGCAGCTTGAGGCTCCTCCGAAAGATCGACCGCTGGCTCGCGGTAGACGCAGGGGTCTCGGATCTGGTGGGAGTACGGTCCTCTGCATTGGATGCTGCGCCCCTACTTTCAATTGAAGGCCGCACAGGTGAGACCAACACGAACGAGGGACGCGACCGGAAAGATGCCTTTGAACGAGGCGTCATGATGGTAAGTGAGAAATTGTCCTGGATCTGTTCGAATCTATCTAACAGGTGTTCGACGTAGTCGGGCATTGTGATTCCAGGGGAGTGATTGGTTGCTAGTATCTCCTCCTTGGACAGCGAGAGAGGACGTGTGTAGTATATGGTAGCAAATCCCTGGGTTTCGGAGTTCAAGAAAGACAGATGGTGGTCATCGTCATGTAGTGTAGGACACTCGCTCGCGGCAGATGAGGCAGTGGTCTGTGAAGGGGCGTTGAACGGGAATACAGAGTCGGTGGCGGTTGGAGGCGCTGAGTGATTCCATTCCAGCTCGTAGGACGTATCTTCCGCTACAGTCCGCAGGGGGGATGCATGCAGCAGCATCCCTAACTTCTTTGGCTGCAGCTTCGTATTCCGTTGCCGTGAAGGAGCAAACGAGTCATCGAAGAACATGGGCTGTTTGAGAGTATCTGTGAACGGCCAAGGACGAAGAAGCGGTGTTTCGAGATCCTTGGGAGACATGATGCGAGGAGAGGCTTTAAGCCGTTCCGAACTCGAGTGCTTGTGACACAGAATCGTTGTCTGTGTTGGCGACCGTTCGAAAAATCGGGCAAGGTTGACCTGCTTCCGCCACTCTTCTACACTGGACGTTGACGCGCTGGTATCCCTGGAATACTTGTTCTCTTTGTCCCCTGACGATAATAGCGCATCTGCGTGTATACCCACAACCTTGCGCTCTTCTTCTACCTTCCCAGCCCGTTTCTCCTCCATCCAACGCTCTTTCTGCAACGTCCTGATCTCCCTCTCGTCAGTTACAGAATTCTCTGCCAACCTTAACCTCAACTCTGCAACACGCTTCTTTGCCTCTTCTGCCCGAGCACTCAGCAACGCCGTTGCTTGTTCCAATATCACGATCTTAGTTTCATTCGGAGACGACAGAGAGCTGGCATGGTAATGCTGGAATGCAGTTGTGAGCGCCGCCTCATCCCTGGAATATCGGTCTAGCCGACGAGTAATGTTCTTGGCCATTTCGGCGGGGGAAGGAGGTGCACAGGAAGTGGGGTTAGGACGGCCAAAAGTATGACTTGTATCGGGGGTGCTAGAGAGAAAAAGATTCAGAATCTTCGTCGCACAACACGCCCGGTAATATGGAGGCAAATCACACGGACGACGTACAACAGGGTGGTCAATGACGATGGACGATATTGGTTGGCGCTTCTCTGCGGTGTCTCCACATAGTTCATTCGTTCCTGAAGCCGAGGTCAGCACGAGGAACCTGCACTGGACAAATAGTAGACGCACTTTGAAAGCGGAAGGGCATGGCGGATCCGCATTACCCTTGGTCAAGATCCGCAAGTTGGGTTTTCTGATTCTCGGCGCTGTCAAACCAGCTCCACTCGCGCTCAAAGTCGAACCACCAGCGTCGCCTTCGAAATCCTCCTCCTGGATTGTGATTATTTTTCTCCCGATCATCACGTTTCCACATATGTTGCTTGCAGTGAATGAGGAAATTTGGTAGTGTTAACGAACGAGGCCGTGCGCGATTTGAGTCAAGGTTGGGCGGACACCGGTACAAGAAATGGGCACTTGAAGGATGATGGAGATACCGATGCTGTCGAAAAGCTAGCCAGATAGAAACCCAGAGATAAAATGAAATAAATAGAAGGAAGAGAAGGGAGTGTCGATAGTTGTCGAGTGTTGTTCAATATTGACGGAGAGCAGACACTCCAATGCAGGCCATGGGAGCTTATAGAGATGGTTCACAGCGCAATTTGACGGGCGAGAACAGTCTCGGTCGCCCAGTTGGTAGGACAGAACGAGCAAGTCCGGCGAATTTCAAGTGCGTGTGGTTCGAGGTGGTTCGCCGTCGTCACCCTACAGCTGCCGACAGCCACCTACAGCCACTTACTTTACCTTCGTCAGGCGCTTATTAGCAATCATGTTAAAAACCAAAACAGCCCCAAACCCGCCAGCACAACCTCACAATCCAGCTCGTAATTGGTGTCATGATTTCGTGTCGATCAACGAAACCCACAATTGTCTGATGATGCACTGGTAAAGTCCGTAATGTGTTTCAGTCATCATCATCAGCTCGGCGAGGATTTACTTGGAAATGATTAAAGTCTTTAGATATCAACAGGTGGGATTATAGGTGTGGTCATCATAGGCGGAAAGCAGATGAAGGCATAGGATGGGTATGGTCTGGTACGAGCATAATAGAAAAGAAGTATAGGATATCATCATATTGTTCATCGATCATCAGTGCGTTAAAGTGTCATCACCGAGGCAATCAAACGGGGGGATCCCGAACTCATCAGCGTCATCCGAACAAAGAACGCACTCTCCAGATCCAACGCCACATCAGCTCCTGCCCAGAACCAGTTTCTTAAGGCCTTTGCCAAGCTTCTTCACCGTTCCTTTAACGGTGACATCCCGCCTCGTTTCAGAGAACCTAAACTCCTGAGGCTCTCTCGGAGAGTCGCGGGATCGTACCCTGGCAAGTGCCATATGGAGCTCCACTTCTCCGCTCAACGAAAACCCTCCTTCGAACGGAGACGAGACGGACATGCTGCCTCGTGGGAGCGTGACGGGAGGGTCTGGATGAGTATGAGCGATGTCCGCGGGGCTGAGATTGGACACAGGTCGGTTGGAGAGAGTAAATGATGATCGTCCTGTGGGCAAGGGAGTAGACGCGGGCAAGTAGGGGTTCGCTGGTGACATATTCTTTCGAATTGCTGTGTAGTACGGTCGACTAGGGTGACCGAGGCGGACATCGGAATGAACCCGTGGGTCGGACGCGGAGGAAAAAGCGATAGATGCTCTTTTCCCTGCTTCGTCGCGAGAACTTTCCGGCCTTTGAAGGGCGGAAATCGACGCACAATTCCGCAACAAACGAGAAGACTTTTTTCTGATCACCGTCATTCCCTGCTTCCGGCGAAGAGTTCGGTGAGTCTCCAACAGCGGTGGAAGGGAATGAGATGTCGACATCATGGATTGCGGGAAAACGACAAGTTTGTTATCGATGTCGTGAAAGTCAGGAGCAACCAGACTTGGTTCCCGACGATGGTCAACATCGTTAGAGGGATCGTCCATCGTGAAGGAACAAGGGGCGAGTGCTGCGGACATGCATCGATGTTGTGCAATAGGCCTTATATCCATTTCTGAGTCGCTGAGGAGAGATCCAATAGCGCCATCCCGCTCGAGATCACTGGAATTGGCAGCAAGTGGCGGCAACAGAATAAGAGAAGGGAGCCCGCGTCTGCTCCGAATGTGACGAGTGTCCTTAGCCTTGACGCTGTCCGCTACATCCGGAGAACCGCCGTCTGCGACGACCATGGGACTGAAAGCCTGCAACGGGGAGTACCAGAAGAAATAAATGAACAATGTAATAACATGAAATGAGATATATTGGCTTTACCGGAATTGTCGGCACGGCATCATTACTGCTTGAGTTGAGAGTCATATCCATGGACAAGGGCCTGCTTACGACGTCTGGATATACCTGAGATCCGGGCACAGTACCATCGACTGACACTTGTTGGTCTTTGTTCCCCGACACAATCTCCCGCGGGGAATCAGCCGACACCACATCCACATCCATCACAAGATCATTTGACGATTTCGGCAGGGCGATCGCCCTCTTGAAGTCAAGTTTACGCACCCCATCACAAGAATCCCCAATCGATCTCCAAACGACGCGAGATGGTGCGCTCAGCCTCCTAGGTTTGGGCGTTGACTCTTCGAAGGTTTTCACAGCCTCGGTCGAGCTCCATGCACACCAGAGACACACTGGGATGAAGTGATTAGAGAATCCGCAGGCCCGACAAGTAAATAATGGGCGATTAAAAGGAACAAGTGTCAAGATGGGCAAGGAAGTGGATTGAGAGAGGTGCTAGACGTGCCAACATGGATGAAGGGATGCGCGAAGTCAGTGACGACGATGTGAATGGACCTGAAACCGGGACTGACTGGTTTGCGTTGCTTCCATTCTCGTCGCAAGATGCGCGGGCGAGACATCAAATCATCAGTGCTCTGCATCACCGGTCGCCAACTCGAGGTGAGGATGTCGGTCAGTGGCGGTAGAGATGAAAGTGAGAGGCACTCCCCCTGCTGGGGACGGATGGTTGGGAAGACAATGAAAAAAGGAACGTGGTTGTAACGCGGTCAACCAGCAGTTTAATACAGAATTACAGTTACTAGCCTGAGCTACAGTGCGCGTATCGCGAGGTGTCACATCTCGGCACGTCGACAGGTGTCCGTCACACTATTCAGGGGAGATTTTTGGAAGCGAGCCGGTACGCGGTAGGACTCCAGAGAGGGCTCGTTTTGCGTAGTTGAGAGATACATATGTCAGAATGGTACCAGCATGTAACGAGCTGTAACGTTCCAAGGAAAACGCAAAATTCAGCGCCACTTGGTCGCTCAGAATAGTTGACTTCAAGCGGAGATTGTGCGTCAGCGCGTGGCATATGTCGCGGACGGTAACTCAGATGGAGTCGGCGACGCGTATACCTGCGCGTACATCAAACACGACGTCTTTCCATACAACACTGCCCTGTGCACATTTAGCCAGAGAATTTTTGAAAAATGTCAACAGTGTCTGTACATAGTGCTGCTCAGAGAAGTTCGTACTCGTCTCGCTCTTGATGGTCCCGCCCAGTGCTGAATGTGCTGTTATTGCCAGACCAGCCTGCGATGTTACGATCTCTCCTCTCTGCGGATCCTAAACTATTGAATGCTGAAGACGTGGTCAATTCATAAAATATGATCCCTTTCTTGCCCCCGGCTTGCTGAATCTTCTTGGACAGGATGGACGGACGCCTTTGCACTGGGCGGCCTCCTCAGGGTCATTGGAGATCACTCGCTATCTCATTGATCAGAAGGCTGACATTAACAAGATGGACGGGAGTGGCTGGAGTGCCCTCCACATTGCAGGTGACAATGAATATATTTATTTCTAATCTTGTAAGTTCGACTGAGAGCGTTTCTCCACGATCAGTGAGTGCAGGTAATGAAGAGGTAGCCAAAGAGCTCATCGGCGCAGGTGCTGATGTCAATCAACGCACCGACAAGGGCCTCACACCCCTGTAGGCTTTTTTCACCTTCCAACATGTCAATTCTCACGTCTTTCACACCTCAAGGCACTACGCTGCATCAAAGTCGCGTGTTGACGTGAGTTCCTCGTCCTGTTGAGCTCATAATCTTTCATGGATGATGCGACAGATCGGACGCTTCTTGATATCCAGAGGTGCAGATGTAAGCCATGCCGTCCTTGTATTCTACTCCTGTGATCGTACTGAACACCGGCAGATCAACGCCCGTGATAAAGCCAACCAACACCCTTTGTAAGTCTGTTTCCAAGGACAAACACCAACCAGTTCGAGAATATCGCTTTTAGGCATCGCGCAGCAACTACGGGCTCCACTGGATTTGTAAACTTGTTGCTACACCCACCCGAGGGAGCACCCAAAACTCGACTCAATACTGGAGACCGCCTTGGTAAGATCCAGCATCTACTTTACCATTTCATGGCCACTAAATCGCTTTTTGAAAGGGAACACACCATTACATCTTGCGATGGAGTCGGCACATGCTGAAAGCGCAGCACTCCTGATCGAAGCAGGTGCAGACCGAACCCGGGTATACCCCATCTATCTACTTGTGTTTAAGGTTTTTATTGAAGGCCCATTTGTCACAGACGAATACAGAAGATCAGACTGCCGAAGATCTCGAAGGTGTAGGTGGACAGGAGCAGAAGCGCGCGCGGGAGTACCTGATCGAAAGATTTGGTAAACCATGACGTGGGCGAGCAGTGCGCATGTATGAATATGGAGAGGGCCCCTGAAAATAGGGGGGTATGCCTGAGTCACATTTTTGGTAAATCCTGAAAAAAGTTCGGACAAGTGAGCCGAATTTCGCTCAAAATGTTCGGATTTGCCTCTGGTTTTTGGGCCAATATCCATAATTTTGCCGGACGGAGGCATCAGGCATCCCGGATGTCCAAAATGTTCGGATCGCTGGGATCAGGCCTCAAAAGAGCCAATTTTTCGTCGGACAACATAGATCAGGCCTTTAAAGACACAATTTTTTTAGAATCTACATTAGAATGTCATTTTTGAACTGATGATATACAAGAGAGCATATGTGAGAGTGTCTGTGAGCTCGGTGATCGATAGTTGTCGATGAGGGAGAATTTTTGTATAATCCGGAGGAATATCAAGTTGAGGATCCAGTGCCATGTCAGAGCTAGTGTCGGATTGTGTCGAGCAAATGAAATGATACCGGACCGGTGCCAGATAATACTAATATTGGAATAGTAACACTGAGCTGACAAATAAGTCTATGTGGCTCGAACCTCGTATCTTGCATACTCTTGTGTCCAAATCAAACTGGTCATTCCATTGCACCACAAGACCGATACAAAAGTTCGGACTCATCATCCATATTACTGCTAAAAGATCCGGACCTCCCCCCCTATTTTCGGGGGTCCTATATGGAGCCGCCGTGCATACGATATTGATGACATCAAAGAACCGGCCGCCACATTCACTGGAAACGCTGGCCGAATTATAATGTGAAATGTTTTCCGTGATCAATACTGTATCTGTCGGCGTGCATTTTAATCATACATGCAACGTGAGCGCACTATCAAGGGGAAAACTCAAACTGAGTATATTATTGACGCGATTGAGACGCGACACGGCGCGAGCAGCAATGCAGTCAAGAGAGGGCTACAGAGAAACGGGAGAGTAAAGGACCAAAAGAGTGCGAGTGATCTGCGAAATAACGTAGCGAGTGTTGAGAAGGCCATCTATAAAAAAGAAGAATATCTAGGAAAATCTATACATAGATGATAAATTTTATATGTAAGAGTTAAATAGCGTAACGAGAGGATTAGTTCGAAGTCCAGATGAGAATAAGGTTAGGCAAAACAGCTTAGATTATAAGCACTACTAGTGTTTTGATGAGAAAACAGCTGGAGCAGGGGACACAGAGACCTTGAAGCGAGAAGTGGACGGTGAGCATCAAAATCACAGGAAGATCAAGGTAACATGCCTCAATGTTCTTCTTGGGAAGGAGCTTCACAACGAGCTGATTCTTGATTTCCTGCCCTTGGTCCCCGAAATATCGCTTCGTCTCAAAGCTCCAGTGTAAAGAGCCGATGATCCAGTTCTGGAGACCATCAATGTACAACTGAACCTGGCGATCGAGGTCGGGACCCCAAGACGGAAGTGAGCGGCGAACAAACTCGAAAGCATCGATGGTGTCTTTGCAAAGGTCGCCGACGCTGTCAATCGCTTCCTGCAATGTGAGACCTTGCTGGTTCATGATGACGACGATCATGTTATGAGTGTCGCCTCGGGCTTGTTCGACGTTGTACGAGAAGATGTCCTAGATCACCAGGTAGAGATTTGAACAACAGCTTAACAAAGGCGAACGACAAGACCTCACGTTCGTCCACGTCACAAGATCGTTCGTCGCATCCTCAAGAATACCTATGTATGGATGGTTCATGACCATATCGGGGAGGTCGATGCCAGCGGCATATTCAATGAGAGCAAAGCAAGGCTTGCACCCGCTTGTATCCCGTCGAAGGGCGATATATGACTCCAGGTCTGGGATATCGTCATGTTCACGATCAAGAGCTTGTTGAGTCACTGCGCGGAAGAAGAGCACCATCGTGTCGATGAATCGCTGAGTGCAGTTGGGACCTCCGTCTTGCACGAAGCGCCCAAAGAAACTATGTCATCATCAAACCCACCATCAGACGGTATCCATCCAGGTTAATATAAGCAACAGACTTACCATTTCGCCAACTTTCCTACTGCTTTGTCCGTCTCGAATCCGAATGGGTCTCTCAACGCGCTCATGACGCAGTCCCTCATGCTATCGATATCTTTGGCATCGAACTCGTCCGACCAGTCGTCCAGCTTGAACAAGTAGTTCATGTAATCTGCACATACGCGCAGATGCTCCTCGTCCGCGTCAGGATAGCACATGCCCGCGAGGCTCCCGGCCTGGAGACCAAGAAATGCCCGGCGCTTCTTCGTAGTCAAGTGGGCACCTGCGAGGAGCCAGGACTCGGAGGCTGCGGCGACTTCCCGTCCACGAGGGTTGGTACGGACGGGATACCGGCAGTATGAGATGAAGTCGGGAAGAACGAAAGAGTCGGACTTGATAAAAGACATTGTCTGAGAATAAGTTGAAAGAGTAGGAAAGGGAAAGGAAAGGAAGATGAGGATGGACTCTGGAGCTTATTTGCGGGCAGCCTTTAAATGTCCTCATCGCCAATTCAAAGCAAACGGCCAAGTGCAACCCCTCGGATTTCACGTCGAGCTGGCATTGGTAAGATTAAGCGGTGTGCAGAATCTTGAGGAAAATCTGAGTATGCGTAGACCGATGCTCCCGAGTGGACTTGATCTCCCAAGGGAGAAGAGCAGATCTGAGGGTCGCTCCAAATTCGGTAAGTAGACTCCGTGAACGTGGAGGCTATCCATGCTTTCAGATCTGGGTAGACGGCAGAAGACGGCGAACCTCCCCTGACGATGCCGCGAAAAGCACGGAAGGGCCCCAAACAATTGAGAGCATCAATTGTTATTTCCCCTGTTTTGCTTCCGTGAAACGATGAGGGAGCTGTGTCCTCGACTAGCGCGGGGAGGTTCCAGTATCTGCAACCCACAAGACTGTCAGGCTCACAGGTCACAAAAGCGAGAAAGCCCTGCCATGGACGAGCACCTTGGGTGGGATAGGCGGGAGCAGCTTGACTACCAGCGGCTTCGTCCTGAGTTAGGCTTGCCGCTTCTCGTAATAATCACACGAGATCTTGGGATTCGTTTCAGACCAACGGAGTCAAAAGCCATATTTCAACCCTGGGCCCTCCTTCATTGCTCAAAATGAGAAGCATGCGAGAGAAGCGCGTTGCGGAATAGAGAAGACACAGGCAAAATTGGTCGCAGACGAGACTGATATGCATTTCAGGAGCAGGCTTCTCGCACTGTTTTGACGTTTCCTGTCCTTTGTTGAGCCAGAAGGAGTCGCAGAAGATCGGAACCTGGTAAAAGTGATGGGGTCTCGCGTTTTTCTTCTGATAGATTCTTGCACGAAATGTCTCGTTCCTACAATCGCCATTTTGTCCGCTAAGGAGACGAGCAACATCAAGTCGAGGTGTCAAACCTGGACAATGATGGCGGACGTGCCCCTGTGTTTCTGGCCGATTTCCGAACAGTCGGGCTTGGAGCAAGGAGACGAAGATATGTGAATCTGAGCGTGGTTGGAAGGGAGATTGACAAATCTCCGTTCACGTTCTTAGGCGGCTGCCTATTCGGGAAAGCGTTAGCCATCAACTTCTTGGTGGTGACGCACCGTTGCTGGCCGTGACGAGCACACATCCCGGTACCATTCGATAATATGGCCTCCCCGAGTCCGACAGCACTTCCACTGAAAGTGACGCCCGCAAACACCCCGTCAAAAATCTCGAATAATGAGCGAAAGAACTTGGAAACGCCGCCTGCTGGATCATCACCCCTCAAACAAGCAGGACTCTCCGACCCTTCCGATATATCTAGCCCACACGAGCTCACCGCATTTGTGCGTATACTAAAAGATTCATTGTTCTCCATCTGTGCCTCTAACTAAGCAATCTGTCATTTTAAGGTCGAAACCCTACTGGAGCAGCTTGATGCAAAATTCGATGACATGTCCTCTCAGATTCTTGATCGCAGTGGGTCCATCAATGCTTATCCGTATACATTTTCCCACTTCCACTCACGCAAATATGGGGATCAATGTATCGCCATTCGTCCAACCATCAGTGATGCAAATGTCCAGCCGTGTCGACGCGCTTGAAGCGTCCATCCAAGATATCATTAACGGCGACATCTCCACTCAAAGCAACCCTCCTACCCCCGGCCCGACGTCGACGTCGACACCCCTCCCTCCGAAACGGACCGGAAGCTTTCAATGAACGACTGATTGATACTAATGTTTCTACGCTCTGAAACATGTCAAGAGATCACCGCTCTATTGTATCATATCTGCCATGGCTGTACTGTGTACGTTGACTCTTCAAACATCGTCCGTATTCTATTCTCAATATAGCTCCCACTTGCTTCTCCACATAAATAGATCTGAGCTAATGTACCCTGAGCTGTCGTGGATGCTGGCTTTGCCTGAAGGTTCTATATCGCTCGCCTGAATTCTTACCCTTGTACCCTATGATCCAGACTACTTTTCCTCGAATGATGGCGTATATTGGGCGAACATATAGCCATTCTAGGCGTCCTTGAGACCTTGGAGTGACCTTGGCTTGGTAAAGACTCAGGTGGTCTCGCCGAGTCATGGTTGGCTGTAATTTGCCTCCCGCTCAAGCTTCTCTCCGTTGCTGGGCTCACCGAAAAGCAATTCATTCTTGTGGTACCCTTTTGTTCGTCGAACGAGGATGAGGGGCCGAGTGATCGTGAAATGAACGCCTCTAGTCTATGGGGTCTCGGATCTGTAAGTGTACAATACAATTCTTTCGCCGCGGCCTGCCCGTGAAAATGCTCTGGCCGTGCCTCTGAGCTGGCAGCCTGATCATCGATCGCTGGACACCTCCAAGGGGGGCCGCATTGCAGGAACGTAGGCTCGTCAGGCAGTAACCACCGCATCGAGCGATATGTTTCACTCATCGCCGACAAGAATAGTCGGCGATTGTGCATAGTTGTAGATACTTGTGCATAGCGACTGCAAATACAAATAGCATCAAGTCCCCACCAGTCGCCAACTCGAGATCTCGAAGGATCTACTGAAATACACTAAAGCACTTTAGCGAAAGGTCTTCTTCCCGTCCTTCGGACGTGATGCGTTGGTAGTCAAGATCCATTGTCAATTTCACGGCCATCTAGCCAAACTTACATACACATTCGCCTACCCGCCCAACGCCCAGTAAACAAGCCTTTCTTGCACGTCTGGATTTCCCATTCCCGACCCTCACCGTGCACCGTCTCCATCAGTCTAGCCCTTGACCCGCCACACCTGGCGTGATCACTCTTCTCGTCGACGCTGTGTCTCCGCTCCCTGCTGGCCCACCGAACAAAGACGAAAGCATATCTCCAAACGGATTGGCCTGCTGCGTCCGCGGTGGTGGCATCGCGAAATAGATGGTCGCGATCTCGTTCAGCGCGTGGCGCACCTCCCCTGTGGCGAGTAACCCGCCCCGGCTCTGATATGTGCCGCACAGGCGCACCCACGCCTCGCGCATCGCCTTGTTCTGCGCCCCTTGCGCGCGCTGGCAGGTGCGCACGGCGAGCTGGACAAAGTTCAGGACGGGCTCCGTGGTATGAATGATTTCGTCATCGGTCGAGGGCAGGGGTAGGGCGGTCGGCTTGAGGGATGATGGGATGGCGGACAAATACGCGGAGAGAAAGGTACGCGCAGCGAGGATGTTGCCGTTCAGGAGATATCTGCGCATAAATGGTTTTACAAGGTGAATGGGGCAGACAGCGAAGCAAGTCGAATACCACGCACGGAATCGTGCCGCGAAGGGCGAACGCGCTCACATGCGATGATACACTCCCGCTTGATTGCCCCCACTCGATGAAAACGCGAGACAACAGACGCGCACTGTCGCGCTTTCCGGCGGCGAGCAAATGGATTTCCGCAGCATCATACGCTCTCTCTTGAATAGATATTGCGTCAATACGCAGTCCAGTGTGATGTATGATGTGCCAATATTGTACCTTTATAAAGTAGTTCGCCGATGTAATGATGGAGGTCTGGATCCCCTGCAGGATGGGGGCCGTGTTTCGCTGACCATCTATGCACTCAATGTTGGGCTAAACATACACATGGAGAAGTCTATGGACGTACGCGATGGACTTATCGGTAATAGTCTTCCTCCATACACCTGATGAGCCCGTCAAGGCGATGAGTTGCGTCAACCTCCCTTCACGCAGTCCGATCAGCTATGCAGCTACACGCCCAAATACCGCCCGCATACCCTTGGACTCATCATTCACATCGTCGCCCTTTGCCTCGTATATGTCGATCAAGAATAGTGTGAGATCGGTGCCGCTACCCTGTTGCCCTGCCTTCAGCAGCTCGCGCGCACTCTGAAACAGGACGTCGATCGCGGTGTCGTATTGTGCGGTCTTTTGATAACGCGAAGCGAAAGTACGCGCTTTTTGGTGCGCTTCGTAAGCTTGTCCAGCTGGAATCAACGGAAGGATAGCTTGAAGAGCTCGAGAGGATGAGACGGCCGAGGGAGGCATTTTGGCAAGTTAGTGCTCAATATGCGATGGGAGAGCAATGCCTCCTCAGAAGTGGCGGATAAGGGTATCCGAGGTCCCAAATAGACTGCTGTCACCCCTGAACTCAGGGGGCGGAGCCTGCTCACATACCCATAGCTAGGTACACGGTACTTATGGTATGCTATATGCCAGCCATGTCTCCTCAATCTGCTTGCCTCCAACCCATCCTCCTACAACACTCGCAACGACCGTCTTGATGCCCCACCCGGAAAGTATGACGATCGTCGTGAAGAACGGATGACAATCCAGGACCACTGTCGAAGCGTGTCAGATAGAACGACCCAGCACGCCTGAGATAGAGTGACACACCTCTCAAACCAAATCCTGCCGCCATACCACCGAGCACATTGCGCACGACCCACTCCCGATCTAGTTTGTCATCGTCCAGAGCTTCCCAGACGCGCCGCAGCGCAGGGTTCTCAACCCTGATTGTATGTTCGTACTGTGGCGGCGGAAGACCTTGTGCTGGCGATTTCGGATGACCCCAGACAGATAGAAGAAAAAGGAGGAAGAACTTCGATAGCGAAGAGTATAGAAGACAGAGTGGGATATGTGAATATCTGCAGATGCATCTGATGAGAGTGAGCGAAGCATAACGTGATTGAATCAACATGCCTGAGTTGTTGTCTGACCCCATTCTGAGTGTTCGGAGATGCATGAGAGGCGTCTTTACCTTTCGTCTTCCGTTTCCGTTGCTGGACTGAGAACCAGTTTAGGCCTATCAATACCAGTGAGGAAGATAGTGTGATTCCGATGTGGAATACTACGTTCTCTGTCGATTTGGCATGAGGAAAGAGTCGCGATGGATGTTTGTGAAAACGCACCTACACAGCAACCGAGCAGAATCCTAATGAAGATGCGCATTGTCTCAGATGCCCAAGGATCACCTATCTTGTTAGGATTGTATAGTATCCGAGAGGCTGCTGCATTATTTCGTCTAATTTGCGACATTTTGTGGGGAAACGGGAAACGGGACGTACAGAGCTGAGACCACCTGATGACTGCATTTTCCTGGGCTTCACTAAGATGCGCTTGAAGAAAATAGGAAGAGGCGTACTTACAGCTGTCCACCAGCACAATCACAGCACCTAGCCTGAGTGTCAACCACCATCTGGCCTGCGACTCACTCAATCCACAAGACTTGATTCTCTTCAAGTGCAAGGACATACCTTTTCTCGTTCTCGCTCTTCGTCTCTCGCGTTCTTTTCACTCGCGCGTACTTCGTCAGAAGATGACCGTCGAATTCCGTTTCCCTTGCTCGAAGAAGAGACTTGATCTACTTGTCTCGGCTTGGACCCTCGGTTGAAGAGAAGATGCCGATATACACCCCTTTTGAGGAGTATGAGGTCCAGTATTATGACAAGCAGATCATGCGTGACATATGGGTCTGCGAATTCGTGGCAAGTCGTCTGTGTAACTCAAATAGCAATGAGTGCAAGCCCACACAATACGAAAGGAGACCCTGAAAAGTGTATTCTTGGTAAGAAAGACTGACACACCGCTCGAGCCTGACGTTATGTGCGGATTGGTACACAATGTAGAGGTGAGGAAGAGGTTGGGTGCAAGTCGTGCACAAAGGCATGGCTGACTGGGGCTTCCAGCAGCACAGGTATCTCTAACAGCGCTGTAGTCAACTGGAATTGAGCTATCGGAGCTTTTGACACTGGAGGCAGTAGGCACAAAGTAGTTTGGGAGTAAATCCTGAGTCAAGACGTGATTTCCTTCGATCTCACGATGTTGTCCCACATTTGTCCTACAGATGCTTAAACCCGCATTTGTCTTTCATCTTCCCCTTTGTTATGCACTAGCTTTTCACCCGTCGCGTTGCGACGGCGCAACCATGCTTAATCTGAGTTTTTGTTACAGTGCTTGGTCTGATGTGTCTGTAAAGTTTAGTGTTCACAAAGTCCAGTGTCTATAAAGTCTAGTGCCTGTAAAGTCCAGTGCCCGTGCTTAATCTGAGTTTTTGTTGTAGTGCTTGGTCTCATGTGCCTGTAGAGTGCACTGACTATAAAGTCCAGTGCCTATAAAGTCTAGTGCCCATAAAGTCTAGTGCCTGTAAATTCCAGTGCCCATAAAGTCTTGTGCCCCAATATCCCTATATGGCTCTTTTATGATATCCTATAATGTCCTTCCTATAAGATTCCCATATAAAGCTTCTTATAAGGTCCTATCCATTAGATTCCCCTATGAGATTCTGCCCTATGAGGCTCCTCCGTGAGGTCCTCTGTGAGATGCTGGGATGTTATTTCAAGCTCCAATGGCTGCTAAGGCATAGCCCACTCCAGTTGCTAGGGTTGCTAGGAGCACCAAGACATGGCTCACTCTGCTTACTAAAAGTCCTGTGCCCCAATATTGTTAGGACCGCGTCCTAACACGTGCTTAGCACGTGGACAGAAGGGAAGGTCAGGTGTTTACTCGGACTCGAACCATTAACGACTAGGACTGTGACTTGACACGCGTCTAGGCACGTGACTCAGGACACGGTCATGAGCTACGCACATGACTCGGTCTCGGACTGCTTACCATTTACATGCTAACGCATGAACGTTTACGTATTATGATTCATCTTCTATTGTGATGACTGATGTCGATCGCGATCGGTTCCTCTTCTATTGTGCTTACTGATGTCGATCACAATCGGTCCCTGATTGCTTATTGATGCGGACAGACATTTGATATCTTTACTATACATGGTTACATCCAAGAGCCGCGGAATACGAACAATGACTGCGGCTTACGAGTATCGATCGTTGATAGTACTTAGTGTTTCGAAGCACGGACCATATGTCCGTACCGCCCTAAATAGTCCTGTACTATATATAGGGGAGCTGAGCTTCTTAGAAGCCTCAGCTCGTTCACTTTGTATATATCTTGATCTCAGCACTGCGCCCGGCGTCTGGCTACCTTCAGCTCACGCTTCGCGATCTCTGTCAGATCTAAAGAACCATACTCAGTCTGACGAAGCACTGGATTCGTCTCATCGCTCTTATCATTCTCTACCGCCTACAACCTACCAAGGACTCGCCGCATATCGAGTCATCCGTTGGGATCCCTCCGAAGTCATCTGTTGTATCGGAGAAGACTTGTTCGTACCAGACAAACACCGCCACGTGATCAATCAGCACCTCCTTCGACTCTTCGAGGAGAAGATCAATACAGACCAACCTTTCTTGGAACAAGCCCAAAGACGAGCCGTCGTCTTTATTCGTTGGGCCGTCACAATCAGCTTTAGCCCAGGGAACCCCTCTTAGTGCATCACGTGCACGTGACTAAGCCTAGCCAGCTTAACAAATATCCCTATATGACTCTTTTATGATATCCTATAAGGTCCTTCCTGTAAGATTCCCATATAAAGCTCCCTATAAGGTCCTATCCATTAGATTCCCCTATGAGATTCTGCCTTATAAGGCTCCCCCATCAGAGTCCCACCTATGAGGCTCCCCCATAAGGTTCTCCATGAGGTGCTAGGATGCCATTTCAAGCTCCAATGGCTGCAGAGGCATAGCCCACTCTAGTTGCTAGGGTTTCTTATGTGGCCTACATAAGTGTAAGCAAGAACACATGACTTGAGCTATTAGCCCAGTGCTACCATTTCATATTGTCCCCTTTTATTTATTATTTATTTACATAAAAAAAATACCTGCAAACAATACCAAGAGCCCAGAGTGGTTGCCAAGCTGAGCACTTGCTGAATGCCCCCTTGCCTGAAGAAATCACTGCAAGACAGTGCCAGGGGAAGAGAATTCCCTATGGTTAGGTTAGCTCCGGGCACGCTGATGAGCATGTACCCACGCTAGGGTCCGAGGGAGGTATTTGGGAAGCTTTGGGGAGATACCAAACAGCATTGGACGAGTACCGAAGATGCCAACTTGCACCAAACACGGTCGGTCCCCACCCGACCTACCGCAACCCTCCGAAGGATGTTTGGCAGCACTTGAGTCAGTTTGCCCACACTTCACGTATTTACCATGACCACACAGGAGTGTTACGATAGGTGTTTACGAGATCGGAGCCAGTCTTCCGCTTTGGCCGATGTCTTCCGTGAGTCGGTCGGTCCTTATCGCTTATCTTCCCGACTTCCACATGGTCGGTTAAACGCAATCTTGCACCATTACTTGGCCACCCTGGTCGTATGATACCTCTCCTTTATTTTCATTGGTTCTCCAACACCTGTTCCAGCTACCTACACTCGGGCAATGGATCCCGAACGTTCGGGATTTCGCCATCGCTGATTAACTTTTACCTTGTCACCTTCGAAACCCATATGGACATCTCACCTACCTTCTTATCTTCTCGGATCGCTAAGGCTTGGCGCCCATTCGACATCTACTCTCATTTCTTGTTTAATATTTTACTTAGGGGCTCTGTTTACTATAAAAACCTACATACAACTCTGGAATAAACCAGCTTTGTGCACCCCACAGTTCAGAGCTCATCCGCACTCGTCTCAACCATCGAAATCGCCTTTGTCAACTTCCAAAACTTGTCATCCTCGTTCATTCGGTCGCATTCGTGTTCATACTCGTATCTTCGCTCGTACCCCCCCCGTCCTCCCTCGTATATTGTCAGAGTCCCATGTGGCTCTTGAAGCACGTAGTTGTTGGTTGCGACACAACCCTCTTGTTACCAACCAAGTTCCCGACATGCCCGACCGAACGTTCAGTCAGTGTTCGGCGCAGTCCCGAAACCGTTCGGGCGCTATAATCCCACACTCCCCGTTGCTTCTCAGTATGCCTTCCCTTTCTAAAGTCATCACTAACAATTCCTTGTGTATTAGATACTAGCTCCAGCACCCCTGCAGTAGAGGTTGTTTTAGTGTTGTGCTCGGCACTTAGAGATACCTCTAGCGTAACAACGCGCGCGCTGACCAACTCCGTTTCAAGCTCCAACATGCTCCGTTTCGCGTCCCGAAGCCTATGGGACAGTGGTCTCGCGTGGTTTCTTACATGGCCCACGCGAGCATAGCCGTTGCTTAAGCGCCACAATTTTCCAGTGTCGCCCTCTATTTACTAGCTTCTTACCCATTGCGTTGCGACGGCGCAACCATGCTTAATCTGAGTTTTTGTTATAGTGCTTGGTCTGATGTGTCTGTAAAGTCTAGTGTTCACAAAGTCCAGTGCCTATAAAGTCTAGTGCCTGTAAAGTCCAGTGCCCATGCTTAATCTGAGTTTTTGTTGTAGTGCTTGGTCTCATGTGCCTGTAGAGTGCACTGACTATAAAGTCTAGTGCCCGTAAAGTTCAGTGCCCATAAATTCTAGTGCCCATAAAGTCCAGTGCTTATAAAGTCCAGTGTCCACAAAGTCCAGTGCCTATAAAGTCCAGTGCCTATAAAGTCCAGTGCCTGTAAAGTCTAGTGCCTGTAAATTCCAGTGCCCATAAAGTCTTGTGCCCCAATATCCCTATATGGCTCTTTTATGATATCCTATAATGTCCTTCCTATAAGATTCCCATATAAAGCTTCTTATAAGGTCCTATCCATTAGATTCCCCTATGAGATTCTGCCCTATGAGGCTCCTCCGTGAGGTTCTCTGTGAGGTGCTGGGATGCCATTTCAAGCTTCAATGGCTGCTGAGGCATAGCCCACTCCAGTTGCTAGGATTGCTAGGAGCACCAAGACATGGCTCACTCTGCTTACTAAAAGTCTTGTGCCCCAATATCCCTATATGGCTCTTTTATGATATCCTATAATGTCCTTCCTATAAGATTCCCATATAAAGCTTCTTATAAGGTCCCATCCATTAGATTCCCCTATGAGATTCTGCCCTATGAGGCTCCCCCGTGAGGTTCTCTGTGAGGTGCTGGGATGTCATTTCAAGCTCCAATGGCTGCTGAGGCATAGCCCACTCCAGTTGCTAGGGTTTCTTATGTGGCCTACATAAGTGTAAGCAAGGACATATGACTTAAGCTATTAGCCCAGTGCCACCATTTCTTATTGTCCCCTTTTATTTATTATTTATTTATATATAAAAAATACCTGCAAACAATACCAAGAGCCTAGAGTGGTTGCCAAGCTAAGCACTTGCTGAATGCCCCCTTGCCTGAAGAAATCACTGCAAGACAGTGCCAGGGGAAGAGAATTCCCTATGGTTAGGTTAGCTCTGGGCACGCGCGCGCTGACCAACTCCGTTTCAAGCTCCAACATGCTCCGTTTCGCATCCCGAAGCCTATGGGACAGTGGTCTCGCATGGTTTCTTACGTGGCCCACGCGAGCATAGCCGTTGCTTAAGCGCCACAATTTTGCAGTGTTGCCCTCTATTTATGGATGGATTGATTTTTTGTATGTTTGCCGCTCAAATGCATGTCCCTGGCGTCATACCATGTTAACAGCCACTTATTCCTAGTCTCCGTGGCTGACCAACACAGAAGATTACAGTTGTTCTGTGTTAAGGTCTGCTTCCAAATGATGAATCCTCTAAAATGATGAACTTTGCGGGCCATGCGTCACCCAATCTGACTCATAAGTGGGTAAAGCTTACCAACTACATAGATAATGCCTACTGAGCATGCTTTTGTTTGGTCCAATAGGTGAGTTGGTGCAGACATTGTTGTTTTGCTCCGGTTGTCGGTTCGAGTCCTGACAAAAACGACGTCTGTTGTGCTCAATTTTTTCATTTAACTATTGTTTCGGGTCTCTTTTACCTTTCTAAACATATTTAATCCGTTCTTGCACATCAGGACTGCCCATAAATGATATATTGAGCTTTCTCTTGACTAGCACGTGAGCTACCTTGCACGTGAGCAAGCTGAGTTTCAAAAGATATCAAATTCCAGCTGAAATGCCTACTACCCGCAAGGTTTTGTGATTTGGATGTAGACTAGCTCCGCATCGTTTCAGTTTGACGATCGTCACAGGCATTGATCATCTACCTGCTGGTGCGCATCTGGATGTTATTATGGTTTGGGCGATCCTTGGATCGGGATGAAGGTGAATAACACTTATCGCTCAGCTGAGGCGCCAGCCGGAGTTTTCCCAACGTGACATACCAAAAGTGCAAGTCAATCTGGCGCCAACGTCCAGAACTATCAAATCGTGAAGGAGCCTATGTTTGTAGTACACTATGTGGCTTCGTACAATGATTCAAACGATCGCAGTGCAAGGATTCAATACTTAAGAGCACCAAGACGAATCTCACGAGTCACAAGGCCTCAATGTCTCTAATCAATGAGCACGAGATTGTCCAGACTTGTTGCGGGCGGGTGTAATCGCCGACTTTCTGTCAAGAAAAAGTGAAGATCCTTTGATGTATATATAATGAGAAGAGTACACACGACTTCCCACCGAATGATAGAACTGGCTTCGGTTCCCAGTGCCACCGAAATGAATCCAAATACCATTTCGGCCCTTCTTCTTCGCCCAATGCGATTCGCAGCCTCTCGATTACCTCTGCGGGTGGAGCCCGCTTTCGAGTGTAATTTGTATAGAGCGAGATGAAGCCTCCCTTGCCATCTCTAACGATGCGTTCGATGCGTATAAAATCCAGGATATCCTCCATATCATGTTTCGCGGCAAGATCCTCTAGAGCGTTGTACATGCACTGTCCTTCATCGATGACGAAGGACTCAGAGATCGGAGGGGGCTCTTCGCCATCCAATTCTTCTTCGGAGAAGACTTCGGTAGCTGTGGAGTGCACAAAGCCGTTGTCCTCGGCATATTTCCAGAGTCGATCCATCGTCCATCCGCAGTGCATGAGGGGTGCTCTCATGAGGTGACTCCGTAAAGGTATGAGCTGCTGGGGGAGATCATCGAAGGGAGTGTATTGAAATACTCTGAAGTAGTCCTGCCAAACTGGTCAGCGGTCATTTGGGACAAATAGTGACTAGTCAGGCTCACTTGACTCGTCAGCCTTTGATGAGTAGGCACGAACGGAACTGGGAGCTGCAGCTTTGATGAGACAGTGTTAACGCCGATGTTAGGCATGTTGGGACATTGAGAGACGTGATTCTGTCAGCTCCCTTATACGTTGAATTCCACGTGATGGGGGGTGTGACGGCGAAGGTTGAAGGAGAATCGCCAAGATCGCTGCCTTTGAAAAACAAACACCAATTGGACCAAGACAGGTGCGGCCAAGCTGGCCAAAGCCTTAATTCGAGACTGAGTGTAGCCAGCCTGCATGACGCACTACTAAACGCTTGCACGTATATGGAAACTCCTTGGTTTCTATATGCTCAATCAAAAATTGATACGTCATTTTCCCTCGAACTTGCCATCTGCCGGATATCAATGGGCCATGGCAGCTGACTATAAGTCACTGTGTCCATCGGATGAAGTTATGACAGCTCTGCTTGACTATATATCCATCCTGTGTTCAATACGGTGAATATTCACCCAATATCTTCCCCTCTACCGCTCGATGTCAGGGGTTCGGCCTGCTCAATCACATCATGATCACTGGCCCGCCCAGGTCTCTATATCGCTAGATGAACACATAGAACATGCTCGCATGGTCATAGGAGGGGCCCGCCGGGGTGGGGACGAATCCGCATGGTATGAGTTGTATAATCTGCTTCTCAGTTTCAACGCCTTGCGTGGGAATCATGCCCATGGTGGACGAGTTTCCGTCTGGCCTCAACCCTACCTCTACCGATTCTTGACTCGTGCAGTCGCTCGTGCAATTCATGAATCTCTCGAGGACTCTCCTTTCAGAAGTGCTTTTTTTTTCTACTCCGAGCATACTCGGTTTGATCTGAGCCTTTCTTTAACCTATGCAGTACCAGCGACACGAAGCACGGAAACATCACTGGTTCAGCTGGATTCTAGTTCCACAGAGAGCCTGTCGGCTGTCGTCACCGGCAAGTCTTCTATACATACAGAACTTGATTGAACTTGCTGAAGCGAGTTCTCGATCGTATAGCACAGTCCGATCCGAGTCATGCAGAATCAGTTGACAGTGTTCCTGATGCACCCTCAGCTCGCCACGGCAGTGTTGGAAGAGGTGATATATTCCAGGCCAGTGACGAAGACAAAGAAGAGGATGCCAAGGGACAAGACCAGAACACCGAATCCGAAAAGCAGGCAGGTGAAGATGAAGACAATGATCTCCAAGAATGCCAGTCCGAGTCCGGACAGAACGTAGGCAAGTCAGAAGGTTATGGTGAGGAGAAGGAGGAGGTCGGTGAGGAGAAGGACAACGATGATGAAGATGAAGAGGAGAATGATCTTCCATTCTCTGCTGAAGAAGCTCAATTCCGTGTTCCTGACTTCCTCGTCATCCTGACCAAGGCGACCCCAGAACGCAACACGCAGTTTCGCAACGCCCTGATTTTTTGGGAGCTCAAAGACTGCCAAGGACACGATACTGCGACTATGCTTGCTGCTAATGAACAGATGCATAGGAGGGCGCAGATCATGCACGCGACGATCCCTCAACTCGTTCAGCAGGCCCAGTTTCTCTTCGAACACTCTCCAGAACAGAAAATTGCTCTTGGGATGGTCGCTGTTGGGCTTTTCTTCCATCGCACTCGTATGCCGGCTCTTTCGCGAGATGGCAAGCTCAAGTTGCTTCCTCCGATGAAAGCTGCCAAAATTCCCACCATCTCCAATATACACCCCATTTTCAACGAATCAGGGACTGAATATTCGGTCGCGTTCAAAATTATTGGACCATTTCGAGGAAGCGGGCAGCCGAGATGGAGGGTGGAAGTTGAATGTTAGTATGCCATGGTTCGCTCTCTTGCTGTCCTCGGCTGAGACAATCAGATAGTCGCTTACTTCATGATCCAAGATACTGCAATTCATGAACGACAGAGACAACAAGAAAGTAATGAGCAGGGAGTATACGCGGTCTTGGATCTCGAAACACAAGAAAAAATAAAGCAAATGGTCGGGTCATGAAATCCTAAACAATTTTCTCATCTGGATCATCGTGCTTTATATAACTCATGTTAGCGAGAGGTGCCGTGTAGAATGAGAACTGTACGAACCACTACATCTTTTGGATGAGAAATGACATCCTCAAGCGTCTTCCTCCCCACATCCTTCTTGACCCTCCACGCGGTGAAAATATGGCCTTGTTCGAACACGGCCTCGATCTCCTCCAGTGTCCGACCTGCCGTCTCGGGGAAGCAGAACAAGATATGGATAAATGCTGCAAAGTTGAAGGTACCGAAGATGAAGTACGTCTTGTATGCGATGGAGCTTAACCCGGGTGGGACTGCCCATGCGAGCGCAAAGTTGAACAGCCAGTTGGCCGCGGTGGATAACGAGACAGCCTTCGCACGCACACGCATCGGGAATATTTCAGCCGGATAAGTCCAAGACACTAGCGTAGAGATTTAAATTTGAAAAAAAAAACATCCATACGAGACGGTGGTGCGACGTACCTGGACCCATAGTGATCGCAAAGCTAGGAGCGCGCTTTCAAAACAGGAGATACTAAGAGAGACTGTTGCTCACCTGCACACAAAGAAGTAAGAGCAGACGATGATGCCCTTCGTGACACCGTTGTGTCCATCAATGACCCAAACACGATCGGTACCGACCGTACCCCAGTGTCCGTACCTGCCTTGCAGACCGCCGACGAGCATCAACCAGAATCCCATGAACAGGGTGCCTGCAAGAAGCATAGGGCGGCGACCCCAGCGATCAATGTAGATAATGGCGGGTACTATCAAGTGTGTCAATACTAAAAGCAACGGAGCACAGACCAATAGGACGAACCAGTGAAGGCAACATTGAGAACATATTGAACAGAATCGGCGATCAGGTTCCCACGGCGACCTGTCAGACCAGCACCTTGGAACACGTAGATGATATAGTACCTACAGGCACATAGTCAGTATCATTGAAGATGAAGAAAGCAGGATAAAATCACATCATGATATTCACGCCAGATAACTGGGACCACATCTGGAGCGATGCGCCGAGCCCGACACGACGGAAAATTCCAGGCTTGAAAAGATCCAAGTAAGACTTGGCGCCCTCGGTACGCTCAAAGTAGACCTGTTGTTTGATCTCCTCAAACTCAAGCTGCACGAGTGCATTGTTGGGATCACCTCCACCATGAAGATCCGCGAGGATCTGGAGTGCTTCATCCTCCCTGTGCTATTTTATCAGCACCTAGTACTTGTCAGGTGTCTACTCGATATGAGAACACGAACCTTCCATGATCAATGAGCCATCGTGGAGATTCGGGAAACACCAGCATGCCCATAGAGAGAACGACAGCTGGTATCATTTGAAGACCCCACGGGATTCGGAACGAGGCTACTCCGTTAATATAGGAACAGCCGAACTGGATGAAGTATTGAATGAGGATACCCCAAGTGATGGACCATTGCTGAATGGCGACGAGACGTCCCCGAATATGAGGAGCCGTAATCTCCGACTGATAAAGAGGAACGACAGCGGACGCAAGGCCGACAGAGATACCAGAGATGATACGACCAACGACTAGCATACCTCGGTTCTGTGTATCGGGGAAAGATCCTATGTCATGGAACGAAAAGCTGTCAGAATAAGAGATGCGTACGATTGAAGCGCACTGCAAAATCGAGCCGATGACCCAGATGATACCAGAAAGGATGACAGTCTTTTTGCGACCGAATTTATCGGCCAGAGCACTGACGGCAAGCGCGCCTACGAACGAACCCGCAGGCATAGCAGCAACGATTGCACCTTGAGCATTAGGACCGGGCTTCATTGACCCAAGGTAAGCAGACAACGCGATTGTTAAGGCTAAATGACACGCACTGAGCTGAAAGTCTTCAGGTAGGCATCGTTCTGAAGGCTCAATATGGAATGATAAGGGACCAATCTTACTGCTGACTTAAACTAACTAATACCACTCACGTTGAGCACACCAGACATGGACGAGATGTCCAACCCAAAAAGGCCACCGCCTATACACGCAAAAGAGCCGACCACATACTGGATGAGAATTTCATTAGTGAGCCTCTAATAAAGGTATCGTCGAGTCGTACTGGGTTGGCAGCAATTCTAGCGCTGTACTACGGGACAAAACCGAAAGGCTGTCAATAAGCAGGATGTCGGGATCAAGTGGAAAGGAGATGTCACCTACGCCCATGATAAGTGTTATCTTTGGGTGAGCGGCCAAGCAGGAAGGAGGCAGAGACGCAAGGCCGCATATGCGGGGTATGAGCGGTTTATAGGGACGGGCGCAAAGAGAATGAGAGATGCCTTTACCATTTACATGAAGCGGCCCGCTGTCAACATGCATGCTTGGGGAAGCATGAAAGGGTGGGTGTCTAGGAATATCTAGGAGCCTTGTGATCATACAATCAGAGCATGTCAAGGTCCATATCAATACAGAACATCGCGTTCATTCTTGAGTTCGCATGCTCATGACGCACGGACTCCACTACGCCTGTTCTTTAGGCTCATCGTCGGAGCCGGTTTCCTTGTCACGGTGTCAGGATAGACAAGGCCGAGCCAATCATGAATAGACGCCCTGATACAGGGGCTGCATCTGGCTGCATTAGCTTCGCGTTAGATGTAGTACATATACGTCACCTCCCCAACAGTTCGTTTTTCTGTCCGAGCCTGACAATCCCCTCCAGCCTACTAAGTTGATGTGTGCATGAATTCATCGCGAGGATATTCGGTCTATACTCACCTACCTCTGCCGGATGGCTTGAATCTCAGCGTTTTTGGCCAGACATTGTAATGTGATCCGTGAATTTGATGGGTCAGATCAGACCCGTTTAGAGGCAGTTCAACAAGATTCGAGAGGACGGACTTGACAGGACCTTGTCAACAGAAATTGCCGAGGCAAGGGGAATGTAAACAGTTGCGCCGTCGTATAGAATTCTACATACGGCTCTCAGAAGACATGAGCTCCATAAGAACCTACCGCCACCTGCCACTGTGGGTCAAACGTTCACGCTCTGGGCTCGCGCATTCGCTAAAAGTTCAGACATTCGTCTTGGATTAGCAGGCAGGTGCTGGAAAAGATGAAGGAGTCACTCACTTCTGATTACGCCTACCAGACCACTCTTGATGTCCATGAGAATGATTCACGACAGTTGGACCGTAGAGGATTTTACCGCTCAAGCGCAGTACAGCTGGCTGCGAAGTGGAGACTCATCAGGAAAAGCGCCTAAATCTGGCGACGCCTGGCGAGGTCGGCGAATCCCGACATGGACTGCAGACTGACGCATACGCAGTCTGCCTCCTCCATCACCGCCTTCCATTGCCACCATTTATTGAAACCTCTTTTCTTCGAGCCTGGTTCCCATTCCCACCTTCGACCCGCATTTTTTTCGAATTTTTAGGGCCACACAGCATCGTCAGTCTGAGGGAAGCCCCTGACTGATCACCAATACTATGCGCGCTACCTTGCTACGTCTCGCTGAGTCGGTCACCACAAGGCCATTGAACCTGCGAGCAGCAAGCGCCACCCTTCTTCCACCTATTCCGTGTGTTGTTATTCCATTTCGCATGCGTTGATGCTTACGCCTCTTAAATACGGACACAGACTTTACCGCCGCCTACTCCGAGCGCACAGATACCTTCCTGTGGAGATGCGGTCGTTGGGTGACGATTATGTTAAATCAGGTTCGTTCTTCCAATCACTCGCTTCGCTGGCTTGAACACCTCACAGCGTGCTTTCCTGCATAGAATTTCGTCGTCACAAAGATGTGGATAACCCGGCATATCTGATCGGGTTTCTCTCCCAATGGAAATCCTACTTAGATCAAATACCGGCCGGACCAGAGGCTCAGCAATTCAAGGGAAGGAAGATGGACCCTACTGTGTTCGAAAAGGTATTTTGGGGGTATATTTTCTAGTGTCCAGGTTGACTTGGGCTAACATCCTGACTCGGCCAGTTGTCGTCCGAGCAGCTGGGACAGATGTATGAACTCATGCACGCTACTAAAGATGTTTGGAAACCTGCCAACGAGCTGGCGGAGAGTCCTACTGGCTCAGGAAAAGATGGCAGCTTGGATTAATGTGTAGGGATTAAATCATTCATTTATCCTGTTCTTTTTGTGAGCATTTCCGGCATATGCCGGCAGATCCGAATCGGGTGAGTCGCACATCCCATAAAACATGCGCCCACTGATATCGACAATGACGTCCCAAAATGGTACATGCGTATGGACATTTCAGGACATGTACTCAACAGTCTGTTAGCGCTCTCAGTGCTTATCACACTCAGCAGCGTTTGTGTGTAAATATAGCGAATCTTACGAGCCTCGGTCACCTGGGAGCCAATACTGGCATTCCGCCTCCGCCTTTTCCCGTCGGCCTTGTGATACAGGCCTTCGATATCTCACCCTATCGCACGTGTTCTATTTTATATGACGCAATTCCACTTTGTCCCTTGTATATAAGCTGCCCTCTCTGAGAGGCGCTGGAAAGCTTTTTGCCATCATTACCACACGTAACATGGCTTCTGCTGCAGTACGTGAGCTTTTGCTCAGCTACAGGTTTTTGGTTAGAGAATCTCATTAATTGATTTAATGGTGAACTGTAGAAGTTCCCTTCGAACAATAGTCCCTATAGTGACCTTCCACCCATTGTATCACAGCTTCTTGAGGCCAAAGCCAGGAAAGGTAGGTTCTTCAAATTGACACTGACATCATTTTTATCTTATTTAGATTGATGATTCATTCTATGTTTTTCAGGCCTAACCTTTGAAGAGATAGGGAAAGCAGTCGGCAAAGACGAAGTATGGATTGCCGCGTTATTCTATGGGCAGGTATGGTTACCTCACATAACGTCAGCGTCGAACCTTAGATAAAGTGGATCTCATTGAGTGAACAGGCTAAGGGGTCACCGGAGCAGCTGGCTTCTATTGCCCAGGTTTTAGAGATCTCAGAGGTAAACTTGAAGGCCGAGCTCGGAGCACATTGGTTCCCTAATCGTGGAATCGGACCTATCCCTCCAACGGATCCGGTCTTATATCGTTTATTCGAGGTTTGTTGGTTCCTTCTCGTCATAGGTGGATATTGATATACTTCTTTGGGATAACACAGGGTGTATTAGTCTACGGACATGCCCTCAAGGTACATCTGTTGCTTCCGGTCTATGTCGTTTTTGAACTGAACAGGTCTTCAGGCTGTCATTCACGAGAAATTCGGTGATGGTATTATGAGCATGATCGACTGCAAAGTTCATGTCGAGAAGAAGCCCGACCCCAAGGGAGACCGTGTGGTCTTGACGTTTGAGTACGTCCGACCTCATGTGCCCATTAAGAACAATCTACTGATTTTTCGCAGTGGAAAGTTCTTACCTTATGCTACATGGTGATTCTGTGCCCTTTGAATGAAACCCCCTAGTCAACGTTCCCGTGTATGAGACACCTCGGCCAATGAAAGAGTTCTTCACATACAAACAAATATTCGGCGAGCGTTAAGCGCTCTTGTCTGAATCCACTTCTCTTTCATGTCAATGACATGGTAGTTCAGCGTCGACTTCGTCATACCTGTGCTTACTGATAGACTTCATTCATAGCTGCTGCTACCGCTGTAATCCCATGCGCACCGCTATCCGTTCAATGCCTTGGAGCCTGTAGGTCCATACACCTGTAGATCCTCACTGGTCTATGCAACCCCGGAGCGGTTGCCGAGGGTAAGCTACTGGTAGGTTCCAGCAACTCTCCTCCATGGTTTTCGGGGGGGAGTCTTCACGGATTATGCGGACCGAAGGACGGCGGACACAGAACAAGCTCCACTCCAGTCCGCCAGCACGATTCATCCCGGAAGTCGCGGCTCGATGAAGGCATACGGTTTCGAGTTCAGCTCTGTTTTTGACCTCCGACTTGTAGGTCCCTATAAATCCAAGCCGCCGAAACTCGGCACTCTCAACCCAACTGTCTCCTCTGCGCGATCTAGTGCTCTCTTGCTTTGACACGAACCCGTCTCTCTACAACCACCTCGACCTCATCCGTACAACATGGACTTTTCGCTCCTCTCCTCTATTCCCGGTGTTGCTGATTTGATGCAGTACATCAATTTTGGTGTAAGCTTCGTTCAACATCGCCTGCCTGGTTCAACTTTTGACTCCGTTCATAGATTGAGGACGTGCAGATGCCACTGTCAGTCGAACCGGAGTCTCTTTTGGAAGAACAATACGGCGTCATGGCGGATGCCACCCTCACGCCACAATACTCTCCGTCACCGCCTCCTTTCAATGCAACGGCCTGGACAACCCACAATGCTTTCGATCAACAGCCCTGGGAGACGATCTGTCCTGCTCTCCTGGCTGACGAACAAGTGGACGTCACCGGAGCATATCCCCATCATGCCACATCCATGCACGACGAGGAGGTTGCCTCTGCTTCATTCCTCGACTTGTTCGAGCCACTGACGGATGCTACGGCTCCGTACAACGACCTGATAGAGGGGAACAGCTCTTCATCTCAGCCTGATTCTGAGACTCCGAGCGCGTACTCTTTCTCTCACAGCCCAGCATCGTCGGCATATACCACACCCTCTCCACCCTCTCCACCCCCCGTTGACCAGCCCTCAATGGACTTTTGTACCCAACTGGAGAGGCTCACGGTCACCAGCTCAACTTCCATCAGCCCTTTGCCAGTCGTAGGAGGTTCTATCACGGGGCCTACCAGAGGCCTTTCGACATCCATGCAAAATAGCTTTCCTTCATCGACGCAAGCCCCGCCGGCCCCCACGCGCCGATCCCGCAAAATCCGTTCATCTGCACCCAAGGACTCGAGTGCTCGACGTCACAAGCAGGCTAAACAGTCAACTATTCTTACTATACCTGTAAGCATGTTGTTTCTTCGTTAGCGCGTGCGTAGCTCATCGTCCTCATGTACACTAGTCGCAACGCAGGCCGCGTCGTGTTCACCCCCCGGGCAATGTGTGCCTCATATGCGGCCACAAGTCTCCAAATCCATCCACGCTCGAGAAACATATGTATACGCATAGTGACCCGAGTTTTCAATGTCCCGGCTGCGTCAAGAGGTACTGCCAGCCGTGGGCGCTCCAGCGCCACATCAGGACCGAGTGGAGGTATTGCGGGCCGTATGTTGACACGCGCCTGTGGACCACTTGCATGCGGGCGTTCAAGCTCGAGTTGTAGGTCACTCAAAAGTGTCATAGCTTCCGACACACGTCCTTCTTTTGGTTATCATTATACTGCTCTTTCTGTCCCTCTAGTTGTATCCAGTCGCCCTGCTATCTTGTTTTCCATGCTTGTATCGTCGATCCAGTCTTCTCGTCTCTGCTAGCCCCTCCTTAGCAGAGCAACTCTTTGTTCTTGTATATATTTGAATCCTGCGTCACTGATAGCTCTTGGAGCATCCTTCCGTTCTCGTACATATTTTTGAATGCTAGCTAGTTGTAACTACTGTACATAATTGTAATCAGAAAGCTTATGATATTTACTATTGTGCTTCTTACCCTACCGTTGTCGAGCATGTCTTAACAAAAAAAAATCATGTTTAGTTTTGCGATAACCCATGACGCTCCGCTGCAAGTTGGTGTGGCTTCATTACGGAACAATTACATATTTCTAGCAATTCTTATGAATTGTACAGCTTTCCCTTGTTGGTACCCAGAACCCCTGGCTCATCAGCGCTGACTGGGACATCAGTCCTGATTCTTGAACTTCGTGAGGTGCACATGTTTAAGTGCAACGTCAGCGACCTTCTTGATTTGCTGGATGACCGTATCGAGCGGAGCAGCCTTCACAGCATCGATGTGTGCCTATGCCAGTCAGGCAATGTATGTCAGTTTTTGCAATCGCCATAGATCTGACTGCACCAACGGCGACGCTATCCCAGCCCACGACTCCTACATATACACCCTCCTTTTCGACGGACCAACCCCATGAGCTACCGTGGCTTCCTGGAGCCTTGGCCAGCTCCGCCTCTAGAGTTGCGACAAGGGGGTCTAGCTCCTCCTTTGTAGATCCTTCTTGGAGAGATATAAACGCAATCTCGGTGGCGGGCGCGGAAAGGGCCCGCTCGCACGGCGTCGTGAGATTTGCGTGTACCATCTCCGGCTTGGATGCGAAGAAAACCTTCACGCCTTCCACCAACTCGGGATAAGAGGGTGATTTGCGGAAAGCCAAGTGCGCATCGAGCGACTCCCATACTGAATATCGATCACGATTATTTGCAGGTGCATTCAAAAATAAATTGAGCTTGCGAACCGTTAATCCAAACCTCGGTGGTAGGCTCCTCCACATATGGCCCTCGGTAGATTCTGTAGATAGCTGGGTGAGCTGACTCGTCTTGGAAGCTGGAATTGTCAATTCTTACCCGCGCATTCCCTTAGCAGAACCGACTAGCGTGAGGCTTTTGTTAGCTATACTGGCATCTTTCTGATAGGCCTCAGAGGACGTAAACCAGGCGATTTCCGGAACTGGAGCAGACGACATGTCAAGGATGAGATTGAGGGATGGGAAGTGAAGGTTTGGTTCAGCACTGGTTTATGAAGCTTTGTGAGATTCGCCTATGTTTGTCATTCGGCCGTGGCGAATCATTAGAGGGTGATAAGTCAGCGCAATATCGTTGTCTCCCAACTGGCGCCATCGCTTCGGCGCCAACCCGGTTGAAGCTGTGAACCATTCAACGAGGAAATGCATGCTATCGAGGGAACGAAAGAACAAGATACACGACTTGACTGATTCATATATTTCTCAAGAAGCTATCTCTACCTCAAAACCCATTGCGCGTTTCCCAACGGGCCCAAAAATGTCATCAACTTTTCCGATGCCCTCATATCCAGCCTCTGGAGCAGCTTTGGGAAAATCGGGAGGAGTAAGGCCTTGTATGAATGTTTCCTTTTGTCTTTGGACATACGTCGCATTTAGTGGCGTCATAGGAACAGCTGGGATGTACATGACTGGTAGTCATTTTAGCCTGCTGAAGTGTTGTGATTGTTTCAAGATCCATACCAGCGGAATCTCTAGTTCCGGTGTGCTCCTCTTCCACAGAATGTACTACGTCCTGCAGAATGATGTCAACGTGAACCGAGAGAACAATGATAGTGTTTATATCTACGCAGTGCCAAAACACCATGTCTCCCGGGTACACTTTGGGAACGGGGGTCATAGTGTCTTCTAACCTGAAGTGGGGATGACTTTCGGGGTTCGGTCGTGGGCCTGTGAACCCGCCGTCGCGTTTGAATATGCCAGGAAAATCCGGTGTAGAAATGTCTTCAGAAGAGCTTAGGAACGTAATTGAGTCAAACGATGCAGTATCAGTTACCGTATTCCCAGTTCTTGGGATCAAGAGCATCCTGAGACACAGGCGAGGCAATGGGGCGAAAGAAGGGTCGAAGGATCATGTATGCGTTCGATGCAACGACATCGGGAAATACTTTGAGCGTGCCTTCGTGAGGAGCCGTCTCACTAAGGTAGGGCACGTTGAATGAACGCAAGGCAGTGTATACTTTTGAAACTGACCTCATAGCAAGCCAACCCTGGAATGTCCTGAATACGCTAGCCTGCAAATATTCATCCTCGGCAAAGACAATATATAGAGAATCGTATAGCGATCGCACCTGGTTTGGTCGTCCATAAATTGAGTTCCTGGCATTGATGCGGCCTTCGAGTTCATAAGGGTCATGGCGCTTCCAGTTTCCGTTCAATATATCGGAGAAGCACGTTCGGAATGTCTCATCCTCCCATCGTTCGATAGCACCACCTGGATGGTTTGTATTTTTAGAAAGATGAGGACTTGGATCTCTACTTGTTTGAGTAATCACCATCGACATGAGGGGGATGAGCATCCCATTGAGTGCCAGGGTGTCGGATGCGGAACCGGTCTGCGTATATCAGGGGAGTCGATAGATCTACATCTTTCAAGTCATCCTGGCCTTTGATGTGATAGAGCTTATTCAACCACGTCGTGGCTTCAAGAAGATTGGGATGAGACCGCGCCAGAACTTGTGCCCTTGTCCAACTTGCACGGTTATGGCTGAGCAGAAGCTACAAAACAATTACAGTGAAGACGTACTATAGATGAAAGAACTGCTTGTTTGTCTCTGGGAATCCTGTTATCATGATGTCAGGGAAGTCGTCATATCATCGATGGCTTGCGCCGACCTGGGGCACTAGGGTTCGCCTTCACAAATTCCTCAAGAGAGGTCTTCCAAGCAAGGGCCTCTGCGTCATCCACCACATCCCTGATAACGACGCAGCCCCGTTTCTTGATGTTGTCGATCTCCTGAGGTGTCAGCTTTCCAAGGTCCTCGAAGCGAACTTGAGGAACGACCTATGGGAAATGGCTTTCATCCTGAACAACATAAATTCAGGTGCTAGTACTCACATCTGACCCCGAATCGATGATATCTTTCGTGCTCTCATGTAGATGCTCGACAATTTCACCCCACGCGCGCGTCGCACGAGCCTCGAAATTGGGGTAGGAAGCGGCGATCTCGCGCTTGAGGTCTACAAAGCGGAGGGGCATATGAGGATCGAGGGCAGCCATCTCTCTCGAACGTTCAGTGAACCCTGCTCGTCTCGATGTACATCTCATTTATACGTGTCGAGCCTCATTCCTCCTGGAGATAGAAGAGTCTTCGGTCCGAATTAGAAAGCTATTAAAGGGTCACATGAGAATCCCTAGAAAATGCGAAGATTCGTTCGCAGGATACGTGACTCCTTTGTGAAAGACGTCGTGGGGCGTGAATCCTGCAACTATAAAGGGAACGCCGCAATCTTTGAGTGCAAGTAGTTTACTCATTTAGGACTGGAGGGTCGAAAGGTGGAAAGGAGAGACTGAGATACCGGTCATTAGTGGACGTCGGTGAATTGTCGGATGAATGTCAGATATTGAAATCATGGGTTATGAAGTTAGATAGCCTCGGCCAACACAGTCTAAAACGTTGACAAGCTGCCAGTGGTATATAGTAGGTCAGGTGTCCATGCAAGGATAAGATAAAGTAACACACTCGCCCAAAACCTGTATCAGCCACTATTGGTAAGGTCACATTTTGGCCTGCGTGCTAAATATTGCATTCTACGCTCAAGGCCTATATGCATGAGAACGCAAACATTCAAATCTGGCACACCGGAGCCGAAAGACCTCCAGAAGACTGTGGAATGACAAGGGCGAATGCAAGGTACTGAGACCATTAGCAAAATCGATTGCAAGACAAATTTACGCGATATGTCGTCATTAACTGTAGAACACTAAGAGGAAGGTTGTAAGTAAAATCCAAAGACGAAACAGGGTTAGGGAACAGATGAGAATATTGTCTTCGCATGTTACTCTTCATGCTGCTCCTCTGACTCAGCGTACTGCTCGGTAGGCTCCTCTGCATAATGCTCCGCCTCTGGCTCTTCGTATTCTTCTTCAACGTCTTCAACTTCGACTGAAGCTTCTTGGTACTGGAATGAATAAGGTCATGACACGAACATAGGAATTCATGGTACCGCAAATGCTGTACCTGTTGATACTCGGCACTAGAAGAAAAACAGTGAGCAATAAACTCGAAGAATCCAGAGCGAGGCCACACACATCAAATCCTGAGTGTTGCTCTCAGCCTCGGAGAACTCCATTGCATCCATGCCTTCGCCTGTGTACCAGTGCAAGAAAGCGCGGCGCTTGTACATTACGGTGAACTAGTAAGGATACTCCTGTCAAGCGACACAATCACAGACAAGACAAGAAATGGAATTGACCTGATCCAGTGTGCGTTTGAATACCTCCTGAATGGCGGTGGAATTTGCAAGGCACGTTGCAGCCTGCTTTTGTTTGACTGGGGGCACCGAACAGAGCGTTACTGATACGTTATCGGGAATCCATCTAGCAGTGGGATTGAGCATTTAAGCGCGGATGAAGTGCGAGAGCTGTTTACGAACTCCACAAAGATGTTAGAGTTCTTCTTTTGAAGATCCAAGACAGTATACTGTCGACAAGTCAATGACATGCTATAGGCCCATCACAGGTGATGGAACCTACTTCAGCCTGAAGATAAGTGAGATGACGTGGGGATGAACAGGAAAGAGGGCACGGACTTCACGAGAAGATATAGGTCCACGGAAGATAGTCGCCGCGGTCAAATAGCGCCTGCGAACACGTGAGATGAATTCTTTTACAATACAAGGAGGCGACCAACCCGTAACGAGGATCACAACCGACGAGGAGGTTACGACGGTCGAAAAGGCTGGATAATACGAGTCAATATTATTGATTAGGAAGGACTGGCTGCCACTTACGCGCTAGTCAACTCGGCGACGGAAGAACGAGTGAAGGACTGCGTTTTGAGATCTTGGAAAGGAGCATAGCTCGGCATTAAGAAGTGTAGCTAACGAAGTTAAGGTCAGAATTCAGTGTGATGCTGTCAAGGAGGAATTTACACGAGGGAAAGGGATCAAGTTGAGTCCAAGCTTGCGTAGATCGCTGAGATGGTGTCAGCACAAGCGATATTGATCTGCTTCCGGCTTACCCGTTCAGTTGACCGGGAAAGCGAAGACTTGTCGACACCCCACACATGACTTGTGCAATAAGCTGACAGCGAAATGAGCAGGAGAAGCAGCAAGTCAAGGTGATGAAATACATACCACATTCAGATCAGTGAATGATGGACTCTTAAGTTTCAGCGTTCGTGTTGAGATGTCATACCTATCTTAGAATTTGAGTAAAGATAAGAGATCAAAACAACCAGAATGACGCACAGGGCTTCGTTATCGATGCAGATGGTCAGATCGCTGTTCTCGACTAATTGATGGACAGAGAGAAGGGCGTTGTAAGGCTAACGATATTCATATCAATGGGAGGAAACAGCAGATAGCCCAGAGAACGACCAACCTCAACGACAGTCTCTGACAACTAGAAGAAACAACCAGTTTGTAGTCAGTTGACAGTGGCCCATAGGTCATAGTCTTGCATACCTTCGGCGACGGCAGGACAGAGAAAGTTGAGACCATGCGGTCGGGGAACTCCTTTGGACGAGACGATATCAGATGGAGTCCTGGATAGAGATTTTCGACAAATTACCTCTCGAAGTTTCGACAGAAGCAAAGACCCGAGACCTGCTCCTGAACCTCCGCCTAAGGACTGCAGAATCTGGAAACCCTGCAGAGCATCGCATGCCTCACTCTGCTTCCGAATCACCTCCTGAAGTCTCGAAGTCAGTATGGGATCATTCGCAGACAGACATATGTACGCACGGTGATAGAGTCAACCAGCTCGGCACCTATAACATGAGTATTAGTGAGCTATACCGATCTCAGCAACTCTCGATCACATACCTTCCGTGTAGTCTGACCCCCAAAGAATCACCACGTCAGCCTGAGCTACTTTCGCGGTCGAATGGCATGCAATGGAAGCACTTACAGCCCTTTGCCCAGTTGTTCCCTGCTCCAGACTCGCCAGTGATGTATGTATCCGGGCGAAACAAGCCGCCCAGAGGTCCCGAGCGCAGCTATACAGAGATCAGTTGAAAGATCATTTCGGGAGCAGAAAGCGAGGCGACATACGCGATTGCATACACCCGCCTCCAAATCGATCTGCACGCTACGCGGAACGTATTTTGTAACTCCATCGGCAGTTTGGGCCTCCGAGAAGTAGGTTTCAACCTGCGAACACACCGTCAGCCAGGCATCCAGGCAATATGAAGTACATTGTACTCGCCCGCTCCAACTGCAATGGGTCTGTCCCATGGTAGATCTGCCGTATGGCGTGACATTCAACGGTCAGCATACAGCGACTATGAATGCCGGCTGAACATACCCCATCCAGATCAAGACCATGCTCGGCAAGCAGCATGGTCCAAAAACTCTCCCCTACTTGATTTCCAGCCTGAGAGCGCGATCCGCATCGTCAGACGCGAAGACGCGCGATGCGCGAGATGAATACTGACCTGGCCGACCTAAGACAGACCAGTCAAAACAGTGTATATGAGCGTATGCTGCTGACGCTGACCTGAACGTTCAATATTTCGCGAGGCATTGTTGATAGGTGTCAAGGTGAAGAAAGAGGAGGTGAATGCAATGTCAGCACCAGGTTCCACTTCTGAACTCGTCCAGCAATATATTTCCGGGACTTGCCGAACGCGTACACGGTACCTCCCGATTCGAGTCAACACACGACGCTTCGGACATGCAGACCTATGCAGACCTATGCATACACACCAGAAGTTCAGAATAACCGGACCATCTGTAGCTCGGAACCGGAGTACCTCTACATCTTTATAGCGGTTTCCGAAGGCCTTGGCCGATTCCTCTTTCTTGGTCATTATTCTCTGTAATCAGTCCACACAAGTGCCGAGCCGTCCATGGTCGACGTTCTAGGTTGTATTGAATTGCTTCAGAAGAGATATCGACCCAAAGTCATGACACATATACCGCCGTGGACAGCAGGCCCAGCGGTGATGGAATAAATCTCACAAAGTAATGTGGCCAGGGTTTTCGGAAACAGCATCTGCGAGTCCGGACGTGGCAACGTGCAAATACATTGGTGGATAGTTATCCAGAAAGCGACGTGATAACTTAGGTTAACATTAAGTACACAACTGGTAAGAACAACCGAACGCAGAACAGGCAAAGTAGATTCAACACGACCATCTAATAAAAGACCGGCGGACGGAAAGAGGCTGCATAAAGAGGCAATATGTCCGTGGAATCTGTGTAGAGATAGTGTTTGTATAGATGAATGTATCCGGTGTGTCATATGTCCGCCCAGCAAGAAATAAAGACAAAAACCCCAGAGAGCATGCATGGTTGTGAGAATGCTCTTGACTCAATACGAGAAAATCATGAGGTACGGATTCAGGATGATCTATTAACATAACATAACAGATGATTAGTTCAGGCTGAACATGGCCGAAGGACGGCTACTGCACTGACCGGAAAAAGGATGTGACATCCTGCAACTATACTGAGAAGGGGTCGGCATGTCACAAACAGGGTATATGAAACAGGGTAATCGCGAACTCACGCTAAAGGTAGAATGACAGACCAGTCGTAACCTGGGATTCTCCAGGCAAGAGGGGGGATCGTGGTAGCCAGGATCACCATCGCGAAGATGCAAATGAACGAAAGGATGAATGCGACGGCAAAACGTTTCAGGATCCGAGGCACCTCGATGAAGAAATTCGAGCGCTCGACTTCCTTCTTGGTGGCACCCCAAGTGATGTTGTACGAGAAAAGGTGAGCAAGGAGTGCCTGCGACAAATGAATAGGTAGACCACCAAAGAAAAAGAAGCTAAAGGTCTCATCAGTATGGGCCATATGATCCTGAGTGGACCTACTCACAAGAAAGGAACCCATGTCATATTCTCAACCAAAGATGACAAAATACTGCGATGGCCGATACGGTACTCCAACAAGGTGAATCCAAGATTACCTGCACCTGGGAACACTACCGTGCAAGCAAGCCAGATTTCGAAGGAATGCTCGTAGAACCCGTCGACAGCGAAGGCGAAACCGAGGAGGATGTAGTTCACAACAGACAAGACACATCCGATTGCCAGCCCATCTAAAAACCCGATGATGCGTGAGATTATTAAAGCTTATGTTCACCCGAAAAACTTACAGTATGAGAACATATCTATGTAAAAGCGAACCGTCAATATTCGACACGATGGTGGAATATATGAAATACAGGTGGACGTACAGGCCATCATGCTGACTTTGTAGTGGACTGGCGCGTCAGACCACAAGAAAATTCGGAGCTGTTTTGTGATGGGTCCAAGGCGCCACCAGTCGATGAGAGGGTTGAAGATCAACTCATTACATCCTAGTCTATGAGTCAGTGCACGTCGAAAGATAGAGCAGCTGCAAGAACGCACCATACGCATACTTCTGCCATCGGTTGAGTTCGTCATCGGCGGTGAGAGAGACGCCCTCTTTGAATCCTTTCTCTGAGTAAGTAGCCCAGCGAATGATATAGCCACGAAGCTATAGACGAGAACAGTAGATGTAATGCTTTGGGATACACCTGCGAGGCAATCAACACATACCTGAAGTCGCAGTGCCATATCGAAGTCCTCGCTGACGTTGCTCTCAGACCAGATTTTCATCTTGTTGTCGTCTCCGACGTCCTCGAACGCGGCATCCTGGATCGCAGACCACCTCAAGAAAGCGTTGTGCCCTACGAAGGGTGCTACCTCACCGTTGGCGCATCCCATTGAGATACACCTATTGATCCTGCGCGTGAAGTGGGCGATGCCGTTCTCGAAGTAATGATGAGCGACCTGCATGACGTCTATGAGTTTTGAAACAGGTTAGAACCAATGACATGAATCAAAAGCAAGGATAATTTATACCTGATTCGTGCTGGATGATAGCGACCTCCGGAGACTCGGCAAGTTCTCTCGCAGCGTCACGGAAACAATCCTAAATTTGACGTGGATCGTCAAAAGGATATCAAACATGTCAATAATGTATGCAAGGCGTACCTCAGGGACGATGGTGTCTGAATCAACAATGAGAATAATTGCTCCCATACGAAGCGCCTTGGCATTGCTCGCCCATGGTTTGAACTTCTTCCCGCTCTCCTCGTAGATTTCCTCAATGGCAATCTTCAAAGCCTTTTCTTCTAATTCTTCCTCATCATGGTCTCCGGCTTCAGAAGGATCTCTGCTTCTCGCCGATACCTCCGTATGCGTCTCAAGCTCGTGGATCCAATGTTCTAACCGCAAGCTCAGCGCTAATCCATAATTCATGTTACTGGCTTTTTTGAACCGACCACGGCGCTGGAAGCCGCCTGGCGAGCTATCATGCTTGGGGCGCGCAACCCAGCCAATCCCGTTATCAGCGTAGAAGGTGATCCGCTCCTGGCGCTCGGCCTCCGAAAGGAGTTGCATGCCATCGTCGTGGACGAATATACTTGATGTGCCACCCTGGCGAGCATAGGTCTGCATAGCTTTCTTCAAGGATTGCACCGATGGGGATCTGAAGTGATGTTCGTTAGTGATCACATTGCAAACAGAACGTTGCAAATTTAATAGCAAGATGATCGAGCGATCTCATCGAGAGAGGCTGAAAAAGGTGACTCGGGGTTTTGGATATACCCCACGTATTCTCGGCAGGAGCGGAAATGGGGAAAATAGGTTGAAAGTGATCAATACTCACATCGTATAATCTAAGCTCTCCTTGTAGACAGGGAGTTCAATTGAAACATGGGGAAGGCGTTGATCAACCTCCTTATTAGGACCCGGTTTGATCGCAGAGTAGTATTTGGAATTTTCATGATACTGGGCGACCGGTCCAAGACTGTCCATATCCTCAGAAATTCAGCAAAGTAGTCGGCAATGATATGGAGAAAACCTACACGTAGGATATATTGGTGACAACCTGTGAGGAGAAAAACTTCAAACGAATGATTGAGGGGTTAGCGAACGGAGTCGAGTATAGTATCGAAAGGTCAGCGACGTACGAGTGACACACAGAACAGGAAAGGCGCCGTGACCATGAGAGCAAATCGGGTAAAGTCATGATCGAGGCGCCATTCCGCTATCAAGACCTCAAGGCCACTACCGACGAAGACTAAGAGTAAACATAGAAAAAAGTCAATCCTGAGCCATGGTAGAAACGGGATTGGACGTACAAACTGACAAGGCACATCCTAGACCACCGTAGAAAGGACCGAACAGGCGCATGTGTCTGGTGCTCGCTGCACTCTTTTCAAGATCGGGCTCGACCTGAGTGGGCTTGTTTGAAATTCTCCAGCCCCATAACGAGCGCCAGCCGCCAGTCTTTGCAGCCGGTTTACTTGGCGTGAGAACGGGAAGCACCACCTCTTTTGTTGCCTGCGCCTTTTCATTGAACTGTGAATCAGGAGCGGAGTTCGCAACCGAGGCCGTCGAAGTCGCAGACAACGCAAGAGCGAACGAGCCGCGCCGAGCCCAGACAAGCTTGATCAGCTTGTCGTCGAAATCCAAACACAGAGGGATGACAGTGTCGAGGTTGTCCGACCAGATGACAAGGACACGCTCGTCGCGCTAAAGGGTCGGTCAGTATGTGATGCTTCTGACGGCAGCGTGACATACAATGAAAGCACCACATTGCTCCTTGTCCGCGCCAGGAAGGTCCATCATGGTGTCCAAGATCTGGATGCGAGTGTCGGCATTGAGGTAGATAGCCGTTGCTTGATCTCCTCTAATGAATTCCATGAGCTCCAAATTGCAACTGACAGAGATTAGGGAAGAGCTAACACTGTGCCCAAAGCAACGTGGACAGCAGCGCTGCGGACTTTGACCGCAACCACAGGGTTCAAGCCCCGGACAGCAGCCTCGAAGGGTTCCAAATACCGATTCTCGTAAGGAAAGACGCGAAACAGGCCTGTACTGATGCGCAAGCAGACGCCAGCATGTATGTTCTCGGAGGATGGCTTGAACCAGGCATCCCCTTGCGTCTAAATAGCACACCATGAGACGAGCGCAGTATTGAAAAGCAAAAAGTTGAGTATGGCTCTTACTTGCTTGAAGATATGATGCAATAGCGCATCATAGGCATCGTAGTCCATGGAATCCATGATAGCAGAGGGACTGATGGGCAAAACCTGGGGGTATGGACAAGGAGTGAATGAACGGCTACTGGAGATGCCTCGGTATGAGCCCAGAGTTATAAGAGCCTGGAAAAAGGTCAGACCAGATGCAGAATGACGAATGATGATCCGCCTTTGCGGAGAGATTCCGCAGAATTCCGCCTGGTGCGACCCATTGACATCGATGAATCGAGATAACACCTGCCGACAGCTCCAGGCATGCCCGCATCGACGCTGCGGCAGTGCATGGACCGGGGCGGAAGAAGGGCGATCGAAGTGCGCTTCAGCCGTCCTAACGTCGATCCTTGGCGGATGAGATCTTTTTACCTGCTGCCACACAGCAGTCATGTATTATCCGCCCTCTCCTACTGATTGCTAATAGCGCCTGATGGTAAGTTCACAAGGTGAATATTAGAGGGAGTTCGTACCCTATGCCAGAGAGAGGACACGCCTGTTTCTTGTTATTTCCGACCACGCGGTCGAACGAGGGCGGTGTGTAAACCTCCGTAAAAATACCCAAAGCTTCGCGAGGGCAATGCGGGCGCCGTTATTCCACGTCCGCACTCCACTTCAACATATCCAGGGTTCAACATTGCATGAAGCTACTAGTCGCATTCGAGACAACGACGTGGAGCCCAAAGAGTTGCGCGAAAGACTGCGAGAGACTTAAAATACGCCAGGGCAGAGAAGATACAGCTCGGAGTGATGCTCCGTCAGACAACAGATCTCGGAAGACAGTTGTCTTCCCACACCCGTAATGAACGAAGACTGATGGACTCGTGCGTGGGTTTTTTTAGGCTAACGTTTGAGGACAGGTCGGCACAACGCGCTCCTGGGTGCAGTGGTAAATAGATGTATTGAATCCAGTGTGAATAGAGTTTGAAAGCTGCTCAAAGAGATGTTGTCCAGCTATTGTTGAATGCCGAAGAAATTGTAGGAACAAGAGCGCGTGCAGTCAGATCAGTTTTCAGATTCCGAGATAAACAGTGCATCAGCATGGACAGCATTGGAGCGCTCAAGCGCTGAAAAGTCATTAATTGTTCATAGACTAAAATGAACAAACTCGCGACACTGCCACCTGCGCTGAATGAGTATATCCGTCGCATATTGGTCCTGAATGGAAGACTTACATTCGATGTACCGAAGTGCTCAAGCAACCCCCCACCCAAACGCCGACCTTTCCCTTCGCGTTAGGCTTTGATCACTCAGTAAAGGAGGTCCGCGTGTGCCTCGACCGTGTCGACCGGGCAAACCTACTAGCAGGGTGATCGAGCAGACTCGAGGGTTTGCAAAGAATTTTGCTACAGCCTCCGACAAAAGACTGGAGATTGCCTGCTCGGGTCTACGACTGGATGGCGATGAGTGGAGCGGTAGATGACGGGCAATGCGAACGGACGATGAGTACGACTCCAGCCCCATGTGAGCGGATCGGTGTGGAGACTTGTTAATTTACCACCGTTAACTCAGAGCCTGTCCGGCAATGAAAGCTTCGATCCAGGCTATATTCGTTTGTTGAAAAGCACATGCTGTCTCCTTGGGAAGGTGTCAAGCGCGGGAGCTTTGTGAAGGTGTTTGCAGTTGTGGACGACGTCTCAAACAGGCCCGATGCACTGTGGCGTAGCTTGAATAACTCGGACACAGCCGTCTTTTGGAATTCCGCTGTCCCATGATGATGCTCCGGACGAATATGCGCCACAGAATTCCAGACTCCGGGAGACAGCTGTCAGAGACAAAACATGTTCGTCTCAACGCTCTTGGCCTGCACCACATCTGCATGATGCTTCAGAAGGGGATACAATGTCCTCCGAGGCCTTACTTTCTCGTGTGGGGTGAGTCTCGATCAGATCTGACAAAAAATCAATCTTTCCGCCCGCGCACTCGTATACTCACCGAGCAGCGAAGGGCTTGCGCACTAGCCCTCTCGTTAGAAATTTCTCACTATGTTTACTGTCGCATAATCATAGCCAAAACAGAGCAGCCTCCAGCCGGGCATGAGTTTTTTGCGGAGTGCGCAAGCAATATGCACCACGCAGCCACGCTGCATCGGACGTCACCCACCGGCGGACCAGAGCGCCTTGTTCTAAATATCCATGCTCAACCGTTTCTCACCAGCAGAGTCTTCGTTTCGGATTGTTCATCTAGATGGCTGTCCTCTGCCGGCACTTGTCGTCCATGCTCTGCGGAACATATCTGCTCCAATTCAACTAGCACGGCCCGCAGCGCAATCACCTTCTTCTGGCACTGCTTTGGGCAAGGCTAGTTTTTTGGACCCCTCTATCTCAGACCATGAGCTCATGCAAACCGGAGCATCTCTCTAACCCGTGCCTATCATGAATAAATCATTGACGGGGCTTGAGCAATAGGACAGACTCGCGTTTCTCTTAAGATGCTCTTGCACCCGGGTTTTCCAGCTCGAGCAGACCTTCGCTCTGACGCGATCTCTTTCTACCGCCTTCACCATCCCTTGTCTATCTCGGGATCCCTCGAACAATGTCTTCCCCTGCGGCGTCCCCTCTGCCTTCTGATCTAATTCTCAGTGATACCGATGAGATGTCAAACCCGCCGGAACCGCTTTATGTTATCGACGGTGATCGGCTTTCTATCCTGAGCGAAGACCTCTCACACCCTACGTCTGCTCCAGAAGGGATGCTTTCCCTTCGTCCCCAAGGTCGTCAAGAAAGCGCGATCACCTTCGACACCATCCCGCCCTCTCCCCTACTGGAAAATGACAGGCAGCTCGCTAACCCATTTGGCACCCCTGTAGCAGAGCAGACCAACCCATTTTCTCCTCCGGCGAGCATCATGAGCTTCAGCATGAGCGGGGACCATACCCCTCGGATGTCGTCCGCGCTCGCCTCGGGCTCGAGCGGGCAACCCTACACCTTCCAGGATCTGCATCAGAGAATCAGCGCCGTCAATTCCGTGCAGACCAGCTTCGCCGACCTCAGCCACTCTCGCAATCTCAGTGCGACCGTTGGTCTGCGCGAGCCCTTCGCCTCGCCTCCGCGGCGCACGATCTTCCAACGGCGGGCGACCTCGCCCAACAACAGCATATTTCCGAAGCGGACCACGCGCGCGCGCCCGCGGTCGACCATGCTGTCGCTGTCTGATCCCATACAGAAGCCTTGGTTGAAGGCCAAGGACTCGACGGCGCGGCTGGCGTACTTCATCACATACGGCGTCATGCTCATGGGGGTCGCGGCGAGCGCCGTGCGAATCTATTTTGGGTGGATATCGGTCCCGCTATTGGGCCGCGTGTGTCTGGTGCTCGACGAGGAGTTCCAGGGCAGCGATCTAGATACTGAGAACGTGTGGATGCGAGAGGCTGACATGGGTGGTTTCGGGTATGTGTCTTTTTATATCTATTTCCGTGTCAGGATCGTGCTGATCGACGGCGGGTTCTCACACAGAAATGGCGAGTTCGAGATGACCACGACGTCTTCGAACAACTCGTTCATCCGAAACAACCATCTTTATCTGCTGCCGACCCTCACTTCCTCCGTCATAGGACAGGACGCCGTGTTGGATGGCTACACCTTCAACTTGACGGGGTGCACCAACGTGAACTCGACTTCGTGCGGCGCTGTCAGTAACAGGACGGCGGGAGTTGTCATCAATCCGGTGATGAGCGCGCGCATCTCTACCAAGGGCAAGAAGAGCATTCGCTACGGACGCGTCGAGGTCAATGCGAAGTTGCCGCGAGGGTGAGTGCCGGCCAAGTCTTCCAATCCACATCTTTGTCTGACCTCTATTTATTCTCAGAGACTGGGTTCGTCGTCGTTGTCGCTTTGGGAGATGTCCGGGAGTAATCGAAAGTTGCTTTCCAGATGTGGCCCGCAATCTGGATGCTCCCCGAGAACAACACGTACGGCCCATGGCCAATTAGCGGTTAGCTGTTCCCGCCTTGTCTGGAATATGGGCGTGTTGCTCACGATACATCCGGGACAGGCGAGATCGACATCATGGAGTCTCGTGGCAACGGAGTCGACTACCCATCGCAGTACGTCTCGTCTTTCCACGTTTCATACCGCATAGCTTAATTCCCCCGACGTCGCTATCAAAGGGGCATCAACTATGTCCGGGGCTCCCTGAACTGGGGCCCACTGACCTGGCTCAACGGTGTGGCCAAGACATTCGGCTGGTGGTCCGAGCGACGCTCCTCGTACGACAAGGCGTTCCACACCTACGCCCTGGAATGGTCCCCGGAATTCATGTGAGTATCCCACACGCGTTCTCCCCGCGCGCGCACCGGGGCCTCCCTGACGCTCGAACTCGGGCTTTACATAGACGGATCTTCGTGGACAGCCGCCTGCAGTACATGCTCCAGCTCAAGTTCGACATCCCCTTCTTCGAGCGCGGCGACTTCCCCGTGTCCGTCTCGAACGAGTCGCAGCAGATCATCCTCCCCGATCCGTGGGCGGGCGCGGGCAACTCCGCGCCCTTCGACCAGTGTACGTCCCTGACTCCTTGGCTGTCCGCGCGCTCAAGCAAGGACGCACGACGACGATGACGATGACGATTTGAACAGCGTTCTACCTCATCCTCGACGTCGCTGTTGGCGGGACTAATGGCTGGTTCCCGGATAACGCGGGGAATAAACCCTGGTTGGACGGGGCTCTCAGTGCGTCGCGCTTGCATTCGTCGACCGATGACGGCGCCCGCTAACGTCCGCCTATAGACGCCATGCAGCTCTTCGCCGAATCGCAAGACGAATGGTCCGCGACGTGGCCCGAAGACGAGGAAGACCGCGCGATGATCGTGTGAGTGCTCCTCTCTGCCGCCGTGACGCCCCCGCTTGACGCGCGCCGGATCGTTGTTCCAGCGACTCCGTGAAAATGTGGCAGCAGTGTTGAGATGCACGGATGGGTGGACCGCGTCTCGGATCTATCGTAGTTTTCTCCTAGTGACTGGTGACTAGCGACTCGCCGCGTTGTACAGCATCGCCTCGCGCTGACCAAAATAAATAAATTTGCATGCGCATGTGCATGTTGCATACATACAGTCTCCACGACCCCACTAACCGCTCAAGAAAAATCGCGCATAGGCTTAGCACGATCGATGATCTCGCAGGCACACGGCAACGCGCAGGCGCTAAAAATACAGGAACAGACACCCCGGCTCAACCGACCGCGACCGAAGCGCGCAAAGGACGGACGCCAGCCATCTCACGCCTTGGGCGCCTTGGACGCCTTCGGCTGCACCTCCTCCAGCCCGGCGGCGCGCAGGTCCGCGTTGACCTCGCCGAGGTGGTTCAAGAAGTTGCCCTTGAGGTTGTCCCACATCTTCGGCTCGTGCTCTGCAATCGCGCGTCAGCGTCTTGCTCTCGCACACACACGCGCACACACGAGAGAGAGAGAGCGCGAGCGCGAGCGAGAGCAGAAAAGAAAAAAGTGTACGCACCGTGCAGCTTCCCGGTGCGCTTCATCGCGTAGTCGGTAAGCGGCAGCATGAAGCTCGACTCGAACATGAACGCTGCAGAAAATAAAGCCCGACAACGGTCAGCCCGCCGTCCCGCCCCCGGCGCCGCCGCAGCCACAGGCATCGATCGATCGAACGCGCTCACCCATCGTGCCCTCGTGCACCCTCATCGGCTGCAGCTCCGCCTCCGTCGCCGCCCTGAACTCGTCGTAGGACACTGGTCAAACGAAAAACGAGACCGTCAGCGCACGGGCCAGGGATCGTGCAAGACGGGGCGCGCGGGGAGACCGACCTCCGTGCGGGCAGAAGCCCGTCTCGTAGCTCGCGCCTCCGGGCTGGAACTCGTCGCTCCGGCCGCCGTAGACGCCGTACACCAAGCCCATGAACTCCGTCGCGCTGTTGCGGTGGTAGAACTGCGGCGCCCGCGCGTCCTTCCGTCAGAACATCCTGCTCGCCAGCTCGCGCGCACGACGGCTGGGGGGGGAAAGGAGGCTCACCGGGGGGCGGAACGTGTGCGAGGCGACGTCCCAGCGCGGGCTGAAGATGAGCAGGTCCGTGAGCGAGTGGTTCGGGATCTTCGACTTGGCGGTGAGCACGCAGAAGATGGAGGGGTCGATGTGGTCCTTCGAGATGCTGCCCACGTTCACGAACTTCTCCATCGCGTACTTGTACGGCACGTAGCTGCGCGCCGCCGCGTCGTGTGCGATCGAATTCGAGGGGTCGGAGTTGGAGTTGGAGTTGGAGTGGTTTTATTTACCGTGCTGGGTTAGGGAGGTAAGGGAGGTGAGAACGGAGGGGACGTACTTGCCGGTCCAGGCGACGACGTCGAAGGGCGTATGTTCCTGCTTACACGCAAACATCTTCCCACCGACCCTATCGTCCAACCCCCCACCAGTCAGTCCCTCGTAACCGCGCGCATAATTAAAAAAAACCCACTTGTAAACGACTGCGCGACCCCCAAAAAACACGTCAGTCGATGTGGATCAAGGCGCGCACATACGGGGAGGTAGGGGGTAGGAACGTACTTTCCCACGGAGACTGGTCGACGTCGAAGCTCGCGACGGGGGTCTCAAAGTCGCGCGGGTTCGCGAGGCCGTGCGTGCCCAGCGGGCCGAGCTCGGGCAGCTCGAACTGCGACCCGAAGATCTCCTGGATGTCTGCGGGGGGCCCAAAGTCAGCCGCGCGCGCTTTATATGGGCTATCGAGCGCCGAGAGCGCGAAACGCACATCCGCGCGAGGGGCCGTCGGGAAGTAGGACCTGTGTCGCGACGCGTGAGACGCGAAATGCATGCGTGGTTTGTGTTTACGGGCTCGGGCTCGGGCGCGGGCGCGGGCGTACCTTGAAGCGCATCCCGCGCTGGATGACGACGAGCTCGCCCGGCCTCACCATCAACCTGCGAGCGGACCGAGCCCCGTCAGCGCGAATCGCCCGAACGCGCGCGCACTTACTTTCCAAACTCGGTCTGGATGTCCATGCGGCCCTGCTGCGGGAGGATCATCATGTGGCCGTCGTTGTTGCAGAAGGCCTTGTTCTCCATGGACGCGTTGGCGGCGTAGATGTGGAACGCGATGCCCTCGCGCAGCGTCGGGTCGCCGCTCCCGCAGAGCGTCTTGAGGCCGGCGATGAAGTCCGTCGGGGCGGAAGGGATGTCGAAGGGCAGCCAGGCGAGCTGGGTCGGGCTGACGTGCACCCGCGGGTTCGAGGGCGAGAAGTCGTGCTCCAGCTGCCCGTGGGGTGAGTGCGGATGCTCGAGAGATCAGGGAAGAGGCGCACGTCGGGGTTGTCTGGGAGGCTCGTGAAGCCCTGGTGGGCGACCGAGGGCCGTATGCGGTAAAACCAACTGGTGTGCCAAGAATGAACATCGCGCATATGTGCGTCGTGGGTAGGACTCACGCGGTCCTGCTCTCCGCTCGGGGAGCCACGAACGAGGTACCCGTCATCTATAGATTCAGAATTAGCATTGGAAGTACGCGAAAATGGCAGGACCTACGGATTCGGTATAGAGGTCGTACTTGACTTTTTGAGGGCTATTCTGGGCGTGTGGCAGGACGCCAGGGCTGAGAGAACAGAGAGATGATGGTACGAAGGGGGCGAGAGGGGGCTAGAGGACGAGGACGCACACTGCCTCGCTGGCGAAGCGGTTGCCGAACCCGACTTGGTAGGGGTACGGGTCTTTGTCCGAGGCGGTCGTGAGGTAGGCGGACTTTGCGGTGACGTTGTGGTTGGTGGAGATGCAGCGCAGGGCACTTGGGGTCTGAGACGCGGGTCAGCGTCGTGGAACGATGGGTAACCAGTAGACGGACGTGGGTCAGGGTGTTGACGCCTTGGAGTCTCCGCACTGGGGAGTGGATGACGGACGACGCGACGGCGCGCGGCAGCCTCAAGCAACGGCCAGACACGAGTCGAGATCGGGCGGACAGCATCTAGAGGGGAGGGGATGGAGGAGGGAAAGACGGAGAGGACGGGGCGGTGACGGGGGTTTTTATAAGAGGGAGGCGGGGTCGCAGCATAAAACGATGATCCTGGCGGGGGCGTTGACCCCAGGCGGACGCCTAGAACCACGGCAGGCCCTGCGGAGGAGGGCATGCTATCCTGATTCGGCGATATTCTCCCAGTCGGGATTACGAGCACTGGCTCGTGGCGGGGAGCGACGGAGCGGTATTGGTCTCGCCGTGGACAAGTGACCAGGAAAGCGATTCCATCTTGAGCGCGTATCCGCGCGTCGCACCGGCCCTGCAGTCACTCACACACACGTTGCGGCGACGACGCGCGCAGGGCTGGCGGAGGGGCGGGCGGGCGGGCTATGCTCGCTAGCTCGTGGACGTCGCGACGGGTGTCGTTGGCGACGCGCTTGGGCACCGGCGGGGTCGTGCACGGCAAGGGCGCGCTCGCAGGGACGTGGGCACGGGGCCTGGGCCAGTGCGGGGATGACCATGATGTCACCAGCCAGGCGCCGGTCAGTCTCCCCACGCCCTCTCTTGTCTCCTGCACCCACCATGGCCGGCGCAGAAGAAAAGTTTCCGATCGACCTCAAGCAGTTCAAAAAGTGTGTCCGTCTCGTCCCCACCTCGCGCGTTTCGTGCTCAATCCCGGTGTTCCCTCGCAGATTGAAGCTCGATCCGTCCAAGCCCCAGCTTTCGGACGAGCAGAGGAAGACCCTCAGGGCGAACATACAGCTCCTACGCGATGCCATCGTCCTCTTCACCGCAACGGGCGCAGCTCGCGGCGTGAGCGGACACACAGGTCAGCCGGACGCTCCACCGTAGCACGGGCGCTCATACCCCAGATCCCCGCCAGGTGGTGCCTACGATACCGTCCCAGAGCTCTGCATCCTCCTCGCGCTCTTCGAGCACTCTGACCGCTTCTACCCCGTCGTCTTCGACGAAGCCGGTACGTCCCTTGCCGTCCCTCGTGCAGCGCATCGCCATAGACATCGTGCCCATCAGGTCACCGCGTCGCGACCCAGTACCTCCTCTCCGCACTCGAGGGCCACATCCCCGCCGAACACCTCCTCCACTACCGCGCCGCCAACTCAAAGCTTCCGGGTCACCCCGAGCTCGGCCTCACCCCGGGCGTCAAGTTCTCCTCCGGCCGCCTCGGCCACATCTGGCCCCTCGTCAACGGCGTCGCCCTCGCCCACCGCGACAAGACCGTCTTCTGCCTCGGCTCCGACGGCTCCCAGCAGGAGGGCAACGACGCCGAGGCCGCCCGCCTCGCCGTCGCACAGAACCTGAACATCAAGCTCCTCATCGACGACAACGACGTCACCATCGCGGGCCATCCCTCCGAGTACCTCAAGGGCTTCGAGCTCCCGAAGACTCTCGAGGGCCACGGCCTCAAGGTCTTCACCGTCCAGGGCGAGGACATCGACCAGCTCTGGGGTGCCGTCGCCAAGGCCGTCACTCACAACGGCCCTGCAGCCAGTGCGCGGCCCTCGTTTTCTTATCCGCGCGTCCCACGAGTGCTCACCGCGTCGTGCGTCGCACAGTCGTCTGCAAGCGCGTGATGGCCCCCGGTGTCGCGGACATCGAGGGCAGCCCCCACGGCCACGACGTCATCCCTGTCAAGGGCGCGCTCAACTACTTCAAGGCGCGCGGCTACCCGGCCGACGTCATCGAGAACATCCTGCTCAACATCAAGCCCACGACCGTGCCGTACTTGTACGTCGGCTCGACGCGCGAGAACGGCGCGAACCGCGTCGTCTTTGGCGAGGCCGTCAACCTCGTGCTCGATGGCCTCAGCAAAGAGGAGGCCGCGAAGAAGGTCATGGTCATTGACAGTGCGGCGTCTCTTTCTATGCGCTTTTGCGCTGTGCTGTTCTGAGACTGGATTGCGTTGCAGGCGACCTGGAGGGCTCGACGGGGCTCAAGGTCATCCATCAGAAGCACCCGGAGGTGTTCATCCCTTCGGGCATCATGGAGCGGGGCAACCTGTCCGCGGCCGCCGGGTTCGGGTTCGACGCGGACAAGTTTGGCGTGTTCTCTACCTTCTCGGCGTTCTTGGAGATGGTCATCTCTGAGCTCACCATGGCGCGCCTGAACAACGTGAACTTGCTCTGCCACTTTTCGCATTCCGGGGGTAAGTCGCACCGCATCGCACCGCACCGTACCGCCCGAGAACCCTGTGAACTAATGCTCCGTGTTTCGCCCCACAGTCGACGAGGTGCGTTTGCATCGCGCGCTCGCTCGCCCGGTGCATGTGCTGACCCGCCCGCGCAGATGGCTGACAACACCTGCCACTTCGGCATCAACTCCTTCTTCGCCGACAACGGGCTCGGGGACGTGCAGTCGTGGCTGTACTTCCCCGCGGACCCGCTGCAGATGGTCGCGATCGTCAAGCGCGTCTTCTTCGAGCGCGGGCTACGCTTCGTCTTCTCGACGCGCGCAAAGGTGCCGTGGATCCTGCGGGAGGACGGCGCGCGGTTCTTCGGGGAGGGGTACGAGTTCGTGCCGGGGAAGGACGAGGTCGTGTTGGAGGGCACGGCGGGATATGTTGTGTCGTTTGGGGATATGTTGTATAGGAGCTACGACGCGGTGTTGCGGTGCAGGCAGGAGGGCCTCGATGTCGGGCTGATCAACAAACCGACGCTGAATCTGGTGGACGAGCAGGTGCGATTGCGGTGGTCTCCTGGAGAGTCTATCTTTACGCTGTTGATTCCGGGTTGCGATAGGTCATCAGGAAGATCGGCACCAGCCCGTTCGTGCTGGTCGTCGAGTCTTGGAACCAGAAGACCGGGGTGAGCCGTTCGGGGCGTCCGATCTCGCCCTCTGCAGCTTGCTCACGCTCACTCGCAAACGTAGCTCGGCTCCAAGTACGGGACGTGGCTGCTCGAGCGTCAGCTCACGCCCAAGTATGGCTACATGGGCACCAACAAAGAAGGCGAGTCGCTCTCGCTGTCGTTGGTCGTGACTCTCGCTGACACCGCTTGTCGCGTGCTCCAGGCTGCGGCGGCCTTCAGGAGCAGATACCCCATCAGGGCTTGGATCCGCAATGTATGTCGTTGCGCTGTCTTGATGATGTGAATTATTTTTATTTATTTTTTCGTCGCAGCCATTATCTTGAAGATCAAGACGCTGTCTCATTAGGCTCGCAGAGGCGCGTGCGAAGTTGTACGAGGACGAGAAGATCGTGGCATCGACCAAGGTGCATGGAAGAAAGAAAGAATCTTGTATTGTTTGTAGAATGTAGTAACATGAAGTGTAAGACGGTCATCTCGAGACGAATGGTGCCGCCAACACCACAAGGCGACGGATCAAATAGACACGACCTAAGGGGAAAGGGAGAGTCAGGACTTCGTGTCAAAACGAACACACGAGAACGCAATTCAGAGAACCGAGCTCGACATCAGTCCTCTTCGAATTGAAGAGTACTTTTAGACGGCACTTCCTAATTTTGTCGGTGTGAATCATCCCATACAGCAGCGCGACGTGCTAGATGGTACGAAGGCGCAGAAAACTCACCGAAATATAGCAGAATTTCCTTCGCAAGGGGGATCTGGAGGAGCGGACGAGGAGCAGCTAGGGAAGCGCCTCGATTTTTCGAGTGTACGGGAGTATATAAGGTTTTGTCGTTCGAGCGCCGTCTGAACCGGTAGCCCGGCTCGTAAATTCTAAACGGCCAGCCTGCTGCTTATCCGACTCCTGATAACCTCCCACCTTGTCCATAACATTTGTTGTCATCCAAGACAAGCCGCCTGCGCGTCCGCCGAACCCATAGCCCGCGTAAAATATCGCATTTCGGCAGAGCAGAGGCGGAAATTCGGATTCCGTGAGTTTTTTCTTTTTATTGTATCGTTATTTCTTCGCCGCTCCCAGGCCGCGCCCTCCCTTGTGCGCGCGATACCCGCGCTACCGTGGATATGTATCTGGTCGGCTACGCAATTATGCAACATATTCGGCGGCGGCACAGCAACCGCCCTTGGTGCGCGGCGTTCGGCCCCTGCGTCCTCTTGCGACGTGGCGCCGCGGTCGCCGTCGACGACGGGGCCGCCGTCGGCCACGATGCACGCCGTGCGCGATAAGCGACCTGACGCCCCCTCTTGCTCCGCAGCGCTATCATGGCCAGCAACTCCATGCAGAGCTCGACCAGCACCCTAAGCACCCAGCCGCAACAGCCCCCCGACGCCCCGCAGCAGACGCTCGCGCCCGAGCTCCCACCGGGCATCGGCGGCGTCGGCGGCGTCGGCATCGGTATCGGCGTCGGGACGACCGTGCCCGCGACGGGCGGAGAGGCGGGCGGCGTCGCGACGGCGGCCGCGAGCGCGCCGGTGAAGCGTGGGCCTGGGCGGCCGAAGGGCAGCGGGCTCAAGACCAAGTACGTCGATCCCAATGCTCCTCCGCCGGTCAAGCGCCCCGTCGGCCGTCCGAGGAAGGACGGGCTTCCCGCCGGCTCGGTGCCCCGTCCTAACACGACAAGTACTCGTAAACGCAGGGTCGCCGCGCCCGGAGAGTTCGCAGCCATCGCGCCCGACGCGAATGCGCAGCAGACGCCGCAGCCGTCTGCTAGTGCGCCGCCGTACGTCGGCCCGCTGATCGTGCGTCGTTCTCCTCCTCGTTTTGCGATGGACATCTTCGTTGACGAGCCTCTATCTATCTATCTATCTATGTCGGCGGCCTGATTGAAGAACTATGCACAGTACGCCTACCCCACGCCGACCGCCGCAGCCCAGCCGTCCTGGCAGACGGGATACAGCACCCTGTCCGCAGCGCTGCAGGTCGAGCCGCCCGTGTCCCGCAGAGAGACCGTGAGCGTGCCGCCGCGCAGAGTAGTGGCGCGGAACCCGCCCGCGATCGACCATACCCTCGCCAAGGACGACTGGGCGGCGTTCGCGCGCGTCGACCCCGTCGGGCTGCTGCAGCACCTCGTCTCCGCGCTCGTCGCGCCCAACCCCGTCTCGCGCATCGGCCAGCCCATCGAGGACGCCTTCCGGGCGCACGTCGGCTTCCTCGCGCCCGCAGGCGCGGGCTCGCCACCGAACACGTTCTACGCGTCCTTCCGCTCGTTCTGGCTGCCGACCTCGCCCGCGTACTTCTCGCTCATGTCGTCCTCGACCGCCGCGCCGACCCCGCCCGAGTACCGCTTCCTGTACTGGGACCCGCAGCTGCTCGTCCTGAACGGCATCGCGTGCCCGCACTGCGCGGGCCCGCTGCTCAACCGCGGGTGCATCCGCTCGGGGCCGATCAAGGTGTACGACATCGGCAAGCCGTTCTTCATCATCGGCTGCGAGTACGTCTGCCACAGCGTCGTGTGCAAGGTGGCCGGCGCGCCGGACGGGCGCAGGCTCGCGAGCACGGACGCGGCCATCATGCGCTCGCTGCCGCGCCTCTTGCAGGAGGAGTTCCCCGCGGAGCTGCTCGGCCTCTCGATCGACGCCCCGTGGAGCTGGCAGGCGGTCGGCGTGTCCAAGACGGTCTGGGACATGGTGCGGAGCGGGCTCGGCGCCGGGGTGGGCAAGGACGCGCTGTTGCAGATTATCAGGGGCACGCAGGAGGCGCTGCCGAATATGGTGGGGATGCATAAGGTGGAGGATGCGCATGACGGAGACGGCGGCGAGCTGGAGCTGGAGGACCCGGGATCTGAGGAGGCGGACGGGGCGCCCACCCATGACGCAGACGACGGCGATGTATGTTTGTCGAGTGGTTTCTCATCGCCTATTCTCTGACATGGTTGGCCTGCGCAGTACGCAATGACCTGGAAGGCTCACGACGCCGTCGAAGACAACCTCGCCAACGGGCAGCAGCAGCAACAACAACAACAACAGCAGCAGCAGCAGCCCGAGGCAAGCACGTCCACGGCAGTCGTCGATGCCAACCCGCCCCAGGGCCCGCCGATCGCCGGTCCACCAGTGTACGCCTTTCCCCAGGGTGCGCCCTACATGCCCTCTCCCTATGGCCCCTATCACGCATACGTCTACCAGCAACCTGATCTCAACACACCCGGTCCCTCATCGCTCGCGAAACGCGCCGGCGACGCGCTCTCCGCGGAGCCGCCGACCAAGCGCATCCGCCACTGCGTCAAGTGTGGGTCGAAGGACTGCAAGGGCAAGGGCGGGCGCAACTTCTGCACGCACGCATGCCAGGATTGCGGGAAAATGGAGTGCAGGGGGCGGAATAGCAAGCGGCCGGACAAGACGTGCATCGACGCGTGGCCATGACGGGTCTCGGAGAGACAAAGGTTGTTTGCGGCAAATACTAGTTCGATCGAGGGTTATCTCATATCCGTTACTACTCTCTGTGTTACAACGCCTGTATTTGTATACATTTCGCTGTTCCCACTTTTTTTTTTCTTTCATTTTAGTCAAACCTGTACTTTGAGTCAAGGCCGCCTCGTGTTCTCAGCATGGCTTCTTTCCTGCCCCGTATGTCTATTTTGCTCGGTCGCTCTCATTTGACCTACGTCAATCAGTCGGGACCCAATGTCACACTTCGTCGAACACGACGGCCGTTACTCGAGTCCGTCGTTTGTTCATCCTGTGGACGCGACGGACGGAGGACTGCGTCGCTCCGATGCTCGCAGAATGTCCACGCGCCAGAGTCGAAGCGGTAGTTGGCAGCCTCAACCGACCTCGATGCTGGCCGGAGGGACCTACCAGCCCCATCCGCCTCCCGTGGAGGCCATCTCTGGTATACCGACCCCAGCGGCGAACGCCAGGGGGCTCACAGAAGAGGACTACGATGCGGAGTACATGACGGTCGACCCGCCGCCGGTGACGTACCCGGATGAAGGGTACATCTACTCAAACGACACCGACGACGGGCAGAAACCAAAGCAGAAGAGACGTTTCGTGGGCGGGTTCGTGTCCAGCTTGAGGAGGCTGCCCAAGGCCATGGCCCGCAACGTGCTGTACGATCGCAGGCCGTCCCTCCACCGCTCTGCGCCGCATGCGGACATACCCATCGTCCTGGAGCCAGAGGGCGCACCTCCATACGAGACACCCGGCGAGCCCATCACAGGGAACGTTCATTATGTCCAGGCGACAGAGATGCCCATCGAATATCCCGCACCTGCGCAGCCCTCTCATGTCCGCACACCCTCCCACCTGAGCGTCCAGTCGGCCCGCCCACCGTCCCACAACACGCTGCACTCGCACTCGCACCACTCCATCTACCTCCCATCCCACCACTCGTCCGACCATCACAACTCGCGATCTCCGCCGCGCGTCGTCCGCAACCCGGACCCCGACGAGGAGTCGGAAGCAAGCACGACGGAGGAGGGCGCCCCGCGGCCCGATAGGGAGGCCACTCCCCGTCCGGGCACCATGCACAGCCCCGTCCTCGTCGAGCCCAAACCGGGCCCCGACTACGTGGGCATGCCGCCCCCCATCGAGCCGCCGCCCGTTCCCTCGCGCCTTGCGACCGTCCGGCGGTTCCTCCACGAGCTGAGCGCGTTGCCGTGGATGGCCTCCACCATCGCGGTCGACTACATCCCGGCGGAGACCGCGCGCGCTCGGTACCCGCGTCCCGAGGGCGGCCCGGTCTCGTGGTACACGCCCCGACGGCGTCTGAACGTCGACCTGCTCGCGGGCGGCCCCAGCACGCAAGCCTTCGCCGGTGGTTCTGGGCCGGGCCAGCCGCCCGCGCCCGCGCCGATCCACGCATCGAGCGCGACGCTCGCGTATCCGGGCGCGTCTGCCCCCGGCCACGGATCGGCGGAGGGCGCGTACCAGCAGCCTCCCTCCTCTTCGCTTGGACATGGCGGACAGTTCGTCTACTCTGCGGTGCCGGTGCTTTCGCCGCCCCCGCCGCTGTACATGTACCCTGCGCCGTTGCAGGCGATGTCGTCGCAGCCGAGGATCAGTCCTGAAACCCATTCTGAAACTCCACTGGCAGGCGCGAGTCCAGAAACGCAGCACCAGGCATTTCCGATCTATGTATTGGCGATGCCTGTCCCGCCATATATGCGTCCCCCGGACCCGGCGCATTCCTCGCCTCATCTGTACAATCCCATGTACCCTGCTGTTCATCCTTGAATATCTTGCATTTGACGTTTTGGGTTGTATGTATATCTTGTTGTATTTGCATTTAGGATTTTGCTTGGATTTTCCAGTCATCATGGCAATATGATATAACTCATCGTACATGGATATTTTGATACACGATACCGTGGACAATCGATGAATTACGATTTACTTACGATTTGTTTTCTTATCCTACACAATTATATTATTGATGCAGGACCCTGACATATAAGACCTTAAACTTCGATAGAGAATTTAGTTTGAAATATCTTGGCTGCTTTCGCTTTGACATAGGAATCTCACGCTACAGACCTTGTAAAATGCCTGTAGCGATGCTTGCATTTTTTGACCTGATGCTGGTGGTGTTTGGCCGTCGACACTCAGCAGATCCGTCCACTGTCCGTCCACACCAAGAATCGGAGTTTTTTCACAATTTTGCCCTTTTCGTCCGCATTAGGATCAGACCTCATTCAATCTTTTGACCACTTTCCATCCGCATTAGTCCAGGGTCTTGAACTGACGCGTCGCGTCTCCCTTACCTCCTCTACCACTTCCGATTCCATAGACCGCCCCAGCCATGTCTTTGCCATCCAAACCAATTGAATCGAAGGGAGATCAGAAAATGGAAGACACCCAACCACACCTTGGTGTTCTGGAAGAGGATGACGAGTTCGAGGAGTTTCAGGTGCAGGGTATGTCCCTTGAACGCATGTGCCCAGAAGTATCACGCTAATTGTTCTGTTGTGGTCGAATGATAGACTGGGACGATTCTCAAACGGACTTGGCTCATCTAAGCGGGGGTGCACCGGGCGCAGCGAAATCGGGCGGTGACAAGCTGTGGGAGGATAACTGGGATGACGATGATATTGAGGACGAGTTCAGTGTGCAGCTGAGGTGCGTGTCGGGATTTCAATCCCTCTATATCTCAGAACCTGATCTTGTCGCCCCATCCAGAAACGAGCTGGTTAAAACGGGAAAGACGACCGAGCCGCAGCCGATGCAGCACTAGATCGCTACTACACGTTGTGTGCTGCGAACCCTCGATTTGTTGCTGCATTCGTGTTGTAATATGTGTAATCCTATTCCCTTCTGATACTTGTTTTTGAACCTTTTCGCGTTTTTGAAGATGAGTGTTGTCGAGAGGATCTGTCGAAAGCTAAATTGCGACCTTTCGTGCAGGAACATTGCGCTCTGCGTTTTGGTGTGTTCCTTTTGGTGCGGCTCTCCCACTGGCCTCTTTGTTGCCCTCTGAAGCTTCTTAAGTACCCCTAGGCTCACTCCGAAATCATGCAAATTTGGAATATCATGCCCAATACCGCCATTCGCGACGCAAAGAAGGGCCGCACGCGCAGTCAACGAATTGCTTTGTGTTCACATTCGCTAGATCGAAGAGCAGATCCAGGGAGGCTACTTTCTGCATTCACGTTGTGCGTGCGATGGGGCCCCAACCAGAATCAGTGAACCCGGATTGGCCCGCCCATGCGCGCCTTGAAAATGACTACGTTTTCATCTACCAGGCCATGAACCCGACTTTTATAGTGATGAGTTCTCCAACATCTCTCTCACTCATTTCAGCAACGCGTACAGATAGTTTCACGGATGGGTCAGCAGTCCGACAATCAGGTTAGAGGCAGAGAGTAGGAGCGCACCCATCAAAGGTCATAGCTTGGCTTCGGGTAAAGCGTGGCCTCTATGCCTTGACTAATATATCAGTCTGTCGCCTACAAATCGACTAGAGCTATCCAGTGCATGGAATATGGCTGTCTTGCAAAACTCTACACCGAGGGTCGGTCAAATCCAAAGGCTATGGGACCCTGCCCGCAGAAACCGACATTACTTGGCGCCGAGGTGTAGTTTCAACTTTCCTGTAGTGAAATAATGAAATTGACTCTACTCAAGATCTCAGACACTTCCGCTCATCATAATTGTACGCGTCTGTAAAAAGGATGTAAACCTCACGACTTCGTGTGAGCGGGCTCTTTCCGCGCCCGCCACCGAGATTGCGTTTATATCCCTCTCAAGAAGGATCTACAAAGGAGGAGCTAGACCCCCTTGTCGCTAGAGGCGGAGCTGGCCAAGGCTCCAGGAAGCCACGGTAGCTCATGGGGTTGGTCCGTCGAAAAGGAGGGTGTATATGTAGGAGTCGTGGGCTGGGATAGCGTCGCCGTTGGTTCAGTCAGATCTATGGCGATTGCAAAAACTGATATGCATTGCCTGACTGGCATAGGCACACATCGATGCTGTGAAGGCTGCTCCGCTCGATACGGTCATCCAGCAAATCAAGAAGGTCGCTGACGTTGCACTCAAACATGTGCACCTCACGAAGTTCAAGAATCAGGACTGATGTCCCAGTCAACGCTGATGAGCCAGGGGTTCCGGGTACCAACAGGGGATAGCTGTACGATCAGGAATTGCTTGGAATGTTTCTCAATGAAACCATAACAACTCGTAGCGGAGTGCCATAGGCCACTGCAAAATTAAACACGGATCGTGACGTGCTCAATGGCGGGAGGGTAAGAAGCATAGGCCTCGTCGCACACCATTATGCCTCCTGGTAGCCATCCGCAAGAACGAGAGTCGATCAATAATGGCCAAGCTTCTGACCGCCTATAGTGACGCAATCCTATGTAATGCCTACCTTCGCGCTGTCTCGACGAATTCTCAGAGAAGGGTATCGGGATACGGAGTTGTTCATGCCCTATCGCGTTTGGCTGACTACAGAAGCCTCTTACTGTTACAGCTTCTCATCCGCGGGCAAGGAACGATGGACATCCGGTAATCAGACGCCCGAACATGGTCCTCGCCTTCTTCTGTCCGAACGATATCCATGCGCTTCCTCAAACATACCGAGGAAATGACAGCATCGAGCGGTGCACCCAGAATCAGGTAGAGGCCTTCCGATTCAAGGAGATCAGGATCAGCGGGCAGCCCACCACCACGCTCATGCGCTTTCATCTGACGTGTTCTGTCCTTGACGGCATGCGCTCTATAGCGGTACGAGTGCATCGGATTTACGCAGAACCCAGACAGGCGCGTTGATCAATCCCCGAGCCTCGGGCTGGCAATAACCAACTACGAAACCTTGATCTCATCATCCACGCTTCTGCGAACTCTCTGCATCGTGGCAGCATCCCTTCACCTCAGAAAAGCTGTGGCACCTTCCCAAACGAGCAAATCGCATGTCAAGACAGTGGTCCTCTGCTATCTCCCATACCCCGAAAGTATCGTTAACCGGGGATCCGAGTCCAGACACCATATCGCCTCCGTATCATATGCAGCCACAGAACCTTGATCCACCACCTCTTCCTCTGGCGACCCTGCAGACTCCCACACGCCGACCGGGCCATCAGCTGCACCTAAACCCACCTCGAATGCCTCTCATCGACATCATCTTCCCGAAACCCATCACGGCACGCTCGAACAAGCATATCGCCCTCCGACCGCAGCGACACACTCTCAAACGCAATCGTCCATCTCGACGCTCCAATCAAGCACGCACGAACCCTATCTCTCCGAGTCCCGTCGTCTTCGCGAGTTTTCCTTTCCCCTCGCCCGTCCACTCGCTATCTCGGCCCTCGCCTCGCGCATCGAGCACCCAGGCCGCGCCCACACGCGGACCCCGCACGAAGCCAAAGCCCGGAGGATTCGACGCCGCGGGTGCCCGTGCCTCCCGTGCCTCCCTGATCCCCGATCGCGAGCCGCAGGCCCGCCAGCGTGCCTGCGCGTGTCCCCAGAGTGCTTCCGCAGTGCGTCATGCCATGCTCACCGGGGCTCGCGGCATGCGCACTCGGAACGCAGGCGTGCAATGACGCGCGCGCGCGATCGGCGCGGCGACAGCGGCCACCGTCTGTCGTCTGCACGTCGAGGTGCGCTTGGGTATGTGACGAGAGGAGACGGGCGCGCGGGGGTTCCTCGAGCGACGCTCCGCGGGACGCAACCCCCCTGCCCAGGGCCCGCTGAGATCACCGTTGCCCGCATCCCACGAACGGACGGGGTCCCTCGCGCGCGATTCGCAGGCTCGAGCTTCGACGCTTCAACGCTCCGAGCTTCAACCCTCAAACGCAGAGCTTGTCATTTGCGATCTGCCTCAAGGCTCATACGCAGCCGCCAGAAGACACCCGGGCGCGGACCCAGACCCAGAACCCAGAACCCAGAACCCAGAAACCCAGAACCACAGAGCCCCCGCACGCCTTCCAGCAGCCAGCCAGCCAGCCAGCCAGCGCCATCTGTACAGACGCCCCCCGCGAGCCTCCTCCGGAGTTCACGCGCGTGCGCCGACGCTACGATTGGCCCCGCCGAGTCTATCGAGCGCGCGCTCCACAGCCCGTCCCAGCTCGTCCCAGCCCGTATCGCACCCCCTCCAAGCTCGCGCTCGGCTTCCGACGGGTCCGATCCAAAGCCCAGCCTGGCCCCGCGAGAAACTGCGTCGCGTCGCGTCGCTCGCAGCTCGCTCTTCCTGCACTTCCACTTCCAACCCCCTCTTCCCATCCCCCAGCAAGCCCCCGCGCGCTCCCCACGCGCGGCCCACGAACCCCCGCCATGCAGCGCCGCGCCGCCCACGAACCCCCGCCACGCAGCGCGCGCTCCCGACTGCACCGCACGCGGACCCACGCGCCCTGGCCGCTCCGATTGGACACGGAAGCCGCACACGCGGGGACAGCGTGTCCCCGCCCTCGTCCGCGTCCTCGTCCCGGCTCTTCCTCGGTTCGCGACCCCCGATCCTCTCCCGCCCGCGCCCCCTGATCCCAGCCTGGACCCCTCCCTCCATTCCATCCTCGATCCCGTGCCCTAGTGCGTCTCCAGCGTCCCTTAGCTTACTCATAGCTCCCGCGCGGCGGCGATGCGTGCGATCGGTTAATCATGCACTCGCACTCGCACACGTACATATATTTTTTATCATTGTTGATACACGACGGCGCTCGCTACTCTGTCGTACCATACCGTACCGTACCGTCGCAAATACCATATAGCATGGGTGCCGCATCCCCCTGCACACTGCACACTGCATAACCGACCGACCGACCGACCGACCGACCGACCGATCGCGCCCGATGTCGTTTCCGCGCGGCCGAGTCGCCCTGAGCAAAGTCGCCCGGACTGAGGTCTGAGCTGGAGGGTGGGAGGCCGTCGACGGGCGGTGCGCGCGTGATGTGCGCGAGTTGGGTGTGGGTCGCTGTGGTGGGTGTAGGTCGCTGTGGTGGATGGACGGAGCGGGGCGGGGTGGCTGGGTGGCTGGGTGACTGGGTGACTGGGTCGCTGTGGTGGGTGTGGGAGAGGGCGGCGCGGGTGGAGGACGTGGGGGAGGGGAGAGGGAGGCCTGGGAGGGCTCTCTCTCGCACGCGTGCGCACGCGCGCGATCGGGAGGGCCTCGAGCGCGCCAAGATCGTCGATGGAACGACGCTGACGACGATTACAGTGCGCACGGCGCGGCGCGGCGCGCGGACAGCACGCACCTATGACCGAACGAACGAACGAACGCGCGCTTCCTCGGTTCTCCTTCTCGCCCTTCTCGATTCATAATCGCGCACGCCTCGGGAAGCTACGCAGGGTCTTCTGGGCGTCATGCAGCGTTAGCGGAGGGCGCCGATCGGGGAGTGCGCGCGTGGGGTGGGGGAGTGCGGCCGCGCCTGACGGGGGCGCAACGAGGAATGACGAGCGAGCGACGAACGATGAACGGTGCGCACGAGGCGTGTCCGGGGTGGCCGATCGAAGGGGCGGTGCTGGAGGATGGGCGCGGTGAGATGAAGACGGAGATGAATGGAAGTCGAGGGTGGAAGGTGCGAGGACGTCGGATGTCGGGAGGGAGCAGGGGAGCAGGGGGCGCGCGCGAGGGCGAGGACGAGGAGGTGGATGACGAACGGTGTGGGCGCGGGGTCGTACGTGTAGCACACAGGGGGTCGCACATGACGGACTGCGCGCACGAGGCGTGGTCGCGGGTTCGATGCGATGGGATGGATGCGATGGATGGGATGGAACGCTGGGAGGCGGATGCGCAGGCGGATGCGCTGGTGCGATGGAAGGGCCGGATCTGATCTGTGGGGACCGGCGTGCGTCATCGGGACACAACGTCATCGCCCGCCGGCAGCCGTGGCCAGCCCGGCGGGTCCACGCGCGCTGACAAGTATTTACACCCAGCAGTCCGCTTGCGAGCCCCACTGCAGCTCCCACATCCTAGCCACCGCCGACCCCATGCAGCAGCGCCACCTCCTCTCCATCGACCAAAGCGTGAGTCCCCGCCGCGAGTCCCCCAGGCGTCGCGCTGACGATCCCCCCCCGCAGGCCCGCATCCACGCCCCCGCGCCCCGCCGTCCCCCCGCGGGCCCGCTCTCCACACACCCCGCACCCGTCCCCCTCCGCCCGCCCTCCCCCACGCTCCCCGGCACGCCCTTCTCCGCCTCGCCCTCCTCGCGCTTCGAGTACCCCTTCCCCTCCCCCGTCTCCACCTCCGCCAGCTTCTCCTCCTCCACCTCTGCCTCCACCTCCACCTCCGCCTCCGCCGCCGCGTCCCCGCTCTCGCCCTACGCGCCCGCCCACCCCCACCCCCACACGCCGCACACACCCGCGTCCGCGCCCGACCACGCCTTCCCCCTCCTCGGCTCCGCATCCCTCCTCCCGTCCCTCACCGCCCTCCCACCCCTCTCCCTCTCAATCCCCCCCTTCCCCTCGCTCTCCCTCGCCCCCCACTCCCACTCCCACGCCCACGCCCACGCTCACGCCCACGCCCACGCCCAATACCCCTCCCCGCCCCAGTCCCAAAATTACCCCTACGCCCAGCAGCCGCACGCCTACTACCACTCCACCGCCAATGCCACCCCCGTCTCCGCATCCTCCACCGCCACCGCCGCGGCCACTCCGAACCCCCACCGCGCGGCCGCAGCCTCCGCCCGCGACCCCCCCGTGCCCCCCGCCCTGAGCGCACGCAGGCGCCGCGGCCGCGCCGCCACCATCGCCGAGGGGCGCGACCCCCGCGGGCCTGGGGGCGGTGCGTCGCACAGGGCGCGCGGGCGCAGCGCGAGCGGCGCGGGCGACGAGGAGGACGAGAGGGAGCGCGAGCGCGAGGGTTGAGCGCGCGCGCGCGTGTGCTGCCGGTGCTGCCGGTGCTGTTTTCCCCTTTCTCTTTGGGTCTTCGCGGCGCTCGTTGGGTACTTTTCGCTTTTCTTTTTTTTTCTGGGGTTTTATGGTGCGAACGCTCTCCTTGCTTCCCTGGTTCCTTGCTCGCCCCTGTCTTGCTGGGTCTTGTTATGATATGACGCGACGCGACGCGATGCAGCGCGATACGATACGATACGATACGACGCATACGCGTGCTACTTGCGCGCGGATTAAATTAAAACAAGCTTGTGTGGTACGAGTGGCGCGAATGCGATATCTACCGCGTGAGCTGTGGCGCGCGTCGGACGGGCGATCCCTGATGAGATTTACGCGACGCGACGCGGCGCGTGGCCGGTCGTCGCGTCGATGAGGTTCTGCAGCTGAGGGCGATTTTATGGCCTGCACAGCCACCCGTGAATGGGATTAGCTAGCGATTGATTGATAGCGCCGCGGCGGCGGCGGCGGCGGCCGCGTGGGAGTGACGTCATGCGTGGGGAGTGAGCACTACGACCACCACCTTGTTCGGCGGCGGTTGCGCATGCTTGGACCACGCACCTTGTTCACTTACCACCACCACCACTACCACCAGCACCAGCACCAGCACCTCACATCCCCCCAAGCTCATCCCCCCATCCGCTCACCCGCACACCCCCTCACCCCCCCATCCGCACATCCGCACATCCGCGCCGCACGCCATGTCGACGCTCCTCAACAGCGCAGGCCGCCGCCTCTTCGCGCGCCACGTCGCGCAGTACGCGCCCCAGGACCCCATGTACGAGCCGTACACCGACGCGCGCGGGCGCAGCAAGCGCAGGCGCGTGAGTCGTCCCTCGCGAGCCCTCCCGCACGCACGCACGCACTGAGCACTGAGCACTGACCTCGCCGCGCTCGCCCCCGCCCAGCGCGCGCTGCCCCCCGGCCTCTCCCCCGCCGACGCAAAGCTCCTCGCCGCCGTCCAGCGCCGCGCGCACCGCCTCGACCGCGGCTTCTCCCTCTGCGGGCTCCGCTTCGGCTGGACCTTCGTCCTCGGGCTCGTCCCCGGCCTCGGCGACGCCGCCGACGCCGCGCTCGGGTATGTGTTGGTCGTGAGGAAGGCAAGGGGCGCCGGGTGCGTGCTGGTCTCTCTCTCTCGCTCGCTCGCTCGCTCATTGTCTCACTCACTCGCTGTCTCGTTTGTTGTTGCGGTGGTGGCGCTGGTGCCGGCCTTGTCGGTGTGTCGCGCCGCACAGCCTCCCGCCGTGGCTCGTCCAGCGCATGCTCCTCCACCTCGCGCTCGCCACCTCCGCCGGCCTCATCCCGCTCCTCGGCGACGTCCTCCTCGCAGCCTACAAGCCCAACTCGCGCAACGCCGCCCTCCTCGAGGAGTTCCTCCGCCTCCGCGGCGAGAAGAACCTCGCGGACGCCGCAGCGGGCGCGGGCGCGGGCGGCGAGGGGGCGGGCAAGGGCGAGGGCAAGGGCAAGGGCAAGGGAGGAAAGGCGATCGCGGGCGCCGGCGTCGCGGAGAAGGAGAAGGCCGCCGCCGCACCAGGCGCCAAGGCGTCCCCGTCCCCCCCGCCGACCGCCACTGCCACAGGCGCCGGCACCGACGCGCGCCCCGTGCGCTCGAGCGGCAGCGGGCGCAGCGGGCGGTGGGCGTGGCGCCGCGGGAGCAAGAGCGGCAGGAAAGACAACGGCGACGAGAAGGGTCAGCCGGGCGCGGGCGAGGGCGCGGGTGCGCGCGGGAGTCGGTTCGTCGAGGGGGACGTGGTGGGCGGGGAGGAGGAGGCGGGCGGGGGCAAGGCTGCGTGAGGGCCGCTGCGGCTGTGGGCTGGAGTGAAGGTTTGTTTTGCGAGCGGTCTGGGGTTTTTCTTGCTTGCTTGCTGCGATGCTACACACGAGCGCGCCGTCTCCGTAACTTATATTCTGTCCCGATGGTTCTGGTGCCCCGGTCGTCTGTTTTTCATAGCATATACGTCGCTCACGTTCGCATGTGCGCCGAGCTAGGTACATGCGTGCTCTTTCGGTACCTGCGCCCGTGATATTCGCCTCGCGCTGTTCGTTCTGTTCTTGATGTAAACGTGGACTAGGTTCAGCGTCGAGGACACACACACTCACTCACTCACGCTCGCGCGTGCAAATGAGATCAGGAGTCTACCCGCGTCGAGCAGGGCGTGTGCTCTGTATTGCGGCGAGCCAGTAGGTAAGTAAGTGACTAGGAAACGTGGCGTGGGTACTCTACGACTAGCAGCGAGCACGGGCACGGGGCGGGGTACGGTTTGTGCACGGTCGGGCGCCGCGCGGCGGCGCCGAGGACGGCGGTGAGACGAGACGGGGAGTGACGGAGGGAGACGGGGAGACGGGGAGAGGCGAGGCGCAGCGCAGCGCGCGTGGGGTATACAGGGCGGGACTTCTTTGTGTTTGGTATGGGACGGGGGACGAGGAGACAAGAGAGAGAGAGAGAGAGAGAAGAGGAGGAGAGAGGAGGGAAGAGGAAGAGGATACGGAGAGGAGAGGGAATACGGAGGACATAGAGGACGGCATGTACGTCGTTCGTCGGGCGGGGGCGGGGTATGTCACGTTATATACTGCGTGAGGGGGATGGGGATGGGGATGGGGGAGGGTCTAGTTGTCGCCGCTCAGGATGCGGCGGTGCGCGCCCCACGCGTGACGCGCTTGGTGGTCGCCCGTGAGCGGCGCGCTGCGGCGCGCGTTGACCGGCGCGCGGAGGGAGAGGCCGGTCGGGCTTGGCCTGGCGCGGGATCAGCGTCGCATCGCGTCGGGGGTCGCAGATAGCGGAGAGACGCGGACGTACCAGCGCTTGGAGGGCCCGTGTCCGGCGGTGGGCGACGCCGCGCCCGCGTTCTCGAATATGTCGTCCTGCGCGCCGCCGATAAAGTTGTACAGGTCGGTGTAGAGCGGGGGCGAGTACGTGCCCTCGAAGAACTAGCGACCGTATCAGCGAGGACAGGACAGGAGCGGGTGGGAGGAGCGTGCGACGCACGGTGCTGCCCTCGGCCTGGTACCAGTAGAACGGCTGCTTCGCGCCGTACGTGCAGTTGCTTGGCGTCGCTTCGGTGCGGCCGTTGGTGGGGTCGGCGCCGCACCGGCGCGCGAGCTGCGGTGTCGATACGGGCACGACCGACGTCGCGCCGGTGACTTTGCATTTGAAGCCTGTCATGAACACTAGGAAGACAGACAGGCCGTCAGTCGGGCGGCAGACCCACGCCGCGCGTCCGCCACTCACTTTGTTCGGCGCCCGAGTCGGGCTAGGGGCAGCGCACAAACGCCAACGCCAAGCAGTACATCAGCACCGGGCGCACTCTATCCGACGTGCACGCGTCTGCTCACCGTGTGGATCCAGAACCAGGCGCAGGTGCACCCGCCCTCGGGGCACGCGGGCATCGCGGCGGGGACGGCAAAGTCGGTGTGGAGGGACCAGACGCAGGTCTGGTTGACGCTGAAGACGGCAAAGTCTGCGGGCTTGACTTTTTTCGCGTCCGACTCGTAGGCGATCGCGAGCGCGCAGCCGCCGAGGTCGTTGACGCCCGTCGTGTGGAACTGGGAGAGCGGCTGTCCTGGGCAGGGGTAGTCGGGGTTGGAGAGGTCGCGCGCGTCGCCGCTGCGGGATGCGGGCGAGGGTCAGTGGGGGGAGGCTCGGCGGCGGCGCGGCGGCGGAGACGGGGGGACGTACCCGGCGCTGGTGTTGTAGAAGGACGTGGCGCCCTTGTCGCAGGCGATTTCGGTGTGGGCGATGCCGCCGGCCGGGAGGTCGAAAAAGTCGCCGTCGTGCGGAGGCTTATCGAGGAATCCATGCTGTCAGGGAAGCGCGCGTCAGCCGGCCTGTCTGGCTGTCACGGTGCGGCGCGGGTGCGGGCACTCACGAACCACCACTTGTCGAAGGTCTGGTTGATGAGCGGGTCCTGGGGGCGGTTGGGGTAGGTGCTCTCGTTGAAGCCGAAGATGCTCGGGTGGAAGATGCCTAGTTCGCGAAGTAGCGGGTGAGATGAGCCGGTGAGCGCGGAGAGAGGAAAGGAGAGGTGGACGCACTGGCGTGGCCAGCGACGAGGCTGGCGGAGGCGACGAGGGCCGCGATAGTGGGGACGGAGGAGGGGATCATGGTGGGCTTGGGGGATGAGTTTCAAATCGCCAAGCCAAGGGTCGGACCTCTCGAGTTATAAGAGAGTGTGGGGACTAAAGGAGAGACGTGGCGGACGACGACGGAGAAGTGGGGAGGAGGAGGGGGTCGAGAAGAAGGAGAGGGGGAAGGCAAAAAAAGTGGAGCAGATGTCGCGCGTCGGGGGAAAGCTTATAAGGCGCGGTCGGAGCGCGCAGCCATGACGGCCTGAACAGTCCCGGCGCGACGCAATATCGACGGCCATAAATCGCGCTAATTCTGGCCATAAACACACCTCTCCCCCGTCGAATCGCTCGGAATCACCGCCAAAATGTCCCAGCACGCGGGCCGCCCGCTTGTGGTAGTCATGGAAACTCCGACCTAATTGCCTGCGCTCGCCGTCGTGGGTGCGGGCACACGTCTGTGGAGCGCGTCTCCGTGGGGGAACACTTAGCAGACGCGTTGCTGGACGGAGGCGGGCAGGACAGAGCGCTGGTCCAACTTGATCGCTTCTCGTTTTGATCGCCAACACAGGAACGAACACCCAGTTGAAATCATATCAGAGACAACCCTCTCCTCGTCGACAACGGGCCTCCGCTCTGTATCGACAGCACTCGTATCCTGTTTCATCGTACTGAGAATCCCAATCATCATAGATAATCATGTCTAGGTATTCCAGGTGCCCGATACCGCATCGCTTGTATTTATAGAATTAGAATGGCGTGAGTATGACTAAGCATCCCCATAGGCAGGCTTAGACAATGGCCGCCTTTTGTTGCGCGCGACTATAAGGACGGCGAACGGACAGCGCCATGCAGCCCATCTCCACTCTCTATAGACGTTTCGTCTGCGCTGGCCTGCAGCACACACATCTCTTGCCACCCGCCACGACCCGCTCACGCTTTCTTTTTACACTTCTACTCGGTTCTTGACGGTGTCAACTGGCTTGACTAGCGCTTCGTACTGCAACTTCATCGAAATGAAGAAACCCATCGAAATGATTCCTCTTTTCCTCGCTGTGCTGGGCAGCATCGTTCCTCTGGCCTCCGCTCATGCCTGTACGTCGTCGTCGTCTCACCCTCTCTCGATCGTCTTCTGACATCCCACACATCTCAAGCGATCTGGCACCCGAGCATGTACGGCTTCAACGTCACCGACAAGACCTTCCCCTACGACAACCGCCCCGTTGCGCCTCTCATCAACATGAACTTCTCTCAGTGGTGGTTCCACGGCCACCTCGACTTCCCTCCCCACCCCGGCGATGTCTTTGCCCTCCCCGCGGGCAAGAACGTGACCACCGAGATCGGGTGCAACAAGGGCGCCACCTCCTTCTTCGCCTCCTCCGAAGGCGGCGACATCCGGAACGGCGACGACCCCTGCCCCGGGAGCCCGTCCTCCGAATACCACACGACGGGCATCGACGACGTCAAGGGGTGCGCCCTGGCCATCGCGTACAAGGACGACGCGCGCGATGTGCAGCCGGAGGACTTCACCGTGTTCAGCGTGAACCAGACGTGCGTCTGGACCCGCTTCACGGATTTCTCGGTCCCGCAGCGCATGCCACCGTGCCCCGCCGGCGGCTGCACCTGCGCCTGGTTCTGGATACACTCGGTGCGTGCTCTGACCGTCGCCTCCTCATGCCTGGTTCTCATACATCTCATCCCGACAACCCCAGCCCGACAGCGGAGGTGAACAGAGTGCGTACCTGATCGCGCTCTCCTGAGCTCTGTCATCCTGACCCGGAACACCTCTTCACAGACTACATGAATGGCTTCCGCTGCAACATCACCAACTCCGTATCCGATGTCCCCCTCGCGAAGCCCCAGGTCCCACGTCGGTGCGGCGCCGACCCATCGTTCGCCAAATCCCTCCCCGTTCCCGGGAACTGCACCTTTGGCGCCAAACAGCCTTTCTACTGGTTCCAGAATGACACCAACAACGTGAGCTCCTCCGCCCTCCTCCCCTTACCACATCGCACCGACACGCCATCGTTTTCTCCAGATGTTCGAGGGCACGTACGCCCCGCCGTTCTACACCGACCTCTACAACTTCCTCGACGGGCCCCAGGACGACATCTTCGCAGACTCGTACGCCACGCTCCCGCCGCCGAACGCGAACCAGACCCGCCTCCCCGTCCTGCAGAACGTCGTCCCCGGCCAGCGCCTCCCCATCCCGAACGCGTCGCTGCTGCCGTCACTCTCCCTCCCGCCGCTGCTCCCCACGGGCAGCGCCGTCCCGCCTGCGTCTGCGTCTGCGACGTCCTCTCTACAGGCCTCGGAGTCTACGTTTCATTCGACATTGGCAACTTCACAGTCGACGTCGGCGGCGGCGTCGGCTTCTACGAGCGCGCAGGAGACACAGGCCAAGACGCAAACCGTGTTCGTCACCGTATTCGCGAGCCCCGTCCCCAGCTCCGCGGCATCCTCTTCCGCTTCCTTCCTTGCGGCCACTACCATATTCCTCACCCCCGCGCCCGCACGCCCGTCTGCGAGCGCGAGCGCATCTATGTCAATCTCGGCCTCCGGCACCGTCTCGAACAACAGCAGCAGCAACCCTTCGCCCGCGTTCAACGTCTCGGCTCCCGTCCTCGCCGGCGGCCTGGGCCAGCTCCTCGACATCGACGACTCCGTGCCCGGCGACTCGACCGCGAACGGCACCGCATCGGGCGCCGGTGGAGACGCCCTCTCGCGCTCCAAGACTTGGTACCTTCCTTTTTCCCTCCTCCGGAAAGGGTTTCTCACTGAAGCGTTTTTCTTTGGCCACAGTAAACGGGACGTCCGCGCCCTCGAAGCGGGGACGGTGCCCGCGCGCGGGCGGCGCTCGCTGGCTGCGCGCCTCGGGCTGGGCACCTACGAGCGCAAGCGGCGCATGCACCAGCGCGGGCTGGATGGCCTCTGGAGCCTCTGGTGATCCCGGCGCCTCCGTCCGCTTTGTATGATTTTTTTGTTGTTTTGGGCGTGTATCCTTCTTGGGTTTTTTTTACGTCTCTTGATGGGATCTTGTAGCATCTAGTGGTCACTCGGGCGCGTACCGCACGTGTATTACTACTCATTCGGTGTAATGTAGTGTATAACATGACTATGGCAGAGCGAGAGTAGTTGAATGTTTGCAGTGGGAATAGTCAAGGCGTGACTGAGGCTTCTATTCTGACCCTCTATGACATTTCTGTACTAGTATGCTACGTGTGCGATGCTGTGTGAAGACCTGGCACGGCACAAGTGGCCGGTCGCTGGAGGAAAAAAAACAGGCTCATGTCTGATGATCATGAGCTGTAAACTCTGTTGTCTTAGGGATTGTGAGTACGATACAGTACGGTGCAGCGCAGTGGCTATATGGTACCGCTGCGCCAACATGTGTTGACATTCTAAAACAGTCTGCTGGCCGCACATGAAGCGCATTCGCGACAGCAGGTGAGACCGGAACCGGACACGACTTGGAAGATGTGAGCCGGGCGCACTGCTGGCTCAGGCCCCATTCGCAAGCTCGCGCTCGCGCTCGACACGCAATCTGAGGCGTTGGGCCGATGCGGAAGGTCAGGAGCTTCCGAGCGCTCCTGTCGTAGTGCGACGTGCGCTGCGAGGAAGAATTTAGGTCGAGGGCGGTCAGGAGGCGCGGAGGGAGAGGGGCAGGGGGCGGGAGGGGCTCAGGGGTGCGAAGAAGAAAATCGAGAGGGAGATGGAAGGAGGAGGAAGGAAGAGGAAGGACGAAGAAGAGGACGACACGCCGTTCCCGCGTGTGCGTCTTCCGTCCCATTCAGGAAATGCTGGAGTACGCGTGTGTCTGGTCCGCAGGCATATACATGCATGCGTCATCGCAGCCAGCGACGGAAACGGAAACGCGAACGGCAGTGCTTCATGAAGATCGCGTGTCGCGTGCTCGGGCTCGCTCGGAGGCTCTCGGAGATGAGAAGGAGAGAGAGATGGCAAGTAATAGGTGGAGGTGAGCGACACGACTCTATCTGCCGCCGTGCGGTGCAGTTCTCGCGGGGCCAGGCTGGACTCGAAGTCGGAAGCATCGGAGCTCGAGAGAGGTAGGTTTGACGGGCGCTTTACAGAATTGTGGTCAACCAGCCCTGCACCGGCGTCAGATGTGCTTGCGGCAGCGAACACGCGTGAACCCCGGAGGTTCAAAGCTGCGGTCACCCATATACGCGGACGCGCGTGCGTGTAGGCTTGACCCACCCCCTCCCAAAACCCTAGACGTGAGATGGGGCGGCGATCCTGTAAAGAGATTACGCGTGTGCAAAAGTGCACAGACGCGTCTGGCTTATCAGCGCACCGCCGGGGCAGTGGACGTACAGATACGTAGACAAGATGATTCATCCATGCGCAATGTAGGTAGCAGGGCACTCATTGGCTGGAGAACGGGCGTCGAAGACGAAGCGCAGAGGCGGGCTTGGGTCCTGGGTCTGGGTCCGGGCCCCTTCTCGCGGTCGTATTTAGAGATAAGCCTCGAGGCACATCGCAGATGAGCGTGGGGGAGACGAGGTTCTGCGTTTGAGGGTTGAAGCGTTCAAGCTCGAGCCTGCGAATCCCAAGCGAAGGACCTTGTCCGTTCGTAGGATGCAGTCGGAGGTGCTATGAGCGGAGCGTCGCTCGAGGAACCCCCGCGCGCCCGTCTCATCCGTCGCCTCCCATGTCCCGCAATGCGACCTCGACTCGCGCGCTCTCCCGTCGACAAGATGCGCAGATGCAAACACAGGCGACAGATAGTGGCTGTCACGCGCCTCCGTACCGCCGATCGCCCTCGCGCGTCATCGCACGCCCGCATTCCGCGTTGGGGGGCAGATGCTCATGCCACGAGCCCCGATGAGCATGGCATGACGCACTACGGAAGCACTCTGGGAACATGCGCAGGCACGCCGGGGGGACTGCAGCTCGCGATCAGGGATCAGGGAGGCACGGGCACCCGCGGCGTCGAATCCTCGGGGTTTTGGCTTCTTGTGGGGTCCGTGTGTGGGCGCGGCCTGGGTGCTCGATTCGCGAGGCGAGGGCTGAGATAGCGAGTGGACGGGCAAGGGGAGAGTGGGCATCGAAGGGGAAGACGAGCTTTTTCTCCGGGTGAAGGAGATAGCGCTAAGATGGAGTTCGTGCATGCTGCCGGCGAGGGCTGAGATAGACGATTGCGTTTAAGAGATTGTCGCTGCGGTTGGAAAGAGAGATGCTTATTTGAGCGTGCCGTGATGATTTTCGGGAAGATGATGTCGATGAGAGGCGTTCGAGGTGGGTTTAGGTGCAGCTGACGGCCCGGTCGGCGTGAGGGAGTATGCAGGGTCGCCAGAGGAAGAGGTGGTGGATCGGGGTCCTGTAGTTACATATGATATGGAGGCAGTATGGTGTCTGGACTCAGATCCCCGGTTGACGACACTCACGGGTATGGGTGATAGCAGAGAGAAGGTTCAGGATAATTGTCTTGACATGCGATATGCTCGTTTGGGAAGAGAAGCTTGGGCAATGCCATAGACAAAGCGTGTCCTCGAAATAAAGCCTCCGAGAGGACCATGAAGAGATTCGCAAAGCTGCAAGACGCCTCGCTTCCTTCAACAGGATTGGGATATGGAGGTTATGGATGAGCTGGCCGAACTGGTTTTTTGGGATCAAGATGAGCAGAAGATTATGATGATGTGGTTCGCCTCAGTGGATGGGATATGGATTCAGATACGTATGCAGAGTGCTTGAGGAGATCCTGAGTCCTGATGCACGCTTTTTCGACTCGTGGTATACGTGACTATCATCACATGGCGTGACTTGACGCGCTTGAGCAGCGGCCGCAATCTGATTACTTCGTCGCGGCGTCGTCCACTCATAGGTAAGTAGACGATTTAGTCGAGATCTATTCGTGCGCCCTCTCCTCTTGAAGATAAAAACTGACTAGGCCAAGAAGGAAAATCGAAGTGCGTGCACTTCGTAGAGCTTTTTAGGCTGCGAGCTTCCGTTCAACATTCAACCTATAGAAAGAAGAAATCGAGAAAGCGGCAGCCACGCGCCAGAGAGCCCATGAACATCCAAAGCATCACAGATGCCACGCTTGCCATCGTTTCATCCCTCACTCCCCTTCAATATGACCGGCTTCTCTGGGACATTGAACACTTAGTCTTTCGATGTGTCTCACTTCCAACTTGAACAGGCCGTCTCTTAGCTGGAAGAGGCTATCGCGCTCATCATCCTCCTTCCGAAATACTGCCAAGGGCCATCTTGTGGTCATTTCTATCACTCTCGTAGAGGCAGACACCCTGCAGAGTACCTCTTCATGGTATCCCAGCACAAGTGCCCTACCACAAGCGCAGCAAGCTGCATCAATCCATCCCCGGCACGTTCGAACCATTCATTAATCTCGACACAATAGTCAATACGCAAGCATGAATTCACACTGTCGAGGCTGCTCTTCCGTCTTCGTCACATGCTCGAGAGCGAAGTCTCGGAAAACTCCCCAAGTCGGGCGAACCTGTTAAGAGGTGATTTCCGAAACATGACGGGCAAGCTTGCGTTCAACGTCGCCCCTCAGATGAGCCCTTTTTGACTCAAAAAAGGTTTGGACATACAGGGGGCTTGGTCGTCCCCCAGCTTCTATCTATGGCGATGATTGGGCCTCCGCTGCCTAAGTTGGTGGACTGTAGCTTGGTCCATCCAATTAAGCCTCACCTTGCTATCATCCTACGAGATCTCTATGGAGCAGCATCGATTTGATGGGGACCCCGCTTTTCTTGTCGCAGTCCCGCTTTTCTGGGTTTCCCTGCAGTCCCGCCATCGTGGATTACAACCCTCCTATCTGCCCTCTTTCCATCGCTCTCCGGTTCAACCCTAGTTCTTTTTGGGCCGATTAGGCCGGAATCTTGTACGAGGGTCTTGTGGGGCGCCATCTCGATGGCATAATAATCTTCAGCCATACGAATGCTCTACAGTCCCAGCTTCACGGGATGAATGTGACGCAGGTGAAATAGCCAATACGGCGCTGCTGGGGCATTGCGATGTCAATATTGTCTTCCTGACGGAAATTGACCGCACAGTCAAGAAGTGTCAAAACTCGGTAGCGTCGTCGGTAACGACTCAAATTTTCCCCTTGAACGAGCAGCTCGCAGGCGACCCTCTATCCGATGAGGGACAAGGTGTTACGAAGCCCAGGGCGGAATTGGATTTGGACGTTAAGGTGTGATGAATATATACTCTTGGATGTACTTATCTGCTGTCCTCACCGATACGAAGGTTTTTCTAGTTTCGAATAGCGACTTCGCGCTAAATGTATGCAAGTCTGTACCTTGGGAGTTTGAATACAATGACGATTTTCCGGCGATAGAGTCGATCAAGAACCAGAGATGGATCCACTTGGCACTGGCTCATAATTGCTCTCAGATCACACAGTCTGGAAGAGTCTGGAGCGCTGAAGTTTGAGTCTCAGCGCCTTTAAATGCCGGCCAGCCGCTGCTTACGGCATGCTCCCTTCGGCCATGCTTCTTTGCCCGAATCTGCTGATGCAGGTGTTGAATATCCCTTCCTTCGGCAGGAGATGGGGCCGGAAATATCGATCCATACCCGGGGTTGATTCTTGCTCAATACCGTCAAATTCGTCTCCTTGACTTGCCACTACCACCCTCCGCTGTACCAGAGGCGATCCAGTCGACGGCCACCGAATGGCTTTGCAATCGGCTGAGGGGAGGATCCACCTCGTAACTTTTGTCAGGGATGATCCAGAAGATCCAGTCAACTGGCCGAAGTGGAAGAAAGTCAGTGTGGTCATGATGTTATGCGTCCTGGCTTTTTGCTCGTGAGTCACATACCGATCGGTCCGATACTCATCTCTGCAGTAGCTGATGTTCAACTAGGGTCTTTGGTTCGTCTTCCTACGTACGTGAGGAACCGTGTCGTGATGTTGCTTGGATGAATGAATTTTCTATCTCACCAGGCTCCCGGGCAGCAACAGCTTGAACGGTTGTATGGTATCAACGAAATCGCCGCGAGCTCAGGACTGACCCTCTACGTCCTTGGCTTTGCTTTTGGGCCACTCATATGTCAGATCCTTCTCTTGCTCATTGCGAGTCCCGAATTGCTGATCAGACGTCATGTTTGACACAGGGGGTACGGCCGGTAATAGTATGCAGATTGTTCAATTTCTAACTCTTAATCACCGCAGGTCCCATGTCTGAGATGTACGGTCGCAAGGTTGCATATATGCTCTCATGGCCATTGATGATTGGTGAGCGATCATGTGTTTTCCACTCCAAATTCATAGATGCCTGATTTGTGCTATGTTCAAAGGCGCTGTAGCCCCTTCAGCCTTTGCCAGCAACATCGTTGTAATTCTTTTATGTGAGTCTATGCCTATGGGCGATCAATGGTAGTCTTCAAGTCCCTTTTAGTCCGTTTTCTAACAGGCGCATGCGCTGCCTGCGCCCTCAATAAGTAAGTGAGACAGCTTTATAAGTGCGTTCTGCATGATTGCCTGACATATGGATGTAGTGGTAGCGGTGTCATTACGGAGTATGCCTTGTTTGTATGCATGATGTTCTTGTTCAAGCATTGAGCAAAACTTTGATTTAGTATGTATCACAACGACATTCGGGCACAAAGTCGAGGTACGTGGTTCTTATCTGTGGAAATTCGGTAATAGCCCCTTGACCATTCAAATATTTTATGCGATAGCCATCGCCTGGTAGTAAGTCTCGACCAATCTGAGTATAATGGTGATTGTTATTCACACATCGTTGCCGCAAGCTCGTTCTGCCCCCTCTCGGGACCATGTTTTGGTTCTCTCGTTGGATTTTTTGTTGCAGCTACTACAAACAGCGGGTAAATTTTTCTTAACACTGAATTCTCAGTATATAATACTCACACAACACAGATCAGGTTTATGGGTTGTCCGTGTCCATTTTTTCTTCGCAATCGCCTGCTGGCCACTCGTCTTTCTTCTCCCTGAAACACATGGACCGTCTATCCTCTCTAAGCGCGCCAAGAAACTGCGTGCAGAAGGAAATGAGAATGCGCGTGCAGCCCACGAAATTCATAAAGAATCAAGGAAGCAAATTCTACAAAAACACATATTGCGGCCAACGCGTATGTGTTTTAGGAAAGCATGAGTGTTATACCTGTTGACTCAGAATTAACAGAGATGCTTTTGTACGAACCTATAAATCAAGGGGCGGCTATATGGATTTCATTAGCCTACGGCATCGTGTAGTGAGCATGAATGTGGCAAGTCATCCGCGGAGATCTGACGAAATTTTTTTCACTCGTCTAGCTTTTTCTTCGAAGCCTACCCTGTGGTCTTTATTGCACAGGTATCCGTACATTTTGTATCACTATGAAACCCTTTTTTGACAAGTCTTTTGCTTCTAGCATGACATTCCGTTCCGACTGTGTGGTTTGCTTTTCCTCCCTATTCCAATCGGACAGTTCCTTGTTGTAGCGCCGTACGAACGGATAACTCGTTTCTTCTCTCAGCTGCCGCTTCCAGGAATCGAAAAGAAGGGCGTTACACCTCAGCCGGCGGAAGCGCGACTCAAAGTGGTACTCTCTGCTTGGTGAAGAATTCTGTTTTTGTAAACCGTCCGTACAGCTTACCACAATGGCGACAGTTTACTCTTGCCCGTGTCTCTCTTCTGGTTTGCCTGGTAATGCACAATTTCGCAAGCAACCATTCTCATTTTGACGGTTTGTGATGTAGGACAAGCGGCCCAGAGACGCACTGGGTTGCACCTGCCCTTGCAGGGATTGCGTTCGGATATTCCATGATGGCTATCTTCATGTGTTTCCTCGCATAGTATGCCTGAGTTTCCCTTACTGCGTTCTATCAAGCCTGATGTCTGCATTCAGCGTCTCACAGACTTACACAGTGTATGCGTCAAGCGCTTCCGCTTGCAACGTTTTCGTCCGTTCCATTATTGCGTCCGCTTTTCCGGTATTTGCAAACAGCCTGTTGAGCTCGGTGGGGACTAAATGGGGCCGTGAGTCGAGGAATTCTTCATACCGGCTCAAGATGCTGATCGCTTTCCCCACCTCCCCCAGTCTCTCTGTTTGGCTTTCTGTCTCTAGGTCTCATCCCCATCCCCCTCTTTTTCATCCGTTATGGCGAAAAGCTCCGTGAGCGCTCTAAATTTGCACAGGAGGCGCGTAAGATTCTAGAGCAAATGAGGGAAGGACAGGAAGGGACCTCAGAGAAGACGCAGGTGGAATCAGATGCTGTAGAATTGGAGTCTGAAGCAGCAAAAGGAGCGAAGATAGAGCAAAGGGAGGTGAACAGCTCACTAGAGGCCGTATGATGGCCACACCGCATACCGTACATTACTTTATACCATTGGCCGTGATGGTTCACTGATACACAGGACGACTGTGTTCTGTGTAAGGGGAGACTTAGGCTTGAAATTTGAATTGACAATCCAAGCAGCTACGCCGCCACTATGCCGCCACAAGGCACGTGACCAGCTAGGGACGGACTGGTTTTATGTCAACAGTTGAGACCCGCCCGCCTTGACTCCTTCTACACCCACTCCGTTCTGTAGCCGTCCTCTCAAAACTTTGCGAACCTGTATCTATACTTCTCTTGTGAGAGCATCTCTCATCCTTTCTCTGGCTGACTGCGGAGCGACGCTTGCTCGGGAGACCTGTATCTGACCGGTTGTCGTCTTGTTGCCTCTGTACTGGATTATCGTCTTGTCATTCGCTACAGACATCCTGTCATCTCCCACACTCTTCCAAAACAAAAGAATTCTTGACTTCTCTCTCCACCATCTGACCCCCGTCTAAGTCAATCGAAAATATGGCTGATGATGACTTTGACCTCTATGGAGAAGACGACGGGTTCCAGAACGTGTCAATCGAACCTCAGGTATGTGGCCCTTTTTGAGTAGGAGGAGCTCTTACTGATGGAATTATGTGTGGGCCCTTGCGTCAGTCCGCCACGGAAGAGCCAGCCCGGGAGGATGTGAAGATAGAGGACCCTGATCTGAACCATGTGGCCGCGCCCATCATTGGTGAGAAGAGACCTCGAGAAGAAGATGATCATGAACCCCAAGAAGCTGCACAAGCTATTCCCACTGTTCCTGACTCAAACCCAATGGCATCCGGTAGCGCGAACGGGAACAGGAACTACACGATGGGAGGAGGGAACCAAGTGAAAGTAGAGATGGGGCAGCCAGGCAATGATGCCTTATATATCGGAGATTTGCAATGGGTCCGTTCATCTTGTCGTCGGACTTGCCATGTACCATCTTCTGAGATGTTGCCTGTATCTTCTTTGTTTACAGTGGACCACTGACGAGGATCTCCGCCAAGTCGCGCTGAACGTCGGTGTCACGGTAGATCACAAAGATATCACCTTTTCAGAGCATAAGGTGAATGGAAAGAGCAAAGGGTAAATATCTTTCACATCATACATGCGTATATGCTGTTTATAGACGCATATAGCATCGCTTATGTGGAATGCGGCGGTTATGACAACGCCCTCGCGCTCAAGAACTGGTTTGACAATAAGTATGTTGTACTTGCCGTGCTCCTTGTCAGGTTCAGTGATAGATGATTGCCACAGTGATTTTCAAAACCGCAAGGCCAATGTGAACTTCACGAGTTCGATGCAGGGTAACCCCTTTAGGACCCTTCCAAAAGGTGAATTTTGATGAAAGTATATCTATCTTTCATCTGAGTTGATCTATGCAGAGCCTCCACCTCGCGAGAATCGCATACAAGGTGGTCAACCGATCCCCAGTACTGGAGGCAGCGTTGGCCCGGCGGGTCGTGGTGGAGCCAACTTCCGTGGTGGCATGGGCAACAGCCAGATTGGTATGCAAAATATGGGAGGGATGAACATGCGCGGTGGTGGTATGATGGGTGGTGGCATGATGCGCGGTATGCCTGCGATGATGGGTGGCATGGGTGGCATGGGCATGAATATGGGAGCTGGTGGGTTCAACAATATGGGAGCTGGGTTCACGGGTGGTGGACGCGGCGGTATGATTCCGCAGGGCCCGCGAGGTGGTATGATGGGCAATGGATTTCGAGGAAATATGATGGGCGGCATGGGTACGGGTTTCTAGTCTCTGTAACCTGTGTATCTGGATGTGTACGCTTACTGTGTCCGTTTGTACATGTAGGTGGGATGGGTATGATGGGTGGAATGGGTCGGGGCGGGTTCAATAATGTCCAGGGGCATTTTAACCCGGCCTTCATACAAGGTGCCCAAGGCGGTGGACAATTTGGGCCTGACGGTCCTAGAAAGAGGTATAGGATGGAGGATAGTGGCTAAATTATGTTTATACAGGCAATATTTTGCTGTTCTTCGCCGTCCACTACGGTCGTTGAATCATCCGCTTTCGATTTCGCTTTTTATATACGCTTGCCTGCAGAGCTTTTCGTCCACATTAGCGTTTCTCCGGATGGATTCGCATCTGTAGTCACCTTTCAAGAGTTCTGCTTTGTATAATTACAGCTGTGCATGAAAAAGTATTCCTATTCTACATAGTGCGATGGTCGCATTCTAGATGCGTTGCTAACGACAAGAGATGCGATGGTGGGATATAAGGATGCGAGAAGAAAGGGTGAACGTAAATAACCAAGGGTATGCATGACATCTACATGTCATGCTCAATACCCGTCCAAAGCCAAGCATAAGCTACACAAGTCCATGATCGACATACAAAAAACCTTATACCATATCTAGAGTCCTCCATAAGTCCGTCACAACAAGCAGGTATGAGTGTCGCTAATTAGAGCGCTCACGCTCTCTCTTGCGTCGCCGTTTCTCTTCCTCACGTCGTTTTTCCTCCATCTCCGCTTCTACGTCTTCCTTCCGAGCAAGACGAGCACTGCAAAAAAGTTCAATGAAATTAAGGTCACGGCATAGAAACGCTGTCCGACCGACCTTCTCATTTCCTCCTTTTCTAAGTCATGGGCATCCGCTTCCATGTCTTCGTCGTCACTGAAGACGTCGCGCCGCATATAATCGTCCTTATCCTTTCCAAAGAGTTTCCAAATCTGGCTGGAGATATCGTCCATCGGCTTGGAGCGCTTTGGAGGTGGCGGCGAGTCAGAGAGGGAGGGAGACCGCTGTCGTCGTTTGGTAACAGGCTGCGAGCTTCTAGAAGCCAGCTTGGAAGTTGAGGGAATCTTGGATAAACTCGCCGACGGTTTGAGAGTGCCCATGGCAGAAGGCCTGTTATCAGCCTTTGAAGTGGTACTGGCTTTCGGATGTCGAGGCAAAGGTGCTGACTTGAGCGCAGAAGATGGGTTGGCTTTGGAGGATGAGGCAGGTATAGGTTTGACGACAGAAGCTGGGCTTTTCTTTGGCATTATAGAGGGTGCTGGATTTGGTGCGATAGAGGTGGATGGTTTTCCAGGTATCGTACTAGCAGAGGGCGTGCTCATCCTGGAAACGGGTGTGGGCGTTAGCTTCTCCGACGCCTTAGGCTTGGACCCGAACCAGTCGTGGAACTCTCGCGCCTCCTCGCCCTCTAGAAGTTTGGATTCGCGAAGCTTCTGCCGATCTCGCACAATTTCGTCAATCGTACGAGTATCGCGTTTGACGACATTGAGTTTCGTCAGGGTGTTGGGCATGGCCGCGAGGCGGGCTCGGACAGAGACTGAGCCATCCGAAGAGGAGACGGGTGGTGGCGTGGACGAGTTTGTGGTTATGTCGATGGCCCCACCAGGCAACCGTCTGCCTGCCTTGGTATAGCCAGAACTAGTCGTCAAGCGTTTGCGTGAAGGGTCTCGCGTGAATTCGGCCTCGAGCCTGCGCTTGCGCTTCTCCTCGCGCGTGAGAGCTGTACTGCCCGAGTCGTCGCCATCATCCGAGGGTAGCCTGCGTCTGCGCACATCGTCCTTATTAGAAGAAGAAGAGGCGGGCCACCGTGGACCACCGTCCTTTCCTTTCTTTGGCCCGTGAAGGAGCGCCTGGCGCTGTTTCTCCTCCCGACGCTGTATCTCTCGCTGCTTCGCTAATTGTTCCTGATCTCGCTTCTCCTGCCTTTCATGTTCTTTCTTTTCCTGCTCCAAGCGCTGCATACGTATCTTTGCTTGTATCTCTCGCTCCTTTGACTCCCGCTCATCCTGCTGCTTTCTCCGTATTTGTTCCTTTCGTTGGCGCTCCTGGAGTGCGGATTTGACAGCACGATCCGATTCCTGTGTTTGACTATGGCTGAGAGCCATTAGAGCAGCAAAACTGCTGGCAGCCATAATGAGAAAGAGTAGTATGCCCAAGGGATGTAGCGGACAACGGGCAGAAGGCGATGACCAGACGTGTGCCATTGCCACCCTGTGCCACCGCGTCTTTCCGCGACTCATGTTTGGTCGTGTTTGGCAGCAGCGGTGGCATGCACAGGTCATGAAATACCGTATCAAGTCGTGAAAAGCCATCCATTGGTAACTCTGATGGATATCGTTAAAACTACTGGTACGATCTTGGCGTCTCATCGGGGTATAGAAATCCGTGAACAACATCTCGCGCTTACTTCGAGTCCCTCCATGCCTTGCGAGGCAATGTGGTCGCTACCAACACCGAGCCGGATGCAACGGCGAGCAGAACCCAATATACAAGCCACCCACCAAGATATTGATGCCGAATGGAAAGAGCAAACAAGGAGTTTGCCGCTGCAGGGCCGAACGTCCGCATAACCGACACCATCATTTGGGCCAATCCGTTGGTTGCACCCAAAGAGGCTTTGTTAGGAGCAGAGGCCGCGATGTAGATGAAGATACAGCCTACAAGCTGTGATAAGATTATCTTGACAGTGATATTTAGGAGAATCTCTGACCGTAACTGAGACTGACTCCAAGGGAAATCAGAGTTTGCAGCGCCACTATAACCCAGACGGTAGTACTGACGCCCTGCGACCTTGCCAACAGATTCATGAATGGAAACAAGGCAAAGCAGGGTATCGCCGAGAGCAGGCCCGCGATAAAAACGTTCTTCGTCCCCCATCTGTCGTGGATGCGCGCGAAGAAGAACACCTGGAAAATACCGTTCATGAAACCGAAGAAGGACAAGATGGCACCGATCGTGGGAGGTGGCAGCCCAAGCCCACCGAGCTCGATCGGTGTGGAGAAGAACAGAGGTTGCACTGCACGGTATGCGATGTCGACGAGTGAGAGAGTGGCGTAGTTCACCGCCGCGATGAGCACACGTGGAATGAGAAGCGCATAGATAGGGAAGGGTTTTTCAGCATCATCTGCCGGAGTGTCCTGCAGGGAGGTATCATCTGCTAAAGCCAGACCCCCCTTATCTTTGCGGATCCTGAATAGGCTCCGGACGGAAACAGGCGAACGAACAGTCTAATGAGAATTGAAGAAAAGAAAGTCAGTACGGGGCTGCAGGTGACAGAAACGGTCACCGCATGATCAACTCCAGCAATGTTCATATATACCTCTTTGAGAAATGTAAAAGTAATCAACCATGCAAGGGCGGAGAATGTCGCAGGCACGGCGCAAGCTAGAAAATAGGGAAACTTTTTCATGAACTCTGAATCGCCAAACGTATCGGGAAAGCGGTCAGCGGGGCGTGAAAGTGTGCCGCCGATGATGGGACTGTATCGTGTGTCAACAGATGAATTTAAACAGAGAACTGGCGATCAACCGGAACACACCCTAAAGTCCCTCCGGTAGACCATGCGATTGGCATGTATGCATAGACCTGCGCAAGGTTCGAGGAGTCTGTGATTTCTGCAATCATGCTTTTCAGCACTCCAATGTTCCCTTATTACGTTTGGCTTATATTAGCAAACGCGCGGAAATATAGCGATGGCCTGATATACCGTTGAGGAACCCTAGATTAAAGCTCAGTACTAAGTTTTGAAAGATGGCAAGAAAATCAAGTACCATTAAGAGAACGACTGTATTGAAGTGTCAGTAAAGTTTGAATGTGCCAGAGTATACGCAGCAGAGTTTCATACCTGATAACAGCCGACCAATATGTCCTCGACAAACCAAAGCAGTACATGGAAAGTGACAGGCCAGACAGACCCGTCAAGATGACAGGCTTGCGGCCAACAATATCTGAAATACGACTCCAGTGCAGAACGGTCATGGCTTGCGCAGCAAAGAAGATGGATTGCTGGTAGATGCGTGATCAGATACAATCTTCAGAAAAAAATTGACAGCATACCATTAACCCAACATAGTGCCCTACCTTCGTCTCGTCTCCATGCGTGATCCCGCTGTGTCGAACAAACTGCAGAGAAATAGATGAGTGGAGTCACCGCCGTTCCCAAGAGGTATCAACGCACCTCAGGAGCGAACGGATATATAACTTGTGAAGTCAGCGGCTCGGCCAACTGCAATACCAAGAGCAGGGTTATCTGAGGCCATGGTATAGGTGAGGGCTTTTTTTTCTGCTGAGTCTCCTGCAACAGCGGAGTCTCTTCGTCCATATCTCTCGTGGCAGCGGTCATGAAGGACTTGGTCAAGAAAGTGTACAGGGCAAGGAACAAAAGGAAGTGCTCAGACGGGACTCAGAAGGCGAAAGAATGTGTCTATGACTCTCAGAGTCATCGGCACCCTGGCCGGACAACACATTACCTAAGTCAGCGACAGTTTGCGAGTCGGCCGTAGGATCGCCGCCGGGCAAAGCGGGTCAGAAGGGCAAATAAAATATGAGGCGGGTTGTAGAGGAACGACATGGGTGGTGTTGACAATTGGGACGGCGAGATCAATAGTCGATTCGCGACTCGCGGCTATGAGCAAAAGAGAGGGTTGCCTTGAGGCTGTCCCGGTCGCACCCGGAAAACCTCTCCGTACGTTTCCGGATCTATCTGAGTGCAACCGCTAATAAGAAACGAAGTGTGGGAGTTTTCGCAGGATTCCCATGATAGTTATCTGAGACGATACATAATTGTCTTTACAATAACGTACACTAAGCGAAGAACGAACGATAACATCAAAAAAGATTATAGATCCTAGCCAGAGGCAGCTTCGCCGCTGGCGGGGCATCCATCAGTATCTCGTCTGCATGCACCTCATAAGTCTCAGGGTCGACCTTCATTTGTGGTGTTGCATCGTTCCACTTCATATCCTTCTTCGTCACATTTCTACAGCCACGGACCGCTTCGAAACGCTTAGACAGACCGTAAGACGCTACGACACCGGAGGTGATGGATATCTCAGAGACGAAGTAGACCGAATTAAGCGCCGCAGACGAGGGATAGGAACCCCACATTGGCCTCCCCAAGAAAGGCTGAACTGTTGGTATTGAGGCATTCGCATCGCCCATCTATCAACATAAATCAGTCAAAGCAATGAATTATCGCGTGCGTGAAGGCTGACCTGGCTCCAAGCGATGACGCCTGACTTAAGTACCATCTCAGGCTTGATCCCAAAGTTCTCGGGTTTCCAGAGGACGAGATCCGCGAGAGTTCCAACTTTGACATGCCCTACGAGATGACTTATGCCATGTGTAATAGCCCTTGAATCATAAAGATACAATCGCGATGCTTAGTGCACATATGAGTTGAATAGACTATGGGCGTACGGGTTGATGGTGTATTTCGCGATATATCTTTTGACTCTTCCGTTGTCGACACCATCGCCGTCGCCCAAAGACGTGAGAGGCCCTCTGACTTCTCGCATTTTGCTTGCCGTTCGCCACGTTCGACTCACAACCTCACCAACACGGCCCATGGCTTGCGAGTCGGAGCTAATCATCGATATGGCACCAGTGTCGTGTAAGACATCCTCAGCTGCGACAGTTTCGGCACGAATGCGAGATTCGGCAAACGCGAGATCTTCGGGAATAGACTTGTCCAAATGATGACAGACCATGAGCATCTGTACCGAAGATGTGAGTGCTGGTACTAAGTTGTTATTCGATCCCGCGAAATACTTACGTCCAAGTGTTCATCAAGAGTGTTATTCGTAAAGGGACGAGTAGGGTTTGTGGAAGAAGGAAGTACGTTGTCAAGGCCACACACGACAATGATATCAGGAGCATGTCCTCCACCTGCCATAGAAAACAAATCAGTCGAGCAAGTATCGATGGATTAAAAGGTCACAAACCAGCCCCTTCCGTATGATACGTATGGATCGTGCGATTTCCGAAGGCAGCAATAGTGCCTTAATGATCATGAGATAATGAGTTAAGAATGCCTTTGCGAGGCCTTACTTTCGACGAAACCACTCTCGTTCAAAGTGTCCGTGTGTATATTGACCTATTGTATGATTTCGATTTGGAAAAGGCTCTTCGATGATAACGGTACTTACCTGTACATCGTACTTGTCTCCAACATCCAAGCAGTTCACGATCACTGCTGGCGTTGATCCCCAATCTTCATGCAGTTTCAGCCCAGCAGCCCCTGCCTTGATAATATCCTCCAAAGCCTTCGGACCTGCATCATTCCCTTTACCCGTGATGGCAAAATTCATCGGCAGACCATCCATTGCAGCGAACATATGTTGCATGTAGAAAGGACTGGGAGTGCAGGTCGTGGCATTCGTACCCGAACTTGGCCCCGTGCCCCCGCCGATCATGGTCGTTGTCCCCGCTGCTAGTGCCTCAGTCACCTGGGTAGGAGAGATAAAATGTACGTGGGCGTCGATTGTACCCGCAGTCAGAATGAGCTTTTCGCCTGCTATGACTTCTGTGCTGGACCCAATGACTAGGTCAGGATGGACGGAGGACATCACGTCGGGGTTCCCGGCCTTGCCTATACCGCTAATCTTTCCGTTTTTGACGCCGACGTCAGCCTGTTGTGATGTATCAGTATTCTAGGTCTTGGGAGTGTGAATGAGGTATTAGCCTTGCCTTATAGATGCCAGACCAATCGACGACGAGGGCATTTGTGATCACAAGATCAAGGGTTTCGGAAGATGGCCTGTTGGTTGCTTGACCCATGCCCTCACGGATGGATTTACCTGACCGTAGAGCGGAGTTAATCATGAATCAAAGGGAAACGGTCGAATGATTACCTCCCCCGAACTTGACTTCATCACCATACACTGTCTACACTCAGTGAATATTAATACACAGATCAGCGAAGTCGAAAGTCTTACCTCGTCGCGTTCAACTTCGATCCACAGCTCTGTGTCTCCAAGACGAATTCGGTCTCCGACTGTTGGTCCATACATAGCGATATATGCATCGCGTGCGATATCGGTATCTTCGTTTACTACAAGAGCTCCTGGTTCCGGTGTATGTCCAAAGCCTTTTTGGATAAGACTGTGCACGATGCTGTCGGTCCGAGAAATATCGAACACGCCTGTTGCCAACGCATTCCCTCCCGTGATGAGCTTTGCCCCTGAGATTGTACAGAGTGTCACTACTTTAGTATCCCCAGGTTCAAATCGAACAGCTGTTCCTGCAGGGATGTCAAGGCGTTTTCCGTAAGCCTTGCCACGGTCGAACATCAAAGCTGCATTTGTTTCGATGAAATGATAGTGGGATCCGATCTGTAATTCCTCGAACCTGATCAATTTTTTCAAGCAAGAGATACAGTAAACTAAACAAACCAGACCTGAATTGGGCGATCACCGTTGTTTGTCACTCTCACTCTCAGCCGCTCTCTACCTTGATTGATCGTAATCCTTTCTTTTCTCGCAATGACAGCCCCAGGGGAATTATTGCGCTCGTATTCGGAAGGGTCGACGATAGGGAACATATCAAGAGACGGAATTGGGAGGAATGAACCGTACAGTGCGGCATCCAAATTTCCATCCTCCGTACAGACTGGATCGTGAACAGTGACAAGAAATACTCTGAATGAGATCATGAGGATATAGTATGATATATAGACACAAAACAAAGCGCACCCATCTTTGAATGTCCCTTCAACCTGAATCTGGTGTAATAGGCTGGGAACACTAGGCAACACATGCCTCCTCCCAAGTAGCGTTTTGCCATGTTGCATTAGCTCTGCAACAGAATTCTTTCCATCACGGATGCGCTCTTGAAGTTGGGATGCAATCAAGGCTGTAGCCTCTGTCTGGTTGAGCCTAAGTCCCCGAGCGAGCCTCTTTTGAGCAAGAAAGCCAGCCTATCTCGGTCGAACATAAGCATTGTGTACTATACGCGCAAACGAGGAGAGGACCTGGTGTAGGAGAAGCCTTTCCTGTTCCCGTGGAAGAATGCGCATATTCGTGACAGTTATGGATGATGATACGGAGGAATGCTGAGGCTCTCTGAGGCTGCTCCTGAGATGAAGATTCGAGACGAGGATGGACAATGGTCATATTGTAAGCGATAAGATAAGTTGCTTCAGGCACAACCATTCGATTCTCGCTAAGGGCACGTACAGTGCTGGACACGCAAACACGGTAAATTTGGATGATCATTTCTTACGGCTACTGGAGGTATCAGAATAGATGCAGATACACCTATAGAGTAATTTGAATGTGCTCCGGAGAAAATTGCACGAGCGGTTTCCTCAAAAAATGCCTATTAAGAGAAAAAAAGTACGCAAAATATTGGTCGCCCCTTGTTTCTCGTGGGAAATTCATCAAAAAAGCTCCAATCGACTCCTTTTGAGCTGCTGGGTTTGATGGTAGCATTGGTTTGTCAAAAATAAATGTGTGTCGGGCAGAAAAAAATAAAAAATCTATTGCACATGATACTCTAAACATCATATCTGACCCTCGCCACCATAGTTGCCCTCCTAGTAAAAAGAAAAGAAAAAGGAATATAGATAGCTTCCAAAATTGGCAGCCTAATGGAGAGTCAGCCATTGTAAATCTTTCTAATACTGAAGATAAAGGGGATGATCTTACCAGCTGGCATCCACATCCAACTTGCATCATGGTGGCTTCTCTAGTTCTACTACAAGGGAAGGTTAGGCTGAGACACCTAACTCCACAACTGCTCTCTCAAATCAACCTGTTTATGCTCCAGCCATCTGAGCCTCTCTAATACATTCAGGCTTAGTTTATAGAATATATAACACTGAGTGAGCTATGAGCCATCATTTTGTTGGCCCATTTTCTCGATTTTACTTTCATTTTCCCACGCTCACAATATGTAGCTATCAACACCTCCTAGCTGATAACCGGTTAAAAAGTCCTGCGGAGTTCTACATAGCGCCCTATCATAGATGTCATTCGGCGGTCACTGAACGGAAATATGGTATCGAGTCCAAATATGATATGGCGGGCGCTGCGTACACTCTTGCTCTCAGGTCATAAAACGAACCTGAACATCGTCTGCACCAACGTCAAAACTTAGCACTCATTCTGCCCATACTAGTGCCAGGCATGGCTTCATGGCTTTTTAGTCACCGTGATCTAAGCGTTACGTCATGGGCGCTTGAAGAGTAGTCCTTCCCGTTCGTTCAGTCTTTGACGCGATTTCTCCACCGTTTTCTCCTTTCCCAGACACTTGCTGCTGTTCACGTTGCGCAAGAGCTGGGAAGGCAATATGTCGACATCAATGCCTGATCAAAGTGCTAACGAGGAAACACCTCTTATGGGCTCTGCGCTCATTGAGGCCGATCGTCCTCAAAAGCGTACTCCTTTACCAATGGGTCAGATCGCAATCTTGTTGCTCGTACAAATGGCAGAGCCGATAACATCTCAGTCCATATTACCTTTCATCAATCAAGTGAGCCGTTTATGTGCTGCTATAGTAGAGCTGTTGAAAAGTTGAGGTTGACCCTGATATTAAACGTCTGTGGAGTAGCTTATCAGTGAGCTGGATATCACTGGCGGGGACGAACGAAAAATTGGGTATTATGCAGGATTTGTGGTGCGAGACCTTCATCTTGCTTCATCGTATACTTACAGCTTACGAGCACCCTACAGGAATCGTTATTCTTTGCGGCTGAAGCTTTGATGGTGCTTCAATGGAGTCGGTTGTCAGATCACATCGGTCGCAAACCTGTCCTCATTTCAGGGCTTCTGGGTCTCACAATATCCATGCTGTGGTTCGGTCTATCGAGGACGTTCTGGACCGTTGTCTTAAGGTGCGATTTCCTCTAATATCAATCAAGTTCGTACTCACATCCTTGACCTCGCAAGTCGCGCGTTCGCCGGCGCCACAAACGGCAACATCGCTGTCATGAAAAGCATGATGGCAGAAGTGTCCGACGAAACCAACATCGCCCAGGCTTTCTCACTAATGCCAGTTGTTTGGGCTACAGGCACAACTATAGGGTCTGTTCTTACCGCTTCATCATTCGCATGAAGATTGTTAACTGGTTCCAAGGCCGTTTATGGGTGGTGTGTTTTCCCGTCCACATGATCGCTTCCCGGGTATGTTCGGGAGCCAGTTCTGGGAACGGTACCCTTACTTCTTACCGTGTGCGATTACTGCCGGCTACTGCATGATATCATTCGTCACGGCAGCAGTCTTCCTGAAGGAGGTCAGGACTACATTCCAATTTCATATCGCTGTCACATCATTCAAACTATTTACAGACTTTGCACACGACCATTTCGTTAAAGAGATCGCGACGGTCCGATCCAGAACAAACTATTGTCGTGTATGGAACAGCAGAGGGGGCTGCGGTCGAACGCGGAGAAACACAAACTCCTCTGCAAGTGAAAGCGTTGGCAGAGAAACCGGTGTCGCTGCAGGCCCTGCTCACCAAACCCGTGCTGATCTCTGTAGCCAATTACGGGTTTCTCGCTTTGCTGGATATTGCCTTGGGTGCGCTTGCTCCATTGTTCTATTCGACCCCGATTGAATTCGGGGGTTTGGGGCTTCCTCCGGCTACCATCGGACTGTGCATGGGTGCCTTCGGAGTGATGAACGGCGTCTTCCAGGGTCTCTTCTTCTCTAGGATCATTGAGCGTTTAGGTCCCAAGCGCCTTTTCATGACCGGCATGGCATCATTTGTACCAATTTTCGCTCTTTTTCCGGCTTCAAACCTTCTCGCCCGCCGGCTGGGTTTGTCACTTCCTGTCTGGCTCACGCTAGCGATTCAACTAGCGACAATGGTCGTAATGGACATGTCATATGGCGCGTCCTATACCACCCGAATGAACCTAGAGGAGCAGTGTCTGATTTAGTTCACAGGTTGCATCTTCATTTACATCACCTCCGCTTCACCGAATAAGCGCTCGCTTGGTGCGACAAATGGGTTTGCGCAGACGGTAATATCGGTTGTGCGGACTATTGGGCCGGCAATGTCAACATCTCTATTTGCGCTCACGACGGAGAGACATATTCTCGGAGGATATGGTGTTTACATTATCCTCATGACAATTACCGCGGGATCCTTGCTGGTGGCTGCTCATCTCCCTCATGGCGCCTGGAAGCACAACTAAAAATATGTGGAAGGGTTTTATCATGCCAGAAACCGTTACCACAATAGATCTTTTACCTTCTTGTTGCTCACGGTCCCTTGTTATCGCGCTTCTAGGTGCCGAAATGACACACTGGAAATGGAACGGAGACAATCTCCCGAGGTTCTTATTTTTAGAATTGCATGGATGTATATCCATGAGATTATTTTGTGAAACATAGGTATGATCCTTTCTGATTAGGTTGCTAAATAAATGATTGATTTTGGATAACACCATATATGTCAAGTCCATTAATCATGGACTCGGAAGAGAGATTGTCTGGTATGTACATAGTTCGCATATACTCCTTAGATCCCTTGCGGAGCCAAGGGATTCGTCGAGGCAAAAACGCTGTTTCTCCGCGATGATTCAAGTGAACCACTGTACCGGTTTGGTTCCCGATGTCGAAGGACTTGGCTGGCTTGGCGGCAGCCAATTTAAACGGCTAACTTTTGCTTCAGCTTCAGTGTCTAGTGTCTAGTCTTGTGCATGAAACTCGATCGAACTCCTTTCAAGAATCGAGGCAGTTGAAATATCGAGATACAATTCACTGGTCTCAGCGGCGCGGTATGTTTGGCCTTGTTCAGAAATATAATCGTTCATCCTGCATCGACCGAGTGCTCAAGTTTGAATCATTAGCGTCGGATTAGCCAACGTCCTTCGACATCCACAGAGGCTCTCCTCTTTGTAACTTCGACTCATACGACCAGTTGTCGTACACGCCAATTCAGTCAGTATTACGAAAATCAATGCCCACACATCCAGCCGATTCCCGACTCTCAGAACAATTGATCAAGTTTCGGTTTTTATTGAGACGACTTTAGGCGTTCGACCGTTGTGCGCCTCGAGAGGACGATTCGCCTATGTTTGTACCTTCGCAATTTGTTGCATATTTTAAGTGTCTCCGAGACGCAACTGAGTTTAAAAAACATTTTGAGCAAGCGCTCAGCCTCCGTCCAACCAGTCGTTATATGGACACATCCAACGCCGCGCAAGCTATGATGCCTTTGGAATCCCTCTTGGAACACATGATCTCATGGTACGCAAGTTGGTTCGCTTTTCTCTCGTTTTCTCTATTCACCAATATTTTACTACATGCAGATGCCCTGAACTGCCGATTGCTCACCTTCTCTTCTTTTGTGTGCGATACGCCGCTGCGCGCTGATGACTTACGTGGCCTGAAGTTCCGCTGACGTTGTCAATTCTAAGTTTATCATCTTCTAGCGAAACCAGGCCCATTTTTAGCCAGCCCTTAGCAATAATTCTGGCCGTAAAGGTAACCTCAAAGTCTTGAGGAACCCCGCCTTGAAGCGCTCACGCGCTCATGTCCTGGTCTCTTTCGGAACGTTGTGCGCCACTTCCTCTAATAAACACATATCGGATCATGCACAGCGACGTATCGCGGTACCGGCGGCCGTCTGATTCAATAGCGAAGATCAGTCATCCGAAAAGCGTATGTCTCATCTTTAACAAACATAGACATTACTCTTTCAGACATAGATTCCTTTTTCCCTCAGGACCGCCGTCCCTGGGTCAATTGAGAACTGAATGTGCCTTTGTGTACACCGTTTCTTCGAATTCCGCTTCCTCAAGCTTCGATGCTCCGCAGCCTCAAGGTTCCTGTTCCCGCGATGGTGTATGATTGATCCGGAATTTCCTCGTCAGATAGGTGGTGACTCGATAAAACCCTTGCCAGTCGTGAAATGTGCTGAGATTTTTTGTCTTGTGCCGTGCAGTCTTCATTGAATGTGAGTACACGAGTGCTATGGAATTGTAAGGGGTAATTTCGACTGATTTTTCCCCCTCAAAAAACAGTAATGATGATCAGGCTGTAGGTTTGCCTTCTACAGCTCCATGACTACCAACGCACTGCTGAGATTCGATTTCGGATCATCCAGGTTCGTCACTGTGAGCGGCCAATTTCTGAGAAGAGCGGAAAGAGACGGGTATACTCTTCGGTGAACCATGGAGAACAACCGTCTTCATCCATCGGTGCCGACAGTCACCTTGATGTAGTTTTCGGATGGTCATCGCTTCGTGCGTCTTTGTTGACCCTTTTTCGTCATTCTCTAGGTCCTGTGCCGCGTCCGTTGGGTTCATGCCAAAAATTATTGTGGCAGAAAATACGTAAAAAAACGATGGCTCGAATATAATATAATAATCTTGCACATCCTTACTTACATAATTTCTCAATGCGTGACTCGGAGGGTCTCGGCGCATTCCCTTAGCCGTGATCCGGGCTTTCATTTGTCGTAATTCCTACCAGTTCCTACCTCGTCCGCGAGACCGCTACCCTACAAACGAAGAATACGCTACCACCAGGACCCGGACACGAACGGGAGCACACACACATGTGGAGAAAGTTACCAGCGGCATCCAGTTGTCCCTGAACGATCCGTCCCGGCGCGTTCCCATTTGGAACGAGATGCGCGTACGAATTCTAAACCAGCCTCTTCGTGTGATGACATAGGCATCCCTCGCTCAGGTATAAAATAGCAGCTTGTGTTTCACAGGACAATTCAAGATACCGTCTTCCACAGTTTGACCAGCATGCATCGATTTGCAAATTCTCTACTATGCGCAGTATTGCTCGCTATCTCTGTCTCTGCGGCACCTGCGAGCAACCCGTCTGCAGCGACATCTAGTACCGCTTTGGCATCGCCGGTATCCGTATCCAACTCGACTGATTCGACCGCGTCGGTCTCTGGACCACCCAGTGCGACGTCGGACGCGTCAGCAGCTAGCCCAAGCCCGACGGTTCCTTTTGCGAGTGACGACCCAAACACTGTCATCTTCTCCCCGGGCGCAGACGTCCAGCCTGAAGCTCAACGTGGCACACTCGGCAGCACTGTTATCGGTCCTCAGAATGTGCAAATCGATAGGCAGAATCCTGACTTTCTTGCACCCCCCACCACGGACAATGGTGACGTGTGAGTACTTGGTATGTTTGTATGCATGGCTATTTATTGATGATTCAATCCCAGGTCGAATGCGAAGTGGCCTTTCGGTCTTAGTCACAATCGGATCCAGACTGGAGGCTGGGCAAGGCAGCAAAACAGTGAGCTCATTCCAGAGCGAGATGCCTTATGACGTGGTGACGCTCACAACCCTCGTGCAATTCAGTCGAGAATATGCCAATTGCCACGCGTTCGTTATTCAAAGTTGTACCAGTCACTGTTTGATCGCTAACGAATCGCAGAGATGGCCGGAGTTGACATGCGACTTGAACCCGGCGCTGTTCGGTACGTAGAGATCCTAAGCGCTGACGTTCTCCTATTTTGAAATGTTTGTTCAAGGGAGCTACATTGGCACAAGACATCCGAAGTATGTGTATAAGTGCCTTTTGTATAACCGAGGAGTCTGATGTCAGCTTTCTCAGTGGTCCTATGTCATCAAGGTAGATCTCTTTGACTACGCCGGCTGCTTCGAGTTCTGAATCTTCTCGGGCAGGGCTCGACTCAAGTTACGGCCGTTGATCAAGACGGGAAGAACTATCTGGCCACCGTGGTAAACATTTTCTACTTTTGACCACAGATTATACATTAATGTCCTTCGGATAACATAGAACGCAGGTGACCTTTGGTACTTCCCTCCGGGCATTCCGCACTCCCTTCAAGCGACGAATGACTCGGCTGAGGGAACCGAGTTCCTGCTGGTCTGTCGTGTTATCTTTGATACGCGATACGCGTACACATCTGCACCCACAGGTTTTCGATGATGGTGCTTTTAGCGAAGACGCTACCTTTCTGGTACAGTTTCTCATTTTCGGATGCTGTATCTGTATTTTCTTGTGCTAACTTGGACATCTCAGCTGACCGATTGGCTTGCGCATGTCCCAAAGGAGGTCATCGCTAAGAACTTCCAGACTGACATTTCGGCGTTTGATGATATCCCTGGAAGGGAGCTATACATTTTCCCCGCTGGTATGAGAATGCAACAATCCGTATCTAGTCACTGTATCCGACGTCGCTTCTCTAGCGGTTCCATCTTCGGATGCTACCGCCGTCTCAGATCCGCAAGGCCAGGTTCCAAATGCCTTCTCTTTCGCCATGTCCAAGATCAATGCCACCCAATTATCAGGTGGAACTGTTAAGATTGTGGATTCGACGACTTTCCCTATCTCAACGACCATCGCTGCTGCGGACGTCACTGTTGAACCTGGAGCTATGAGGGAGTTACACGTAAGCTACATTCTACCCTTGATAGTGGCACCCTGACTGACATCTTGGCTACTTAGTGGCATCCTACTCAGGATGAATGGACTTATTTCATGTTGCGTCTTTTGACATTTTCAATATACGTCGTTTTCACAAGTTGTGTAGTGAAGGCGATGCTCGCATGACAATCTTTGCATCACAAAGCAACGCACGGACATTTGATTATCAAGCTGGCGATATTGGATATGTTCCTGCATCTTTCGGTCGGCCACAATTCAATTAGCATTGCGGTCATTGCTCACAATATATATTCAGGGCATTATGTCGAGAATATTGGTAATACGACCTTGCACTACCTTGAGATCTTCAAGACGGGTAAGCACACACCGTTACGTACATAGGATTTGAATTAATGGGGCCCCGCTTTATGTAGATCGATTCCAGGATGTCAGCCTGAGCCAGGTGAGAGCCGTTGCGCCCCTGCCCCTACACTTTTCCTTATCATATTTTGCAGTGGCTTGCTCTCACTCCGCCCGAGCTAGTCAAAGCTCATCTCGGCCTCTCTGATGCTACGATTGCAACTTTGAAGAAGACGAAACAAACGGTTGTTGGTCCCTCGTGATGCAGATGGTCGATGATTGTTTGGTGTGCATTGAGTCTGATTGTGTTGCAGTATAAGGCTTATGTATCTTCGTCCCTCGCAATGAATTATGTAGTCGTGATGATTTAGGCAGAGTGATTTCCATTTGATTTTTCTGGAAAGTCAGCCTCATCTCCGAGATTCTCCTAGGCTCCTACCTATCGCCGTGTTGAGGGGCTGACTCCTACTATGATAAGATAACGGAAAACATATGAAATGAGTACACCCCCGGTGCTTCGTATAAAATGATGAGTTCCGACCCGTTGCTTCCATCGTAGTCTCCGTGGCTGACCTTACACAGAAGATAGTCGTTCTGTGTATAAGGTCTCGCAGGTAGTACCGATTTCGGCATTAACCGAGCGCGGTCAAGGGTTTTCGAGCCCATGCCGAGCCATGCCGTGCTTAATAATACATCATGCATCAGCTCTTTGACAAATGTGTCAGCATGATTATCATACAAAGCTAAGACTCAAAGTGGAGAGATAAAAACATGTTTGGGACATATAAACATGCATCCCCCATTCTACTATCCTAGAAGGAATCTACCCATTGCTTCCTTGGATCTCTCTCCATTCTATCAAGGGGCTAATTAACATCCAAATCCCCCTAAAAATATCACACTATGTCCAAATGTAGCAGGTCTAACTCTGCTATAACTACACATGACTTGTGTGTATGCAGAATGACAAATAAATGGCCAAAAGCTTAATGATATTTTGGCTAAGATTGGGAAGGCATGATAGACCCTCAGAAAGTTCCTCCACTATTTATTTGCAGAACCTAAGAAAACCTTAAAGAAAGAGAAAGGAGACAATAAACTAGAAAAGATACCAAGTTGATCAGACAGCCATTGGCATTATGTGACCAAGTAGCAGATGTAAATTGCCAGTCATAAGGGCCAATAGGCCAAGGAACTAGGCCATATAAGATTTTTTTGAGATTAGCAAGCCTTGTAAGAGTTGACCAACTGTTATTAGCTATTAATTGTGTAAGTGCTTTTAGAGAGTATAGTGTTTTTAAAGAGAGGAGTTCAAGTCTATTGATTGTGCGAGTGTACATCATGTTACATCACACAAAGCATGTGACCAGTTGGGTTAGGACACATAAGTCAAATGTTATTATTTCATTATGCTGTTTACATATAATAGTTGGAAAGCAGAAAACATATTAAATTCAGGCCAAAACACCTACTACCTACAAAGGGGGTTGATTTGGAAGTAGTCTACTTTCATCAGTACTTTCCCTATTGTGTCTAAAATACTAGAATTACCTTATATAGGTACTTTCCAGCTATTTTAGTATACAAGTTCCCAGTTTTCTAGTAGATTCACTGGATATTCTAAAAAGGTGTATTTTAGCATTTCTACAGTGCCAAATAGGCAAAGTCAACAATTTTGCTAACTCCCTAGGCAGAATTATTTTAGGACAAACTAAGTTCAGATTCGGACTCAGGGAAGCAAAAGGAGTCAAAAAATGCCCTTTATGGAAGTTCCCACGGTAAAATGGGGGTGGCCAATTTTTTGGGCAAAAAAACATAAAATGTAATTAGGCCTAAAATGGCATCAGAGTCAATCTGAGTCAATCTCAGGTTAGCATTGTATCAACAGACATCATTGTGCACTGCCCAACCCTTCTGTGTGACTTCTGTTTGCATACAGCCTACTCCACCACTTTCCCTATAAGCCCCTTATGATATGTATCCATAAACCACTATGATTGATTAAAAAATTGGTGAATCACCTTGACAGGACACTTATTGAGGCATTGCTGTGCCACTTTCTTTGCATCCTCAAATTTGACTTTGTAAATTTTATAGTACTAATGCTTGCATCAGCCCCAGTACTGAATAATATGAACATGCCATAAAAAAAAAGACTGAAGAGACTGACTATCTCAATAGGATCAAGCTCACAATGGAACTTTAGAAGAAAGATGCAAATGTGACCTTGAGCTTTTAAAGTCTGCTCAAGAAGGGATTCTTGAAAAAAAAATCATCCTGCCTGCCCAAGAGTCAGGCTATATGCAAGTGTCATTCTTAAAAGGACAAATTGGAAAACACTTAGCCTTTATTGTGTAGACATCAAAGCTACATTTTGTAAGAGTCTGCTGCAATCCCTTTGCCTTGCCATTCTTGGTTGTTATCTTGCTTACTAAGAAATAACTATTGAACTTTGTCTGGCCCTCTCACACTCACTTCCACTCCAGGCATTGCTGCATATGCACCAACTTGTTGTTGATAATAGGACTATGTGAGTGTGATTTATGTAGACCTGCTATTTATGGTCCATCCAGTATTGATTATAATGTACTTTTTTGAGAACTCATCAGGTTTTTCATAGATAAGAGCTAGTCTCTGTCTTATGGATTATCAAGATCAATATCCTTCATGTCTTCTTTGGTGTCTGACTCAAATTCAGGTGAGTTTCTTGAGTGGATCGATTTTTTGTGAAGATGCTGAATTTTTGATGTATATTTCTTTCTTGGAGGGTGCCCTTGGGGATGCTTTGAATACTACATAAGTTGGTAGTTTAGTGTGTCTTGGTTTGAAAATGCACCACCATTACAGCCCTAGTAATTTTTTTTGGGACTATTTAAGAGTACCATTGAACTCAGATAAAAAAATGGAGTTGATTGATGCTATTTCTGAGGCCCTACCATTTAATTTGGGGGTTGGCCAATTTTTTAAGGGCCAAAATCAATAAAATGTAATCCACGTAAGATTGGCTCATGGGATTTTACTCATAAGGAGCTCAAAATGCTCGTCTATCAAATGTGCATCAATTCTGGTGGTTCCGGAGGGTGGGAAAATTAGTTGACTAAAATTGTCGACTTTGCTTGTCTGGCACTGTAGCATGCTAGTATGACTTGAGCTAGAGTTGACTAAATGTGGTAAAATAGAGAAGACTATAGCAAGAGTTGAACTAACAATTCCTTGTATAGTAGCCAAGAACTATAACTACTGTACCAAATAAGCAACGATCACTTAGGTAGTAAATAATGTATGAGTATGGTGGCATTAGCCACCTTATGTCATACTATAATTAATTAATTTTTGTCATAGCATCCAGATTTTTGGACTTAGAAAAACTAGTTTTAGAACAAATCTGCTATCTTCAAGAATAGGAAAAAAGTCTAATCCTAAACCTAAAAAATGGCAAAAATCATCTTGAAGACTCAACATCTTTGTATTTATTATGATAATTAGATGCTTTCTTCTTTATTGCAATGACTAGATTCTTTATTTAAACTGAGAAGCATAAGAAGTAGTCTATAGTATATATATTATAGCTAAACAATGATAGAAATTGTACAATTATTCTAAATATTTGCTGTTACTGTCACATATTATATAATATGACAAATGGCGAAATTTATGGGGAAAAGTCCCTGCCAAGAATTCTTAAGAATTTTGAAAAAGTGCTCTGACCAGTTAAAAGGGTTTATATTAAAGGCCCTTTCTGTACATTATTATGGCCAAATAACCACTTTTGAAGGAGTCTTAGGCAATCTTATTTCATGCTGTAGACTTGTCATAAAATGGCTAATACCATCATATATTAGCTAGACTTAGGGTGAAATTTTGACTTATTCTTGGAGAGAACTACGCTATTTTACTTTTTAGCACTTCTTGCTATTAAGCTGCTAGGCTTATCACATACTGTAGGCACTAAGAGGGGTTCCCTAAGCTATTTGAATAGTGACAGTCCAACAAATAAAGACTATTGCTCATCTTTGGGCTTGTGCAAGAAAGTATGGTTTACAGTCAACCTTATTTTTAAATAGATAGAGAAGATGGTTTTTAATAATAGGGTAATGCTTATTAGAGATAGGGCTGTCTTCTCCAATCCAATAGATAACTTTAGATGGATTTCAAGAGATAATTTGGTAAGCAGCAAGTTCTTAATATGTTGTAGTGACTCAAGAGTAATAAAGGCTTTGAGATGAATCTAGTGCTTTATCAGACTAAGTATAATACCTTGGATCTGGCAGAGTTCATAATATGTGAGCTAGAAAGGTAGCCAGATGCTAGGCACAGTGTAGAGATTGAGTTGTATATGAAGTGAATAAGCTGAACTTTTTAGAAGCTCATCTTGGCTATTAATATATGCAAACTATTTAGGATAGGATCAAGATTAGGTCTATGCTTCTAAATGTTAATCTACTTGACAGGTATTAGGACTTCTAGATAATTGAGTTTTGAATCATGATTAGTAATCCATAGTCTGTGGTATATCTATATGCAGTAACTAGGATAAGTGCTTATCCACATTATTAGAAATCTAGGAACTGATTATAATTGACATAAGTAAGTTTTTAAGCTGAAGCTTTATAAGCATTCATATGTAAGCATATTAATAGTAATCAAGTAAGTCCATAGTCTATGTCCAGATTACATGGGTATCTCCTAATGTTCTTTCTAAATCATGTGCATAGTTAATGTTAGGACATGGTTCTAACACTCACTTACTAGAGATGTAACATATTATACATAAAGATAACTTGATGTGACTGAAGAGTCTATTATGATTTGTTTTAAGCTTATATCTTATATGCTTCAATTAAAAACATAGTATGTCTTGAATAGCCTAGTCTCTAGATAGTTCCTCAAGACTGTATTTTTAGATATATCTAAGAGCATCTATAGAGTAAAATAAATTATAGACATATTACATTCTTAATCATTGAAAGTGCCAAAAAAGCAAAATAGTATGGTTCTCTCTAAAGATGGGTTAGAATATCACTTTAAGTCTAGCTAATATACTATTAAGTTAGAGACCTATCATGCACACCAATGTACTAAAAGAGGGTTTTCTAGGCTATTTAAATTATGAGACTCCAATAGGTAAAAACAATAGATTGTCTTTGAGCTTGTAGGAGAAACTCAGGGTTATTGTCTACTTTATCTTTGAAGAGATGGAAAAGATGATCTTTGAGAATGTCTTAATATTCTAATATGTAATTATATGTTATTTATGATCCAAGTGATCATTGCTCATTTAGTACAGTGGTTGTAGCCTTTGGCTAGAATTGTACTAGCATACCAGAGATGCTGGAAACACTAGAAGTCTGGAACCTAGTAAATTAGCGTGTCTAGTTAATATCAAGCTGGGGGCTTATCACATACACTAATATACAAAAAGGGGTTCCCTAGGCTATTTGGATTGTAAAGCCCCAATAATGAATTATCTTTGAGCTTATAGGAGAAAGTTAGGATCACTGTCTGCTTTATCTTCAAAAGAGATGGAGCAGATAGTCTTTGAGGGTATCTTAATGTTTAGCTAGTACAGGACTGTCTTCTCTAGTTCAATAGACCACTCTGAGGGGTACCTAACTAAGAACATGAAAGGTGGCAGGCCCTTTATATTATATGTCATAGAGACTAGAGAGCAATGAGAGAGTAGAGACAAGTCTAGTGCTTTATTAGATAATGTAGGAATGGCTCAAATCTAACAGAGTTAACAAATTATGGGCTAGGAAGGTAGCTAGTGTTATGATCACGTTCTGTTGGGCATTAACGGCGGTCTATACCGACATGATCATCATAAATATCAAGCGGCCTCACAAGGTGAGGCGTACAAACAAGGTACAGATAGTAACCTTGGTCATCCACTCCCAACGGATCACCTTATCGTTGGTCGAGTATCACGAGCCATATTGCGACGGGCATAGAATGCCACCTTACAAACTACTCACACACCGGGCATTGAACTCCTAGTCTTTCCTGGCCGGAAGGAGACGAACGGAGAAGCACAAGAGTAGTCGTATTGAGAGAGACAACTTAGAGAATACCTACGGATACATAGACGGTATTCTCACGCCCTATTTCCTAAAGTAGTATAAAAGGCCCATAGAGTAGGCTGAGGTTCTTCAGTCTATTCTCTTCGTTCGTTGTGGTCTTCCTACCACAGCACCTTCGTTCTGGTACTGTCTTCCTACAGTACTCCTCATTGCTACATCGCAATACATCTCTGGCTCCTGTGCTACACGTACAGTCGAGACCATCGTTCCACACATCCTCCACGAGTGACCTAGGGAAGAACCTCCTACTCTTGGGGTTACCGAACGAGCAGTTCGTAACACTAGAATAGACTCTTCTGCCCCTACCTTGCTTGCACTAGCTTGCTGCCACACTCTCTCTCACAACCTTACTCAGTGGGGAAATAGACCCCCATCGAGAAAGTGTTACTACACACACTCTGGAGCAAGACCTAGGCCAGGAATATCCACCCGGCACTAGACGTATAAATAACCAACTCCGTCACAACAATCGCCCTATCTGGCGCGAAGGGGACTTCTGGGTCTACGAAGACAATAACAGATTCGCCCCTCCGAACTACAATAACTGCTCATACCGAAACGGGCGTTATTACTTCACCCTTGAAGACGGAACAGAAGAAGAGGATATTTGGAACGAAACAGAAGCTCAGTGGGAACTAGCCCCACAATACAGGGAACCGGCGCCGGTAATCCCTGAAGACTTGGAGCAAGAGGAAACGACCTCAGTGTCAGACTCCGACTCACCAGACCAAACACTGATCAACACCCAAAACGAACCGCTCACCAAAATGTCGGGACAAGCTTCGACTTCTACAGACCCCCCTTCCGCAACAGTACAACCTGGAAGAGGAAAGGTCAAACTCCCAGACAACTACACAGGCAACTGCATTAAATCCCAGAAATTCATGCTCCAATGCCTCCTTTTCACAGCAGAATCCGATCGGTATAAGACCGATCAGGACAAGATATCCCTTGTGCTCTCATGCATGAGATACGGCACGGCAGGAGCCTGGGCCGAGAACTTCCTCCTCAAATCAGTAGGAGCGGACCCTCCCACTGATCTAGGTACCTGGAGGGACTTTTTAACAAAGTTCAAGCTCCAATTTAGGGAGACAGGCAAGACCAATAAAGCGCGAAGCGCACTCATGGCCTTCTCCCAAGGACAAATGACGGTTGATGAATACTCCAACCAATTCATTCTCATTGCCGCCGATGCCGACATCTCCGACAAGGAGCAAGTCCCTTACTTCCAACGCGGGTTAGACCCGCGTGTCATGGACAAAATATATGACAAGGAAGTTCAGCCAAAGGACACCATTCAGGACTGGATTAACACAGCCTGTGAAATAGACGAACGACTCAGAGCTAGATCTGCTCAAAAGGCCATCCTCGCCAACTCCACCTCCTTTCGCAGCAATTATTTGAATCGTTTCCACACTCAACCAGCCGTCTGTTATAACTCCACAACTGCCCCTCGCAGAATGAACAACCAGGTGGTTGACATGGACATCGACGCTACCAGGAAGCGTAACGCCAAAAGTCAAAAAAGAAAATTTGACGGCAAGCGGACCCCCTCCTGCTCTAACTGTGGAAAATTAGGGCATTCTGGTGCTAACTGCTGGTCGGCCCGTAGAGGCGTTCAACCAGTTCGAGGAAACTCGAAGAGACGCTTGGGTATGACAGGGAGAAGAAACCACGCGGTTGATTTGGAAGAAGAAGACGACGCACCCGCTATGGGAAACCAAGCGGGAATTCATTGGAGAATGGAGACAGAGAATGTTCATCGCAACAACCAGCGGGTACCACAACCTGGTCCTTCGATGGAACGTCCACACTCTGCCCCATCCGGACGACCCCAGACAGACCATCAGCGACGCATTATGCTACCTGACGGACGACGGGGAAACGGAGGCGTCAGTCATTCTGCTCGAATCGGAGCAGTGCTAGGAGAATTAGGAGAAGATGAAGCAAGAGAAGTGATCTTGGGACACGCGGAGCGTTTTTCCTGACCTCTCCCTCACCAGCAAAGGAGAGAGGTCAAGGACGACCCGAGTTTGATGCCCGCACTTGTATTCGTATCGGAGCAATGAATGACCATATCATCACTCCCATACGCCTGAACGTGAAGGTATCAAACAGGGATCAATACGCTGGAGCAAAAGTGACCATCGACTCGGCATGCGAGGGGGTTATAGTAAACGAAACTTGGGTCAAGAGACATCGTTTCCCCACCTATACACTCAACAACCCCATTCGCGTCCGGAACGTCGATGACACCATTAATAAAGCAGGTCTCATCCGATCCGCCTTGGATGTGAACCTCACCATTCGGGACATCAGTGGACGAACGCATACTGAGCGCATCCAGATGTTTATCTCCAATCTAGGGAAGGACGACCTTATCCTGGGAACAGATTGGTTGAAATACCACGATCCCTCCATCGAGTGGAGGCGACGTGAAGTGCACTTTGATCGGTGCCCCCAGAAATGCCAACAACCGCATGGGTTTACTAGGGCAAGGGAAGAACCGCAAAACAATAGGCGGTTATCAGACGTGGAGCCACGGCACAAACCACGCATTAACGAGCACGAAAAACAGCGCCTAGAACATCTCCGAAGATTATCGGAAGATGTAGGACTCCGCGATCATAGTGGAACGTTTGGTGTCCAACTACGAGCATACCTCAAAAGGAAATGGCTCCTATAGGACATAAGGAAATACGCCGAAGAGAAACGAAAGGCTCAAGCCAAACCATCTCTTTCACCAAACGGGGGAGAACCTGATCTCCCATACAAAACCTCAGGAAAACAGGCCATAGAGGAACCAGTTATTCGGAAACTGGCTCCCGAACCGTCAGGATTTGCCAGCTTCGACCAGGACTTGGAGGACGAAATTGTTGTCACCAATCTAAAGGAAAGAGTCCCCAAAGCGCATCACGAATTTTTGGACATTTTCAGCAAATGAAAGTCGCAGCGACTCCCAGAGCACACTTATTGGGACCACGCCATAGATCTGAAACCGACTTTCAAACCTCAAGTACCAAAAATCTACGCCTTGAGCCCAGAGAAACATGATGAATTAGGGAAATTCATCAAGGAACACCTCACTCAGGGGACCATCCGTCGATCCACCTCGCAAACGGCAGCCCCATTTTTCTTTATAGGAAAGAAAGATGGAAAACTGCGCCCAGTACAGGACTACCGCCATTTGAACTCGTACACCATCCCAAATGTGTGCCCCCTTCCACTAATCCAAGAACTATTGGACGTGATCAAAGGGGCCACTATTTTTAGCAAATTGGATGTACGGTGGGGATACAACAATATACGAATCAAAAAGGGCGACGAGTGGAAGGCGGCTTTCATTACTCCGCTGGGTTCTTACGAACCCATGGTGATGTTCTTCGGCCTCACCAACTCACCAGCCACCTTCCAGGCCATGATGAACATGATCTTCAGAGAACTTATCACAGCCCGGAAAATAACCGTATACATGGACGACATCCTCATTTTTTCCAAAAACATGACGGAACATATTCAAGTCTTGAACCAAGTTTTCCAGATCTTACGCGACAACGACCTCTACTTGAAGCCAGAAAAATGCGAGTTTTATAAAGAAAAACTCCAATATCTGGGATACACAATTTCAAAAGACCATGTCGCTATGGAAGACTCGAAGGTGGACGCTATACAAGATTGGCCAGTCCCATGCACTGTCCGAGATATTCGCTCCTTTTTAGGTCTAGGAAACTTTTACAGGCGTTTCATTGATAAGTTCTCCCTTATCGTGCGCCCTCTGCACGACCTCACCAAAAAGGATGCAAAATGGAACTGGACTTCGAAGTGCCAGGAAGCTTTTGAACGATTAAAAAAGGCGTTCATCAGTAAACCCGTTCTAAATTACCCGGACCCCATGCATCCATATCGACTAGTAACAGATGCCTCACTAATTGCTTATGGAGCCACCCTCCTGCAAGAAGGAAAAGACGGCGACTGGCACCCAGTCGCATTCCTTTCCGGGTCATTTTCACCAGCAGAACGGAATTACAACGTCCACGATCGCGAACTCCTGGCTATCATAAAAGCGTTGGAACACTGGAACCACTACCTCGAAGGTGCACGACACCCTTTTGAGATCTGGACAGATCACAAGAATCTGGAACATTTCCAAACGGCGCGAGACCTATCATGACGACATGCCCATTGGAGCCTCTATTTGAGCAGATTCGACTTCACGCTCAGCTATAAAGCAGGGTCAATGAATCATTCCGATGCTCTGTCCAGGCGTCCAGATCTAAGTGAGGGGGTGGAATCTGACAACAAAGCTCAAATTTTGCTCCCGGCCAACCTTTTCAACAAATCTGATGAAACACTGGTAGAACCGTCCCCGACACGGCATATTAAGTCCATGGAAATCGCATCCTCAGACCTCATCTCCCTCATCTGACTCTCAAAATCGGAACACGATGCCCTGACAAGGGTAGCCCTCGCCAAACTCTTGCAAGTAGGGCCACAAGGAATGAGAGGTTTACTGGGACATTGGACACACGAAGACGGAATCACCAGACGAAACGGCCATATATGCGTCCCAAAAGATGATGCCATACGAAGACTTATTGTCAAAACGCATCATGACGCACCCGCAGTAGGACACCCGGGGAGAGCCAAAACACTGGAAATGGTACAATGACACTATTGGTGGCAAAACATGACAAAATTTGTTCATGAATATGTGGACAGATGTGCTGTATGTCAATCAACCAAGAACTTGACACACAAGACACACCCTCCTATCCATCCTTTGGAAACTACCAATGTCCCTTGGCAATTCATCTCGACAGACTTCGTCACGGACCTACCCAAAAGCAAGGGGTTCGACTCGATCAATGTGGTAGTGGACCAAGGTCTGTCAAAAGGCATAGTCATCACCCCATGCAAGAAAACGATCACAGCAGAAGAAACAACCGTGCTTTTCCAGAATAACGTTTTCAATCGACATGGGTTGCCGACCAAAATAGTATCCGATCGCGGCCCTCAATTTGCGGCTAAGTTTACCTGAGAACTCTGGAAGCGGCTAGGAATCACCGCTGCTCTCAGCACGGCTTATCATCCCCAAACGGATGGAGAGACAGAACGAGTAAACCAGGAGATCAAACAGTTTCTAAGAACGTTCTGCAACTACCACCAAGATAACTGGGTGGACCTTCTGCCGTTTGCCGAATTCTCGCACAATACGCGAAAACATTCAGCCACCGGAAAATCCCCTTTCGAAGTGCTCTACGGGTTCAACCCTCCTTATTCAGCCGACACTGCACTGGAGACAAAGGTACCCGCAGTAGCTGAACGTATTAAGGTGATCACAGAAGTCCAGGAAGAAGCCACAGCCAGCCTACAAATAGCCAGCAATTACGCCAAAGACCGGGATCTCCATAGGAAACTTCCCCAGTGGAAAGAAGGAGACCAAGTCTGGCTAGAAGGAACCCATATCCAGACGACCCATCCAAAATTCAAACTCGCCCCTAGGAGATATGGACCTTTCAAAATATTGGCAAAAATAGGAACCTTGGCATACAAACTTCAAATTCCCCAACACTGGAGGATCCACCCGGTGTTCCATGCCGCAACCCTCACCAAGTACAGGGAAACCGAGGCACATGGGGAAAACTTTGCAAGACCATTACCGGAGGTATTGAATGATGAAGAGCATTACGAAGTGGAAATGATTGTGGATTCGAAAAGACAAGGACGGGGAACCAAGTATTTGGTCAAGTGGGTGGGATACCCCGAGGCAGACAACACCTGGGAACCCCATGCACTCCTAAAAGGAACAGCGGAAGAAGCTATGAAAGAGTTTCATGACCAATACCCTGACAAACCTCGTCCGGGAACACCCTGAAAAGCGGAGAAAAAGCCTATAAAAGAGCAACCAGAGAGCTCTAAACGGATCATCTTCCCCCATTCTTCTCTCAAGTTCACTTCCCCTCACTCAAATGCTCCTTCACGAAGACCACAATGCTTCGTCACCATCCAGAAACTCCTCCCCCAATGTCGTCCTTATGGTGTCCAATCCAGATGTCGGACGAGTGGACAGAGGAACCAGTCCTCACCAGCGCGATGCTGGACGAATTGATAGAGGAACCAGTCCTCACCGCCCAGAGCCCGTCGTCGTCACCCTTACTCCACATCTCAATAACTTCTCAGACGACGACACCAAGGATTACGCCAAATTCAAGGAAAGAGAAAGAATCCGCCGATCGTCACCCCAGGGGGCCCCACGAGATGCATCACGGAATGAAAACCCTGATGACAGAAACCTACCGGGCTCTGACGAAGTACCAATGGGAGTTCCACCTCCTACTACAGTCACGACGAACGCTGGAGCTGCAGGTCCCTCGGGATTACGAGCAAGAACAGCAGCTCAACTCCCGAGCCATGGAGAAACTGAACTGATACCAGTTATACAGGGAGCTGCACCTCCGCCAGTATCAACTGGTGGACAGGTTCCCCGCTCCATGGGAAGAATTACCCTTGGTACAGATGCTCACCCCAGAGAATTGGAGCGACACACGGACGCGCTCCTCCAGCAAAGCACCATCTCTGTGGTAATACAAATGGCCACAGCCATGGCCCTACAACGACTTGCTAACTTCGCTGCAGGGCAACCCGGAAACGAGAATAGCGACATACCTCGACGACTGGCTAGTGCTAGTCTCCAGATCAGAGGACTCGCCCTCCAAACCGATCCTGACATGGCCTCTTGGTACGAACACAACGATGGGCGACCACGAGCTCTCCTCATCCATCCCGAAGAATTCTCCCAGTATGTCAACAGAGAGCTCCTTCCAGCTCTCCTCTTCACCGGAGAATTGGGCGCCGTCCAACCAAGTAGAACCAACCCTTTTCGCGTCGTCGTCTGGAATGTACCACGTCCCAGAGAACGTTCCACGCCTGTACCAAATCCAAGAAGGACTCCGCACATGGTCGTGGAACGCCCCTCACTGAGGCAACGAGAAAATCATACCGCGCATAGCAATCCCACGGGATCCTCCTCTCACCGGGTACGAAATTTTCCCTTATCCCATGGGGGTACCAATGAGGAGGAACCACCCGTCTATCGAAGAAACGAAGGAAGAAGGAGTCGAGGAACCCAGGCAACCCTCCGCCGCGGAACAACTACTGGCGGGAGTGTTCGACACCGGCTTGGAACGCCTCCTCCTAGTACTCGATTTCGTACAGACGAGGGACAGAATAACCAAAGTAGTCGCAGAACTCGCCGCGCTGATTTGGAGGCTAGAAGAAATCGCTCTTGGACTCGATCTGAGCTCGACGCATGGGATGCGCTAGACGATCCGGGAAATTATGACGACGCCGACCCTTACTATCGACCAGATGAAGGGGGCGATGGGTACCAAGGACCCTATGACTACTAGAGAGGGCCAGCTGCGGAGCGAGAGAGGGGGTAAGGAAGTTGAGGAACTCCTTCCCCAATAGAGGGTCCGAAATGACCTTAAACTATCATCGTCCGCAACGACGTAAAACTAGGATCGTCCCTCAAGACGTTAAACTGTACGACCTCGTCCGAAAGAGACGTTAAACTACCCACATCCGGAATGACATCTAAACTATCGGACCTGCATGTCTTAAAACTGTGAAAAGATAAGAAGGCAGGGGAAGTACCTGACCATTCGTCCTAGGTTCAAATGATGGTACGAATCAAGGACAACAGCGGGCAATAATTCCACGTATGACCTACGGTAGAACCCTTCTACATCCTCGCTGTCAAGGAGTTAATCTGACAGATGCATCGAGCGTCCCATTTGGATCCTCAGTTTTACAGGGTTTTTTCCGCATTAGGGAACCCTCTACATGACATATACTCTACTCGTAGGTGTCGACAAGCCGGCTCTTTGCCTTGGTACAGCGAAGTGCCCATACATAACCGGTTGCAAGTCCGAGTCAAGAAATTATGATGCACAACTTGTTAAGTGAACCCTCACAGTCAAGGTCTGACTGGTGTTTCGGGACATCCCACTTTGGATCTCCCGTTTTACAGGATCGTTTCCGCATTAGGGGATCCTACAGCTGGCGCATGAGATGATGTAGAGAGCGGGCCACCTCTACTTCACAAGTCTTCCTACAAGGAATGCGAGGCCATAAAATACATCCAGAACGATGTAAAACTACTAAAGGCTTGGTCCGCAATGACTATAAACTACTAGGGTCCGCAATGACGTTAAACTAGTCCTCGTCCGAAACGATGGAAAAATACCCTCGTCCGAGATGACGTAAAACTACCATTGACCCAAGGAGCGTGGTTGCATTCTGGTGAAGCGCGGATTTTCGGGAGGATCCGCGTCGCAGAACCCTGCCTGTAAGAGGTCGAAGCGCTTCGATATTCACTCGCTCTTCGGTAAAAGAATATTGGGTCGACTTGGTTCAAATTCCAAGCGAGGGGTCTGGGGACATGGAAGAGCAAGCATCTCTTCATGGAGTGCTCAGTCTAGTCCTGGAGTCGAAGTACAAGAAATTCCACTCCAAGACCTAGTCAGGAGGCAACTAGGACACGTGTCTCGAGTCGAAGATCTAGTAGGAAGGGACTAGATCATGCGACTCTCATCTGGCCCACATAGCGGAAGAACGACAAGAGTGGGCCACTCATACGGAGAAGTCTATTCCGCCATTCGTCCGCAACGACGATAAACTACGCAGCGTCCGGGATGACGTTAAACTAAGCATTGTTTTTCCACAATATTTGTGGCGAAACAACTGTCCGAAATGACATTAAACTATTGTCCTCTCAAGAATGAGGATTGTAATGGATATCTCGACCAGATGTCCATCCGTCCGCAATGACGATAAACTACGAGACGTCCGAAACAACGATAAACTACCGTCCCTTGACCCTAGGGATTGTTCGAGGCCATTTTTAGTATGAAAATGGTGTCGACGTCCGCAACGACGGTAAACTACGAGCATCCGAAATGACGCTAAACTACTTGTCCCTTCAAGTATAGGGATTGTGCGTGGCAATCTTGACAAGATACCGCGCGTCCGCGACGACGTTAAACTAGTGCCCCTGGACCTAGGGGTTGTCATTGATGTCCAATCCCCTGGACACCAATGCGTCCGCAATGATGGTAAACTATTTGCTCCTTACCGCATAGGAGTTGTGGATTGGCCACCATGCTGCCAATCGTCCGCAATGACATTAAACTACGTGCTCCTTACCGAATAGGAGTTGTGGTTGTTGACCATGACCTTGGTCATCAACCATCCGAGATGACGTTAAACTATTCGTCCCTTTTAGTATAGGGATCATCATCAACGTTGTCCTTGATGAGAACGACGCTGATAAACGTCCGAAATGATGGTAAACTGTTAGAAGTTAGCCCACCAGCACTGTACTTACGATACGGTATTTTCCGGACTTCGTTACTTATGTGACCGTACCGTTACCGTGACACCTCAGCGTCTTCTGTTCATACGCTGAGGTGAGTATCCTGCGCGCCCTGGTAGTCTTATTGTATCCTAACGTATCATCCTAGGATTATCGTGCAGGTACACTAATACATACATAGCGTCTTCTGTTCATACGCTGAGGATTATCGTGCAGACTTCTGACAGGTTATGGGCCCTGCATTTGCCTAACGAATCCCCAGAAGCACGCTCACTGATCGTACAAGATCTTCCCACATCGAAGCCGATCCAAGATGGCCACAACCACAAACTCAGTCATCCCCATTGAGCCAAAGTTGAAGGACCGAAAGAGTTACGGCCTTTGGGCTTTTAAGATGGAGAGAGTACTGGAGGCACGCGGAATTTGGAACGTCGTTGGCGGCGATACCGTCACGACGCCACCTACCGACAACCCAGCCCTACCATTGTGGAAGGAGAGAGACGCAAAGGCGAGGGCGCAGATTGCCCTCTACGTCGAGGATGCACTGGTAATTTCAATCATGAAGGCAAAGTCGGCGCACTCGATGTGGGAGATCCTCCGCACGCTCTTCGCTGAGCAGAATTCCCTCAATCAGTCACTAGTCAAATCACAGTTCTACTCAGTCCGCATGTCCCCCGGCCAGGACGTGAAGCTCCACCTGGACCTACTACAGGACCTCTACAACGAAGCCGTCGCCGTCGGCTCCCCACTCGAGGACAAAATCCTCGTTCACCGGATCATCACCTCCCTTACCTCCGATTACGACTCCCTCATCAGTTCCATCACCGACACGTCCAAGGTTACGTCCGAGCAATTGATCGCCCGTATCATGCTGGAAGACCAACACCGCCGAGTCCGCGATGGCACCGAAGCAAACAGCGGAAACGTCGCCCTGCGGATGGGCGATAACGCACGTGGAAGAGGGAGAGACAGGGGAAAAGGACACGGAAAGCATCGTGGTGGGGGCCGAGGCAAAAGTAAAGGCGGCAGCAGCGGGAGACAAGTCAAGTGCTACAACTGCCACCAGCTAGGGCATTACGCACGCGACTGCCCCACAGGCAGCAGTAGGGGAAGACCTGTAAACAAAGATCAGTCCAATCCAGCGAGCGAGCGCGAGGCGTCGCTCTTTAACTTCTCTTTGCCGCCCGAACAAGCCCTCACGACGAACACCAAGTCAAACACCTGGGTCGTTGACTCGGGATCATCATCCCATGTTGCAAAGCGGGAGGAGATGTTCGCCGAATACTCGCCAGGCGAGCGCACGATTGAAACGGCCAAGAAGGGCCACACAATGCGCGCCGCCGGCACAGGCTCCGTCACCATTTCGACTGGGCAAGCCGGCAAGCGGGTAGACTCGGTGCGGCTGCGTAACGTGCTGCACACGCCCGACGCAACAGAGAATCTACTTAGCGTGAGCAAGCTCGACCGCGCCGGGGGATCAGCTGTTTTCGGAGGGGGCAAAGTCGTCCTGCTGAACAAGGATCACAAACGAATCGGATCCGGGTCTCTCGTCGGAAGTCTCTATTACCTGGATACGATCGGCCGCCCGACGACAAACGATCAGCCCCCTACACCACCACCCATCACCCCCGAGACCGCTTTCGCCGCCACCTCACTAACGCGAGCCTTATGGCACCGGCGTTACGGCCACCTAGGGCAAGGGAACGTGGACCTTGTCATTTCGAAGGGTCTCGTCGATGGGATCAAACTCACATCGAACGCAAAGGCGCCGACGTGTGAGGACTGCGTCTACGGAAAGCAACACCGTAAGCCTTTCCCGAAGCAGGCAGACCACCGGGCAAACAACTTACTGGAATTGGTCCACACGGACGTATGCGGCCCAATGAACAAGAACGGGATCGGGGGCGAGCGGTACTTTGTCACCTTTACCGACGACAAGGCCCGTTTCTCCACCGAATACCGCATGCGGCAGAAGAGCGAGGTGCTCGACCGCATGAAGCAGTTCAAGGCCATGGCGGAGAAGCAGACCGGCCAGCCGTGGAAACGCATCCGGTGCGACAACGGCACGGAGTACCTCAACAAAGAGGCCCTCGACTGGTTGAAAGCAGCGGGCATTGCCCTAGAGACGACGGCGCCATACACCCCGTCACAGAACGGCGTCGCGGAACGCCTGAACAAGACGATCGTGGAACGTGGCCGCGCAATGATGCACGAAACCAGCCTTCCACGATTCCTATGGCCGGAGGTGGTGTCAACATCGATCTATTTAAAGAACCTCGGCCCGACCGTCGCACTCGAGGGCAAGACCCCCCACGAGGTATGGACCGGCCAGAAACCGAACGTCAAACACCTTCGCGCATTCGGCTGCAAGGCGCTCGTGAAGATACCTGATGAAAAGCGCCGCAAGTGGGACGTCAAGTCAACCGAGTGCGTGCTGATAGGGTACTACAGCGACACAGCCTACCGTTGCTACGAGCCGCGGACCCACAGGATCGTGAAGTCGCGCGACGTCGTCTTCTTGGAGGACGACTTGCCGCTGGCGCCGCGGAAGCTGCCCGTGGCCGAGAGGGGGGAAAACGACTTCCATGTCGCCCAGGAGCTGCCCACGGACACTCCCCCACCTCCCAAAGCGAGCCCTGACAACCCTACAATAAAGTCGCCATTAGCCCAACAAACACCACCACCCGTCCATCCTCCCGACCACCCACCTTCAGAGGGGGCACCAGGAACGCTGAAAACGCGCCCAGGAGCCGCCCAGCAAGCGCCGCCCGAGCCGCCTGAGCCCAGAACAAGCACACAAACACCGGCACCCGCCCAGTTCACTCTCAGAAGGAGTGAAAGGGCACGAGAGCCCTCGTCATTGAGGAAAGCCGTGGACCTGCAAGAGGCGACCGAGCGAGCTCGCAAAGACGCGAATAGAGAGGCGAGGGAGCGACGGAAGGACCGGGAAAAGAAACGAGACGAGGCAGCGCGCGACGAGAGGGAGGAGGCAGAGGCAGAGGAAGACGAGGCAGCTGTTGAGCGCTCGTTGTT